GCGTAATATTCATTTGAGAAATTCGGTAGGCAAAACAAGAGAAATGATGCTGTTCAGTTTTGCTGTATTGCGTATGCATAGCATTAAGAACTTTTTATTAAAAATGATCTGGCTTGCATGGTTCTTGGGGCCCTTAGCACTGATACAGACTCTTGAATCAGTCTATACAGACTGGGTCCATTGTGGCCCAAATACTACTGCTTATGCATGTTCATAAGACAAATTAATTTATAAAATAAATCCACAAATATTGCATGACTACTAGAAGAGCTATATGGCCTTATTCAATAGGTGCTCATAAATAAATATCCTAAGAGTGTTGCGCAGCTGGTGATGACCAACATGATGATGCCATGGAAGTTATCAGGCCGACCGACAATGAGGGCAGCTCTTGCGCTGAACCAATGGAGATATCTAGTGGAGACCTGTTACCACTACAATACCAACTTGTCACCCTGGTTTCACCGATGAGGTCAGATGCCACACAAGATCAAAAGGAGTTTACAGAGCAAGTCACCCAAACTCATATTGAAGCTTAAGAGTTTTATTTTTTAACCAATTAAATCATTTCTAGCAGACAGTCAGGCATTTTTTGGAGTATAATATCTTATATAAAGGTAAAGACATTATTATGCCTATGAAGTTATCTCTGAAATCAGCACTTATTGTCTAGTACTACTTACCATATAAAATATCATCATATGTTATAATGCTAGAACTTTATTAAAATTAATTTAAGCTCTAGTATTTCAATATATATAAGTAAGATTAAAGTTATAAATTGATATCTAGTATCTAATATGAGGCAATTTGTAGCCAATTGTACATACTATATGGTTATATTAGTCATTGTTGATTACTCTATGCCTTTAAGGGCTAGTCTTGTTCAGTGGCCATTGCAACATGCATAGCTCTAGAGGCTATGTAACAGTACTCTTGCACCATATGCCACTGCTGCAGAAATTTATTGTGCATCAGCTAGCAGTATTTGACGATTCAGCGGCTGTATAAAGCAAAGATATCACGTGGATCTGCATTTGGAGCTAATCCCGATTATGGTGATATGATTTACTAGCTGCGGTTGTATGCAGTGGGCCACCATTGTTTTGTGTAGACAAACAATGTTTACTTCGCAGTGCCCTTTCTTATTCAATCTTCCCTTTTATTCACGTTCGACCTTTACACTTTTTCTTACACATTCTATTCTACAAAAATGGGCTCAGTCGCCGGCAATGTTTGGGAGCTCAGTATTCGCGAGCTAATCAGTAAGCGCATTGTTACGTTCCGGCATCTACGCAATTCAATGGCTCTACCGCTGGAAATTGACCTAGGCAGGCGATACTGTTAACGACGCACAGGAAGTTCCTTCAGGCAGCACGCTGACAGCGCGTGCCAATGCCAATAAAGCGTCAAGGCGGCGGGCATACTTCAACACGCTACTGTTTGACCCTGACGACATGCGCGGTATGTTCAACAGCATCAGACTGCGCAAACGGACACGGGCATACTTTATGCTTGGCGCCAGCCTGGGACCCATCCTGGCCATTTCCAATCCGTCAGACTACATCAAAGCGCTGGGCATTCTCATTAACGAATACGACGCGTACATGTCCGAAACTGTCAGCAAAAGCAAAAAGAGGACGTTCTTCAGAAAGTCGCGCAATTCGGACGAGCATGCATCGGCATTGCAGGCCAGCTATGAGGCTGGCAATTTCTCATACCTTGATACACATCAGCCGGTAAGTGTACGCAGTACCTCAACACGGTCTTTCAATATTCGAAAACATTTCAGAATCACTCAAGCTTTCTCTATATACTGGTTTGCGCTGTAGCCATTCGACCTGGACTTTTTGCAGGTGTTTGACACGTTCTGTCAGATCACAGTTATCATGTACACAAAGCTGGCCGACTCACTAATGGCCATCACCATCACCCAGCAAGCCTTCGACAACATTGCCAAGATTGACAGCCGCTTCAAAAAGATGATTTCCGTTGTCACAAAGGAGCTGGACGAGCTAGTCAAGAACTCGATAACGCAAGAACTGCGGACTATTGACCCACTCGACATGGCATCTCCTGACAACGAAATCAACACTGACTGGGAGACAAACAGCATGTTCAAGTAAGTCAGTGTCCCCTAATCGTTTTATGTCGTTTTATGTCGTTTCTATATTTTATGTTGCTGAATTAATATCACCCACCAGACTTTCGTTGCTCGCAATGCAAGCCTTTGCAATTGTAACTGTGGTGTGTTTCGGACTGCAAGAAATTATTTATATACAAAAGTATCGACGAGTATAAAGGAAGGTTGAATGAGGGTAGTTTTTAGGGGGTTGCTGTAGTAGCGATCATGAACTGGCAGAGTGCAGACCATTAGCCTCTGTAGACTCCAAAGTAATCCCAGCCGCGCTTTGACAGGGCTGAAGTGTCCAAAGCACCCGCCCACTCAGAATGGGAGGGATTCCCTAGTTTGCTTGTGCTTGCATTGGCATTGGACGGAACGGGGGCAGCGCTTACAACGACCAGCTGAAGCGCCATGAGCACGAGAAGCGATGTAAGAGGATGGTTCATCTTGAGTTACGGTGAGGTGTAGTCGTCAGTGTGACCAATGCTGGGGCCTGAGGAAGAGTTTAATCGTTAGAAAAGGTGGAAGATACAGGATCCAAATTAGTAGAACTGGTAAGGAATTGGAAAGAAGATAGTTGTGATATGTGCTTGTGGTTGAGAGCAGACGCAGCGAGGCAGTGCCTGGGTTTATATACACGACTCTTGCCAGTTGCCACATTTGTGAATATTGCACACTACGCAATTTTCCGCCTCTCCCTTCTGCAAAGACTGCATGCAAGTCGGCAATGCGACCTGGAATCGAAAGATACAGCATGTTCTTCGTTTGTAACGTATGTGTTTTTCCGACGATTTAACTCAGAGCCGATTTGCCAGTCAAGAACAAAGCTGGCTTCGTTGTGTAAACCACAGCGGCACAGATCCAAGAATAGCAGGGTATGCTGGTCTAGATGGGCAGAAACTATGCCGGCTGCACGTACTCGGCATAGGGCATCATAGCTTTTAGTATATGGAAGAAGCTCCCAAGCTAGCACATCATTGTTGAAGATGGCGATGTGCCAGCAGTGGCTGCGACTGCAACTTTTGTTGATCTCCGCGCATGCATAAATATGCGTTGCCAGCACCTGTTCCAGATTTGCTTTCTACGTGGTCTGATTGCGGTTAAACATGAATTGCGAGTCATGTACAATTCAATGAATGGATCTTTCCAACTTGAAGCAACCAGCTACGGAGTATTTTCCCCATGCAAATCCCAGCGTCCATTCTAACAGGCCGGTTCGCTTTTTCAAGCGTTGAGCACACCTGGCTCTACAAATCGTTACATTGTCTTAGTTTTGTTTCCATATCTGAGTACATGATGCAGACCCATCCGAGTATCCGAGCGTGCGCATCATTGGCACTCATTGGAAGGATGCTTGTAGTTGAGATGACAATCATTCAAAAATATTGATTTGATTATTTGAAACACGGCTCTCCTGCTATAGACAACTAACGGGCCAGTGCTTGGTTTACATGCATTACCACAAGGCAAAAGCACTTACTGCTCCGTGTGGAAGTGTATGCCGAATGCGAACCAAGCTTTTTTTTATACCACACCTGGACTCGAGAGATGCATACACACTGCTGTTCATTTCTGGCAGATACTCCTGCTACTACGTGGAGCAGCATGTATTTTTTGGGAATAAATTTATGCAGCTCTCTCGTTTCTCCAGATCTGCCTGTTACATCACCTACAGCCAATGGCGCACGTCTTGTGCTCACTGCTAACACGGAGCAGGCTGCTGGTCCTGGTCTACTAAATATCCTGGCAGTCTGTGCAGCGCCGAACATGGTGTGGAGGGATCATGGTTCGCAGCCAGTCTTTCTACAAAGATGCACATGCCAATCACACAGGGCATTCATTCAGGAATAGCATGCAGCATGTGTGAATATAAGGTTGTTGGAATTGTGTGAACCTGATCAGACCTACACAGCCCACCGATATGTCTACCCGAGACGATCTGCGTTCTGCCCGCGCCGCATGGGTACAGTTTCTTCGACATGTTGTTGTCAATGCACACTACACACCGTCCAGTGCAACCGTTGTTTCAACTATGATCACCTCCATGACTATTCCTAATGATGCAATCACTTTTGCATATGCAGCCATCTTCTGCTGGGCATATCCTTAGGTCGCCTTTCCAACACCACCACGTGTGTAGTATTCTATTAGCATATCCAGTGTTGCCGTAATGAATCAACCATGCCAGTCACTACCGATAAGTTATAGTTTATGTGCAGAGATATAGTTTTATTCTATTCATGCGTCAACAAGCTTCATTTGTACTTCGTCGTATCTCTCCCCCTTGACGTTGGCCTTGTCAACCAGCTCACGGATCTCTTCAATTTCCTCCTCGGTAAGCTTGATTTGGGCAGCAGCGACATTCTCCTCAAGGTATTTGACGCGCTTGGTTCCAGGAATCACAATGAGGTTGTCCACTTGAGCCAGGAGCCATGCAAGTGCAAGCTGTCCTGGCTTGACACCCTTTTTTGCCGCGATGCGCTCGAAGCCCTCGACAAGCTTGATGTTGTGGGCAAAGTTCTCGGGCTGGAACCGCGGGTTGGTGCGGCGCCAGTCGCGCTCAGGAAGGTCTTCGAACTTGCGAATTTGTCCGGTCAAGAAGCCACGGCCCAGAGGCGAATACGCTACAAGAGTCACGCCAAGCTCACGGCACGCATCCAGCAGACCGTTTGTTTCAATGTCGATAGTCCACGGGCTGTACTCCATCTGCACAGCAGCAATTGGGTGGACTTTGTAGGCGCGACGCAGAGTGTCGGCACTGCACTCGGACAGTCCGAGGTAGCGCACTTTGCCCTCCTTGACCAGCTCTGCCATCGCAGCCACTGTTTTTTCAATAGGTGTATTTGGGTCGACGCGGTGCTGGTAGTAGAGGTCGATTCTGTCTACACCGAGGCGCTCAAGGCTGCCTTCAACGGAGGCACGCACATACTCAGGGTCTCCGCGAATTCCTGTGATTAACGAAGCAAAGTTGCCCTTGAATCCGGGCTCAGGCATACGGTATGCATTGCCAAACTTGGTGCAGATAAAGATCCCGTTGCGGTTCCTTTTCAGTTCTTCGGACAAAAAGCGCTCGCTGCTGCCGAAACCATATAAATCGGCAGTGTCCCAAAAGGTCGACCCAAGCTCAATGGTGCGCTTCAGGGTGCGAAGCGCTTCGTCATTGTCAACTGGACCGTACACAGGGGTTACAGTCATTGCTCCGTAGCCGATCCTAGGCACACGGATCTTGTCGCCAGGGAACACCAAATTCGATGGTGGGAACGATAGACATGGTCGAGGTAGGTTGCTTGGGCACTGGTTGAGGGGATTGGGTCCGTTAATACTGCAGCGATCTAGGGCATCCTGACGATTTCTGAGGGGATTTTATACCAAGGCGGATTTCTTGGCAACGCATAGCCGTAGCTTGCGTCACCACTGCGGTATGTAAACCAGTTTTAACCAGTATTACTAGCCTGCTTAGCTTTTTGCGGCAGCTACTGAATTAGTCAGCGGACTCCTGTGGAAAAGGCGACACCAGAGCAGGTATCGATTTCGGTGGAGTATCGGAGAATCGTCGGAATAGGCTCAAAAAGCACATCCTATCACCGTCAGCATTTAAGGGTGTGCTGCGGTCACAGTATCTTCCGACTGCCATTGTGTAGCACTGGTGAGTTCTGCCGCTTGAAGCGAACAGCTCTTGGTTCCACCATGAGCAGTGTGAGACACTTGCAACAACTGTTCTTCTAGCAAGGTACCGCTCAATATACATTTTTTGAAGACTAACGTGACGAGACGCTTGATGAATTTACAGCCCGACCCTGCTCATAAATTCAGCCGGGTACCGTTGCCCCTGGATGCCTGCCCTGTTCAACAGGTTGCGGGTTTGCTTATTCTCTTCGCCAGCGATATGCACCTGAAGAGCAGCAAAGTTTTCGTCAAATCTGGCGTCACGCCGGGTACCTGGGATCAGAGCCATGTTCTTCTCTTGGACCAACAGCCAGGCAAGTGTAGGCTGGCCAAGCGTGCAGCCCTTTTGCCTGGCCATGCGGCCAAAAGCGTCAACTAGCTGGATGTTGTGGGCAAAGTTCTTGGGTGTCCAACGCGGACGTCCTCTGCGGAAGTCGTTTGCAGGGATATCCTCGATGCCGCGTCCCCAGCGGAGAGAATGCAACCACAGTGACACAAAGTTCATGGCACGCATCTAGCATGCCATTGGACTCAATATCGATAGTCTACGGGCTGTACTCTATCTGCACAGCAGCAATTGGGTGGACTTTGTAGGCGCGACGCAGAGTGTCGGCACTGCACTCGGACAGTCCGAGGTAGCGCACTTTGCCCTCCTTGACCAGCTCTGCCATCACAGCCACTGTTTTTTTTCAATAGGTGTATTTGGGTCGACGCGGTGCTGGTAGTAGAGGCCGATTCTGTCTACACCGAGGCGCTTAAGGCTGCCCTCGATGGAGGTACGCACATACTCAAGGCCACCACGGATGCCTGTGATCTGAGAGCTGAATGATACGTCTGCGCCCAGTTCTGGTACTGTGAACTCGTGGCCAAAACCATAGAGATCGGTGGTGTCCCACAGGGTGCAGCCTGCCTTGTGTGCATGGCCGAGCAGTTGGAGTGATTCGGCATCAACTACTGATCCATAGGTGCCGCTCAGTGGCATGCATTCCAAACCAATGCGTGGAGTCTTGATATGATCACCAGGAACACCGGTTTCGACTGTTGGAATTGCTGCCATTTTTTTTCAGTGAGGTTGGATGAGAGCCAAAGCCGAGGATGGAGGTCCCGTCGACCTTGACTGTTGGCCAGAACGGGTTTTTATAGAATAGTACGACGGGAGTAAGGGCGCGAATGCCATGCAGACCAAATAAATGTGGCTGCTGCTGCGATCAACAGTACACGCTGGCTTGCAATGCCGCTCCATGGACTTTGGTACCAGCAGCCGCATTTTCGTCCAATGTGGCGTGGGCCGTGCAACATGGGAGTGTTATTATATTTTAAGATGGGTTCTGGGAGATGCTGTGGTGGGCTTAGGCTTGGTTCTGGACAATTCCTGCATTCTGAACCTGGTTATGGCTGGAGCCCGGGGCAACAGTGAAGCCGACAGGCAAGGCAACAGGGACATCGACGGGGAATCCGGCCGGCAGGTACTGCCCAGGGAAGTACCCCAAGTCAAACGGATCCACAAAGTCCGGCGAAGCAAAGATGGCACTGCGCCTGACGGGTGCACGCTCCACGATACCGCGCTTAGCAAGTGCACGGTCCACGATACTGCGCTTAGCAAGTGCACGCTCCACAACAGAACGCTTGGCAAGGAAGTCACTGATGAATGGCAGGATACCAAAGTCGTCGCCAACCTGGTTCCCAAATCCGTCAACTGTCGTCCCGGTGTTGCCCGAGGTGGTAGTCGTCGACGGGTTGACAACGATATTGCCCTTGTTCACGCTGTTCGAGTTTACCTTGGTAACAGAGGTGCCAAAGTTTCCAGCCGAGGTGCTGCCAGCATCGGAGCTATTGTCGATGATGGAGTCCTCGACCTGAGTGCCCTCGTTTATGTTGGGCGAGCTGATGGCATTTGCACCAGTGTCGATAGCATCTCCCTGTGCCGAACCGACCTGCTGGCGCCTGTGGACAGGAGACGCAATGGCAAGTGCGGTGAGGATAGGAGCGAGAATGAAGGTGCGCATGGCCGACTCTGTGATTGGAAAGGAGGTTAGGGGCTACGGGGAAGTTAAGGCGGGGGCAGTGCTAAGTGCGGGACAAAAACTGGTCTACAAGGTTGACTTGATGCTACTTGGTGGAGCGTGTGTTGGCAGGGTAGCTTTATACCATTTGTCTTCCTAGCTGCTGTCAAGTTTCCTTTGCCTCTGGCGTTAGCCATTGGAGAATTTTGTAAACATCGCAAACAAAAAACAATCTGAATACACCGACGAACAATGGTGATTATATTGTCGTTCACATATAGCATGTCATGACGCTGGGTGGCGTCCATATGACTGCGCCCCCATGCTCTAGGGTGCTGGCAGTGGACAAGATATCATAGATCGCATTCATCGAAGGCAGTACTCTGGTCCGTGGTGGCGCATAGAAGAGCTCTCAGATGACAATCAGGGCTGTTGCCTGTTTTATTGTAGGCAGCAGTCGATGCAACACCGCCACATTAGTTGAAGCCACGCCATATATGCTTTCAGACTGACTATTAGCTGCTACTTTCATTCGCAATATACCCATGTTCATAACGAATAAAAGGGGCGAAAATTGTAATCACTATATTCCCGATATAGCACAGGCAAGAAGAGATCCATGAGCCTGTTGATCAGGGCTGTAACATCGAATTGGTTTAGTACGCGTGGTACTCAGGCTTAGGAGCAGGAGCAGGAGCGACCGGCGCATGATACTCAGGCTTAGGAGCGGGAGCGGGCGCAACCGGTGCATGATACTCGGGCTTGGGAGCAGGAACAGGAACAGGAACAGGAGCGTGATACTCAGGCTTGGGGACAGGAGCAGGAGCAGGAGCAGGAGCGTGATACTCAGGCTTGGGAGCAGGAACAGGAACAGGAACAGGAGCATGATACTCGGGCTTGGGAGCAGGAACAGGAACAGGAGCAGGAGCATGATACTCAGGCTTGGGAGCAGGAACAGGAACAGGAACAGGAGCGTGATACTCGGGTTTGGGGGCAGGAGCAGGAGCGTGATACTCAGGCTTAGGAGCGGGAGCAGGGGCAACCGGTACATGATACTCGGGCTTGGGGGCTGGAACAGGAGCAGGAGCATGATATTCGGGTTTGGGGGGCAGGGGCAGGGGCAACAGGAGGGGCTACATAATGAACCGGAACTACTGGTACCACTGGAATCTGGACCACAGGAACAACCGGGTGCGCAGCGTAAGACGCAGGGGCAACATGGGGAGGAGGAGGTGGGCTGCCCACGAAATGGCCTGGTGCCTTGTACTCTCCAGCAGGGGCTGCAGCTGCATGGTAGGCTCCGTCACGTCTGAAGAACGGGGAGGCAATTCCAGCAAACTGGTTTTGCACAGCACCGAGGGCATTGCCGTTGCCATTGGCAGTCCATCCACTGTTGCCAGCAACAGAGTTAGAGCTCGGGTTGTTAGCGATGTTGTGCTCGTTGACTGAGTTGGAGTTTATGTCGCTGAAATGCGAGTTGGCGATGTTGCTGAATGTCGAGCCACTTCCAGAGCCGCCTGAGGTGAAAAACGAGCCATCTGCTTGCCAGCCATTGTTGATGTTGGTCGAGTCGATCGCATTCGGGCCAGCGACGACCGAGGCATCACTGGCGAAGCCAACCTGCTGGGCTGTTGCAAGAGTAATCAAGGCAAGGATGGTGGTGGTATAAACGTGCATCGTGATAGGGTGGTAGCGGGGTAGGTGTTGGAAATGTGCTTGCGGTTCTGTGTGAAGGTGATGTGTGAGTCGAGGAGGTCGCTGATGCAGAGGTAGTTATATAGACCGTTGGACCAGTGTGCGCAAGAGGAGATGCAAATTGGAAGCTGCGATCCTTTCATTGGTGTGCAGAATGAACGGTGTGCTCGTCGGCTTGTGTTCTTCGACACCAGATAGTAGCCGTTTCATTGTCAGCTAACGGCCATTTTTGCTGCGCAGGCATTGCATGGCAGCCGAACCATCCAGCACTCTACTAGATTCCAGATAATGGTCCAGCAGTCCCTCTTTCGTCTACAGTGCGAAACGAAACACCAGCACGAATAGAGATGGCTCCCTCCCCCGAATTCAGACAAGAAACCAGAAAACGCTAGCAGGGATTCTAATAGTATGTTCAGTAGGCCAAGAGCCACATTGCTGCTATACTGCTTGGCATAGTGCTGGAGGCAACAATGCCCCATTCATCTTCATGGTTCGAAAGTAAAAAGAATTCATTGTTGGAAACAGTCATGAAATGCCGGTTGTTACTTGGACCGCGCTACACCCAGCATAGGCAGCAAGTTGCCAATGAATGGCAGGTTCTTGAGCAGGCGATCAAGGTAGCCGAAGAGAGTTTCTCCAGGCCCGGGTAGCGGAATAACAGATCCATCGCTGGCAGGTGGAGCCGGAGCCGGAGCTTGAGGTCTTGCCTGAGCCGAAGCTGGAGCTGGGGCTGGAGCCGGGGGGTGCGGTGCACCGGGATTCGGGTGAGGAGCGCCACCACCTATCTTTGGGCATGCCCGGCATGCCAGCTATCGGACCAGGTGCCTGTGCAACTGGTGCTGAAAGCACGGAGAAAGCAAAGGATTAAAATGAGGGCCAGCAGGCAGCTGTAAAACTTCATGATTGCGGAGTGGATGTTCGTGATCGTGCGTGTGGCGTTAAAGCTGTTGAGAGTGATGTGGATGCTAGTGAGCCTGCTGCTGGCAAAGGAGGGTTAAAGCCGTTATATAATCGTAAATACTAAGCAAAGGAGAAAGGGTAGCAAAGAGTGGAAAATAGCAAAGGGTGAGCTTGTTTGACAGACTCCACAGCAGTTACATGGGCGATATGTGCATCCAACAACGAATGTCGAATCCGGGCCATGGCCATTATGTGGGCAGTCCATTTCGTCACAAGCCCCTGCGAACAAGCGCGTGGTCTTCAGATACCCGATGCCTCGCACAATGCATATGCTGCGCCACAATGGACTGCCGCTTGTAGCCAAAGACCGCTTGTCAGCTAGCGCAGCTTGTTTCGGTGCTAGCCACAGCAACTAACGGTCCAGCGGTCCAGCCAGCAGTCCCATCGGACTGCTCGCTGGAGAGAAAACTACATCTTGCTGAACCTAGGATATTGGCTGAAATCAAATCACGCCTTAGAGCGCACTAGCTGCGGATAATTTCCTGTCAATCTACACGCCGCGGATATGTGCAGCACTAGCCCAGAGATAAGAAACGGGTTGCCAAAAAGAATTTCTCTGAACAAAAGTCACTAGGCAGAAAATCTGGCACCGTGCCACGGGAAGCAGCCCAAATTCCCCCATTGGCCCTGAGACGCGCTTTGGCCTGATCGAGCGCAAATTAGCATTGCCCTCCAGCCCAAGGCGCAGAGGCGAATGCGGATCAATGGCAGTCCCAAAGGAATTCCTAAGTCGGCAGCTGGGGGTTCCTGCTATCCAGGCGTAGCAAGGGCCAGTGCTGCTCTGAGTGTGCACAGAAAAGAAACTGCCGATTGCGTGCAGTTCTGTTGAGCCATGTCTGCAAAGTTCGTACAAGCTAATTGCCAGCCGGCTGCTCAGCAGCTGGAATGCAGAGGGCTGTGCGGCGGGTGCGATAAACCGCTTTATCTTTGCTCGCAGAACAGCCACGTATCCACCTGGCTTACCGCGGGAACGGATATTATCTCTGGAGACAAGTCAGCACCTAATGCAGCATGGGCAAGCGTTGATCGCACCCACAGCATATGCTTTTCGGGGCAGTCTTTCTCGGATGCAATCGATATGCATGTCGACAGGATGTGTTCCAGTAGAGAGCTGCAATGCAGCGTGTCGGGCAGTCGTCCCCCGACAGAGAAGGAGGTGGGAGGGTGGTTGGGCAGGAGACAACAGCAGGCGTCGATCGCGTGGTTATTTCCCCCCCACAGCTATTCAGCCGTTGTTTTCTTCGAAAACTCGTTGAGTGGAATTTTTTTCTTCAACATCTGTGCGCACACAGGTGTGACAAGCACCCGCTCTCACCCATTCTCCTGAGACGTAATGGGGGAGGGCTGGTGTATAAAAGCGGGTGGCAGCGCTCTGTCTCCCCCAGCTTTTATACACCACACCTCTAGACTTTTGTCACTTTCCCACCCCTCCCATTCAGGTCTTATCTCGTAGCTATTGCTTGTCGAGGCGTAATAATGAGTGGCAAGACCGATAACACAGAGTCGCGGTACAATGACTTTTCCACAGACGAGGAGCAGCAGCTGACACGCTCGTACCTGCGCAAGATTGACTTGCGGTTCCTCCCCATCTGCTGCGCAGTCTACTGCACAGCCATCTGGGACAGAAACAACGTAGGTAACGCGAAGGCTAGCAAACATAGGAGGCAATCATTGGGCTTCACGGTGGACAGTTCAACTGGATCGTCTCGGCGTTCTTCTTCACATACATCTTCTGCGAGATTCCGTCCAACATCATGCTGAAGCGGGTCGGCGCCAAGATCTGGCTGCCGTTCATTGCCATTGCGTGGTCGGTGCTGTGTGCGTGCATGGCTGCAGGCAAGAGCTATGCCTCGTTGATTGTGATCCGCATCCTGATGGGTATCTTCGAGGCAGGACTCGTGCCGGGCTTCATCTTCTTCACGTCGTTCTGGTACACAAGGCGGCAGCTGGGCCCGCGCATCTCGCTGTTCTTCTCGGCGGGTACGTTCGCCGGCATCTGGACGGGCCCGCTGGCCGCCGCCCTGCAAAAAATTGACACTGGCCTGCACGGGTACCAGTATATTTTCATCATCGAGGCTGTAATCACAGTTGGCTTGGCGGTGATCATGTATTTTTTGCTGCAAAACTACCCCGAGAGCGCAACATTCCTGAGCGAGGACGAGCGGTCGGTGGCAATGGAGAAGCTGGACAAGGAGAGGGCGCTGGCGGGCAAGGCCAAGTACAACTCGCGCCAGGTGCTGCGCGCGCTGGCCGACCCGACTGTCTGGGGCTACGGCGTTATCTTTTGGGCGGCTGCGACCGGTGGTGCGACCCAGGCGATCTTTGGCCCGACCCTTGATCAGGGCCATGGGATACACGGCGACCCGCGCCCAGGTGCTGTCGTCGATTCCCAGCGCGTGCGGATTTGTGAGCCAGATCATCTCGATGTTCCTGCCGCGGCTCTACCCGCGGCTCAGCGTGTGGATGATGATCTACAGTGGCATGGCGTGTGTGTTCTATGCGATCATTGCCTCGGTGTCGGGCATCCACATACGCTTCGCCTTCCTGTGTCTGGCCAACTTTGCGCTGTCGCCGACCATGCCCATTGTGTCGCTGTGGATGCAGCACAATGTGCTAGGCGTCACCAAGAAGGGCGTGGCCTCGGCCATGACAGTCATGATGGGCGGCATTGCCGGGCTTATTGGCTCGCACATCTACCGCAACCAGGATGCCCCGCAGTACCGGTTCGGCCACCTGTTTGTGTGCGTGTGCAATGCCCTTGTGTTCGCCATCTCGCTTGCTCTCCACGTTTACTTCCGGCTCGAGAACCGCCGCCGCGACCGCATGCCTGAGGTTGATCTGTCGCAGTACTCTGCGGAGGAGCTCGAGGACATGTGCGACAACCGCCCCGACCACCGCTACTCTTACTAGATAGTCTATAATACCTTTTCCAGCTCAGCTAATATCAATCTAATTCGCATGGCGCTTTTGCAAGTCTCGTTTGCATATCCCTTTTTGCAGGCTAATCCGCCTCCGTATAACCAGCGTAGCACGGGCTTTCTCCAAAAGGCGCGTGAGTCGATCGCCCAAATGACCAACAGACCTCTCTTCCGCACCCACATTGCATTTTTATTTCTTTTTACTACTGTAGCTGCCGAGATCGATCCCATGGGTGCTATCTGTCTCAAAGACGACGAAAAGCGGCATGCCGAGTCGCACGACACAGCGTATGATGGCAATGCCCGTGAGCATATCTCGGGAGAGCTGATTCTTTCGGCTGCAGAGCAGGAATCGCGGCGCCGGTACCTGCGCAAAGTGGATACCCGCCTGATGCCGCTGGCCTTCCTAATGTACTTTCTGTGTGTCCTGGACAGAAACGGGATCGGAAATGCCAAGGTCGCCGGCCTGGACACAGCAGTGGGATTGCATGGCAGTCAGTTCAACTGGGTATCGTCGGTGTTCTTCATCACCTACATTATCTTTGAGATCCCAGCCAACATCCTGCTGAAGCGGTTTTCGGGCAAGGTCTTCATTCCGATTATCGTGGGCTGCTGGTCAGCGATTCTCTTATGCATGGTTGCTGCCCGCTCGTATGCGTCGCTCATTGCGCTGCGCCTTTTGATGGGCGTTGCTGAAGCCGGTTTTGTGCCGGGATTTATCTACTACTCGACTTTTTGGTACACGCGCAAGGAGCAGGCACCGCGTCTAGCCATCTTTTATTCGGCCGGCATGTTCTCGGGTATTGTCGCCGGTCCCATCGCCTCAGGGCTCAGCAGCATCCGCGGCTCACTCGATAGCTACCAGTACATCTTCCTGGTCGAAGGCTGCGTGTCTGTCTGTGTTGCCGTGCTGGCATACCTAGTGATGCCCGACTATCCTGAGACAGCAAAGTTCTTGACCCTGGACGAGCGCAACGTGGCAATGCGGCAGCTGGGCCATGAGCGCGCGCTGGCATCAAAGACCAAAATTTCGCCAGTGCAGATTGTCACAGCGCTGGTTGACTGGAAGCTGTGGATGTATGCGCTGATGTTCTGGGCATGCACAACCGGCGGTGCCTCACAGGCGATCTTTGGCCCAACTCTGATCAAGGCCATGGGCTATACTGCCACCAAGGCGCAGATGATGTCGGCAATTCCCAGCGCCTGTGGCTTTGTTGGCCAGCTGCTGTCGTCGGTGCTGACAATCCACTACCGGCATATCAGCGTTCTGATCAGCATAGCCGCTGCCATCTCATGTGTCTCCTACGCAATCATTGCGTCGCAGGATAGGCGTACCATCTGCGCTTCGCCTTTCTGTGCCTTGCCCAGTTTGGATTGGCGCCAATTCTGCCCTGGTCGACACTGTGGATGACCAGCAATACACTGGGAATCACAAAGCGCGGTGCTGGCTCTGCTCTGACGGTGATGCTAGGCGGAATCGCTGGAATCGTGTCGTCGCAAATCTACCGCGAAAAGGATGCACCGTACTACCGGTTCGGCCATTGGTTCAACTGTGCATGCGAAGGGCTGATTGTCGTGTGGGCGGTCGGTCTTAGCATGTATTTCTGGTCCGAGAACCGTCGGCGGGAGCAAGCAAATGTCGACATTTCCAAACTGAGCGACAGCGAGATCGACGACTTGTGCGATAACCACCCGAACCACAGATACGTTTATTAGTGCCTTTATTCAATAGAATCTGCTAGTCTGCGTCTGCAAAGCGGTCTGCACCATGGTTGTTTTGGTTGTCAGGGACAGCAACCAAGGACTCGAGTCGGTCCAGGGTTTTTCTGCCCTCGGGCGTCAGCTGGTCTAGCTGGTCCTCCGAGGTAATGAAGCTGGAAGGGTCAAAGCTGCCGATCTCCTGAACGGCGCCTTGCATACCATCCGCATCCTCATCGTTGTCATTGGAATCGATATGCGGGAGCGTGTCCTCGTCGTCGCTCTCCTCCATGTCGGGGTCGGGATTCAGCGCAGCACACTCTGACATGACCCGAAACATTGTGTCAACATCGTCAGCACTGGATGGGAAAAACCGCACCTCGCTAAACTCTTCCCCATCCTCCTCGTCATCGCTGTCCTCATTCTCTGAGCGTGTGTTTGGAAATGCGCAGTCCAGCTGACAGTACAGGCTGCTGCCTGTAGACTGCTCTTCTGAGCGTGAAATGGCGTGGATGACAATGCTTTGGTAATCGATCGAGAACCCAAAGCTCTCAGCAGCCGAAAAGTACATGAGCGCATGCTCAGTTATGTACAGCGTGCCAGTGGTGTCGGTATGTACAGCCAGTGGTGGGTCAAAGACGCATTTTGTGGAGTCAACTGTATGCCTAATGGCCGCTGTGTCCGGCTGCTGCGAGAATATATTAATAGTCATGGGCAATGAAAGGCGAGTCTGGGTTGCCAGCACTTTTTTTTTCGCATTCAATTCTTTGACCAATCGAGGGATCTCACGGGGTTTATGGTGTCCACACCGATTTCAGCAAGTTCAAACTGCATTACTAATAGGACTTGCTGTGTTCCTCTCCTTTTCCTGAAACCCACATCCTCTTGTAATAAGCTCTTTTTGCAAGCACCTTCTAGACACACCTATTTTTGCTACTATTTTGCACACAATGCCGGATTTGACAACAAAGCGGGTGCTCATTGGCGCAACAGGCAGCGTGGCCAGCATCAAGGTGCCACAGCTAGCCAAGGAGCTGCAGAAACAGGGGCTGCTGGCGAACCTGAACATCGAGGTTTCTATCGCTGCATCCAACTCTGCCCTGCACTTTTTCCGCAAGGAGCAGCTTCTGGGCGACAACATCACGCTGTACACCGACAAGGACGAATGGACGAACTGGAAGAAGATCGGCGACTCTGTTCTGCACATCGAACTGCGCAAGTGGGCCGATATCTGCGTGCTAGCGCCGCTGGACGCCAACACTATGGCCAAGGTGGCGAATGGCTTCTGCGATAACTTGCTGACATGCGTGCTGAGGGCGTGGGACATGGAGAAGCCCCGGATTGTGTGCCCGGCGATGAATCCGATGATGTGGGAGCACCCGATCACCGAAGTGCAGCTGGATGTGCTGAAGAAGCTCGGGTTCCAAGTTGTAGACCCAATCAGCAAGAAGCTTGCATGCGGGGACATCGGCATGGGTGCAATGGCTGAGCCCGAGACCATCGCCAAGGCCACAGTCCAGCAGCTGCTAGCGACGCTCTAGAGCTATAGACTTTTATTCCTACTTTCTTTTCCAAACCGCCTGTATCCGCGGTAGGCACAATACAATGCCAAAGAAAAACACCCCTGCGTACGCGTACTGGATCGTGGCCATGAATGCTGGGATGAAGCAGGAGCGGTCGCACTGCATCAGATCCGGCGATGCGTCTGGGCCCAGGCGCTTGACAATCTCGGCGTAGCCTTGATCCCAGCTGGCGCCGAATATCAGATTGCAGATATGCCCGCCAATGGCGGGTCCGAGCGTGATGAAGCCCCAGCAGATGCCAAAGTTCTCGGCGCCCCATGTCTCGCTGGTGATCGTCGGTGCCAGCGTGAATATTGACCCCATCGAAATGCCGGTGACTACGGCCAGCGAATACAGATCATCGAGCTTGGCGACGCGCATGGCGATGGACTGCGCGTAGATCTGTAGCAGACCACCCAGAATCAGGAGCCCGGCGCGTGGCAAACGCAGGCGCGTGCGCCAGATATCCGACAAGTACCCGATAGCTAGGCGCGATGAGAATGAAAAGAACGACTGCGTGGCGACGATGTTGTCCTTGAACTGGCCGATCTGCTCCGGTGTCAGCGTTGTGTTTATTGACAACGCACGGACCATTGAGCCGCAGTTGTTGACGAATGCCATGCCTGGTCCTGAGAAGCAGATCATGCCCAGCAGCAATGCCCACGCCAGAGGATCCCTGCTGAACCGGCGGAAGATTGGGTCGTCGCCTTGCAAGGATGGCGCCAATGCCGGCGCCGGCTGAGTTTCACCAGTGGGCCGCTTCTCTGCTGCGTCGTCGTCAGCCAATGCTGCTTTGTTGCTGGCAAGTCCCTGCTCGTTGCCTGTCGTCATTGCCCGGCGCCTCCGCGACTCGACCATCTCAATCGCCTCCGACTGTGCCCTTTCGCGGTTTGCCCTGTTCACTGATGCAGCACGCCTGCGCACAGCCATAGCGGGGTCCTCTTTGACAACAACAAAGTGTGCAGCTGCGATATGAGCAATCAACGACACTATAGCCATAAACGTCAAGTACCGCGATGGCGTCAGGTCCGACTCGAACCACCTTGCCTTCAACGACGAGAACACAAACGTCGACAGTCCGTATAGCGAAATCGGAATCCCGAGCGCAATCCCTGAAATCCTAGAGTGTTTAAAATTCCGCGCTGTCGTGGCCATCGACGACATGTACGCAGCCTTGGAGCCCACGCCCACCAGCGCAAACAGCAGCGACATGGACGCCACATAGTGATGGGTGCGTTGGAATGGCGTATCAAAGTTTGAGAATGCATAGCCAAGCCCAAAGTAGCCTAGGAACATCAGCACACCGGCAGTCTGGATCACTCGATGCGGGCCCGATACGCGACGAGAGGTAGCCAAACAGCGGGGCGCTCATGTAGTGTGCATAGTCGCCGAGTGAGGCAACCAGGTTTGTCTCGTACTGTGTAAACCCGAGAATCTCGCCAAACGACGACCCGTATGTGGCAAACAGCGATGTGGTGCCGCCGCAGAGCATCGACAGGCACGTCGCCAGGTACGACAAGGGTGTTGGTGAACCGCTCGCGGCTAGTCTGCAGCCCCCGGCTTTGGCAAACTCATTATCTGTCTATGCTGAAAGGATAATAATACAGGAAGAAAGTCTATATGTGAATTGAATTCAGGCATAGATGAGTTGAAGGAGAGGCGTGTGTATGGTCCGGCTGGTGTTTGTCCTATTTCCGGGTTGTTGTGGCCAGTGGCCACAACAGTCCAGGGCACACTGCTTGGTGACACTAAATATGATCCAGTAAACCGTTGAGCAATTTAGCCGAGATGATCTGCCCAAATCAATGGAAATCAGGCGGCTGGACTGCCCAATGGCAGGGGGGACACATGAAACACGGGATCGGCAGCGGTGCGTTTGTGTCAACAATTTTTAGGAGCAGCGCCAGGGGGCACATAGGCAGACAGCGGCCAATCTGGCGAGGGACGGTCCCAATGTCGAACCCGCTCTGGCCTGCTTGGCGAGCACGGCGGCTGCTGGCAATTGGCTGCCCGCTGCATTTCAGACGCCGGGGGGATAGTTTGTGTTTTCTGACAGATCCAGCGGTTGGCAGCGTGCTGCGAGCGATGCGTGCCAGCCAGGGGGAGGGGACTGACAGGGCAGCATGAAACACACCTTCATCTTCAATCTCTTTTGGAAACCGGTTTTCTGCTGCCCCCTGATGACTTCATTGGGCATCTGCCGTAGCGTCAAGGAGGCGAGGGGTAGGTGCACCGTCTGGGTGATGAAACCCAGCATCATGGCAGAGGCGATGGAAGGTGTCCACTGCCCTTGGATTCAGGCACCGTTTGGAACATGGCAAGTAAGGGGCAATTAGTCCTTGTTCCCTGCCTCATTGCCGATGCAGCGGGAAGCAGGTATCCACAGCGGATGTCAGAGCAAGCAGACCCCCTCGGATGACATGTATAACTGCCGTGCGAAAAGTGCAACGGCCAAATATATTTAAAGACTTCATTCGAGCAACGCCTTCCCGCCCTCTCCCTCTCCCTCCCGCTCCGCTTTGAATGTCGAGTCAAAACTGCTTTCCCCTATTCCTTACGCCTGTAAATCGGCAAATAGGGTATATTTCTACATATACGCGCCTATTTTTATTACATTGATGTGCATATGCTGGTACCCCCAATTGCCCAGCAGCCTCGCGCTCCCAGCAGAGTCAGCCTTGAACATATTTCTGTAGGTAACGCCCCCAGCCTACTCCGCAGCAGCTGTCACCTGCAAGCACAGCTGGGCGCCGATTGTTCCCCACAGCTCCGAGGTACGTGACCCACACCACACATCTCGGCCATCCCAGAGCTGCCATATGTCAGATTGCTCGCCGTCGGTCGTGATCCAGGCTGCTGCAGGATGACGCCGAGGACAGGCGCTGTGGGGAGACGGGTCAGCGATGTGCCTAGCAACGTCACTGGTCTTGCCAGCATGATGGGGACCGAAAGGAGGCAAAATATCGCGAAAGAGAATTAAAAATTGCCGATCGGCAAACCCACTGGACAAAGACACAACTAGTGGAGATCGACGCTTCCATTTGTGTGAAGACTGATGCTTGTGCCCTTTGGCTCCTGGTCATTTGCCGTGTGGTGGGGGGTTTGTCTCGTTTTCTTGTTGGACGCGTACGGGGCAAGGGGGTAGCCAGCCTGGAACGGCGGGCCATTTGCTGCTGCTCCAGTGTCAGCTACAATTGCAGTCCCCAACATATCCCGGCCTATTTGGCTGGGCAGAGTTGAAACAAATTTTGGCCGCCCCCTGAGATGATTTCTGGCCCCTCTTGGAGGCATGGGCTCGCTTGGCCTGCCTCTCACGCTGGCAGCATCTTGCAGTGCGCTTTGTAGCGTGCCGACAACGCCCCTCCTCTCGGAGACATATAAATCGGCCGCCGCCTACCCAGCCATCAATCACCCCTCCCATCCGTGAAGCGGTGCTATTCTTTGTAATTTTCCCCCATCTCTTTCATTTGCGCAAGACTCGCCGGAAGGAAGGCTACATACCCCTGCTTGCTCGCTCATCTACGCCTCTGCGTATTTTTTGGCGCTTTACATACCATCGCGTTGCGGAGTAGCTGCTTTATAAAGCAGGCATTCCCATCTCAGCATCCCTTATTCTATTTGCAAGATCGATAAATGGCCAACAAGAACACCACCGACGGCGCTCCTGCCGGTCTGCCCCGCACGATCACCTTCTCTGCCGATGACGCCGGCGCTGGAAACCAGCGCACGACGCAGACGCACTACCCCCTGCGCCCAACGACCAGCCGCCAGAGCAAGACGAATGTGATTGTCGAGTCTGAGAAGGAAAAGGAGGCGGCTGAGGCATCCAGTCGGACAGGAGGCCAAGGACCAAGAATGTCGACATCACCGAGCACATGCTGTCGCTGCAGCAGGTGTGTGAAAAGTACAGCGTGCAGGTGAACGACGTGAAGCCCACCGACTCTGACGGCCTGGGCTCCTCGCAGGCCAGCCGATCTGCTAGCCAAGAACGGACCCAACACGCTGACACCTCCCAAGAAGAAGTCGAGCTTCCAAAAGTTCCTGCACTGCCTCATGTCGCTGTTCAACCTGATGCTGATTGCTGCCGGTATCCTCGAGTACATCCTGCTCGGCATTGATTTTGAGGCAAACAAGGTTAATGTAAGTGCAGAGCTGACAATATGCTATGGAGTAATTTGTGGGCAGCAACGAGCCCTATCACATGCTGCTAACCAGCCTACCATTTCCACCATTTCCACCATTTAGATCTACATGGGTGCCATTCTGATTGCCGTCGCTTTCCTCAACGCCCTGGTTCGAGTGGTACCAGCAGCGCAAGAGTGAGAACACGCTGGCGGCGCTTCTGCAGATGATCCCAGCCAAGACGCATGTGATCCGCGACCGCAAGCTGGACTCGATCCCGGCAGTCAACCTGGTGGTTGGCGACGTCGTTTACCTGCGCATGGGCGACAAGATCCCTGCCGACTGCTATGTGTTTTCAGGCAGCGATCTCAAGGTCGACAACTCGTCGCTGACCGGCGAGTCTGATCCGCAGGAGCGTGGTGCCGGCAACAAGAACAACAGCCCCTTCGAGGCCACCAACATTGTGTTCAACGGCACGCTGGCTGTCTCTGGTGAAGCCTACGCGATCGTCATCCGCACCGGTGACAGCACTGTGCTTGGCCAGATCGCTGGCATGACAGCGGGCGAGGAGAAGATGGATAGCCCGCTGAACAACGAGATTGCAAGGTTTGTGCGCACCATTGCATCGTTTGCCATTATCACGGCGGCTGTCTTCTTCATCATCGGCATGGTCATCAACAAGGACTTCCCATTCGCCATCAACTTCGCCATCGGTACCTTTGTCGCCTGGGTGCCCGAGGGTCTGCCCGCCACTGTTACTATGCTGCTGACCATCGCTGCCAAGCGCATGGCCTCGCAGAACGTGCTGGTCAAGGACCTGCAGGCCGTCGAGACGCTCGGCGCCATTACTCTTCTAGCAACCGACAAGACCGGTACTCTGACGCGCAACCAGATGACAGTGACCAACATCTGGACCAACGGCAAGATGTTCTCTGCCACGCGCGGCCACCACGACGTCGGAGAGCAGATCACAGACACCAATACTGCCGGGATCAAGGAGGTCCTGTACACGTCGTCGCTGTGCCGCAGCGTCAAGTTTGACCGCACCGACGTGCCGATGGAGAAGCGCCAGCTTCTAGGCGACGCTACCGAGTCTGGCCTTGTTCGCTTTGCTGGCGCCAAGCTGGGCCAGGAGTTCGACGAGCTGCTGCCGCAGCACCCAAAGGTGTTTGAGATCCCGTTCAACTCGGCCAACAAGTGGATGCTTTCGGTGCACAAGCTGGCACACGCCAACGGAGCGCTGACCCTGCTGATCAAGGGAGCGCCTGAGCGCATCCTGCGCCTGTGCTCGACCATCCTGTACGACGGCCAGACAATCGAGCTGACTGATGAGCACCGCGGCATGTACAACGAGACGTATGAGTACATGGCCTCGCAGGGCCACCGCGTCTTGGCGTTTGCGCAGCTGCAGCTCGATGGCTCCCAGTTCCCCGAGACGTACCAGTTCGACAAGAAGGCAGAGAACTACCCGACTGCCGGCTACACCTTTGTTGGTCTGACCTCGCTTGAGGATCCGCCCAAGCACGGCGTGCGCGAGGCCATTGGCCGGTGTCGCTCTGCAGGCATCCAGGTCATGATGGTCACTGGCGACCACCCGCTCACTGCCGAAGCCATTGGCCGCAAAATCAACCTGGTTCTGGGCGAGACGCGCGAGGGTGTTGCCAGGCGCACTGGCCGGCCTGTCGAAGAGGTTGAGGACGACGAGTATGACGCAGTTGTGATCCACGGTGAGAGCATTACCTCCATGACTGACGAGGACTGGGACGCTATTTTCCGCAAGCCCGAGGTTATCTTTGCGCGCACGTCGCCCAAGAACAAGCTGGAGATCGTCACCCGTGCCCAGTCTCTAGGCCACATCTGTGGTGTCACCGGCGACGGTGTCAACGACTCGCCAGCGCTGAAGAAGGCCAACCTCGGCATTGCCATGAACGAATCGGGCTCAGATGTGTCCAAGGAGGCTGCGTCGATGATCCTGCTGGATGACAACTTTGCGTCCATTGTCAAGGGTATCGAGGAGGGCCGCCTGATCTTTGCCAACCTGAAAAAGTCGATTCGCTACACTCTTACGCACTCGACCCCTGAAATCATCCCGCAGATTCTGTACATCCTCGTGCCGCTGCCAGCAATCCTGACGTCAATTATGATCCTGGTCATTGACCTTGGCTTTGAGATCTGCGCTGCCCTATCCTATGCCTGGGAGCCTGCCGAGTCGCGCAACGGCCTGATGCTGCTGCCGCCCCGCAAGCCCGTCACCATGCGCTCGATCCAGCAGCTGCGTGCCCGCAAGGCCCGCCAGCCAGCCGCCCAGATCGACCCTGCCACTGGTGAGCCCATCAAGCCGACCCGGCTCCAGAAACTTGGCCAGTCCGCCAAGAAGCCGTTCACCAAGATGTTCTGGAAGAACATGTTTGAGAAGGAGGAGGGCGAGATTCTTGTTGACGGCGACCTTCTCTCCTGGGCGTACCTCGAGGCTGGTATGATCTCGGCCATCTCGCTCATCATCACCTTCTTCGTCATCCTGAACAAGCACGGCATCTCGCCGCGCCAGGCTCGCATCATGGCGAAGGACCAAGACAACACGTGGTTCGAGAAGGACTCGAAGGTCTATGTGTACAACGGCCGCGAGTTCACTGGCCACAACCAGTTCTATGCACTCAACGAGGCCCGCACCGGCGTCCTGTTCTCGATCTACATCCTGCAGGTGTTCAACCTGTTCATCTGTAAGGCCCGGCTTCGCATGCCCTTTGGCAAGTTCATGTTCCGCAACAAGCGCACCTTCTACGGCTTTGGCGCTGGACTCGTGCTGCTGTGCTTTGTCACTTACGTGCCGCCCCTCAACACCGTGTTCAACACTAGCTACAAGTCTATCCCGCTCTACTGGCTCATCGCACTCGGCTTTGGTTTTGTCCTGCTTGCCTACGCGTCGGGTCGCATTCTCTACTTCCGCAAGAGCCGCCCCATCAAGTGGAATCCCCGAGATCGAGGGCCTGCACATGCATCCGAACTATCTGGAGCACGCGCCACACAACGCGCTCTGTCGATCTCTCTGCTTAATAGCCGCGTTTATATATATATATTTACTTTTTAATCATTTGCTTTCATTGCCCTATATATAAGACTTATAGTCCAAGTGTCCGACCGTCCGCTAGGGCGTTTTCGACTGAGGGGACCCATACTCTTTTGAGCCTCACAGCGAGCATGCGTGGCTCGCTTCTGTAAACTCTTAACAGCATTCTTTTACGGCTGGATGGATTCAGACCCTGAAGGTGACGAATATTTCTTCAAAGCACTCGAAAAATCGAACCCAGGAACCTGTAATTATACTAAAGTACCATTCCTCTCAGTTCCCATTTTGCAGATGCAGTAATGTAATAAACAAATCCACTCAGTTCCCTGCATCTTTGGCACTCAAACTTGGAACCATTGGCTTGCTGGCCAACGACATATCTCACATATAAAAGCGATCCTTCTTGTGACATCCACTTTTTCTACCATCTCACCCGTTTCCACACATTCCGCTATTTAATCTTCGTAGCTGCCAGCCATGGCATGCCTCGGTGCGGGGCTCGACCCGGTGATGCAAATCAGCAACCACTCGATGGATACGTCTGACTACACAAGAATCGCCTGGTCTGGGCAGTGGGATCAGCTCCTGCTTTTGCTCTGCAACCGTCTGCGATAAACGTCGCTATGCCATACCTACAGGCTGGCTGCATCGGGCTCTCTTTGTGGGCACATACCTCCTGCTGTGCCTAGACAGGCAAGGACTCTTGCAAGGTTTTCACTACTGACCCTGCCCCTGATGACTCTGCTGCCACCCAGACTGCAAACAAGCAAGCAAGCAAGCAAGCAAGCCAAAGCAGCAGCATTCCTGTACTGATCTAACCCCTAGAACAAGCCCCTTAAAAGTAAACTCTTTTATCTAACTTTCTAGACAGCTGCTATCGGCCTTAGGCCGTGAAGCCCCGTGGCAGACTCCCTTGGCACATTATCCGACTGCCTAAACCATCTGGCTAGCCGGGCTTGCATCGCGAGCGCCATAAGCCTAGTAAAATCTTATATGAAGGTAAAGATAGTGCTGGTAGTCCCTAGATGGTCCGAGGTGTAACCTGGTACAGACCGCGAACCGAGTTCATACAGTACACAGGCCAGCCATTCTACAAGCGAAAAGTAAGATTAGGCTTGTCAGTATAGGTTTGTGTGGAAGGAGCTAGGCCCGGTTGCGAATGTGCACTTTACCTTGACTGCCTGTTTGAACTGCTCGACCGTGACTTGGCCCTCCACAATATCGCCACTCTCAGATGAACTGCGACCGTGCAGTCCCAGCCAGCAGACCAGCATCAACACACGGTGTGACCAGCCTGAGCTCACCGTTTACCGGCACACCAACCGCAACATTGGCAATGTTGCCCTCGGTGACTAGGCCGTCTTGGTTGAACAGCAGCACCTGGGTGCCGGCCGGATACGACTTGGGAATTCGGTCTTGAGCACGCTCGTAGATCTGGCGATGCGTGGTCTTGCACTTCACAAACACAGAGTCTGTATCCAGAGTAGGCTCAGAGTCGAGAACAAGCACCGGCGGTGTCTGAGCACTGTCTGGCTGCTGGGGCTCGGACTGTGGCCTGCACCTTGCAGCGAGCCAGTGTGATCCAGCAGCATCCGTATCTAATGCAGAGGGAGCTTCCAAGAATTAGCAGTGGTGCTTGACCTCAGGCGTAAAGCAGGTTGCTGTACATACACGATACCGCTCGTCGTCACCGGCGGCCATTACCGCTGTGGCTGCTTGCACAACCGCATCGGCTGTGACCTGCTCTGTAGGGAAGCACTCTGCCGGGTAATGCAGACGCAGGAGATCGGCCGAGCGCTTCAGCCGCGCAACGTGCTTGTCCAAGAGCCAGAACCCTAATGAGAATGAAGCAGTAGTAGTGGCAGCTGCTGGGCAGGCGTCCTTTGTGCGGAGGGACAAGCTGGAACCTGTCTCGTACCTTTCTCGCGCGTGTACAGCGTGGTTTCGAGAATCCTGAACGAGTCCACTGGCGGCAGCTGCATTGGAGATAAAAGGGCGTCTTTTGTAAGGCAAGGTGGTTTGTTGACTCTGGGCAAGAAAGTGGGTGGGGAACTATGAATCCTCAGAGGGCGAGGTTTGGCCAGCTGATCATTGAATTCTGAGTACCAAAATTTTTACCACTGGCCGGCCCTTTTTTTTTCTCTTTCCCCTGCCCTTCTCAGCCCTGCTGTTGTCCAGCTTTTCCCCCTCTTCTTTTTCAAATTTCCTCTCATTTGCTCTCCTGGTCCGTTATTCTGCAGAACGCCGAGATACTTGACAAGGGCTCCCTCTCTCTGCTTTTCTGTTTCGGGCTCTGCGCGGTTTCTTTCGTAGTTGAGCCTTATCCCGCCTCTCTCTCTGGAACTGGCCTTGGTAGCAAACAACTGCACGCCCCTTCTTTTGCTAGTGAGTGCCGCAGCTCAGTTTACGCTCACACGCTTTCCTGCCGCCTGAGCACCCTCTTTTCATGAGTGTCTGAATACGCCAGACTTTGTTTCCACTCCTGACACTTACCCCGTTGATAGTCTCTGACGCAGGGATTTTTTCTCTATTGCTATTTCCTTTGTTTTTTGTGAGCTGAGCAGCAGCACCAGCAGCAGCAGGCGACAGCAGAAAACAGAAGCGCTCTCAGATACAACACCAACCGCGCATTTGAGACAAGGTAAGATTTCGGGCTGTAGCATGGTGCAGCTGGCTTCTCATGGGGCTCACCACCGCAGGCCTGTTCCCCTACCGCATTGGCAGTCGGCGCCACAAATGCGGCCACATCCCAGACAAGCATTTGCGGCCGCAATTAATTTGATATACAGTTTCTAACTCCTCTATGGCTAGGACTACCAAAAGGAGATCAAGAATGGCCGGTGTGGATAATGCGATGAACTGGGAGACGTCGAATCCCGAGAGCACGGCCCAGCTGTTCCAGGCAATCAAGCAGCTGACGGAGCAGATAGAGACCACGGGAAAGCGCGACGGTGGAAAGGACTTTTTTAGCCCGTCGCTCGAGAGCCAGCGCGGGCAGTGCCGCGACCTGTTCCGCCGACTAATTGTGCGTAATCCGTACTCGTCGAACCGCAAGGATCTTATCGGCAAGCTGTGGTTCGTGCTGATCTATCGCGTGATTGACCACTATCGGGTCGAGCTCAAAGGGCTTGATGGCAGGCTGTCATGGACGCCCGAGCGCGAGAGGCTGTGCGCCGAGGAGAAGAAGAAGGCAGCGTCCCAGAACAGGCGCCCGCGCCCGCAGCTCATGCGCGAGTCGGAAGAGACGTTGGCAGTAGTGAGGAAACAGGCGTCGGAGATTCGTGGAAGGCTGCGCACATTCCTGCAGGAGATGGCAGGGTTCTTGCTCATGCTGGTGGTTGAGCTGGCCGAGCAACACGAGCTGGTGGTTACTGGCGAGCTGATAAACACCTCCCAGTTTGCCATCGACTACCGAGCCCTGGCTACCCATGCCTACGGGTACGAGTTTGTAGATGCTCTGCACGCAGAGGCCCGGGGCGCCCTGTCGCTGCCGCGCAAGTCTGCCGTAGCCATCATTGCGCAGTGCCTGGTGTACCTTGGTGACCTGTCGCGGTACCGCGTCATGTATACTAGTCGCAAGCAAACGGCGGTGATGGCAGCGCGCACAGCGGCTAACAGCGAAGCCGAGCAGCAACAGCAGCGGGACATGTGGTGGGCTGCGAAAAAATTTTATCAGGGCGCTATCAAGCTGGCACCGCACCGTGGCCAGCCACATAACCAGCTGGCAGTGATCTACGGACACGACAAGGACTATTTGTCGACTATATTTGGCTACTACAGGGCAACGACAGCGCACAGCCGGTTTATTGCCTCCGAATCCAACATGCGTGGCATGCTGGACAATGCACAGCGGCTATTATCGGCCAACGTGCCGCCAATTCCTGACCGCCCGCCCAACGCCCACTGGTTTGCGGATAGCCAGATATACCCGAACTTCACCATGCTCAGGTACCATCTGGCGCAGTACCAGCCGTCGACAAAGAGCCCTAGCGACATGGGAACCAGCGTCATGCGCGAGGCTATGCCGACAAAGGAGCATGTCGGATCGATTGCAGCCCGTGTAGACAATGCTGTCGAGAAGTTTGTCAGGGCTGCCAAAGCAACCGGGACGGGCAGTTTGGACGGTGAGCAGGTGATGATGGTTCAGATCGTGCATCTGCTGGAGCTGCAACGCCTGACGTGCTTTGGAAACATCGCCGACGGGTCGCACCTGCCACCGCTCAATATTGTACGCCAGTCTGCCAATCTAGCTGTCCGTGTGGCTGAATCATTCTGCCATGCGATTTCGCGGTCGATTGCCGACAGCCGCCGGACATGGCGTACGCTGAAAAGCGAGCAGGAGGTGCTGACAAAGCCCTCACGCCGGGTCATCGGTCCGCTGATTGTGTCACTGGTCATGTTTGTTTCGTTGGCCGTGCGCATCAAGCGGACCAAGGACCAGGACTCCCCGCATATCCAGCGTTTGCGCACCGAAGTGTTTGCTGCATGCGAGCGCGCTCGGTTTGTAGAAACAGTATCGTGGCTCAAGAGAACTATGACCAGTGTTCACCACACAGTCAATAGGCGGTCGCAGTCGCCTGAGCCCCTGCAGTGGCGCTCTGTGTGCCGGTCCATGGCGCCGCTGGCTGTGCGGCTATGGGGCGAACACGTCGCTTGCAGTGGTCAGCGGATAGAAGACCGGATGCTAGCCGGGTGGGCCATGCCAGACGGAACTGTGTGGGGCCGCGTGCCCTCCTCATACGCCGAGATGGACATCAGCAACATTGGAAATGCAGCGCTGTTGAGCGAGAAAACCGAGGAGAAGGCGCTGCTTTCGCGCTGGTGGCAGCTGGACTGCATCTTGGCACTGGCTGCTGAGTGTCTTCCAGATATGGTCCAGACCGCAAGAACTGTCGACAGCCGCAGCCAAATGCCATCAGGCGTAGTTTCGAATGACATGGATGTCGATACAGAAGAGGAGGGTGTCGGCAACAGCACTTCTGCGGACGACGATGCTGACAACGCAATGGAGGAGGATGAGGAAGAGATCGTGTTCTTCCGCGGCCGTCCTCAGACAGCACTGGACAGAAAGGTCATTGAGGAGAAGCGGCCTGTACTCCCAGCACGGCCTCCTAGTCGACTACTGTCGCCAGAGCAGAAGCAGGAGCAGCGGATACAGCAGCGGCGGAAGGAGTATCAGAAGCACCAGAAGCAGTACCAGCAGGCTGCCAGCTCGCAAACTGCTGCAAAAACGACGCCGCTAGCTCGGACGCTAACGCGGTCTCCCGTTGAACGACCCGTTAATTCGACGCCGTATGTGCCACTGGTGGATGCAGAGCGAGACGAAGTCATTCGGCCTGCTGTGGGCCAGCAGCAGGGCCAGCAGCACAGCCAACAGCCGCGTGTTCCAAACGCGATCGGGTCACAGCGGGTGCCTGCCACTGCAAGCAGCGCCAGCAGCAGCACAACGGAGGCCTTCAGCGGGTCCCGAATTGCTGGCGCCGACGAGCAGCTGGCCATGGCTGGCATTGGCGGGCTATTGCAGGCTGCTAGAGCACACCCGCAGTACCGATCACCGACTGCGCTCGACATGCCCATGATGCCACCGATGATACCGTCAGCCTCCATGCACGGTTTGCCTGGTGCGGGCCACAGCAGTTCGTTGACCTCACCCTACGCAAATTCGTCTGCTCACCAGAGCCTACTGGGCTCACCAGTTGCTCCATCGCAGCAGCACCAGCAGCAGACGGTGGTCGCAAGCAGCATGTGGAGCCCGGCACTTCGGCCATCTGCTAGTCAGTCGGCGATTGGCACCACATCCTCTGTCCTTTCCCCGCAGCATCAGCAGCAGCCATTAAATAATGGTACTGATGACCACAACGTGCTGGAGAAGTGGCAAGAGTACGCGCAGAAGCTGCAGGAGCAAACCCACTATAATGAGCAGCTGCGTCAACAGTTGCGCCAGCACATGGAGCTGCGCGACCGTCAGCTCAGCACCCAGGAGGACGATGGCGATGCTACAGCCGTATCGGTGGCCAGCATGGCATTGTCACAAACATCACAGCCAGCTAAGCAGCAGACGCGCAGCTTCTCTTCCAACTTTTTCTCGCAGCAGCAGCAGCAGCAGCAGCAGCCACCCCAGCAGCAGCAGTTGTTAGCAGGCTCCATTGCTGCCTCCATCAGCCAGCACCAGCAGGCGTACATGCAGGCTATGGCCGGAGGCAATTCCGGGATATACCCATGGATGCAGCCGATGAGCCAGCAGCAACAGCCGCCATTGAATCTGTTCAATCCGCCGGGGCGCGGGGTTGGCACCGAGATTGGTGGTGCACATCACCCAACTTTGCTGCAGCTTTCCCCGCTTTCACCCATGCATTTCTCGATGCTGGGCTCGCAGGCGTCGGCTGCTGACTTTGCTGCGGCTAGCACACCCAGCGCCTCGGCTACCCGTGCCGCTGGGTCTGGAGCTGCTGCGGCGTCGCAGAGCTGACACCCGTAGCGCATTCTTTTTTGACAGCTATAAATCTTTTTTGTATTCAAAACGGCTCAGGAACTGTACTCGGCTTGGAAATGACCCAGAACTCACTTGTGCTGCGGCTTGGCTGCCAACAGACGGAAGACTTTGACTGCATTCCGCGCAGTGCCCTTGGCCCACCGGCCGAGTCTTGGCTCCAGACCTACCGAAGCCACAACCACCAGATCGCGCTTCGCTGCCAGCACATCCCTGTCGCCGCCGTTGGTGCCATTCATCTCCTTGACGTCGATGCTGTTGACAATGCCACCGACCTCGATCACATTGACCAGATCAAAGCCCGGCAGCTTGCCATCGCGCATACGCCACAGGCGCATGTATCCGTCACTGGAAGCCGACAAGATCAGGTCGGTGTATGGCACTGTGGCCAGAGCCGTGATCCAGCGCGGACGCGTCGACTGCGAGCCATCGGCGTTAGCCTGCATGCCGTGGGCAGCATGCTGGACAAAGATCGGCTTCTTCTTTTGCACGCTCCACAGAGAGAGAGCGCCCGAGTCCCCGCCCGTCACATATGTCTCCTCGTCGACCATGGCCACGCAGTCAACACTGCCCTCGTGCAACTCGGCTTCCTGTCCAGCTAGCTCGCGCAGCAGATCCTCGTGGCGCGCAATGTCGCCACGTGTTGCCTGGTTCAGATCCAGGGCGCTGGTCGCGTCGCTTTTGGCAGAATCAGCCAGCGACTTGGTGAGGCGGTGCTGGTCTGTAGTCGAACCGGCACGGAACACAAGCTGTGCCTCATCGGCGATGCGCCAGAGACGCACGGTTTTGTCGCGTCCGCCGACAGTGACTGCCTGCTCGCGCTGCAGCGCAGAGATCGAGATGATCGAATCCTGGTGGCCAAACAGTGTGTCCATGTACGCCAGCTCGTCAATGTTCCACATTTTCACCATACGGTCGGCCGAGCACGAGTACAGGTGGTTCGTTCCACGGCGGAACACCAGACCCGTCACCCAGTCCTTGTGCTGATGGAACGTTGTCAAGTGCCGGCAGTCGCGCACCGCCCATACGTTAATCTTGCGGTCGCGCCCGCCCGTGGCCACAAACTGCCCGTCGCTGCTGATGGCAATCGACAGAATATGGTCGGAATGGCCCACAGCCTTCTTTTTGCCCGCTTCTGCTGCCACAGCCTGCCCACCCTTCTGCTTGCGCTGCGCCTTGACCGTCCAGATACGCTTGCCGTTGTGTGCGTCCCACTTGATCACCGACCCGTCCTTTGATCCGCTGAACACAAACTTGCCGTCTGGCGTAACTGCCGCGCACGTAACTACCCCCCGGAGGCCTTGCTTTAGCTCCGTCAGGCACTCTTTGTCCACCGTATACAGGAACTGGTCGGCAATCCGCCGGCTCCACTTGCCCGTGCGCTCCTTGGCGTCGGTCATCAACCGCTCGGCAATCAGATCGCGATCAATCTGCGCCGCATCAATTTCCCCCGAGTGCTGCTCGGTGGCAGTGCGCACCTTGCCAATGTACTCCTTGGCCAGCCGCAGCCGCTTGTCCGCTGCAGTCTCTAAGAACTCATCCTCGTCTTCTGAGGAGAGCTCATCTTCGTTCGGCCCATACCGGTGCTCCAGGCTCTCAATGTCTCCGATGGCATCAGAGTCGCTTCCCGACTCGTCGGAGCCCTTTGTGGCCTTTCGTGAACGCGCCTTTGCCCCGGTCGATGTAGCTCCTTTGCTGACTGGCCGCCCGTTGCGCTGCCGCTTTGTCCTCGTCACGCCTTTCGCAAGAAACCGGTCTCCTGCCATACTCGCACTTTTGTATAGTGGATCAGAACTAGGGTTTTGTGAGAGTGTTTGTAGGTGCTGAATGAAGAGTACAGCGAAAAGGAAAGAAGGAGAATAAGGGAAGCAAATTTGGCACAGAGTCGAAGAGCAGAACATTAACTGCCTCTGAAAAAGAAGCGATCAGAAAAAAAAAAAACCTGCTGGCGATTACCAGAATCAACGGCGTATGATCACGGCACTCTCCTGTCCAAGCCATGCTTTTCATTTTGGGCGACGACTTTTGCACCCAGGTGGCCATGCATTATACAACCGCCGTCCCCTTCTGTCGACCAGCGCGCTGTAAGGCTTGAATAGTGCTTTTGCCCAGGAGGAACGTAATGTCGCACCACTACCACCACTATGCACAATAATGTCTTTGCCAGTTTAATATACGACGTGCATTTATTGAAATCAGGCACCTGCATGTATGCCCGATGGAGTTGAGGGCGGAGCAAGGACCGGGACAAACTCGGAAAGGTAGACAACATCACCGTGGATGTCCTTTGTCTGCACCCCCCCGGTGCATTCCTCTTTCCCCACACTCTTCAACATCATTTTACATCCTTTTTATAATAGCTCGCGATCATGCGCTGGAAAGTGCTTCTGCCACTGCTCGCACCGGTGCTCCTTGTGTGCCAGGCAACCGATGTGGTACTGGACTGGAATATCGGCTATATCGATTTTAGCTTTGGTAGGCTGTTTAGTCGGAAGGCTATTGGTGTCAATGGCAAATGGCCACTCCCCGCAGTAGAGGTGACCTTGGGCGATACACTAATAATCCACGCACACAACTCGCTCGACGAGCCCACATCTCTGCATTCGCATGGGCTGTTCCAAAATGGCACCAACTACTACGATGGCGCTGCAATGGTAACCGAGTGCTCTATTCCTCCTAATGGCACATTCACATATCGCATACCGATGGTACAGGCCGGAACGTACTGGATCCACAGCCATTACAAGGCGCAAACTTCAGATGGTTTACGCACTGCTTTAATCGTGCGCGATCCAAATGACTACTACAAGTACGACGAAGATGTTATCCTTCCCATGTCCGATTGGTTCCGTGAGCCAGGCAAACACTATCATCAAGCAGTTTTCAAGTCCTGATCCCAATGTGCGCTATAAGCCGATGATCCCGTACGGCATCATTGGCGGCGAGTGTTTGAATGCCAAAGGTGATCAAGTTTGTCAAGAACAAGACGTACAGGCTACGGCTGTTGAACATTGGCGCCTCGTTTGAATTTCACTTTAGTATCGACGACCATGAGCTGCGGATCATCGAGGTCGATGGCGTGCCGGTCAAGGAGAAGCCAACCAAGGGAGTAATGCTGGCAGCGGGGCAACGAGTATCGGTGCTTGTGCGGTCCAAGGAAACAGCCGACAACAACTACTTGTTCCACGCCGACATGTTCACGGACCTGTTCACCATGCCCAAATACAACCCTCTCAACTTTACCGGGGTTCTAGAATACGCACCAAAAGCGTCGCTCAAGCGTGAAGTCAACGGCGGATGGAAAATTACCAGTGATTTGGACCTCGAGCCTTTGGATGAGGAGGCATTAATGGACCCCACGGTGCAAGTAACGCTCGATGCCTACTCGGGCGTATTTGACGATCAGTCATTCCGCCACTCGTTCAACAATGTCACATTCATTTTGCCCGAGGTGCCTACTTTGCTTACAGCACTGTCCACTGGCGACAATGCTAACAAGCGCGAAGTATACGGCCGCCAGTCCAACACGTACGTGCTGAATATGGGTGATGTGGTGGAGATTACATTGAACAACCACGACTACTATACGCACCCATTCCATCTGCACGGGCATGTGTTCCAGATAGTCGAAATTGGGGCACTACGGTCAGGCTTACACCGCACCAAGCTGGCTCGCGATGCCCCAGTCAAGCGTGACACGTTTATCCTGCGTGGCGGCCACTATGCTGTTCTGCGCTTCCGCGCCAACAATCCTGGAGCATGGCTATTTCACTGCCATATTGAGTACCATGCAATTCGTGGCCTTGAGCTTACCTTTGTCACAGCACCGGGTTTGCTGCAGAATAACACGCATTTGCCGGAGGGGCTCAAGGAGAACTGCATTGCACAAGGAATCAAGGCTTCAGGCAATGCCATTGGCCGCGACGGCATGGATCTGGAAGGTCAGCCCGGAGGACCGAATCCGCTGCCTGACAAAGTAGAAAGCATTGATCCACCAGCTGGATGGCAGATGCTGTCGTATATTTTGCAAATGGGTGATGAGGATGGACCGCCGCCGGCAACTTTGGACGCATCCCACAGCGAGGCAGCGGGTAGTACTACAAGCACTTCTGAAGGCAAATCACCAACCAGGACTGACAGCACAACACTGGATAAAGCCAGGGAAACGACGGCTGATGATATAGACTCCGAAGCTGATAGCGATGATGACGACGATAATGATCACTAATTCAGTAAATGCTAAATCCAATAAAACCGATAGTCATCTACAGCTGCACTTTATACCTGTTGGCACCAAGCGCCGATGTGTCCCTGTGCCACCTTAGTCATCACAGCAGTGACTGCTGGTCTTTAATACAGAAAGGTTCCCAACAGCAGTCACTGCTGTTCGACTAATGTTTCCAGAACGTCACGAGACGTTCGTTCAGGATGACAATGGACAGGCCCAAACACATGCATTTCGGCCCACATTGAGGCCAGATATCTCTTTTCTCACTTCAAGTCATTTCACATCTGCTTTATTCCATAAAGCCTATTATCCAGACTCTGCTGAAGCCAGCATACCATATTCAAGCATATAGCGGCCTGCTACCACGTATTCCTTGCTTGGAGTAAAATGGTAATAAATATGGGCATTCAGTGCTCAATATGGCTTTCTGTCGAGCCAGCGGTTGATCATGTCTAGAGACTCCTTGGGCTTGTCATACGGAACCATGTGTCCGGCACCAAACACGCGCAGGAAAGTGAAATTTTCATGGGTGCGCACCTCGCCAGCACCCACACCAGTCCACCAACCATAGCTCATCACTGGCACCATTGAATGCTTCCTTTTCTGGCCACTCGAGCTCCATCGACCACGCCTTGTTGCCATACCAATTGCATGTAAAGTCAGCATCCCCAGCGTAGATAAGCACACGGATGTTGTCAGCAAGAAGGGGCGGGAATATACTGGTGGAAGGGCTTCGAATGATCACCGTCATGCGAAAACCCAGTTCCAACCTTCTCCGAGCACGACTCAAACTTCTTGACTTCAGCACCAAGTGCCTTCTGCACGCCAGCATTGTTCAGATAGGTGTCAATGTCGTCCTCGATTTCGTAGCATAGCCCGTTGCCGACGCAGTAGCGCCGCACGTCATAGGGATTTCTCCCGGTATCCATGTATGGCCCCTTGATAGTAGGGATAGCAATAGTTAGTCGCAGTCCTCGCACCTGGATACATCATTCCATCCTGTAGCACTCGCGCAAAAGGCGGGCGCATGTCGGATAGGCGGCATCCATCTTATCACAGGTCTCTTGGGGAAGTCGTGGCTGGATAGGTCGAGTTGCACGCCATTGTCGAGAAATACTTGAACTGGACAAGCGGATTGACAATTCCGTTTCCAATACCAATAGAAGCGAGTGGCAAAATGCGCTGTTCCTCTTCACTCACAGAAAGAAGGCTCAGCGACCGCTTGCTCTCCAATTCCCTGTTCGCCTCATGGATTGCCTTGCCCACAGCCGGGACATAGTGGCCGCCGTATGACTCCCCGAAAACATGGAGCTCGCTGTTAGCATACTGCGGGAAGCTCTTGTAAAACAGTTGGAGCAACGCATTGACGTCCCTTCCTGCCGCAACAGAGCTGAACACGTCTGAACCAGTATGAGAAGCCAACATTGGTGGGCTGGTCAAGGAAGATGATGTGCGCACGATCATTCCAACTAAACGGATTGTGGTCTGTGCCGTTGCCACCCTCACTGACACGGCACGGGCCAAGCTCCATCAGCAGACCGGTGAACGAACTGCAGCCCAGGGCCGCCGTTGAGCCACAGAATGAGCGGCGCATCTTCGTGCTTGACCTTGCGTGCTTCAAAGAACCAGAAGAAAAAGTGCTTGTCCTCCGCGGTATCGAGATACCCGCTGTACTGGTTCGACGCTGGTATCACACAGACCCGGGTTCTTCACGCGCAGTCGATAGTTGGGGATCGCATCCATTGTGGACACTGTTGTCCACTGGCTCATGTCTACCATCGCTGGGTTAGCCACACGGCCAGATACCTTAGATGCTGCGGCGCCGTGATGGTGCTGGTTGAAAACATGCTGGTGAGCTGGCGTGGCAGTGACTGCAGTAGCCAGGAGAAGCACAGTGCCAAGTGCCAAGCGTGACCCTAGTAAATAGCATGTCAAAAATGGATTCTTATGAGAACAATAAGAAAAGAGTAGGCAAAGCAGTCCCTCACATTTTTCTCACAGTTGCCACCTAAACTCGCAGGACAGCATGATAGCTGCTGTGCATAGTTGATTCGCATAGACCTTATGAAAAGGGTGCGGGGAAAAAGATAACCCGGATCGACTAGAACGGCTTTCCGTCGAGCCAGCGGTTGATCATGTCCAGCGAGTTCTTGGGCTGGTCGTAGGGAACCATGTGTCCAGCGCCGAACACACGCAGGAATGTGAAGTTCTCGAAGGTGCGGGCCTCACCAGCCTGCTCGCTGTCGACATTCCACTCAGTATCGTCGGCCCCGTTGAAACCGTCCTTGCCGGACCAGTCGAGCTTGAGCGACCATGCCTTGTTGCCGTACCAGTTACAGATCCAGTCTGCATCACCAGCGTAGTTGAGGACACGAATTCCAGCTTCAAGGAGCGGGGGGATTTCACGCACCAATGGCTTCATCCAATCGCCGTTGAGAAGGAACCCCTCGCTGACCTTTTGGTTGCAGCCGACAAACTTTGGCACGTCAACACCAAGCTCCTGCTGAACAGCCGGAATGTTCAGATACCTGTCGATATCGTCCTCAATTTCATAGCACAAATTGTCGCCCACGCACTTCTTGCGAACATCGTAAGGGTTGTTGTGCGTGCCATCGCTGTAAGGACCCATGATGCGACTGAGGCAGTAGTACTCGGCTGGGATACACGCGAGGCGGGTTTGCCACTTGTAGCATGCCTTGACCAAAAAGTCGCAGGTAGGAACAGCAGCATCCATCTTGTCGCAAGTCTCTTGAGGAAGAACGGGTGGGTATGTAGAGTTGCAAGCCATTTTGGCGTAGTACGCATGCTGAGTCAACACATCAACCAAGCCGTTACCAATACCAATTGAAACAAGCGGAAGGACATCGACCTCAGCCTCTGCTTTGCTAAGCAGGCTCATTTCACGCTTCTTGACCAGTTCCAGATTAGCCTCGTGGATAGCTTTGCCAATAGCTGGCACGTAATGACCGCCGTAAGACTCGCCAAACACATGCAGCTCGCTATTGGCATACTGCGGGAAACTCTTGTAGAACATGCGCAGGAACACGTTGACGTCCTTTCCGGCATCATACGAGTTGTCAACCTTCTTTCCATACGAGAATCCTGTGTTCAGCGGCTGGTCAATGAAGATGATATTCGCGCGGTCGTTCCATCCATAAGGATTATACTCGGTGCTGTTTCCACCTTTGCTCACACGGCACGGACCGTGCTCCATCAGAAGACCAGTGAAGGAACTGCAGCCAGGTCCACCGTTGGTCCACAGAATTAGAGGTGCCTCATCGCTGGGGACATTTCGCGCTTCGAAGAACCAGAAGTAAAAGTGCTTGTCCTCATCGGTGTCCATATACCCACTGTACTGTGTGACACTGGTATCACATAGCTGCGGGCTCTTGATGCGCAAGCGGTAGTCGGGGAATGCGTCCATGGTTGTTATTTGAGTCCATTGTCCACTGCTTTTGGCATTTTGGAGAGACCCATCTGCGAACCCTGGTCGATGGTGGGGGCTAAACACAAACTGATCTGAAGGAGCAGCGTTGACAGCACTGCCTGCAAAGGCAAGGACGGATAAAGCACAAACGATAAACTTCATTCCTGAATCAAAATAACCTGGAGTTAAAAGAACAACTGGATTTAAAAATGGCTGGCAGCAAAAGAAAAGGGTTTTTATAGCCGAACCGCCCTGTGCCAAGACAGAGCATGCTGTCCATTGCCCAAAGTGGAGGGATAGTTCAGCTACCGCAGCTCGTCAAAACCCGTTGGGATGATTTGCAGACCTGTTGATCACCACCGCGAATCATGGCGATCGATGTTCTCACGAACCTATATCTGCAATACTAATCCGCAGACATCGCATGTAGAGAGACATGCTTGCGATGATATTGCCTCAGCGATACCCCTTCATTTGCATGGCCACGAATCCGTTGCGCAGCGGCCGGGTGCATGGCAGCAGGTGCACAGACCCGGACCTTTGAGGGAGACATGATATCTCCCTTGGTATGATGTCTCAATCGAACATAGATCGAAGACATTCGTTTCGTAGTGAGTGTATGTGCCAATTGTTAGGGTATGTAATCATTTCTCTTTTCTCTCTTCTCTTTTCTCACTGTGACTTTCACTTGAAGTACACACCTCTATATACTGCATACTTACACCACACAACTCCCCAACAACCAACAGTTTCACCAGGCACTATTCAGACAACCATCATAATGAGTATATAGTTATTCTGTTGTCAAAACACTACTCTTATTTACATAAGGTAACTAGTGGCACACCTGGTATATCTACTTCTATGCCTATGCTCTATGCACAACACATATGGTTTAAACACCCTGGCTTTATTTACTAGGTGTTGTATAGGCTTGATCCCTTTGGTATATTTTATAAGGATGCTAGTTTTACAATGCATCATAGTAAAGTACCTACAGATGCTTTGCCTCAGTATTCTCTTGCATAATTTCGCCTGGAAACACATGTTGGCTACAGATGATGCATGTTAGCATCACCTTGTTTATATGAGATAGAGTTGTGTAATAGATAATCAGTTTGGTGCTAGATGAATAATGAAATTTGGAATGCAGATGAAATGCATTTTAATACTGGTCATGATCAAGTGCCACTGGCTGATGCCTGGGTTTTCTATATCAATACCTAAGTAACCCACCACTATATTGCATTTAATTTTACCAGTGCTAGGAATATGGTAGCATGGTTGACAATTTTTTGCTTAGTCAGCTCCATTTATTTTTGTTATAACAGTGACTCTAGCCCACCTTTTGGCAGCCAGCCAACTAGCCATATTTCGTACTTGCAGAATATAAAGCAGCCCAAATAGTGGACCCCCTATCATAGGTATAGCTATTTTCACATTTTGAAAAAAAAAAAAGTACCTTGATTTTTCAAACTGCAACTTAGTGAATGGTATCTCAACTTGCTCTACCAGGTATCTAAGCCAGGCTGGCATTACCCCTGACTGATATCTATAGCCAATGGAGGCCATTCATAAATATAAAAGTTTAAAGAAACTAAATATCTGTTAACAGAATAACCAATTAACAAATAAGAAATCAATTACTAACAGTAGATAAATATTTTAAAAAAACAGAATGTTTTAGCAATGGCCAAAAAGATTCTAGCAACTAGATTAACAAACAAACAAAGATGCCAAATATGGTGCTTCTATGAAACCCCTTCGGCATCCTGAAAAATTTCAGTTGATTTCTCGGGACGCAGCCTCTATCTCAGTAGAAGCATATTAATTGTGTATCAACTGAAATTTTTCAGGATGCCGAAGGGGGTTTCGGTAGAAGCACCATATTTGGCATCAGAACAAGAAAACAACAAAAATATTAATAATTATTAAATAGCTAACCATTTCTGACTGATCTCCTTATAGAATTAGATTTATTCAAAAGCTGCCATTTTAAAACATCATGTTCAAGTCATCAAGTCGTTATCATCCTATTTATAACTATTTATCTAATACCAAGCAATCATATAACTCATCAATTTTAGAAAGTATCAAACTATACCATTTTAAAAAATCATAATAAATTCATCAAGTTATTAGAATCCCATCTGTAATTAATAGATATGCACCAAGCAATCATATGTGTCATCAATTTTAGAAAGAATCAAGCTGTGCTATTTTAAAACATCAAATTCAAGTCATCAAGTCATTAATACTCCATCTGTAATTAATCGATATGCACCAAGCAATCATATGTATCATCAATTTTAGATTGAAGGAATCAATTTTGAATTTCAACAATAGATGCTTCTAACTCTGCTTTTTGGGGCAAAGTATGTATTGGTTCCACTTGTGTTGACTTATCATGTGTATCAGGGTAATCAAAGTTGCTCATAACCCAGAGTGAGTGATGATGATCAATTTGTACATCACTGTTTGCTAGTATCTTCTTCATATTATAGAGTTAAGCAGCATAACTTCATTTGCACATTGTAAACATTCCTATTCTTTACTCTAACAATCTCCCTGTTTGACAGCCTTTTGAATGTATTGGCCTAGTTCTCCCAAATGTATTTTCTACCATTGAACGGAATGATCCAAGATGGGAATTATATTCAGCTTCTGTTTCTGATAAGCTTGTTCCTCTCTGCTTTCTTACTGGTAAACAAAAGTTGTGCAGTCCAAAAGTATCCCTGCTCTTCTTCCTCAGTCATCTCTTCCAAAATACTTTGTGGATAACCACCATCAAGCACAATACAATCAATAGGTGATATATTCTTCAGCAACCCCATGTTCTTAATCATTCTTGAGTCTGGGTGATCTCTACAGTCTTCAGTTGGGAGGCCATTCACTAAATAAGAAAGTTTAAAGAAACTTAATATCTTGTATCAGAATAACCAAGTATTAAATAACAAATCAATTACTAGCAGTTGAAAAATATTTTAAAAATCAGAATGTTTAGTGATGGCCAAAAAGATTTTAGCAACTAGATTAACTAATAAACAAAAATATAAGAACAGACGCTTCTCCGAAACCCCCTTCGGCATCCTGAAAAATTTCAGTTGATTTCTTGTGACCCAGCCTGTATCTCAGTAGAAGCATATTAATTGTGTATCAACTGAAATTTTTCAGGATGCCGAAGGGGGTTTCGGAGAAGTTCAAAAAAAACAAAAGAACAAAAAGTTTTACAATTTCTAATTATTTTTTACTTAGTTTAGTGATTGTGAATGACCTCCTAGTGATTGTGAATAACCTCCAAATGCTGCCATTTTAAAACATCATGTTCTAGTCATCAAGTCGTTATCATCCTATTTATAACTATTTTTCTAATACCAAGCAATCATATATATCATCAATTTTAAAAAGAATCAAATTATGCCATTTTAAAAAATCATAATAAATTCATCAAGTTGTTAGAATCCCATCTGTAATTAATAGATATGCACCAAGCAATCATATATGTCATCAATTTTAGAAAGCATCAAACTGTGCTATTTAAAACATCAAATATACAAGTCACATAAGAATATGCTTAATACAGTAAATGTTCTTAGAAGAGTTGATGATAATATATCTATTGTTCTAAATCTGAGAAATTACTTCTGGTCTATATATCCTATATCTAAGCAATATCACACTTTTGATAAGATGTGATTAGTTTACTATTAAGAGATGCATATTAGTTAGATAGACAGAAAATACTCAAATAAGCAAATAATATGATTTGTCTATAAGAAATGTCTGAGGTGTAGTTTCTATAGGTGAACAAAAGATCAATGCACTAACAACAGTGATTGAAGATGCCATACTAGATGAAATAAGGGCAATATTTATATGAGAATCTAGATCTTAAGCCTTTAGTAAAGAGTTGCTCATATTGTTCTCTATTTTAGTAATGGTTTTGTAGTTATATATTATGCACTCTGTATATTCAGAGGACATTCCTACTACTATTTAGATATTCATATTAATAGGAGAGATATACAGCCAACTCATATTTAGATACCAGATGATAGTTCTTTTAGAAAAGCAATTACTCTATAGAAAGGAATAATACACCAACAAATATATCTAAGAGTTGTAAGTGAGGGCTACAGAATGGTCATAGTTATATAACTACCATTTTAAAACATATTATATGCTACCATCCACTCCATATATCTATGGAATTTTGACACACTTCATATATATGTTCAACCTTTATCTCATAAAAAGTTCCACTAAGTTGGATCCAATTATGCACTTGGAATGCTAAGCCAGCACTCATGTTAAAGTCATGGATAAGCACTAAAGTTAGCATATCTCTTTCTTCAGTACTCAGATCAGCTATATGTTTCTTAAGGAAATTATGGAATGATGGCATTTTCTAAAATTGATAATGAACCAGAGTTGTCTATCTTATCTTACCACCCATGAACAATCAATTATAAGAATTACAAGAGAAGGAGTAGAATGTGCATTAGATAATAAAGTTTTAAAAGTTCTAACTATCTTTTACAAATTTAGCAGTTGTGAATACCCTCCATATTGAACAATATTGATAAGAACTAGCTATTTTAAAATCAAGTAGCTAGCATCATATCTGTTGTTACCCCATATCTACAAAGCAGTCATAGTTGTCATCAATTTTAGATTGTAGAAATCTATTTTGTAGTTCAACCATTGATGCTTCAAACTCAACCTTTTGAGGTAAAGTATATGTTGGTTCCATTTGTGTTGATCTTTCATTGTGTGATTCAGGATAGTCAAAGTTTGTCATAACCCAGAGAGTATGATGATGTTCTACTTGCACATCACTGTTTGCTAGTATTTTCTTCATATTATATAATACACAGCACAGTTTCATTTGCACATTGTAAACATTCTTATTCTTTACTCGAACAATCTCCTTATTTGACAACCTTTTGAATGTTGTTCCTAGTTCTCCAAATGTGTTTTCTACCATTGAACGGAATGATCCAAGATGGGAATTGTACTCTACTTCTGCTTCTAGTAAGTTTACCCCTCTCTGCTTTCTAATTGGCAAACAAAAGTTATGCATTCCAAAGTCCTCCTGCTCTTCTTCTTCTGTCATCTCTTGAAGAACACTCTGTGGATAGCCACCATCAAGCACAATACAATCTATAGGGGATATCCTCTTTAATAATCCCATGTTTTTAATCATTCTTGAATCTGGATTATCTCTACAGTCTTCTGTTGGTGAAACAAGTAGAACCATTCCATTTATATCAATGCAAACTTGTGTACGATATCCTGATTTCTTCAACTTGAAGGAATAAAGTCCTGGTTTGTATGCTCCATTATGTAGTGCTCTTGAGTCATGGCCATCTAACATTAGTGTTACATGTTTAAACCCATGAGGATTCTGCATCTTTGCTGCAAGTAGTCGTAGCTCTGGAGTAGAAAACATTGTTTGCAGATAGAATATCAGCTTCTTATTCAAATCTTGCATTTCTGAAATGTAGAACATATTGTGAATAACTTGATAGCTACTTCTTGGAAGGAATCTTTCCATTTCATTGATTGACAATCCTTCTACAAGTTGGTATAAGATAAGCAATCCTTTTTCTATACTTCTGTAAGGACATGGATAATGAGTGCAGCCAAACAAAACATTCAGAAAGAAGAAAACAGGAATCATCCCTAGATGTTTAAGAAGTGTATCTTTTATAAGTTTGATTTCTCTTACTTCACGAACTTCACTTCTGTGATATTTTGTATGCTTAAGAACTACCCAGTCATCATTCAGAAATTTCCACTTATTTGTGTAGAGCTTATGATATTCCTTTTCTCTGAGTTCTTGTAATTGATGATTCATCTGTGCGATGTACTAATAAATTTAAAAGTTGTCATTTATTATAATGGGCCCATTCTATAAGTTCTTCAACACTCAACTTTCTGAGCTAGATGAGGAAGAGAGAGAAAAGCTAGTCCAACTACTTAGCAGAAATTTCAATATGAGCAGAAAATTAACAGTGTACATCAGAGCATGGATTAAGAATGTTTCAGAAGATAGGGGTGTTAGTATTAAGCATGTGTTTGATGTATGCAACTACAGTTGTGCAGATATGGAAGTAATGGTTGCCAACTGCCCATTTTAAAACTAGATCCTCTCAGTATGGATAATACGATTATGAATTCTAGTTACTTTAAGCACCACTTCTTGATTTGGTTGGCCAATAACAGAAGCAATACATTCACCAAATGGACTACTTGCCAGTACTTTGATAAGTATATGAGTGCTACTAACTATTTCATTGTGAATCATAGAAATATCTAGATAGTAGAAAGGTAATCCTCTAAAAGTATATAGGAAGTAATAACTAACTAAGAACTCATCACCAACATGAAGTATGTTGTAAGCAACTTTATATCTAGCTGGCTTGAGATCAGTATTTTCTCTTAAATATGTAGGTTCTAGATCATCAAGTTCAATATTGCTAATATCTGCAAGAAGGTCATCTATTCCTAAACCATCAGTATTATCACTAACAATTGAGAGAGTTGAAAGCCTAACTTTCTCTCTTGCTTGCTGAGCTGTTAACCAATCAATATGTATTCCACGATAGTTAATAAGTCCCATTTCAGCAAATGTATGTTGTTGTCTTTCTCTTGAAGCAACCGGCCAGAAGGAGTTTCTCTGACTAGGAACAATAGTGATGTTTGTGATATCTCTTCTCAGAACAACTTCAGATTCAAGAGGACCACTACTAGTAGCATATGTAAGAAGAACAGTTGGGTGTCCATTGAATGTAAGATTAGAAACAACAGTCATCATATCCTCATTCTTTTTCAACTTTTTAGCTATTCCTTGTTTCTTCTTAGTTGTTTTATTGAACCAATGGCAGTAACCAAGAGAATGTTCTTTATGGAAGTAAATACACAATGTATGTTTGTTATGAATCTGATCAACTAGTGCCATCCATTGCTTTTCATAAGATGTTGCAAATGTCCTGCAGTTATGAAGAAACTCAAGAGTATTGACAATTAAGTTTGTGTTCCATTCTACTTCCTTCAACTCAGGAGAGTGAACAGTAAGCTCAAGTCTCATTAATCCTTCATTCCTACAAGCAACAAGTGTTTCACCAAACTGTTGAGAAGTTGGCATCACTAGCTCTGATAGCTTAGAAGTAAGTTGATTGCGAACTTCACCACTTTCTAAGAGTTGAACAAATTTATTATACAACTTGTTCCTTATTCTTATCTCATCTTCTTCAGTAAACCAGCTAATACAGTTTGCTCCAACTTTATTTTCATCATCAAGAATATCTTTGCTACTGATTCCATTATCAAGAAGAAATTCCTTAACAATAGCTCTAGAAGAAATATTTAGACAATCCATAGTAATATCATAGTTTTGAAGAAATACATGTTCTTGATGCATCCTAAGAAAGATATCAGTTAGTGCAGGATCAGCTATTGCAACATTTGGAGCAGATACTTTATACACAGAGACATTACCATTTGTCACACTTGTGCTGCATCTTATGTATTTAAAACTATAACCATCACCAAATACTCTATGCAATCTATCAAAAGGAGTAATATTGTGAAGTTGATCCATTAGAGTATATGAGTCAGGAATCTCAACAACACATGAATCCATAAAGATATCAGATTGCTGAACAAATCCTTGCTGTTCAATGCCATTACTAGTATATCTTGCATCAGATATATCAGGCATATTATCTCTATTCTTTAACTCAAGTCCCAAAAGGGAGTTAAGATGTACTCTTAAGGAGGCCATTCACAAATAAGAAAGTTTAAAGAAACTTAATATCTTGTATCAGAATAACCAAGTATTAAATAACAAATCAATTACTAGTAGTTGAAAAATATTTTAAAAATCAGAATGTTTAGTGATGGCCAAAAAGATTTTAGCAACTAGATTAACTAATAAATAAAAATATAAGAACAGACGCTTCTCCGAAACCCCCTTCGGCATCCTGAAAAATTTCAGTTGATTTCTTGTGACCCAGCCTGTATCTCAGTAGAAGCATATTAATTGTGTATCAACTGAAATTTTTCAGGATGCCGAAGGGGGTTTCGGAGAAGTTCAAAAAAAACAAAAGAACAAAAAGTTTTACAATTTCTAATTATTTTTTACTTAGTTTAGTGATTGTGAATGACCTCCAAAGATATCAGTTAGTGCAGGATCAGCTATTGCAACATTTGGAGCAGATACTTTATAAACAGAGACTTTACCATTTCTCACACATACCATGCACTTCATATACTTAAATCTGTATCCATCACCAAAAACTCTATGCAATCTATCAAATGGAGTAATATTATTAATCTGATCTATAAGAGCATATGATTCAGGTATCTCAACAACATATGAATCCATAAAGATATCAGATTGCTGAACAAATCCTTGCTGTTCAATGCCATTACTAGTATATCTTGCATCAGATATATCAGGCATATTATCTCTATTCTTCAACTCAAGTCCCAAAAGGGAGTTAAGATGTACTCCTAAGGAGGCCATTCACAAATATAAAAGTTTAAAGAAACTAAATATCTATTATCAGAAAAACCAATTAATAAATAAGAAATCAATTACTAACAGTAGATAAATATTTTAAAATACAGAATGTTTACTAGTGGCCAAAAAGATTCTAGCAACTAGATTGGAGATCAGTCAGAAATGGTTAGCTATTTAATAATTATTTATATTTTTATTGTTTTCTTGTTCAGATGCCAAATATGGTGCTTCTACGAAACCCCCTTCAGCATCCTGAAAAATTTCAGTTGATACACAATTAATATGCTTCTACTGAGATACAGGCTGCGTCCGAGAAATCAACTGAAATTTTTCAGGATGCTGAAGGGGGTTTCGTAGAAGCACCATATTTGGCATCTTTGTTTATTTGTTAATTTAGTTGCTAGAATCTTTTTGGCCATTGCTAAACATTCTGTATTTTAAAATATTTATCTACTGCTAGTAATTGATTTATTATTTGTTAATTGGTTATTCTGATAATAGATATTTAGTTTCTTTAAACTTTTATATTTATGAATGGCCTCCATTAATAAATAAACAAAGATGCCAAATATGGTGCTTCACCGAAACCCCTTCAGCATCCTGAAAAATTTCAGTTGATACACAATTAATATGCTTCTACTGAGTTAGAGGCTGGGTCACAAGAAATCAACTGAAATTTTTCAGGATGCTGATAGGGGTTTTAGAGAAATACCCTTTCTTGCATTATTGTTTATTAGTTAATCTAGTTGCTATACTCCTTTTGGCCATTAGTAAACATTCTGATTTTTAAAATATTTATCAACTACAAGTAATTGATTTAATATTTATTAATTGGTTAATCAAATATAAGATATTAAGTTTCTTTAAACTTTTTATTTGTGAATGGCCTCCATTAAGCACAGAGGTTATATATTGATATCTCATAGTATAGAGTAGATAGCCACAGTAGTACCCTCTCTACCAATTAATTTATTAATATTATAAAAAATCATATCATAGAATTAAATTGTTTCAAAGGAGAGCAGAAGTGTAGTTACATATGATTTATAGTTGATTATTCCTTCTGTGAACTAGCTATCAAACTCATATATCTTCAACATTGAATTCTAGTCATGTGAGTATCAACTATGCACTCAACATCTATAAGAGTGAGTGCAGTGCTGAAGCATTGATCATTTCCTTCTTAATTTTTCATCTTATATTAACTATATGATAGTACTATGTGTAGTTGAGCAACATTGTGAATGAGATATTAATATAGAAGAAGGAGTGCAGCAGAGGTGTGGGCAGAGATTTCACATTATTCAAAAAATGATAAGGTATAGAAATAGCACTGTGAAGTCAGAGTTAAATTTTTATCTCTCCAATTTTTCTACTTTTTTACTATTGTTTCGATATCATGCGGGGTACAATAGTTAGAGAACATTTGGCTATATATGTTTACACTATGTCAAGCCCCATCGAACATATATCGAATGGAAGTATCTACGCTATCTGATGACGAAGATATAGTAAGTAAAAGTTGAAAATAAATTTTGTGACTCAATTTTGCCGCCCAGTGTAGTCTGACCTAGGATTTGATTTCACTTTTGATGCTGTATATATCAAAGAATTAAGATGGATTATAATCCGCCCGATCACCATTCAAAGAGGTAAATCATGCGGCACCCCTGACCCTGATCAGCGATAATCGCTAGGGAGCATGCGGCACAGCGTAGCGGCGGAGGCTTGCATGGCGTGGCCAAGGTATAAAAGAGCAGCTTGGGGAACTGCTTTCTTGCGCTCTGGTATTCACACAAGTTTAATATTTCCTCCTTCTCTCCCACAGCAACTCCTTTGCCACCAAAGTCTTTTATGCTTAGTAGACTAGCAAACTTTGCGCGCAAAACACTATTTAGTTGCACCTCAAGACAGCACTCGACACCCTCGCTCTATACACTCGGAGCATCACCGGCAAGCAGCACAACAACGCTTGCGCAATCGTTTACCAAGAAGCAGCAGTACAGCTCAGTTATCGACGCGACCATGGTTGAGACAGTGAAGACCGGCGAGCGACTCAAGCACCTGCGGGAGCTGATGGCGGATCCCAAGTACAACGTCACGGCGTATGTTGTGCCCAGTGGAGACGCGCACCAGGTAAGCATTCAGAAACACCCATGATCAGGCTTGGTCCCTGGTTTGAAGGGAAAGCGTTCCCACGCATCAGCGAGTGGGCATGGGAAATAGCATTACCTTTGCGGAAGTGGGTGCCGGGGACTGGGCATCATTAGTGGGATTTGCACGGCGCAACGGTTTTCCCAGGACAAAACCGGACTGACCGGGTACCACTTTATAACAGCTTGCATTGATTTTGTTCCCACGCATTCATCTTATGGTAGAGCGAGTACGTGGGGACGTGTGATGAGCGGCGCGGGTTCATTTCGGGATTCGACGGGTCGGCGGGATGCGCTGTTGTGACGATGGACAAGGCAGCGATGTTCACTGACGGGCGGTACTTTTTGCAGGCGCGGCAGCAGATGGACGACAACTGGACGCTGATGAAGCGCGGGCTGCCGGGAGTGCCGACATGGGAAGAGTACCTGACCAGCCACCTGCCGGCGGGCACGCGCGTGGGTATCGACCCGACGCTGCTGTCGGCAGCCACGGGCAATGAGCTGAAGGCAGCGCTGAACAAGAACGGTTCGGGAGAACTGGTGGCAATCCCCGACAACCTGGTGGACATTGTGTGGGGCAACGACCGCCCTGCCCGGTCCACCAACAAGGCATTTGTGCATGACATCCAGTACTCGGGTGAGGCTCGTGCCGACAAGGTGCAGCGCGTGCGGGCCGAGTTGGACAAGCTGGGCGTCGACGGGCTGGTTGTGGCAGCACTGGACGAGATCGCATGGCTGTTCAACCTGCGCGGCAACGACATCGCTTACAACCCGGTGTTCTTTGCTTACGCGCTGGTGACCAAGACAGACGTCACGCTGTTCATCGACGACTGCAAGCTGGACGACAGCGTGCGGCAGCACCTGCAGGGTGTCATGATCAAGCCGTACCAGGCGATCTTTGGTGAGCTGTCAGCCATGGCAGCGTCGCTGGCGGCCGACAAGCGCAAGCTGCTGGCAGGCGAGACGGCCAGCTGGGCGCTGGTGCAGGCGCTGGGTGAGGACAGTGTCAAGGTCGACAAGTCGCCGGTGACCCTGCTCAAGGCCCTGAAGAACCCGGTGGAGCTGGAGGGTATGCGTCAGAGCCACGTGCGCGATGGAGCCGCCATGGCCAACTACTTTGGTTGGCTGGAACACGAGCTTGTGTTCAACGGCGGCCACCTGCGGCTGTCGGAGGTCGACGTGGCCGACAAGCTTGAGTCGCTGCGGCGGGCCCAGAAGGACTGCGTTGGTCTGAGCTTTGACACCATCTCGTCGGTGGGCGCCAACGGCGCCATCATCCACTACTCGCCCAAGCGCGGCTCCGAGGCGCTGCTGGACATCAACAAGATGTACCTGTGCGACTCGGGAGGCCAGTACCTGGATGGTACCACCGACGTCACGCGTACCATGCACTTTGGTACCCCCACTGCCTGGGAGCGCGAGTGCTTCACGCGTGTGCTTAAGGGCCACATTGCGCTGGACCGCGCTGTGTTCCCGTCGGGTACCAACGGCTATGCGCTGGACCCGCTGGCGCGCCTGCCGCTGTGGGAGCTGGGTCTGGACTTCCGCCACGGCACTGGCCACGGCGTCGGATCGTTCCTCAACGTCCACGAGGGCCCGCAGGGCGTCGGCATGCGCGATGCGTACCTGAGCGCTGGCTTCCAGCACGGCATGACCATCACCAACGAGCCCGGCTACTACGAGGACGGCAGCTTTGGTATCCGCATTGAAAACACCTGCCTGGTTGTGCGCACCGAGACAAAATTCGACTACTCCAACGGCCAAGGCTTCCTGACGTTCGAGCCGGTCACCATGGTGCCCATCCAGAAGAAGCTGATCCAGGCCGGTCTGCTCACTCCCGACGAGATCAAGTGGCTTGATGCCTACCACGACAAGGTCTGGCAGAAGGTCAGCCCGCTGCTCGAGGAGGGCAGCCTGGGCTACGAGTGGCTCAAGCGCGAGACGTCGCCCCTCTGAAGATAGGTTGGCTGTGATTCAATAAACCTCTTGGCCTGTGAGACGCCGGCCAACCAGGCCGATCCACCGCAGGCTGTCCCAGCTCAGATCGCCGAGTGTCGCTGTCTGCAATGGCACGTGTTTCTGCAAGATGTGTTTTGCCTGTCGGCTGCTCTGGAGAACCCCGGTAATTTCGTTTGCTGGCGGTTGTATCCAGAACTGCCAACGCTTTCGGCAGTTTCACTGCCTTCTGAGTCAGCTGATTCCAGCCTCTCGTTTTTGTTAGTCTCCCCACACTTGGCCGCTTTCCAGCAACCACTGCACCTCCTTGTTCTTTCTGCCTCTCTCCTTGCTGCCTGCATTCCGTTCAAATGTTCAAAATAAAATCCCTGCTACTGACGCTGGCGCTGGCGTGCGTGGCCCTCATATCGCTAACTGCGTATACCTACCGCAACGAATTCCAGAACCGCGACATAACAAACTTGGCCAATGAGCGCGATGCGTCAGCAGACAGCGGCGGGTTCTTCCCGAACCTGTTTGGCGGCTCCAACGACGGCTTCGACAGCCTGTGGGCCGGCGACAGCCACGTGGTGATGGGCAAGCTGGGCAACGAGACGTTGCGGGCGCAGCTGGGGCGGCGGACGTGGTATCTTTTGCATGTGATGGCGTCCCGGTACCCGACCGAGCCGACCAAGGACGAGGTCAGCGCAATGAAGAACTTTCTGTTCCTGATGTCGCGCCTGTATCCGTGCGGCGACTGCGCCCACCACTTCCAGCAGCACCTGAAGAAGCACCCGCCGGTGGCGTCGTCGCGCGACGAGCTCGAGCAGTACCTGTGTCGAATGCACAACACAGTCAACAAGGTGCTGAAGAAGCCGCAGTTCGACTGCGCCACCGTCCACGACAACTACGACTGCGGGTGTGGACCTGATAATGTGCGCTACAAGCCCGATGGCGCAAAGCCGTGATCCTGCTCTGGTCTGTGCGTGGCGGCTGGAGCCGTTGCCGGGCTCTCTTTTTCTGCTCCTTATCCCCTGTTCAATACATTCCTCATTATTGCCCACACCTGTTCCCGTATCGGCCTCGGCCGCTGCCTAACCTAGCCGCACTACCGCTGGAGTTCTAGAAGGAATGCAGCTCTATTCACTCCACTCTGGTGCCATCTTGGCACAAGAATAAATTTGATGTTTGGCTGGGCCCCGGCCAGACTCCTCTCTCGTCCCCCTGACATTCTCTCCCTCTCTCAGAACTTTTCCTTGGCTCATTATTACTGTTGTCTGCATTTCCCACCATGAATTTCGAAGACACCCAGGTGGTGGTGCATGCGCTGCCGGTAGACGAGGAGCTGCCGCCGTACACGCCGTTCCAGCCGACGTTCCTTGGCGACGACCTCACCGTCCCCAGCGACACAAACTCACTGCAAATCCGGCGCCCTGTCTCGGGCAGTAGCAGCGTGCGCTCAGTGGTCGAGCCCACCGAGCTCCACGTAACTGCCAACGGGCCATTGACCCGTGCCACCCAGGTCCTGGACCCCACGCACAGCACGCAGCTGACATTCGAGGGCTTCGCGCAGACCCGTGTATTGCTGGTTGTGGACGAGGAGAACAGGTATGGCGGCTACCTGTTCATTGACAGCCGGTTTGAGGCAGCCCAGGAGCCTGCATGTGCGGTCAGTGCGGCATCCAAGCTGATTACCAAACCGGATGAGCGCATTCTGGAATTTGGTCTTGGCAACGCCCCGGCTGCTTGTCTGGTCAAGGCTGAGTGCAGAATCGTGGTTCCCAGCTCGGCCACGGTGCCGGCAATTCGCTTGAGACTGCCTGCCAACTCGCACCTGTCGGCCTCGGGAATCACTTGTACGCAGTTGGCGCGGCTCGACCTCGCAGCGGTGGCGTGCGTAGCCCGCCTACGAGACATGTCCCTGCACAGCCTGCGCTTGGCAGTGGCCGATGGCCGGCTAGATATCGAGCGCATTAGCGTCCAGGACTGCGCAGAGTTCATAGCAATCAAGGGCGAGCACACCATAGCCGAGTGCACCGCTGGCCAGGGAATCCGCATTAACGCGCCCGAGGGCAGACTGGAGATCAGCAATGCGAAGACCACGACCATGTCGGTTTCAGCCAAGAGCTCGACACTGGTGGTCCGGGCCACCGCAGCTGACAAAGTCTCGGTGCAGACCACTGATGGACCGGTGACCCTGGAGGACGTGACGGCAGCGACCATTGCAGTGAAGTCGTCGCATGCGCCTGTGCGCGGCAGCTGGACTGTGTCCAAGGCGCTGACCATCGAGGCAGAAGCGGCGATCGTGCAAGGCCGATTGACAGTGGCTGGCGACGACGCGCGGATCCGGATAAGGACCAGCAGGTGGCCGGTGCGGCTGGCGGTCAGCGACGACTATACCGGCTACTTTGACATCCGCTCTGCCAACAGCATCGTCAACTTTGGGCTTGCCGGTGCGACATTCTACGAGTGCCAGCAGTACTGGCGCCAAGGCGTCATCGGCATTGCTGCCAATGTGCTCGAGGTCGAGAGCACCAACTCGCCTGTTGTGATCACCACGTTCTAGCTGACCAAAGGGTGCATTGCGTCTTTGGGCTCTCCCTCCGATCCTGCATGTATTTTTAGACTGTACCATTGCTGAATAAATCGCTTTCCCCAATTTTCGCCAAGCCCTGCGTGTCCCTTGACTGTATTTGCCACAGCGATAATCGGCCCCTTGTCCAGCGACATGCTGCTTCCCTTGGCAGCGCATAAGCCTGATGCGGGGCGGACATTTGCGCTTATCTTGGCGACGTGGAAGTCACCTCTTGGCCCGGTCAAACTCGATGCGAATCACAACATATTTAACCCCACTCCGTTTCTGCACGACGCCTGTCAGCAGGCGCCTTGCTTTGAGCATCCCTTCCGCCTCCCCTTACCTCCACTGCTTCTTCATTTATACGCATGCCATGATGCCATCACCCAAGGACTCGTTTTTCGGCGTAGACAGCAAGCAAAGCGCGCACCCCTACGACGAACCCACACTAGGCACAGACGGAGCGATGGGCCACGACTACAGGGATATGGCGGGACCAAGCAGAGAGCTCCCGCCAGCGTACACAGAACATGACCCCCAGTCCCACGCTGCTGCGGCCGGGCCGCCGATGCTTCCTCAGCGCAACACAGCCCCCCTGTTCTACATGGCACCACCTGCGCCGCCCCACCGTGTAGCTACCATGTCCCCGCTGGTGCCGCCTCTGCCGCAACGCTCCACATCCACCCGCTCAATGCCAGTGTCTATCTCCCCGAGCAACACACCAGGGCCGACATTGGCACCATCCTCAACTCACATCACCGATGCGTGGTCGACGGTGCTGGACGGTACTGAAATCGAGCTCAGGAGCCCCAAGGAGCTGCTGGCCACCCACGTGTTTGACTGTTCGCGGCCCATCTTTATCCACTCGACCTTGGAGTCGAGAGCCAACCTGACCATTATCGCAGACACAGAGCTGGCGAACCAGGACAGCGTCCGTGTGGTTGCCCACCTGGTAGGAAAGTCGTCGGGGATCCAGGACAGAGTCAATGTTGCTGTGCAAGTAAATAAGAACGGCGAGTTCGACTTTTGGGTCAGCACCAGCGGGACGTTTTGGAGCAAACCGCCGCAGTGCCAGATCACCGTGTACATGCCGCCGACCGTGGTGCGTCCTCACCCAGGGATCCGCGCTGAGACGCCGTGCGGACGCATTGAGATGACTGCAGTCAGCAATATCGATTTTGAGTACCTTCGGCTCTACTCGAATCTCTGTGAAATCTCCCTGTCAAACATCACCTGCCGGTCGGCGCTGCTGGTTACAGGCAGTGCCAAAATCGATGTGAGCAACTCCAAAATCACCGATGTCCTAAAGGCCCACACGGTGGCCGACACGCTGGCTTTTGAGAACCTGGCTGCCGGCACCATATTTGCCATTACAACCAAGGGCGCTGTGTCGATGACCAACATCACTGCCGGCAGCATCACCGCCGAGACATCCAGCAGTAACATCAAGACGCAGAACGTCAACGCCGGCACTGCCTTCTTCAAGACCAACGGGGCCACCATTGATGTCAACGGTATCAAGGCCAATTCGCTGCGCATCGCCACCAGCGACTCGCGGATTGAGGGCAAGTGGACAGTCAGGGACATGCTCGATATCAGCACAACCAAGAGACGCATCGAGGGATCCGTCGAGCTGACCGAGCCCCACCTGCCGGTCAAGATGAGATTTAGCACCACCGATGCCCGCATCAACGTCACACTGCCTGGCAACAGCTTCCGCGGCATCGTCGATGCGCGGACCGTCGACTCGTCAGTGTCGGTTGAGGTGAAGAAGAAGAAGCTCCGGGTCGTGCCTGAGCTCCACAAGCTGGTCGACGACAAGCCCTACAAGCGGGTAATGGTTGGCAGCGGCGTGCACGACTTTGCCGCAACCACCACAAACTCCAAGATTGATATAAAGCTTGCTTGAGCACCTTGACCTCATTACACACCTAATATGCCAGAACACTTGGCGGATCTGCCCAGAATGTACGTGCTTGGCATTTGCTTGATTTATCTGCGCTCTGTGCAGCAACCCTCCACTGCCGCTCGTGTCATGGACAGGCGGATGCTTGGCATCCACCACAGGACAATAAATCGGGCAGCCGCCCACATCACCTCTCCTCTACTGACCCCCACCACACTGCATAATTTACCACCTCGCTCTGTCTACTATCCCAATACTCTGAATTTCAACTCTTCAACTTGCGCAATGTTTGAGAAAAAGCCCTCGTTCGGACACGACAACAAGAGCGCGGTGCCTATGGAGACCTCTGCCGTGGCCGCTGCTGGTCCATCGGCCCCGCCGCTGAGCCAGATGCCTCAGGCGAGTGAACTGCCGCCAGCCTACTCAGAAGTCGACCCCAATGCACCTGCTGGCGCACAGCAGCCGCCGCCATTTGTGCCTGGCAGCCAGACCGACCTGAAGGTGGACCAAAAGAGCTCATACGAGATGGTTGCAACCAAGGGCTTCGATTTTGAGCGCCCACTGTTTATACACACCACGGGCGTGGTAAAGACCGACCTTTTGATCGAGCCCGACCCAAACCCCGACAACCAGGGCACAATGTTTGTGTCGGCTGAGGTGAGTGCGCTGCAGGGAAAGCTAGAGGAGAGAGCAGAGTTCCAGGTGCATCTCAATGAGTACAACGAGTACGACTTCCATGTCAACGTCGGATGGACCTTTTGGAACATGCTCCCGGTCATGTGTCGCATCTTTGTGCGTGCGCCGTCGACTATTGTGCGTGCCCACCCAGGTATCCGTGCCGACATCACCAACGGCCGCTTTGATATAGCCGCACTCAGCAACATTGGCTTTACGCGGCTCAACCTGAAGACAACCAACAGCAGCGCATCAGTAACCAACATATCGGGTCGCGACATCCAGCTCGCCACTACCAACGGCTCCCTCCGGCTTAGCAATGTCAAATCGAGCGAGGTTCTGAATTTGCGCACAACCAACGCCAAGATCGAGCTGGACCAGGCTGTTGCGCCTGCAATCACTGTTGCCACTTCCAACCAGGGGGTCAGTCTGAGCGACGTCACCGCTGACAGCCTCAAGGTAGAGACCAAGAACAGCTCGATAAAGAGCCGCAATGTGCGCGCCGGGAGCGTCGACATGAAGACGACAAACTCGTCTATCACCACGGACGGAATTCGCGCAGACTCACTTCATATCAGCACGACCAATGCCAGGGTGGAGGGCATGTGGGTGGTTAAGAGCGCCCTGGATGTGTACACAACCAACAGCCGGATCTCCGGCACTATCCAGCTGGCTGATGCGAGGGCGCCGGCCCAGATTCGCTTCTCGACGTCGAACAGCAAGATTGAGGCATTTTTGCCTGCTGAGAGCTTCCGCGGCATAATCGATGCCCGGACAAGTAACGACAAGGCCAATGTGCAGCTGGCCAGCCAATACGCACAGCCGCCAGAGCTGCAGCATATTGTGTCGGACAAGAGCTACAAGCGCGTCATGGTCGGAAATGGGCCGCATGGCTTCTCTGCCAAGACATCCAACTCGAAGATCGATGTGAAATTGGTCTGAGTATTTACCCACCAATAACAGCTAATCGCCCTAATAATGGAAGCATCCATCAAGAAGACGTCATGTCAGCACTGACATGCGCTGACCGCATCTTTGCATTTCTCTGGCAGTCCAGCATCCTGAGTGCCGAAACAAAAGCCAGTCTGCACCAGTTGCGCAGGGCCGTCAGCTTGCTAATCCCCGCAGCTTGCTTCGCTTCCTAGTCCTCGGCTCTACTAATGTTTGTTGCTGTTGAGAAAGTCTCCACTGCAATTCAAAAGCGATCTACCCTGCTCACGTTATTGACGTATTGGTAGCGATTTCCAATGTTGACGTCTCTCGCGTTCGGCAAAGGAAGGTGTGCCAGTCTGCCTACCGAGAAGCTAGAGGTGATGGGCCTCGAGACTTTGCTCTCTTCGTCCTTTTTAAACAACCTTGAATATCCCTGTCTCTATTCTTCCGACTCCTATTTTTACCCCCTTCCATTTCCCTCCCCTCCCCTTCCCCTTCCCTTTGCCCGCCCTGTTATTCAGTTGATACCACCTCGCGGTTGTCTAAATACCAGGATATTTGGCCAAACTTTCCAATATTTCATTCCATTTACGACTCTGACTATTATCTTTTATTCCATAAAAATGAAGCTCGCTTTCTTTGCTGTGGTGGCTCTTGCCTCGAGTCTGTTGGCCGCTGCACAGGGCTCACCAAAGCCAGATAACTCCCCAAAGCCAGCTGCCTGCACCACTGCTGGCGTGCGCAAGGAGATTCGTAGCCTCACTGACGCCGAGTGGAGCGTTGTCTCGAGCGTTGTGCTCGCAATGAACCGCGACGGCTGGGGCAGGTGGTTTGCGTACGTGCACACCCAGAACTTCAACACCATCCATGGCAACTCGCAGTTCTTCCCGTTCCACCGCCGCTTCACCATCGACTACGAGCAGATTGCCCAGCGCTACAGCTCCAGCTTCTATCTGCCGTACTGGGATACCGTCAGCGACTACCGTGCACCGCAGACCTCAGAGGTCCTGACCAACAAGTACATTGGCGGCAATGGCCAGGGCGCCAACGGCTGTGTTTCGGATGGCTTCTTGGCCAATATCAATGTGGGCTACCCGAACACGCACTGCCTGGTGCGCAAATTCGACAAGGGGGATGGCATTATCAACTCGTGGTATGCGCCCGAGTACATTCTGTCCATCATCCAGCGCGACACCACCATGGCACAGTTCCGCCCTGACATGGAGATGAGTCTGCACGGCGCTGTGCACCTGGGCCTCGGTGGCGACATGATTGAGCAGTGGAGCCCGAACGACTTTGCCTTCATGGTTCACCATGCCAATATGGACCGCCTGTGGGACCAGTGGCAGGACAACGGCAACACCTGGGTCATGGACGGTGTCGACAACAAGGGTGCAAACATGACTATTGACTCGCAGATTCTCGCGTACAACGAGCCCGTCAGCTCGGTGATGCAGCTGGGTCATGGAAGCGCCTGCTATTACTACGACACCAACCTTCCTGGGGACCGTAACTTGCCGTCTCAAGCTTCTGCTGTCGCTCAGTCGGCTGTGGCCAAGGACAAGAGCAACAGCAGCAACGGCAAGAAGAATAACGGAGAGGATAGTGATGGCAGCAAGAAGACTAAGCGCATTGTCCACCCGGCCAAGACCAACAAGCCTGAAATTGACGACTTTTTCCTTGGCGTCGCATCCGATGTCGCAGCGGGCGTGCAGCAGCTTAACGAAGATATCAAGGACAGCCTCGAGGAAGTTGACCAGTTCTTCAAGGATGCCTTCAAGGGCATCACCAAGGGTCTCAGCAAGAGCCTCCACAAGTCTGCTCAGAACGTCGTCACCACCTTGCCGCCCAATGTGTTGGACAAGTGGTTCCCAAAGATGGCTGGCCTGGGCAAGGACATTGCAAACAACAAGGTTACAGGTCTCAAGCGCCCCCAGAAAGGCCACAACATTGCCAACAAGGCTGTTGCCGCCATTCCTGTCCCGCCGACCCTGGGCAGCAAGTGGGCAAAGATGCACAAGTTTGATGCGGCTGAGGTGAGGCGCTACAATGAGAAGGCCCGCCAGTTTGTGCAGGACCTTCAGGACGCTCAGTACGTTCCGCTCAAGTAGATGGTGCCATGTTTGCCGATGAAACAATACATTTCTGTGATAGTCTATGGCGCCTGTATTTCGATGTAGAAACCCGTATTGTCTGTGAATATGAGCATCCTTTTGCTGGCGCCAGTGTGAGCCTCCATCCTCCTGCTGAGTTCCATGCATCCCTGCAATAATCAGACCGCGTGGTCCGTGTGACAGTCCTCGCGTTTACAGAGCGCATTGTCTGGTTCGGAGTTGAAGTGGATTTGGAATTGAAAGAATGTCTTTTCCCGGGCATGTATGAATGCCGCTGCATATGCACAAGGTTTCCGGCCCAAAAATAGGTGTGAGGCCGGCGGCCGATTGTTGTGCCACCGTGCGCGTGTGGTTCCATTTAAAAATAAGTGCACTGTTATTATCGGATTGTTGCAATGGTATATTATCACCCATTTTGCATTGCGTGGCAGCCATTAGCATCAATTGGAGATATGCGCACCAGCACCACAAAGCAGCACAGGCGGCAGCCGAGAACTGGTGGCGAACATGAATGTCCCCAGACACAGATCCCTCCCAGGACGATCGCACCGCTCTGAGAGGTGTGTGCGACGTGCTCCCAAAGATGGAAGGGCCGATTGCGAAGCCAGTTACCCCCGCCTTGATACTGGCCAGCTGCGGCCGACATGGCAAACCACAGACGCTGCATCGCCACCTGGGCGCGCCAGCGGTGACTGGCGTCATGGCGACTGTGAGCATCTGGTCGGCATCGCACAAAGTTAGACACCGTGCAACGTTCCATTGGAAAATGCCTCAGCCTCCAAGTGGCTCTGAGAGCAGAAAAAAGGGGAAGGATTTGAGAGCTTTTTCGGGCCATGGATGTGCCGGCGATCGCCCTTCTCCCACTGCCTGCTCGTGCATATGCTGGCTGCCAGATAGCTCGGCGAGCAAGCACAGGCAGCTGCATTTTGAACTATGGCAAATCATTGCAAGGCGTCGATCTCGACCTCTCACTCAACACGCTCTATATATAATGTGCGAAAACAAACACGCCCGAATCCGCGCGCCGACGATTGGACATCATATCCATCACAATGGGTGTAGGAATGCAAAATCGATGCTGAGCAATTTGGCGTGCCCTCGGCGCTGGCTGGCCTGCACAGCCCTGACCCCCAGACCGCTACGGGCTGCAGGCCGGACGTATGCAGCCCAGGACGTTTATTTTTGGAGCAGGAAATCAGGCTGCACGTCCGTCGTTTTTATTTGCGAGCAAGGGAGCACCCGCATTCGCAGGGCAAAGAAGGGGCGGCTATATAACGCTGCCCTTTGCGAGCCAGGAGGGTGCGTATTTTCCTGTCTCTACAAATCTATTTTTTCTTTTCTTTCCAACCCCCTTTCGCTCTGTGCTTTTTGTCCAGTCTACCTTTTTAGAAGGACAAGAACCACACCACCCTAACGACAGCACCAAAAGCTCCTCTCTCTCCCTTTCTCGACTCCTAAACCCCTCTCTCCCTGCCTCCTCCGTGCTTGGTGCTCCTCTCTTTCATTCATTTCATTTGCCGGTATTGCTAGCCAATATCACTCTTGCGCTTTACATTATGAAGATTACCACCGCCTTCGTTGCTGTTGCTGCCCTGGTCGGCCTGTCTGTTGACGGCCAGTCCGTCCGCTGCTCGTCGCAGTGGGTCCGCAAGGAGGTCCGCAACCTGTCTCCCTCAGAGCTCAACACTGTGAAGTCGACCATCACTGCCATGCAGAACGCGGGCTGGATGGGCTGGTTCGCCTACCTGCACTCGAACAACTTTGGAACGATCCACAACTGCGAGCACTTCCTCCCCTTCCACCGCAGGTAAGTGATTGTGCGCACATCCACGCATCGAGGCACAATGTACACAAACAGAAAAGGATGTGACATGCATGTATGAACCGTTCCCCGCACCTAATTTGATTTCAATTTGTCTGCCTCGCTAGATTCGTGCACGACTTTGAGTCTGTTGGTCGCCGGATCAACCCCGCGTTTGTGCTGCCCTACTGGGACGAGCTCCGCGACTACGCCAACCCGGCGGCGTCGGACATTTTCACCAGCAACTACTTTGGCGGCAACGGCCAGGGCTCGAACCACTGTGTCACCAACGGCATGCAGGCCAACTGGCAGATGTCCTACCCGAGCAACCACTGCTTCGCGCGCCAGTTCAACAACGGCAACCGCATCAACGCCTGGTACTCGCCCGAGTATATCCAGTCGGTCCTGTCGCGCTCCAGCACCATGGCTCAGATCCGCGCTGGTATCGAGTACTCGCTCCACGGCGCCATCCATCTGGCTGTCGGCGGTGACATGGTGCAGATGCACAGCCCGAACGACTTCATCTTCTGGCTGCACCACGCCAACATTGACCGCCTCTGGAGCGTGTGGCAGGGATCCAACCGCATCTGGACCATGGACGGCGTCGATACCGCCAACAAGCCGCTCACCCTCTCGAGCAACGTCATCGCCTACAACGAGCCCATCTGGACCGTCATGCAGCTCGGCTACAACAAGATGTGCTTCTCGTACGACAACGTCGGCTCTGTCTCGAACAGGCGCCGTTCGCTCGACAAGCGCAACGCCGTGTACTCGGCCACTGCCCCCAAGAAGTGCATCCCGCGCCCGGTCACCACCCCGGTCAAGGCCTACGTTCCTCCTCTGGTCAACGGCGTCTTTGAGAACTTCCAGAACATGACTGTCAACGCCGACAAGTTTGTTGAGACCTACGTCGCCCAGAAGCTGCCTGCCCCTGTCCTGAACAAGTGGTTCCCGACCTACGCTGCCAACCCGTCCAACAACGGCACCACCACCGGCCCTGAGTACAGCGCCGTTCCCCTGCCGAGCGCCGAGGCCTCCGGGTCTGAGTCGGCCGAGGCCAGCGAGTCCGGCTCCTATGTTGCCCTCCCGTCGGCTGAGGCTTCGGATGTGTACAACTCGGCTGAGGAGTCTGCTCTCTACTCGGAGGACTATGTTGCCTACGAGGACACCGAGGGCAACGCCCTGTACGGCCTGGACAACGGCAAGGGCCCCGCCTACCCGATGCCCAACCCGTACCCCCTGACCCCTGCCTGGTGCGCCATGCACAAGTTCCCTGCTGAGGATGTGCACAAGTTCTACGCTGATGCTAAGGAGTTTGTGCGCGACATGAACAACGTTGGCTACCAGTCGCCTTTCGCCAAGGTCTAAAGATAGCTGCCAGCTGGCTGCACGCTGCAGTGCTTGCTGTCTCTGCTGCCTCGCTTTGGCCCCACTGCTACCCACGTCCCCCTAGATCCGCTACAGGCCGACGAAAGATAACGATCTACGATGTCCCCCTCTTCGCAAACATCGCTTGCCAGGCCTATATTTAGATGCACGCTTTGTAATCCGTGCCCATCTTGACGGCTCCGTCTGCCTGCATGTACGCAGTGGGCCAGATAATGACCCCTCCCCTCTCCCCCGTTCTATCCTGAATCCTACGTGTCATACTAGTTTCGAATTTCTGTTTTCTCATCTGACAAAAGTCTCGTTTACCATCATTTCATTTTTAACATCTCAATATATTTCTCCTGGGCTTACACACCGGACGAATTGGCGCTAATGCGAGCCAGCGCACGACTAGGAAACGAGCTGTGTTGGTAGGCGAACAACCTTCTTGGGGTACCCGCTGATCCCACGCTTCTGTGGAGAGGCTCTGCGTAAACAACGTCAATGCTGCTCCTGGTCTTGGCGAAAGCCGAAGATCTTTATGCACGGCCATGTATCGGCAAACCGCCCGTGAAAGTGTTTTGATTTACAAAGAAAGTTTGCCTGCAACATTCCATGTCCGTTTTTGCCTTTACCTCCAGAACCGGTACAAATCCATCGGGCCAGAACTCCGCATCGGTGAAAAGCTGGAATTGCGGGGTGCACGGGAGGCGAACAATAGAATCCAGGGTATTTATCATCTACATACCGGACATGGCCGTGTCCATCGCCACGTGCGGCCAATGAAGATGGCTGATGCGCCAATGTCCTCGACAGCCGCTCATTAATTTAGATTCAGGGGCTGAATATTATAGCGTGTTGGCCGCTCACCGACGGTCATGCTAGACCTGAGCGGGATATTAACAGCGCGATCTAGACCAAGCAGACTGTGAATATGGCAATATATGTGATATGAAGAGGTGTGGGGGAATGTCGAAACTGTGGATCTGTAGGTCAGAGGGTGACAGCGGGAGTACCACGGCTCATATAAAGTGCCTGCCACTAGCCTCTGCCGTTCTGATACCAAACACCATCATCAGCATTCACGCCACCTACTTGAACCACACCGCTTAAAGATCACCACATTTTTGTCGACAGTGCATCTATATTGGCAGGAATGCAAATACTTTCGCTCCTCATCCACGTTTTGCTCAGCCAGCTGCTGATTGCGCTGAGCGCAGCCCAAGGCTGCTCCAGCATCGCCGTTCGTCGGGACATTCTGAGTTTGTCACCTGGTGAATGGGACCGCATCGCTAACGTGCTCCGGCGCATGAATAACGAGGGCTGGTTCCAGTACCTCAGCTACATCCACAACGCCGAATTCGGCAACATTCACGGCAACGACATGTTCTTCCCTTGGCACCGCCGGTTCCTTCGCGACTTTGAAGAGATCGGCCAGCGCTATGACGGCGGTTTTGCTGTTCCATACTGGGACGTCCTTAGAGACTACCGCAACCCCGCCGGATCGCCCGTGTTCTATCCGCAGCTCATGGGCGGCAACGGGTTCGGCGGGTGTGTGCCTAATGGCGTGCACCAAGGATGGACGCTATCGTTCCCCAACAACCACTGCCTATCGCGCGCTTTTGACCGCGGCGGCGGCATCCAGCCTTGGTACTCGCCCGAGTACATCTACTCGGTGATGCAGCGCGACGGCTCGATGAGCAGCTTCCGCCAGCACATCGAGTTCACCATCCACGGCAGCGTGCACCTGGGCATTGGCGGCGACATGAGCACGTACTGGAGCCCCAACGACTTCATCTTCATGCTGCACCATGCAAACTTGGACCGTCTGTGGCAGCAGTGGCAGAACTGGGGCCACCAGATGACAATGGACGGCCGCGATTCACGCGGCAACTGGGTTGGCCTGGGGAGCCCCATCCCGCACTACAACGACGAGGTTGCTTCTACCATGCAACTCGGCGTCAACCGCATGTGCTTCCAGTATGCAGGTGTCGGCGGCGCCCGCGCTATGAGCTTCTCAGTGTCGGGTCGCAACGAAAACCGCCTGTCGCTTGTGTCAGTGCCGCCAGCCAACTCGACCAGCAGCACCACCGAGGCGAACCTGGCTGGACTGCCTGATCATATTCTGCGGAAGTGGTTCCCTAGGCTGGCCAAGGCCAAGGAAATGATGAAGCAGCGCAATACCACGCGAACCACCATGTCGCCGAACATCAGCTCTGGTGGCCAAATGCTGGTGCCGCCCACAAAGCTCACTGACTCTTGGATCAACATGCACAGATTTGACCGTAGCAGCGTCAACAAGGTGATGCAGGAGGCGCAGGAGTTTGTGAGCGACATGAACTCGGTAAACTACCTCTCGCCATTCTGAGGGCGGGGGCATAGGCTATAATGAGCGGGAAACTGCTGAGCAGTTTTGATTGATTTCTTGTGAATATGCAATATATGCCCGAGCACATGCCATCACTAAACAGCCCACAGTCGCGCTATATGTATCATTCGAGGATAGCATTGTCCACCCATTTTGCTGTCGCTGATATTGTCGTTTTTGTTGTTGTTGATGCCTCCCGTGCGCAGCAATGGCCTGATGCCGCGAAATAAATGTCCGGTGATATTTTTATGAGCAAACAATGCGCGACTCCTATTTATAGGCTGGTTGAGCAGATTTTGCTTGGGGAGGAGTGCTTGAGCAAAAAGCCGCAAAGCAGTACACATTGCTGGCCGAGTGCTGCGCCAGCGAGCAATGCAAAACAGACCTGGCAATCTGTACAGCCAGCGAGCCATTGTGTATCTCGGACCGAGTACCACTGATGGCGACGCCAAGACTGCTCGGTTCCTGGAACCTACAGAACAATCGTCGCGGAACGGTCCCAGTGTGTGCGGTAATTGCCAGCTATTCAACAGAATCGCTGGATTGTGATTGTCCATGGATCGTTTGTGATTGCTTGCAATCACCAGCGGAGAGCGCAAGGCAAAACCAGCAGCAGTTGACTGAGGACACATTCCGCAGACCCCCCCTTTTGCCAGCACAATTACGTAGTTGCGGTGATGCCGTCGCCGTGCAAGAAGAGACACTGCATGTCCGATTGGAATCGGCTGCGCTGCTTCTTCACAGTGCTGGCCAGCCAATCCTTGCTGCCCAAAGGCGCGCGCTTCCAGGCAAGACACCTGCATAGCGCGGTGGGGGGAGGCTGGTGCATGGGCAATTATAGAGCGTGCTTGGTGAATCGCCACAGATATGCAGCTATTTGGCAGAGCGGCAGGATGGGACTTCCGCTGGCGATGTGCAAGGGCGAGCATCGCTCCCCTGTCCAGAAGGGCACCAGCAAAAAAGAAGTCGCACTTGTCCGCTCTCTCATGACCAGCGGCTGACGCGCACAAGCGGACACACAGAAATAGAGGGTTATTTTTAAAAGCAAGGTCCGTCAACGCCAGAATGAACATCCGTTTATCCCATTGCTGAGGAGGACAAAGGCTCAGGAACAGCCCGTAAGCGCATCCCTTGTATTCTGTCAATTGCCCAGCTGTGCGATCGCTCACCACAATAGAGGCAATGTCGCTTGGCAGAAGTAGCGCTGAACGGAAACGCCGGTCATTTTTTACTGAGCCATTTTGGCAGAAGCCGACACCAAGCAGCAGCAATAGCCTGCGCTGAATTTGCTTCATTAGCCACTGGCCAATTGTGCTCGCAGTTTTGGGCAAGGAATACAGTGATTCGCATCTAAAATAAGACCCTGCGAGCGGAAAATAGCCCTCCAACTCTGGACCGAGTTTTTTTTTTTTTGCTGCTGCAACGCCTACGGCCAATTGCACTCTCCTCTCCCCCGGCACTTGAATCACCCGGACTGGCATAGCGGCCTGGGGTTATTCTCCGGAGCAGTGCGAAAAGGATGTGCTTGGGCGATGTGCTGCTGGGGCGGGCAGCCACCCTCCCAGGTCGGCAGACAGCGAGCCCGCCGCTGCGCCTATAAATGAAGCACATCCCGCGGCATGCCCTCTGCCCAAATCCTCAGGCACGCTTTGCTTTTCCTTCCTCCCCCGCCTGTTATTCCGCCTTCTATTTAGTCCTTCCATATCCCCTGGTACATATCGGTCGGCAGTAGCACATTCAGCACAAGATGAAGTTCTTCTCGGCCGCCATCACGGCCTCAGCCATTGCCCTGTCCACCCTGTCACCGGCCAACGCGCAGCAGACGCAGCCCCGGTGCTCCTCGATTGTCACGCGCAAGGAGATCCTCAGCCTTAGCAGCTCGGAGTGGGATCTTGTTAAGGGCGTGTACGCCGGCATGCAGCGCGACGGCTGGTTCCAGTGGTTCGCGTACCTGCACAACACCTGGTTCGGCCAGATCCACGGCAACTCGCAGTTCTTCCCCTTCCACCGCCGCTTTGTGCAGGACTGGGAGAGCGTTGGCCAGCGCTACAACCGCGCGTTCGCCCAGCCTTACTGGGACGAGATGCGCGACTACCGCGTGCCGGCAAGCTCGCAGGTGCTGACCTCGGCGTGGGTCGGCGGTAACGGCCAGTCCAACAACTGCGTCACCAACGGTGTCCAGGCAAACTGGCAGATGACCTACCCGAGCGCGCACTGCCTGCGTCGCCAGTTCGGCAACAACGGCAACCCGACGTCGTGGTACTCGCCCGAGTACATCCAGTCGTTCATCCAGCGTGACACGACCATGGCCCAGTTCCGCCCCGACCTCGAGTACTCGCTCCACGGTGTCGTGCACATCAACATTGGTGGTGACATGTACCAGACCTACAGCCCCAACGACGTCATCTTCTGGCTGCACCACGCCAACCTCGACCGCATCTGGTGGCAGTGGCAGAACGTTGCCAGCTCCAACGGCGCGCTTAACAACATGTGGCGCATGGACGGTCCCAACTTTGACAACTCGGCCATTAGCCTGAGCTCCAACGTCGTTGCCTACAACGAGCCCATCAACACCGTGATGCAGCTCGGCTACGGCAAGATGTGCTTCCAGTACACTAACGCCCCAGGCCCCGCCAGCGCCATGTCTCGTCGCAGTGGCTCCACTGACCTCGTCAACAGCGTCGCCAGCGGCATCACCAACCTGATCTCCAATGTCGCCTCAACGCTCAACAGCGACAAGGCTCTCCTCGAGAAGTGGTTCCCCAAGACCGCCGAGGAGGTTGCCAACCACTACATTGTCCCTGTTGCCACCCTCTGGGCCGGCAACAAGAAGGAGATCCCGTATCCTGCCACCCTCACCCCCGAGTGGATTGCCATGCACAAGTTCAAGCAGGCTGACGTCCAGCGTGTTGAGAATGACGCGCGCCAGTTTGTCAACGACATGAAGAAGGCTGGATACAAGTCACCGTACTAATTTGAACGCCAGCCTGAGGCGCACACCAAACTCTACTTTTCTCTCCTAATTGTACCTTTTATCAACAAGCTTGATCACATATGCCATCTCATGTCATCTCGTGCCCAACACAAAGGAGGTGGAAACGCACGTTGGTTTTTCTGGCCTGCTGGCAGCCCTGCCTTTTCTTTTCTCGAAGGCGACATCTCGCAGTTGTGATCTGCAGCGGCGGTTTCTGCAGGATCGGATCTGAGCTGGCGTCTGCATGATATGTGCAAGCAGCCAAACAGGGTATCAAGGCGATTTACATCATGCACCTACACATCAAGCACTAGCAGCACGAAGGTCTGAAGCTGGCACGGTGCCAGACATTAGATACCATTTGCCACTGGGTTTGGCCTAGTAAAACTTTACGTTGACATTGGAGTTGCTGGTTTTGGCCACAAGCTCATGCTGGCCGTTGCCAACCATGGCCCGCTTGTACTGCTTCTCGTTGACAATGTACTTCATCGGCGGCGGATCAGCAAAGAAGCCAGCAGCACTGAAGCTCACCTCACCACACGACGTACGCATGTCAATGGTGCCGCTGAACGCATCAGTGGGCAGACGGGCATTGATTGAGCCACAGCTGGTCGAGAGCGACATACGTGCAGGCGTGGCCGGGTCGGCGAGCTTGATGGTACCAGAGATGGATGCGTTGGATGTAGCAATATCGAGCTTGCGCTTGATGCTCCACGTGCCGTCAACCTTGGCATTGCTTGTGACAATGCGCAGCTCGTCGGCACTGACCTCGCCGATATCAATCGAGGCATTGGATGTCTTGAGCTGGGCCACAGGCGCCTTCACATCGGTGCCCGTGATCTTGGCATTCTTGGTCTCGGCCAGCAGATTGCCAGTGGTGACGTTGACAAGGCTCAGCGACCCATTGGATGTGTGTGCCTGGACCACCGGCGCGGTTACATTCTCCAGACCCAGCTCGCCATTCGATGTGGTAGCCACAAGACAGCTGCTCGCGTTGACACCAGCAACCTTGAGCGCACCATTCGACGTCTTGACATGGATGTCCTTGCCGCTGATAGCCGAGACAGAAGCGCTGCTGTTGGTAGTTTTCAGATCAATCTTGCTGAAGCCAATGTTGGGCAAGGATACCATGTCAATACGGCCGTTCCCAGCCTCAGCGCGGATGCCTGGGTGGGAGCGCACTGCAGTGGACGGTGCCCGGACCACAATACGGCAGTATACCGAGAACATGTTCCAGAAGGACCACCCAACGTTGACATGAAAGTCGTATTCATTGTGCTCGTTCAGGTGAACCGTGAACTCGGTCTTGTCCTCAATACCTGTCACGCCAGCGGTTACCTCAGCCTGTGATTACAATAGTGTCCTCATTGTCCTGGTTTGTGTCGGGCTCGATAGTGATGTCGGTCCGGGTTACACCCGATGTATGGATGTAAATCGGGTGCTCAAAGTCAAAGCCCTTGGTTGCCATAAGCTCCTGCGGGCCCTTCTTGTCGACGACCAGATCGGTCTGCTTGGTCGCAACGAATGGTGGCGGTGCCTCGCTCGGGTTCTGTGGGTCATGCTCGGAGTAGGCAGGCGGTGCGGCAGTCTGGTCAGCGGTACTAGTAGGGTGCGACGAGCTAGACGGCGTGGCAGCGTCACTGTAGTCGGCCTTCTTCGAATCGGAGGCGTAGGCTTCGTCCTTTTGCGTCATGGCTAGGCTGGTAAAGATATTAAGTTGTAAGCGTGTGAGGTGGAGTATAAATGAGAACTATCCAGGTGCTGTAGAGTGCCGCCCTGCTGCCCTCCACTGGCGCTATATAGCAGGGAATGGCCAGTGCCAAGAATTGCTTTCAGCTATTCTGTGTGAAGGGAAAACCTACAAGAGGGGCTGATTTGCATTACAATTGGTCTTGGCGTCCAACGGCCATTGGTAAGCACGTGATTGGTAGCCCTCAGTGAGATCACCACTGGCAGCTCTTAGGAACACTGCTCTTGGCTGAATCGCCGGTGTCTACCGCAGTATGAAGTTAGAGCATAGGAATTGGTCGACCAAAAACACAAGGTCATAAAACAAGTAGTCACACATTAGCGGCAGCCTATATGAATCGCCACCCAGTGGATAGATACAGCCCACATATTGACACTGCCGTATGAATAGAAATGCTACTCTATATTGCTATTGACTACTTGCAGATATAGAGCATGTACATGATGCTGACCCTCAAACTCTCAAATGCCAACCTACAGCCACAGCCTGCTACACCCTACTTGTATTTGCTGCGAGCTGTTCAAATGTCCATGAGCTGAGTCTGTTTTAATCGTGGTATTTTTGGTGAAATAAAGATGCTGGAATGCACAGCATAGAAAAGAGCCATTTTGTAGCAGCTTGGTGATAGATGAAATGAGATGGAAATCTAGTAGGGCGACGTGTATGTCGAGTTGTTGAGGACCTCAACGATCTGGCACGCGTTCTTGTGGAACTCTTCGACACGGTCAGGATCGAATTTGTGCATAGCAATCCACTCAGGCGTCAGGCGCGGCGGGAACGGGATAGGATCGCCGCAGCTAGTCGCCGGCTTCTCCTTGTAGCCACGACGGTGCACGCGGAAGAGCCCACTGCCGAAGCTGGGGAAGAAGCGGCTCACGTCACCACCGAGAGCATTGGACAAGCCAGTTGACTCCAAGACACGGCTCGCCAGGTTCGATGATCCTGAAGGCAGGAACGGGCGGGCTGCAGGCTGCTGCTGTTGCTGCTGCTGTTGAGGAGCTGCGGTGTTCGATGGACGACCACGAGAACCTTGGTTAGCGGCTGGCTGCTGAGCAGCATTATTTGACGGGCCACCACTTTGACCTTGGTTATCAATTGGCTGCTGAGCTGCTGCAGCAGGACCATTCTGCTGAGGAGCACTTGCAGCACCGCCAGGATAGCTTGATGGAGGCGCAGGACTGGTGTCGTAGTTGTAGCAAACTTCACCATATCCGAGAACCATCATGGAACTGACCCTGTCACCGTTGAATGCTATGCTTGACGCAGACGGGATGGCATCAGACAGCTGCGCAGGACCCGAAGGGCCAGAGCCATCATAAGTCATGTAGCTATTGTGCTGGCTCTGCCACTCCCACCACAGGCGGTCGATATTGGCATGATGCAGCATGAAAGGTGAAGTCGTGCGCGGCGTATCCAGTGTCCATTTCGCCAGCCAGTCCCAGGTGGACTGCACCGTGGATGCTGTACTCGATGTTCTCGCGGAAATCCGCCAGGGTCTGCGATGTCTGGATGTAGGATGTGATGATCTCAGGAGCATACCACGGGTTAATCGAGTTGCCGTTGTTGTAGTTGCGCCGCAGACAGTGGCTGCTGGGGTATGACAATTGCGTATTGGCCTGCACACCGTTGACCAAGCAGCGGTCAGTTGACTGACCGTTGGTTCCAAGCGCGCCAGCCGTCAGCAGTGGGTGGCTGGCAGGGTCGCGGTAGCTCTCTGTCGCGTCAAAGTATGGAACTACGAAGCTGGGATCATACGTGCGTGCGACATTTTCAAACTCAAGCACAAAGCGGCGATGGAACGGGAAGAACACGGTGTTTCCATGCACCTGCGAGAACAGCTGATCGTGTGCCTGGCCGAATCTAGCAATCCATCCGTCCTCGTTCATCTGGCGCAGGACAGTTGCGATCGACTGCCACTGTGCTGACGACATACGGGCTGCGTTTGGCCGCGTGTGCGAGCCACTGCAGCGCTGCAGGCTCTGGCCGGCAGCAAGGGTGGCAAGTGCGATGAGGGTTACTCCGCTGGTTATCTTCATGTCTGGTCTACGGAATCAAATGCTGGTAAAGAGGGGCTTCTTAGTTACTGTCGGGATGATGCACGTGGAAACCGCTATCGGTGACGTAATATAGAAAACGAGTGCTTCCGGGAAGTAGAGAAGATATTATCGTGACGAAGTGTTTGTTATCCTTGAGCTACTGCCAAAAAGGACTACACCGAACAGAGCTTCTAGAGAAACAGTAGAGTAATTGGAATGATAGGGCGGACTATATAGGAGGCTGCACCGATGAAAAGGGAGGAGGGCGACGTGGAGCGTGAAGGGGAGTGGTGTGAAGGAACAAGGTGATATGAAAATGCGTCGAAACTGAAAGCAAGCGAGGATAAGAGAGGTGCAGAAAGGACAAGCGAGAGCAGATATATCTCAAGCAAGTACCGAGGCGAATAGAGGGGAGAGGGGACGTAAAAGTAAACAAGAAAGGTGATTCCTAAAGCAACTGCATCACTACCTTCGAATTGCATCTGCCATCCCTTTATACTCCGTGCGTACAAAACACACATCAATGAGCCGCTGAGGACCAGACAAATGCCTGGACGATAATAGGTCCCTCACTAGCAGGCGACGAGCATCTCTGACAGCAAACAATTGCCTTGTGCCTTTTGGCAGCTGCTGTGGACACATCCACACAGCTCTCAGGACAAAGCCCAGCTACTTATATATCCCGGAGGCACCATTATCTGCTGTTGGGGTGTTTGTAGAGGCCAAAGGTGGACGGTCTGCCTGCAATTGTTTGCGTAGTCGCAATGTGTAAACAATTCCACCAGCTCGCTCAGTGGACGGGCCATGCGCCACCAACCGTTCCGAGATATGTCCGCAGGGAACGCCACGCAGCAACAGAGCCAGTTGCCTGCCAGTACTGAAGGCGCTGAGAGGGGGCTTTGTCTCAAGGTCAGGGAGAGGACGCATTCGAGCCATATCCAGGCCGGTGTGGCCAGTTGTCCGAGGAGCTTCTAAGCCTGGCAGATGGGTGTTGCAGGGGTTTAGAACGAGTGAAGCAAGCATCACACTCTCAGCCCAGACCATTGCATATTATCGCCGCCACATATTCCCGATGGGCTATATTTAGACACCTCTCATATATGTGACAGAAACATCCGACCGCGCTGGTCCCTTAACCTCGCTCTTGATCAATCGCTCAATCTGCTTGCTTAACTTTCCAGTCCCTTGTCTCTTTTTAAACTGTTTATTCAAATGCCGCTGATGATAAACTGGTTCTCTCCCACTACGTTACATGGGTACCACTATCCGCATAGAAGACGCTCCATCAATCGACTAGGTGCCGGTAAACTCTGGTTCTCTAACAGTATAGTGTACCATTGTCTGCAGCGAGATGATCGCCTACGTAATACAACAGCAGCTGTTGAAAAGTGACTGCCGCCATATCTATCAGGTGTGCAGCTGCACCATGGAAAAACAAGCAAAAGTTTCCGCTCAAGCAGTTCGCCAACTGCCTGCGCGTCACGGCTACGTACATGGTGCAGGACATCACCTATCATAGGGCCAGGGGCTGGAAAATTACAGCGATATCTGGTTTATGCCGTCACGGGCCAAGCTCCTCTATGCTCAGAGTATGGTAGCCTACAAGGCCATATGCAATGACGAGGCCAATGTTGATCCGAGTATGTTCAACAACAAGGCCTTTTGTGTGGCCAGGTGCCAGTGTAGCCCCTCTCATTCTCCATGCGCTTCTGCTCCTTCCTATTCTCCATCATGGCCATCTATCAGGTGCACATCTGCAAAGGAACCTGAGCCTAGTCGCTCGTGTGCGATGTCCAGCTTGCCAACGACGTACATAGCTCGGACCGTCTGCTCACTCGCCAATCTCCAATGTTGTGCTTTTGGATTCCGAGACCCAGCGCCTGAGCGAAGGCTTGTTGCCTAATTTTTCGTCACCTGCTACGTGCCACTTCTAGCCAAGACCCGCAATGACATGCTGCATACGGCCGACCGCACCAGGTTCGTCAAGTACCACTTGATCCGGGCTCCCTTGGCTAATATCCATCAGGGGAATATCATGGATGTTATCTGGATTATATGCAGCGCATGAGCCCGCTGTTACCTCTCGAAGGTATGTATTCATGGGTCGATAGACTAGTACGTCGAAATGGCCGAGAATATTTTTAGTAGTTACACTATTGCGTGCCCTACGAAACTCTGAAACCGAGGGTAGGCCTCCGGGGCTTCCTGATCATAATCTTGATATGTATATCGGTAGCTGTGATGGTGCCGACTAACAGCTTCCACAACAAATCTCCCTTTAAAAACAGACATTTCATCAACTCGCATGTATGCGGATCTTTCTGTTTGTAGTCTGATGCTACAAAGTACCTCTTATCTGTTAATATAATGTGTTGACATTCGGGGTCCGGAGTCCCCCCTGTGCCACCATGGACAAAGCCGAAACGCATACGTACAAAGGCCCAGACAGACGACCAGCCTTCCTTCTTCCCCTCAGCCACTTTGAGAAGTTATTTTTCCATATATTCGATAACCACTCATTCCCCAGGTTAACACACTGCATATCATTGTCGCCATAATCCTGCTGGACCGAATTTAAAACCTTTCATATATGCAGTTTGTTTAGTAAATAGTACAGCAATATTGCGCTGCCACATATACGTCACATATCTAAACTTGGTACTGGCCAATGGCCAGCAAGGCGCAGGCCCTCAGGCATACTCTGAATGTCCCTAGTATTATTTGTAAAATTACAGCCCGCTGAAGCTGATATTAATCGGGGCATCGGTGGTCTCTGCCTTGAGTGAGTGCCGCTTAGAGCCATCGCCAAACAAGCCTGCCTTCTTGTCTGGCTCCGACACATGCAGAGTGGGCTGGACGACGTTGCTTGGTCGCGTGGTGACAAAAGCCTTGTAGTAGTTGTCTGTCTGCAGAGAGAACCCGCCATTGAATGATTCGGGCACGTCGAACCCTGATCGGGGCCTTGGTCGAGTTGAACACCATTTCAATGTTGGCCACATCTGAGGGGAACGAGACCTGGGCGGAAATAGGCGCCTCTGTGGTCGACAGGTACAGCTTTTGGCGCGGGATCCAGCGGCCTTCAATGCAACCATTGGTGGTACGCACGTTGCATGCATTGGCCTGGACATGCTCAGAGTGCACCTCGCCACCCGTCGTCTCGGCAGTCAATGTGCCTGCCTTGATATTACCAAGGCCAATGCGTGCGTTGGTGGTTGAGACTCCAAGCGTGCTTGCCTGAATGTCCTTTAGGCTGAGAATGGCGTCAGTGCTGCGTGCCTCAAGCACATCAGCAATGACGTCGTCGATATCCATCCACGCAGCATCGCCAACCAGTCTCAGCGACTTTTTCGCATTGCAGTCATGCACGGTGATGTTCCCATGATGCGCCTCCAGGCGGATCTCGTCGGCCACAACATCACTCAGATGCGCTGGGCCATGCAGCGTCTTCAGATCCAGCTCTGCAAACCGCATATACCCGACCATAGTCACGCCAATGGCACCAGGCAGGGATGTCAACTCGAATTCCCGGATGCACACGCTCCTCGTGGCAGCTCTCGTCCTCGGAAGGCGGCGGTGGAGGCAGCCAGATCTGAATCTCGGCGCTAGTCAGCCCCAGGTCCCACAGGCTCCGGTCGACGTCCAGCCGTAGAGAATACTCGTTCTGCGCGCTGAGCTTGCTGGTCAGATGCAGGCGGCCGTGCAGGGTGGTTGACATGGAGCTGACGAGGGCTTCGACATGGATTTTGTCGCCATACTGGCCGGTGGGCGCCTTGTCGATGCGGATGTTGGTGGTGCGGATGCCTGTAGTCTGGATGAATATCGGATGCTGCCAGTCGTAGTCCATTGTAACCGTGTCTGAACGGCTGGTCGTCTGCTCTACCGTCGGTTTGGGAATGTCTACTGGGGAGGTAGCGTATAAATTAGAGCTGCTTCCAATTACGTCGTCAAGCGACTGCATGGGACGACTGCACTTACTGTCTGCTGCACCAGCGGTCGACATTATCGGTATTAATTGCAAATTGAGAAAACCGCCTGAAAAAAAGATACCAGGAGAAAAGCACAATTCGAGACGCCGAGCCCAAGCTACATCAGTTTTTTTTTTTGGCTGCGTCTGAGGTCTGTGGGGATCATATTGCGTCACAGCTCCGGACATACCGGGCGAGCTATTGTGCTGAACAGCACTTGGGTCTACTCGGCCTTGGCCCGCTGCTTGTCGGGGACATCCCACTTTGCGCCCTCGGTGTACGGCGGAGGCATGGGCACGGCCCTGGCAATAAACACTGCGATTGCAGCCTGTGCCAGGACAAAGAAGGCCGGGCCGATCCAGCTCAGCTGCACAAAGAAGTAGAAGGCCATGATAAAGCCCACCAGCATCGATTCGTACGTCTTGTAGAACCGCATCTGGAGCTTTGGCTTGGCACCCAGCGCAGTGAAGTATGGCTTCAGCAGGTCGCGGCTGAAATCGCGCACAGCCATGATGGACTTGAACATAAACAGCGTTGTGTGCCTCGACCCAGGCGCCAGCACGGACACCAGCACTATGGCGCCCGAGGCCGGGTAGCCGACAAACTTGGCCATCATGGCCACAGTGCCAATGGGCACCACCAGCCAGCCGACCACAGGTAGACGGCCCAAGAGGACAGCGGCCTGGGTCATTGCGTAGCGCTTGAGCGTGCGCTGCACTGTGAACTTTATGCGCGCCCAGCGGTGCTTGCGTGGCGGCCACGTCTGCAGGGCCTGGGCGTACTTGGGGTCGATCTCAGCGAGGGCTGCATAGAAAACACCGGCGAACAGCTCGGGCTTGGCATGGATGACAAGGTCAAGACCCACCAGCGGCAGAGAGTCGAAAAAGTGGTTGACGGCCTGCGTGGTGCTCAGCAGCGACACGGATGCCTGGGAGCCGTCGTAGCGCAGCAGGACAGAGAGCAGGCTGTTGCCGGCTCGCAAGAGCAGCAGCGGGAAGAAAACCAGGACGTGCATCGCTATGTAGGTCAGACTCATCCCGAGCAGAGTGTACTTTAGCACATCGACAAACTTGCGCTGCATGTGCTTGTTGCGGGCAGCAAACTCGGCAGCCTCGACCGCCAGGCCAAACCCTTTGGCAATTTCGTCCACATTCAGCACCATTCTCTCTGTGAAAGTAGTCAAATATGTATATGATGCAAAAGTGCAGAAAGAAGGATAAAAAGGAGAGATTGCAAGCCAAACATGTCCACTACCGGTGAAGGGAGCAGAGTGAGAAAGGAAAGCAGGCATGTACGACTGTTACACCATTGGCCTCATCTCGGGCCACTCAGATATGACAGTTGTCAAAATAAGGCGTGCCAAGAGTTTGTTTCCGTTTCGGTTCAGATGCAGTCCGTCGGCCAGGTACATCTCGTAGCCGTCATACGGGCTGGCGATGTCGGTGATCATGCCAAACACATGCTGCTGCTGGGTTCTGTCGAGCGACCCGTCTGCAACTGCCTTGAACAACGGGTTCTTCAGCTTGCTCGCACCCACCAAGCTCTCAATGGCGCCATATAGATCCACGACAGGAATGCCCTTCTCCTTCGCGACCATCTTCACTGCGTCAGCATAGGTCCTGGTCACGGCGTTAATGCGGTCAACGGGCAGATTGCGCCGTGTGCATGTCTCCTCCCACATCTTGTCACCAATGGGCGGCGGAGTGATCAGCAGTATCCGCGTACCTGGTGAGTAGGTGTCGGACTGCGGGTCCTGGATCTGGCTCACCATTGTCCGCAGATTTTCGGTGTATGTCTGCAGCGGCACATGCTGGCCGGACAGCGGCAATGCAGCATCATTTGAGCCAAAGAACAGCATCACGAGTTGCACTGCAGGCGAATGTGTCGGGAATGTCTGGTCACGATGCGGCCAGTGCGCCACCGGCAATCCCTGGCCCCTACCCTGCACTGGGCTCGGCGACCGCCGCCACCAGCTGCCCTGGGTATTATGTCTGGTGACGGGCAGCAGTGACGAGTAGAGCTCGAGAATGTTGTTGGTGTTGTAGCCTGAGAAGCCGCGGTTCAGCACATCAAGACGGCGCTCAAAGTCACGCGACAGCTGGGCCAGGAAACCGCTGTTGCTGGGATCGCTTCCAAACTGCGTGATGGAGTCGCCAATGGCCAGCAGGATGCCGTACATGGCGCCGGTGAAGGGCTTTGCTGGCGAGTGGCGGTGGTCCTCTCCGCCATCATCACTGAGTCTGCCGTACTCGGAGGCAAAGTAGAGGTAGTTTATGCACAGCAGCACAGCCACAGCGAACAGAATAAAATATCTGGCTGACCACAGGCGGCTGGTAAATAGCTTCATGCTGTAGAATAAGCGCTAGTCAAGCTGAGGGGTGGGAGGGCTGAGCTGAGAAGAGCGGGAAGGCACTGATGGCAGACTGGGCGAATTGCACGTCACAGGTGGGAGAACAAACACAAAACAAGCGCTGCTCGGTGATCGTCTGATCGCAGGCTGTGATCACTGGGCGTCATGCTGATTGCTGACTGAGAGCCAGCGGCTGCAGCAATGCCGCTTGCTTCCTCACCAGAATTTTGAGAATTTCACAAGCTTTTGTTCAAGTAGATAGACGAAATGGAGCGTGCAGCAAGCATTCTGATGCGGCAGGGGGTGCGGGCGAGCAGCGTGGGCATGGCGGCTCGACGGGCAATGTCGACACAAAAGGTCAACGTGTACGGCGAGTACCAGTTCAAGAAGTCGATCCAGCGCGGGCGGCAGCAATACATGATAAAGAACGTGCTGACGGCGTTTGGGCTGGGCGGGCTGTGCGCAGGCATCTACTTTTACTCGCTCAATGTGGTCAGGCAGGAGGACTTTAGCGACGTGCCGATGCCGCCGGAGCCAACGGCCGACGAGAAGACCAAGTTTGACCAGGCCAAGAACTAGTAATATAAAATGCGACAATAAACCGGCGAATAGAAATCTAACCAGCTGCGGTTGCGGTGTTGCGCAGCATTCAGTGGGAAATAAAAGTGCTTGCGGCCACACGCCTGGAAAAAAATTTTGCTTGTTCTGTGGCAGGAAATCCTGGGCTTGCCGGCCACCCCCCAAACAGCTATAAAAGCAGCTCTTTCCGTCTTCACTGTTCAACATTAGCATACACGCTTCCAACACACCTCCTTGCTAGCATATAAAAAAGCCAGACAACAGCACGCTTCCTCCCTGGCCTACACTCCACAGGGCACCCTCTTTTTCAATTCGACGATTGCAGGCAGCTACAGCAACAACCACACTGGGCAACCCAAATTACAAAGCAAGAACCCTACACCAGCATCCACGGGCTATGTCAGTTGAGAACGTGCCAGCACCAGTAGCTATACTAGCAGATAACAGCCCGGTAACATCCTCCGCGCCAATACAACCACAGCAGCAGCAGCAGCACACGCGGTCAAGCAGTCAGATATCATCGCGACGCAACGGCGGAAATAGCCGGCAACGCAGCGGCAGCAACAGCAGTGTCAATACCGCCAATCAAGCAAACAGCAAGCCACGGCATTTTGGCCGCAGCAATGCACATCACCAGCAGCCCCGTAGTCAGTCACGAGCATCAGCTAGAAATGGCGCCAGTAGCAGAAACCACAGCCAGCAGCAGCAGCAGCAGCATACAGTAGACCAGCAGAAAAATGACAGCAACAAGGGCCGCCAGCACCGTGGCAAAAAGAGTGCAGGGACACGGCATGAGAACCAGCAGGCAGAGGAGCACCAGCAAGGTAAGTCGAAGACACTGGCTTTGGCGGGTGGCATGGGGGGGTGATGGAAGACATTTTTGTTTGGAACCAAGGAAGCGGGACGGCCATGCGAGAAGTTTGGGGAAGAGTGCGAGTCACGCTAAACACCATCGTGCATTATCGACGGCTTTGTGATATAGACCACGGCGCATCAGAAGAAAAAACAAGGCGCAGGCGCAACCGGAAGCGCAAGGGCGGGAATGTCGGCGGTGGGCGGCAATTCGACGGCAAACTGAGTGCCAAGACCGCAGCGCCGGCGGTTATGGAGGACGAGGATCTCGGAAGCTCGCTGACGCGGCAGCTGACGAACAGCTCATACGAGTGCATGATATTGCTGCGACAAGGTGCGGCCGCGGCACGCCATCTGGCAGTGCGACCACTGCTGGGCAATCTTCCATGTGGGATGCGTCAAGAAGTGGGCCAAGTCATGCACCGGCAGCGACGTGGGCGATGGCAGCACTCGCTGGCGTTGCCCCGGCTGCCAGTACGCGCGGGCAGCAGCGCCGTCACACTACGTGTGTTTCTGCGGGGCCACCCGCGATCCCGAGCCGGTCCGCGGCTGTGTTCCCCACTCGTGTGGGCGGCTATGTGGCAAGAGCCGCGGCAAGCGATGCCCGCACCGGTGCCCGCTGCCATGCCACCCGGGGCCCTGCCCGCCATGCACAGAGATGGCGCCTGAGCAGTCGTGCTATTGCGGGCGGCTGGTGTACCAGCCAAAATGCGGCAGCAGCTACGACCCTGAGCTGAATGTCAAATCGTGTGGGAACATCTGCGATGAGATGCTGGGCTGCGGCAAGCACAGATGCGACAAGCCATGCCACCCGGGGCTGTGTCCGCCATGCCCGCGTGATGAGCAGCAGATGTGCTACTGCGGCAGCCACACGCGGACTGCCAAGTGCGGGGCAGGCCGGGTGCAGACCACATTTGTCAGCGGCATGGACGGACCGCAGACGGGATTCTACAGCTGCGGCAATGTATGCGAGGAAATGCTCGCGTGCGGAGTCCACAAGTGCGGACGGGCATGCCATGCGCTCCCCGACCCCAGCAGCGGCCATGCCCACGGCGGACTGCCCGCTAGACCCGACGGTTGTCAGCACATGCCACTGCGGGGCGACGCTGGCCAGCGATCTGGGGCAGGCGCGGCTGACGTGCATGGATCCGGTGCCCAGCTGCGGCGAGCGCTGCGGCCATAAGCTACCCGGATGCGCCCACACGTGCAATGAAATCTGCCACGCTGGCCCATGCCCACCCTGCACCGCAAAGGTCAAGGACGCCGTGCCGTCTGCGGGTCCAAGGCTTTCCAAGTCGAGTGCTTCAAGGCGCGGCCCGGCAGCGGCCAGCAGCCAACATGCCAGCGCGTGTGTTCGCGCATGCGCGTGTGCGGGCGGCACCGGTGCAACGCCAAGTGCTGCGGCAGCGATCACGTGGACATCGACGGAGCGGTGATTCCATCCGAGGCCCTGGCACCGGGCACCACCGATGCGCACCAGTGCACGCTAGTGTGTGGGCGTACCCTGCGCTGCAAGCGGCACCAGTGCTCGCAGCCTTGCCATCGCGGGCCATGCCCACCCTGCCTGGAGGCGAGCTTTCGACGAGCTGGCGTGTGCGTGCGGGCGGACGCGGCTGTATCCGCCGATTGCATGCGGGACGACGCTGCCGGTATGCCACCACCCATGCACTCGCGTGCGGGCGTGTGGGCACATCAGCATGATGTCTCACGAATGTCATCCCGACGACGTCCCGTGTCCCGCCGTGCCCCGTGCTGGTTGCCACGCTGTGCATGTGCGGTGGGCGCGAGATGAAGAACATCCCATGCCACCGCAGTGCTATGGCCTCATGCGGCACCATCTGCAACAAGCTCCTGCCGTGTGGTGGCCACCGCTGCCAGCGCAGCTGCCACCGCCCCGACGAGCCATGTCTGCGCGGCGGGCAGACTTGCCGCCAGGCGTGCGGAAAGCCGCGCAAGACTTGCGGGCATCCGTGTGCCCTGGCCTGCCACAGCCCCGCCATGTGCGACGAGTCGCAGCCGTGCGAGACGCCCTGTCACTGTTGTGTGCGAGTGCGGCCGTAAGTCGCTGCGTGAGCTGTGTGGGTCGACTGCCGCCAACGGCCGCTCCGCCATGCGTCGCATCCCCTGCGACGATGTGTGCAAAATCGCCATGCGCAACCGCCGCCTGGCGCTGGCGCTGGATCTGCCCGACAAGGCCCAGGCTCCACTGGCCGGTCTGGTCAAGTCGACCTATGCCTGACGATCTGCTGCAGTTTGCCCGCTCCAACCTGACCTGGGTCCGCGAGATCGAGGCCCAGGTCGGCGAATTTGTCGGCGGCAGTCGTCGCCCTGTGCTGCGGTTTGCGCCTATGAAGCGCAGCTACCGTGCCTTTCTGCACGCCCTGGCCGCCTTCTACGGGTGCTCCAGTCGCTCCATGGACCGCGAGCCCGTGCGGTCAGTGTGCTGGGAACGCACCCAGCAGGCCACCATCCCGAGCATAGTCCTGTCCAATGCCATCCGCTACATCACTCCGCCGCAGATCGTCTGCAGCGAGCGCGTCAATGCTGCCGACAACGACGACGAGTTCGATGACTCGGCCTCGCACGTATTCGATGGCGTGGCTGCATCTTCCAATCCGGCCGCTGACCGCCTGCGCAAAAAGTTCGACTACCTGGTGCTCTCGGATCTGAAACACGGTCTGACGCAGGAGGAGCTGCAGGGCGAGATTGCTCGGCTGATGCCCTATGCGTCGTTTTCGCTGCGCTGGAAGGACCCGGATGTCGTCGAGATGTACTGCACCGACACCGAAATGCGTGCCGAGCACCTTGTCAAGTGGGAGGGCCTGCTCAAACACAAACTGCCTTTCATGGGCCTGGTTGGGTCTGTTGTCGGCGAGCGCTCTGTGCTGCAGCAGCCTGCTCCCTCCCAGCAGCCTGCATCGAAACCTCCACACAGCCGGTCCTCCAGCATCGCCAGCGCCTCGAGGGTGCCTCGTCCCAGCGCTGTGAAGGAAGGAGGCTGCTGTTCCAGAGGACTGGGAGTCGCTCAACATCCCCAGCGACTCGGAGGATGTCCCCGACGACCTCTAAACCCCACCAACCCTTTTCCCATAGACCATTCCAATTTAGTTCAGTACCACGTTTGTAATCATTAAAAAAGACATCCTAATACGAAATGGCTGTAGCTATCGCATATGTGTCGATATGGCTGATCGACACCTTGACATATTGGACACCAGCCTTCTCCGCGGCCTCCTCCACCTCGCCATGCAGCACGACCTCGGGCGCCCCGCTCTCCGCAATCACAATCTCAATATCAATCAGCGGCGCTGCGCTGCCACGCACCCACACCTTCTCCCGCTGCAGATGCAGATTCGACACTGCCTTCACCACCGCTTCCTTGGCGCACCACCGCCCGGTAAACGATGCGTGCGGATTTGGTTGCCTTTGGCAGTATGCGATCTCGCGCTCCGTGTAGTTGCGCTCGATGAACGTCTCGTTCTCGATGTTGATGTCCTCCAGCATCTCAATGTCCACGCCTATCCCCACCCCGGTGCTCGGCAGCAGCTGCAGTGCCTGCGTCTGCGCCTGTTGCTCCAGCAGGTACTTGCGTGCGAGGTCGTCGTCCTGTGCCCATCTACTTGTTTGCGTATGCGCCCTGCCTGTATTGCCGTATATAATAACCGGAAACTATTAAAGTGGGAGGATGCCTGAGGTCCCAGCGCACTATTCGGCTGCCCTTTCAAAAGCTCTTTCTGCATCTGCCGCCACTGCCTGCGACAATTATGCGAGGCGCAACTGATAAAAAAACACCTCAGGGTAAGGGGGTTGTGAGAATTTATAGATGCCGTGGGGAGCAGCAGCACAATTCCCGTTGGGAGAAAAAAATTCTTAGGCAGCAATGCCAATGACGCCGCAGGCCTGGCGACCGCCGGCGTTACCGGTAGTGATGGACAGCTCATGGCCGCCCTTGCCCAGATCGTCCTCGTCGGCATGCACAACAATGGTGCGGCCGATAACGCTGTGCTCGCCAAACAGCGTCACCTGCGAGTCGGAGATCTCGACCTTGGCCACGCCGGACTCGGACGCGATGACGTTGCCCAGGTCGCCCACATGGCGCTCCTCAGCCGTCGGCGCGCCGTGCGTCTTCTTGAACGGGTTGAAGTGCGGGCCCGCCGACGTGCAGCCGTTCGAGTTGTCGCCAAACTCGTGCACGTGGAATCCGTGCTTGCCGGCCACCAGCCCGCTGATCTCGCCGCTGACCAGCACCGGAGAGGACGCGTCCGACTGCGTAATCGTGATAACGCCCGTGACGCCCTCGTCGCCCTTCAGAACTGCGATAGCCTTGACCATGGTTGTTTTGTTTCTAGAGGTACACCTGCCATGTTAGTTCCCCTCCTGGTGCAAGGCAACGCACTTTAGTCTGGTTTCTTTACCTTTTTGGAGCTGTTTGCGGTAAAAGTATGTGGAAAAAGTGTACAAGGAGAAAACAAGAGCGATAACAAGTTCAGAACTCCGCTTGGCCCTTTTTCAAGCCTTGCGAAAGCCGAAGCGGAAATGGCTCATCGCCGTTGACGTAAATGCCTCACATTACTAATCTCGGCCAATTTTTAGTCGAAAGCTGCGATTTATTTCTTGCTAGCGCTCTCCGAAATCTGATCTGCCGATCCCGGGCCCAGACCGTCACTTGCCCCCGCCACGTGGCCGTCCTGGTTGAGCCGCCGCATCTCCTCCATCTTCATCCGCCGCAGGTCGCGCAGCCGCCCATCCTCCTTGGACTGGTAGTAGAATCCGACTGATCCGCCGAGCAGTCCACCAACCATCACCACAAGTGCCTTCATGTAAACGCCCATGTTTAAAAATACCTGCAAGAAAAAAAGTACGCGAATGATTTCCTCCCTGCTATCAACTGGGTGCAACCCCGCATAAAAATGAAAACGGCAGTCACTGCAAACAGTCTGACGGAGATTTTTGTGGGATACCCGCTGGGTGTGGAATTTTCTGTATATCTACTTTTAAACGCTTTATTCATCTGTCCGCCCCTGGTGACAAACTAGGCGCCGTTCTTGCTTCTGGGATTCAGCAATTCCGGCACAGGCTGCATATGCATTCCCGCGCATGCCCTTCATCGTATGAGATACGCTCAATATGCGGAATCCCCTGCATTGCCTTGTGGCGTCGTCGTCTTAGCATATACCCTTGCTCGCCGTCAATGTCCGTCGCCCCCGGGGACATGCACATGCAACTACTGAGAAATGAGATATTCCAACAACAAAAACTAGAAGAGTAGAAAGAAAGGAGAGCTGTCCTCTCGGGAAAACTCGCCCTATCCGACAAAAAAAAAAAGATATCGCCAAGTGGATTCCGCCCAAGGCGTGTCTACCATATTCCTCATCCAAGCTTTGCTCATCTGCCGTCCAATATTGTCAGTAGCTATCCCCCTTTTGATTTTAGCGGTGTCCACCCGAATCACCACCATGGCCTCCATTGTTTTTTACTTTTAGCTGCTAAGATCGGTCAAAAATGAAGCCGTATTTCCACTGAAACGTTAGGGATGTCTAATGTATTTCTCGCTCGCTCCCTCACTTGCGTATCCCCAATTCCAACAATACCCTCGCTGACCGTTTTTGTTTACTACCGAAATCCAGGCTGGTAGTTCCTCCTCCCCGATTAGAAGCCAAACAAGCTGGGTTGTATTTCTACATGAAATGAATGCACCCATGGTTCTGTTCAGCACAACCGCCTCAATAGCTGTTTCCGTTATTAGGATAATACAAGGACATCAAAGGTACCCAGATATGCTTTGAGCTTCCGCTCTGTCTGCCTGGAGGTCGGAACACGCGTCAGAATGAGCAACAATCTAGGGCTGCAGTTTGCAGACAAAACAGTAAAATGTGTATTATCTCCAAGCAAATGGATAATGCTCAAAATGGTGCCGAGGCTGCCAGCAGCCTTGCTGAGGGAGAAAAAGAGAGAACAGGCTGGTAATGGGTGCCAGAGTATATATACAGTTGGCTTGCCATAGTGGCCATCGAAATGTCTTGCCGCTCTGGTGTCCTGTCCATAGATTAAGCTAACACAACGACTGATATGGAGCGCAAAAAAAGAAGAACGACATATATAGCATCAGTTCTAAATGCAGCACTCTTGTAGTCCGTGGTTTTTATACAGACCTCACCCAAATCCTCTAGGCATCACGCTTGTAGTCCTAGTTTGTTGATGGCAATGTATTTTTCAACACGGTGTATATTGCCTTTTCATACTAGTCTTCAGGCGCCTCTTCTATCTTCCCATCACACTCGTCTCCACATATAGGCCATTCAACGCATGCAATGTAGGGTGTGCCGGATCGTCGCCAACCGGAAACGTAAAAATAATGAAGGAAATATTTTTTCACACCAAGCCATATCTTCCTTGAATCAATTCAATGTCGTCATCCACTACTCGCAAGCCCTCAGCTCACATCACCACCAGGAATGCGCCCTTTGGCACGGTACAAGACGGTGCATTCGCTGATCAATAAATAATGCTGCTGGCGCAGTTGAAATGACAACTACGGAGGAATACTCTTGTGAGTCACGACAAGGGCACTCTCTAGCCGTAGAGGGTTTCAAGTGGGATAGTATAAAAGCATAGCTAAATGGCCCATTCCCCTCAGTCACTTGTAGCCAACCTTCATTTTGTTTTTAAGCAATACAGATATTGACTGTAGATTTCTTCCATGCCCCCAAGACTTCGGTGCGGTGTTTGCGGTGTGAGTTGCCATGGTATGACTCTTGACGAGCATCAAAAGAGTTGCTCTGGGATTTACAAATGTGGTGCCAAGTTGTAGTCGTCAGGCTATCCTACATATCCATTTGCAAGGTGTCTGACTACACATTGTCCTGTAGATTGCAACGCGCTCGGCACACTACGCTACCATTATATGTCATATCGCACTGCAAAGCATCCCTTGCATTATGCTCAATAAATTGCTATATCTGACTCCAGATACCATTAGCTTATGTAGCCAGGTATGTGGTTAGGCGCGAGCCCTTTCACGATATGCAGGTGCCAAAGGCGTGTGTAGCGATCAAGGAATCAACTGCATTTCTTACTGTGTCCATTGCGTCGTGACCTAGCGCACAGGGCAGCTGGTTCCATTCATCCTTCTCTCCCAGCCCAACTCATGTAAACACGACTACTTATTCGCGACCTTGTACACGCCAAATTAGCAAATGCAGCACCCGCATGACCCGAATTCATATAACCCGCAGCAATACTACGCAGCACGGCAAGGCAGGCACATGAGCTACGGCTCAGGAGTGAGCCAGGACGGGCAGTACCAGCCTCAACCAGGTCCAAGCCGTGACACAAGCTCCTGAGCCGGCGCCACAGCAGTTCTATCCGGCAGCGCTTGCGAGCTACCCTGTCCAACCAGCAACTCTGGTTGCGCAGCCGTTCGTTGGCCTCTCTCCTCCGCTGCAAGTTTGCAATTCATTCGCCTCAATTTCCATATTTTATGCCCATGTCACCAACGCAAGACCCCTCGCAGTTTTCACCGCCGCAATTGACAGCAGCCGACGCACATTTGGTTCTGTGGGCCACCGCCGAGTCACACCTAGCATGCGCACAGCGGCTGTTCAGGGCGCAGGCAGGCAGCAAGGCCGAGGCATCGGCAGCTGGCAGTTGGCAGGCGAAGGTCGTCAGCTCCCTAGCGTGTCTATACAGTGTCTTGTCGCTATGCGAGTCGTCGGAGGCACGCGCAAAGTACATGCAGGGAACAGTTCTACTTGGCCCCGAGATCGAGGTGCGCACACGGCTGAGGATCGCGCAGATTGTCTCGGTGTGGTCTCAAGACGATAGTGAGGCCGAGCAGGAATTCCACCTGAAGCGCGCATTAGTAGGTTCTGCCTACGGCTGACCACTACGCAAGCCTAAAGATGGCAATTGTGGCGATGCAGTGCCGGCTGTATATGAGGCGAGGCGAGCACAAGTGGGCAGAGCAGCGGATGAAGGTGGCCTTTGGCGAGGCCCAGAAGCGGCAGCTGGCAAACTGGGTGCATTATTTTATGCTTGAGCTCTCCGAGCTTTACCTGAACAACGGAGACATGAACAGTGCCATGAACACGCTGCAGTTTTCGATACGGTGGGCCAAAGGATGCAACGATGTGGTTAGCGAGGCGATGGCTAGCGTGCAGCTGCTGGGACGGCTGGTCGAGACCAGGGCATGGCAGAAGGCAGGATGAGGTGGTTGAGAGCCTGAGCCGACTAATGCAGGAGCGCAAGGTGGCAGAAGGTGTACCAAATCACATCGCGATTCTTAGCGCTGAAGGCGGCGATGCTGGTTATGCAGGGCAAAGCAGAAGCAGCGCGCCAGACCAGCGGCCTTTGCACGCCAAGTGCTGAAGAACTGGCAGGCGGCGTTCGTCAAGAAGCTGGTCAATGGGAAGGCAGCCGATGCTGGGTCGATATTTGTAATACCTGGCCAGCCCAACGAAATGCAGTTCGGCGGCTGGAGCTACTACGAGGCCCATGCATGGATTATGCTGATTTCAGGCCTGGGCGTGCGTGGCGAGAACAGCGGGAGAGGAGGCACTGCGGTTCTTTCAAATGGCTCGTGACGGAATTGCCAAGGGCGAGTCGGATGGGATCAGTAGTCTGCTGGTGCAGGTGAAGCTGCAAGTGCTGCTGCACCAGGCTGACGCCGAGCTGACAGGTCTGAAGATGCACAGCGCCAAGCAGACTCTGGACGCAGTGATGCAGGTGATGGCAGAAGCCGTGACGCTGGAGAACATGGGCTATTCCCTGGGCGGGTTCTGGCGGCGGCATCGCAATGAGGTAGCCCTGAGGTGGGCTATGTTCCAGCACCGGCGAGGTGAGTTCAAGGAGGCGGTGAATGCGTACCAGTGCGTGGTTAACAGTAGCGCACCCGAAGATATCCGGATCGTGGCGCGTGTCAACCTGATTATCCTGCTCCTGGCCGATGATCGATGCCTGCGAGGAGACTCTAGCTAAGGCAAAGGGGCTGCTGGGCCAGGTCAAGGCAGCAGTGGCAGCAGGCCCAGAGGATGAGGTCATGCAGAATGCAGTGTTAGAGTTCATGCAGGGGCTCGAGTCTGAGAAGCCAGTGCAGGCCAAGACGCATCTTCTTGCGTGCTTGAAGGTGTGCAAGGCCATTGCTGATACCACGCTGCAGGGCTGGACGCTGTGTATGCTTGGATCGGTGATGCTGCCGACCGGGCAGTACGACCAGGCCATGAAGATGTGTGCGACAGGCCAGGCCATCGCGCAGCGCAACAAGGACCCGCTACAGAATGCTGCGGCCATTGGCATCCTGACCCAGATTGAGCGATCTGTTGGTGATGCATCGCGTAGCGAGCAGCTGATGCAGATCCACCGGCATTATATTGACAAGTTTGAGACACAGGCCAGCAATGGCTAGAACACTGTTCATGGTTTGGAAAAGATAGTAGGAAGAGGTACAGCAGAAGCAAGTTCAGTTTGTAATTGTGAGTCTATCCGAGCCCACCCCACTGACCACGGATGCGGCGGGCCAGCTGGATGTCACGCTGCATGATGGTGACGCGCTTGGCATGCAGAGCACACAGATTAGCATCCTCGAACAGGTGAACAAGGAATGCCTCTGAGGCTTCCTGCAGGGCCAGCAGCGCCGACGATTGCCAGCGCATGGCAACTCGGGGCTCGCTGAACGTATAGTCATTGACAAAGGTCTCGGTGATCTCTCGTACAACACGCGCAAACGGCAGCTTTGCCAGCAGCAGGTCACTAGATTTCTGGTACTTGCGTATTTCGCGCACTGCCCTTACGCCTGGCGCCAGCCGTCTCTTCTGTGGCTGCTTCTGGACTGTGCCCGCGCTGCGACCCGGGTGGGCAGCTGCCCTCGGCACAGTCTTTCTGGCTGGGGACCGTATTGGTGTGGTGTCGGGACTGTCCTGCGACTGCGTGAGTCGGGTGTTGGCGAACGCTGGGCGTCTGATGGCGCTACCACGACGGGCCGCACCCGGCTTCGGTCCTCGGCCAACTACCATGGTCTATTTTCCTCCCTTGCTGAGTGGCCCTGGCTGGTTCGGTGGCGAATACTACGAGCTGCCTAGCAAATGACGCGTGCAGGACAGAGTTGGAGCGCAAAAGAACACCGAATTTTAACGTAAACAGCGAGATTTCGGACAATAAAATTGAATCGGGCAAAAACTGCGTGTCATGCAAAGAGTGCGAGGGAAAAATCGCAGGCTTTTGGGTCCCACCCACAAACGCATAAATACGCCAGCTGCTCCCATTTGCTGCCAACGTCAAAAGTTTGGATTGTGCTGGGCTTTGGTGGCCCGCTCAATGGCCCGGAGGTGGTCTGGCTTGTAGTGCCTCGCCTCAGTGTCATAGTCTGACTTGCTCAGCACCGCCCTGCGCGACGGCGCGCCATCGAGGCCAGAAATGTCGTCGGGACACTCCTCCATCACCCTCAGGCTGCCGTCGTCCTCAGCTAGGGCGCCCACGCGCTCTGCCCTGATCCGCTGGTACCCCTTGACTCTCTTCTGGGTCTCTGCCCACCAGCCGATATCCTGGCCGGAGATATCCAGTGGCACCCCTACAGGCATACCCTGGATGTCCTCTCTCTGAACCCCGAAATCCATGATGTACATGTCCTGTGCAGCACGCTCAGCGAGCCGGGAGTTGATTATCCGCCGCTTCACATTGCGGTACTCCTCTGCTAGCTTCAGCTGCCGCTTGGCTGCCGCAGGGTCGCCAATATTGCCCTGTGCTGAGCCCATTACCTCGTGCTCGATCTGGGCCAAACGCGTCGCCACCCTGCCACCCACGCCCTCGTCGCTCTCGAGTCTCAATATGCCTTCGTGCTCGTCAATCCACGCAACCAGCTCAAACGCGGCGTCCTCGCGCAGTTTGTCGAAAATATACACGATATCGTGGATCTCGCTACCGCGGCAGTACTGGTACAGGCTCGTCAGCACCGCCCAGTGCTCCATCGATACGCGCACTTTGATGTTTGGGAAGTTGACCGGCTGAGAGTAGTACAGAAGATATAGCGCGTAGACCACGCCGATGCGGATCTCCAGCAGTGCTCCTTGCTGTAGGTGGTTGAGCACGATGCGGTAGACGGTGCGCATAAAGTTCTGCCTAGAGTTCTTTTCGGTCGCCACAAAATGGATTAGCGAAAAGTTTAGCACCTTCCACACCGCGCAGAACGATTCAAAGTCGTAGGCTTGCAGCTTTTGGAATGTGCGCATGAGCGTCCGAACGTCGCCTTCAATCGCAGACAGGTACACTCCTGTGCGCCCCAGGTTCACCAGTGCCTTTGTGTCTTCCAAGTCGAACGAATCGTCTGCCATTTGTTTATTACTACGCCTGTGAAATTGCTGGTTTGGTTGCAATTTTGCAGGAACTAGCCAATTTGACTCAGCAATACTTGGCAGGGCAGCTGGTTATGGGAGATATGAACCTGGGGGATATATTCTGATGGTTGTCCCTGCGCAATTATCCATATCGGCTGGCCACCCGGCTAGTTATATTGAACCTACATTGAACCTACTCCTCATACGTGAAGGCAGTGAATGTTGGGATAAATTTTGGTATACTAATCTGTGAGGAAATTGTCTCCACAAGATGGCATGTTTCCTGCTGTTCCTAGTAGGATTACCCTATGTGGATGCTATTCGCAGTGTACAGTGTCTGGAAATACTGTTCCTTGCCATTGTCAGACAAAGTAGCTACCATATACAGACTATTTCCATGGCCATTGTGGTGGTGCTGGTGCTGGTGCTGTACGTTTCATAAAAGCAAAATGAAAGGCAAATATGTATAATTTCAATTGCCTCTTCGTTAGTACACAACCTTCCCTGACGTTTGTATGGGCTTTTGAACCTGAGTATGATGAGTCGAATCAGGCTCTGGTCAGTGTTGCTTGGATCAGCTTCCGCTACCTGCCCACCTCCTGCCAGGCGATTACTAGCTCAGCACCATACCTAGAGTAGACATAAACAAAGGCTGCCTTTCTCCGAGTAGGATTCCCTTTCTGACAATAGATTGCGGACAGCCTTGGGCAAGTCTAAGTATCGGAATATGCACAGGCTGTACCTCCTTATTGTCATGTGTTTTTCTGGTTCCCGTCAATGGAGTTTGCGACCTCTCATTTGCTGAACGGACAGGTGCAGGAGAATGCAGGTTATTTTCGGCACAATGTATGTGGGTGCGTCGAGGTTCGACAACACCCTTTGCTATATACTTGTAGAAGTTGAGAGTCGCACGTATCGGCTGTTATTTTTGAGTGCCATGGCTAGGGTACACATGCAAAACCTCTCTTTTCGCTAGATCTGCGCCGAAACCCCTTGTGAGTCTCCAATTGTGTGGAATGGAGGGAAGCCATGTGGTTGTGTTTTGGATATGCATGTCGCCGGGTTGCAATTGGAAAGGGGCCAAGCAGCTGCCTGCCTCTTCGCTTTGCTGGTGCATGTCCCGAGTAAGTATCTCCGCAGAGCACCCTAGCAAGCAAAATCAGGGATCAACAGCAATGCAGCGCGTATGTGGAGATTTTTTGCATTCCAGGCGGACATATTCTCACCGCGTTCACCATCTTGCCCCTGGGGTTCTGTTCTCCAAATGCAGTTGTGACGACATGCATCTTTGGCGTACTCACGAAGGGAGCCTGCCAGAAATCAAGCTGGCAGCATGGCAGGCCCAGAGACGAAGTGCTAGCTACCTGGCATGTGAGCACATGCAGCATCCTTTGAATAAATGTAGAAAAGGAGGCATATTTATTGTGTGCATCGGATATAAGCATCCTGCCTGTGCCGGCCAATAGTGGACCCAGTGTTTCTCTTCCACTACCATCTACTCAGCAACGTACCAACGTATTAATAATATCCTCGCTATGAAAGGTCCCATTCTTGTCGGCATCCCGAGCGACGACATCTACCCTGGCAAGCGCTGCGACTGCGACATATGTACTGGCTTGATGGATTAGAAGGAGCTTTCACCCATCTCCCTATGTACTTGCTGACTACCACGACACATAGTAGCCATTCCTTGTTCATATTTCTCAATAACCAATTTTGAATAACCTCGACCTGCTGTACATGCGTGCTGTTGAATATGAGGTGCTCACTTGCCTCTGTTGGGTTTTGCAAAAGCTGTAAGCTAAAATTTAATAGAAAACACAAAGGCCGACTAACCGCCATAGCCAACAATGGACTCGGCAAAGTCCCAGTTGGTCTCGAGCGAGTAGGGCTCGGAGATCTCGACGCCCTGGGCGGTGACCTTGGCGCGCCTCAGCTTGTTGAACGATCTAGCATCGCGGTAGAACAGCACACGCATGCAGTCGTCGAGGATGGCCAGCGCCTCTTCCTCCTCGATCTCGTCCTCACGGCCCTCGACACGCTTGCGCAGGATCGGCTGGGCCAGGTGGGCGCCAAAGCCAGTGGCAATGGTCGGCGACTGGTACCGGGTACCGTACAGATCAACAAATCCCAGGAACTTCTCATCATGGTCCAGGCCGGCAACCACATACGAGTTCCACAGCGGATCCACCTTAGTGCGCCGGTTGTACATGATGTTGCTGATGTATTTGTACACAGACTTTGTGCCCAGCGTCTGATCGTCATCCATACAGAGCTCGCGCGTCTCCAGGTCCTCCAGCACATGCTGCATATACTGGAAGTCGGACAGGTCGCCCGACACACCCACCAGCGTGTTGTCGCCGACTGCCATCAGGCGCTTCTCTGAACGGAACCGCGCCAGACTGCCATACGACGCCAGAGTATCCGCCGCCATCATGATTCCGTCCTTGTACTTGAATGCAACCACCGACGTACCTGTGACAATCGGCTGCCTACATTTGTAAGTTTCAGGAGTTTAGAGTTATTCGCTGGCAAGAACGAAATGTCCGCCTCTATCCCTTCGATTTCGGTCGCCGATTGCTTACATTGTGCGGCTCACGGCGCCGTCGTTCGCGTTCTCAGCCCGGGGCTGCACAGTGTGCGGCAGCTGAATCTTGATTGCGTCCATTCGCGTTTAACAAAATGCTGCAGAATAAGGGTGTTGAATTTTGAGAAATGGAGTGAAGAAAAGGAGCTAGCGCCTATGCTGTTGCTCTGCGTCTGGTGTGCAAACGCAAGCACATAAAAACGTCACCCTCTCGAAAAAACGGGCAGCGCCGCGCTCCACCTGCCCAATGTGACCTAACTGTCACATGCCTGCCGTTTTGGAAACTTTTGCTGGCTGGCCGAGGTGAGGCCGCTTTCCGTTTTTCTCCCTCTTTGGGGGTTGCGACCCACCACCAGCGTCGGATGTCGGCAAACACTTTAAGATGGGGCAACACCGAGGATGCGGTTGCCTCTTGGCACATGTCCAGGGACATACTCATCCCGCGACACACTTTAGGGCAACTGCCATACATCCGTCAATGTGGAAATCACTTTGCCCGAGGGGTTTAGCCTCTGTAGCTTTCCCCGCTCGCTGGCTCAGTGTGCTCTCCGGAGTTTCATGGTTGCATCCCAGTGACTGCAAACAGTCCGAGAAGTGCGCGGTGGGGGAGGTGGGAATACAAAGCTTCCATGACAAATCAATGCATCCGAAGCTACAATGCACAACCACTGCTATAAATTGGGCTCAGAGCCACCTGTGCCCACTTTAACTAGCACCCACAGAACTAACCAGCGAGAAGAATTGCGCTTCAACCGCCAACCAACTCCAATACACTTTCTCTCCACCACTTCTCGCCATTTATCCTGATACAGCCAAAAACCGAACAATGAAGCTTGCATACTGGAAATACGACGCCGACACTGACGAAGGGCGTGTCAACCTGACTGATCCGTCGCTACGCACTCAGCTCAAAGACACACTAAAGCGCTATTTACGACTGCTGGGATTCCTGACGGTCTTGCTCTGGCTGATCCTTAGCATATTCTTTGGCGCAAACCACAAGCGCGGCGAGCTTGTCAACCGTCTCGAGGTAGACATATTCGACTTTGACCAAGGCGAGTATAGCCAGGAGATTGTTGACACGCTGCTGACAACACCCAGCGACAACACGATGCCCACATGGAAACTCAACACACGGTACCAGAGCCTGGGGCAAGCCAAGAAATACATCAAGGACGACGGATGGGGCGGACTCGTGATCATGCCTGGCATGTCAGATCGCCTGAACAACGCCCTAACTACGGGTGCCAACTACTCAGCAACTGACGCCCTGATGGTGTTGAAACAGGACTCACACCACCCGCTAGTGCAGTTGACCTCTATCCAACCAGCCCTGCGCCAGGCAGTCGTGATTGCGAATTCTGCGATTGCGACACAGCTGCTGCAGCGGCTCCAAGAGTCCACCAGTGCAGAGGCGAAAAACAATGCCAACGTATCCACATTGCTCCATCCAATCGACGCAGTCACAGTGAACCTAGGGCCATACGGGTTTTCGCTCAGCCCACTGCTCGCCCCGCTGAGCCTGCTGATGATGTTTATGTGTACGCTGGTCCCAATGATCATGCTAAAGTTTAGCTCGTACCCAATCTACCAGGCCGTGAGGCATCGCTCGATCTACCTGGCACTAATTACCGTCATCAGCCTTCTGACGCTTGGCTTTTCGTTCTACGGCACGCTCACCTTCCTGGCGTTCAAGGGATCAGGACTACGGCAAGAATCACCACGGGCTCCATATCGATAGCGGGAGGTTTTTTTGCCATTTGGATGACCAGCTGGCTGACGCTGCTCCCGATGGCCTTTTGGCTAAAATCGCTGGTGACCTTCTCTACGCCCGAGTTCATTGCAATGCCCTTCAGTTATCACTATCATTCCCAAGCGTCTGCGCTGGTATTACTGTCGTCAACGTCTGCCCGACTTTCTTCAAGTGGCTTCCAAGCCATGCCGTTTTACCAGGGCACGATGCTGACGCGGTATATTATCAGTGGAGCACACAACCGGGTCGGTGAAAACCTAGGCGTGCTGTTTGGTGAGCTGGTGTTCTCCCTGGTCTTGTTGTACATCTGCACCATGATCCAGCAGCACCAGGTTCATGCCGGTAACGTCGATCGCATGGGCTGGTATCGCGGATCCCCGTATTACACTGGGCCGAATCCCAAGGCGCCCGATGAAGGCCGAAGAAGACACTGCCGACTCCCTTGCCAAGGACCTCGAGAGAGGCAAGGTGCCTATGTACATGCCCGCTGTGTCGCGCAGAGCCGACGGCACCATCCAGATCGCCGAGGACCAGCTTACACAGGATGTTTCGATGCGCAACGAGACTGTTGGTGTCTGATTTTTCTTCGCCCTATTCGGCACCTGCTATACACGCTCTGCTAACTGATACATTTACACATCCAGTAGCGCAAAACAGAAACAGGAAGTGGGCAGAGGGATTGGGGCAGAATTAGCGCGACGATCATCTACGCTGTTCCCTATCATCATTTTTTCTCAGGGCTCTTTTCGTTTTTTTTTCTTCAAATTATCGAATATGGAAAATTAAGCGCCGACAAGGCCGAAATCCCGCCGACAGCCGCCCTTGCATGCCCGTATACAACATGACCTCAACAAACAAAGAATATACTATTCTTAGCGTCGGAGGCGTGGCGGCGGCCCGTTGCTATTTTCTGGGCGCGCATCACCGTTTCATTTTGTGGAGATGTGCACATTAGCGCCATGCCGCCGCCGATATGTGACCGACCCGAAAGTATTGGTCGAATAGCACACATATGCACCAGCGGGTTGTCTTTTCTTTTTCGCCATTTTTTCGGGTTCGCGCTAATGCATAGACGGTGCTAGGTGTGGTGGAAAAATAGCGAGGAAAATTCAACAATGGACGTGTTCGTGGGCGGCGGCTGTTATATATATAGGACTTCATGGCAGCCAGTCGTGGATAAACGACTCATAGACTATGCCCATTGCTCCTGTACCCTTTTCCCACCCACGCCTCTCATTTTGTATCCTCATTTTGTATCTTCATTCTGTATATACCGCGCAGATTTCCCTTACAGTTTTCTAGATAATACCTGTGGTGGCAATGATTTTTCCACAAATGCACAACCCCGAGCTCGACGCCGAGCGTATCAACATCTGGAACAAGTCGCTGTACGGTGCGATTCGCAACCACTTTTTCAAGAACCTGCGTCTGTTGGCCATTCTAACAGTATTTATGTGGTCGCTACTCTCCATCACCTTGGGTTCTAATCACAAGCGCGGCGAGCTGGGGTATCTCCTGAACATCGAGCTGGTCAATCTAGACGATGGCAACATTGGCCATGGACTAACCGAGGCGATCATGCAGATGCCACGCGGGCACACTTCACCAACATGGCGCGTACGCACAGACTTCAAAACAGTCGACCAGGTCAAAGGAGTATGTCAAGAAGGACGGCTACGGTGCAGTTGTCATCAACCCAGGGCTTAGCAGTCGTCTGAACAACGCGCTGCTGACTGGTGCCGCGTACAACGCCAGCGAGGCCATGACGCTGGTTGTGCAGAGCGCGCATTACCCTCTGGGCCAGCTCATGTTTGTCCAGTTCACCACAATGGAGGTAGCTGCACGCACAGGTGCCATGTTTGCAGTCGAGCTTCTTCAGCAGTTCAAGCAGTCATCCGATGATGAGGCAAAGGCAAAGGCAAACCCACAGGCACTTCTCAATCCGATTGGATTCACGGTTGACAACGTCGCTTCATACGCATTTGACCTGGCACCAGTAATGTCGCCACTGACTTTGCTGTTCTGCTTTGTTGGAGTCATGGCGTCGATGGTGTTCCTCAAGTTCGGCACGTACATTACATATCAAAAGGCACGCCAGCGTGATATTTTTCTGGGCAAGGTGTTGGCGCTAACGATTCTGTGTCTCCTGTACACGTTCCAGGGTGCCTTGGCTTATGTGGCATACAAGGGTCCAGAGTACAACTCGGCCCACAAGGCTCACAAGGTCACAGTCGGGCCGGTTCTTCAGCCTGTGGATGACATACTTTTTGACCCTGCTGCCACTGGCATTCTGGCTTAAGGCCATCCTACTTCACACTGGAGCCTGAGTTCATTGCGCTGCCATCAATCTTCACTGTAATTCCGAACCTGTGCTCCGGTATCCAGGTTCCTGAGCTGTGTCCGACATTCTTCAAGTGGTTCAAGGGCCTTCCGTACTACCACGGCTCTATGCTTTCTCGCTACATTATGAGCGGTGCGCATGAGCGGATTGGCATGAATCTAGGCGTGCTGTTTGGCCTCGCAGTATTTTCGCTGATACTGCTCTTCTTTTCGACCATGTGGCAGGAACATCGCATCTCCATAGGCCAAGTCGACTCGATGGGCTGGTACCGCACATCGCAACACTACACCTGGCCCGAACCCCAAGCGTCCAAGGCAAGGTGCTGAGGAAAAGAAGACAATTGACTTGGAGCAGTCTGTTGAGTCGGTTCCTACGACAATTGACAACCGCCACCCTAGGTTTGAGAGCTCGCAGGAGCCACTCAGAGGACGCTCTATGGCACAACGTGCACTTTCCGATGAGTATGAAATTACTGAGGTCAGTATGGCCAACGCTGCAGGTGCCGCAATGTAGAAGGAACGTTTACTTGTGCATATGAATACATGCTACATGGTAAACACTAATCAGGTCATAGAGACTATCAAATGGGACCACTGCAGACACCTCTGATATCTTGCCGTGCACTAGGTCCTTTTTTAAATATATTCACTGCACAGCAAAGAAGCGGTCGTAACGCGCTGGTCAAGCGATGCATGAGAGATACCTCGTCAATGGCGATTAATGCATCGACAAATATGATTATTGGATTGCTCCTAATCATTGGCGCTACTTGTCTGAACTGACCTGCAAATACTACCTGTGACGCAGAAGGCCTTAAGCATACTACCAGATACCCAATGTGTGATAGCCGAGAAATATGTCACGAGGTGACCGCTTATCCATCCGCCTGACCAAAGGGACATCCTGACATTGCTGACATGCTTACACCCATAGCAACAGGGCAAACAGCAACATTTCTCTAATCCTAGGATGCATGAATGTTGACTAAGGAAAACAGGAAATATGCGGTTTGCGTACTGAGAGGTGGCAGACGTCGAGTGGTATTAATTATTGCCAAAAGCTTTATGAGTCCGATCGCGGGAGCAAAGAAAAACAGAGCTAGAATTCTTGCGTGTTTCTCGTTTCAGCCACACTTGGATCCTCTGAAGAGGTTATGAAATAAAGCAACAAACTATGCGAGTCGTTCCAACATGCTGCCGTTACCCGTTATATATGGCCACCCGCACTACGCCTCGCTGCAGCACGAGACACGCAACAATGTGACAGCAGATTTGAATTTTATTTACCGAGCCCAGAAAAAAGAGCAGCGCACTCGCGGCGTGTTTTATTAATGACCACTAGCGTCTGGTGCGTGCTCTTGAGCGCCGCCCCGCATGAAACAATGGCAGAGAGCAGCGTTTGAGCCAGTTCTGATGCCGGAATGCTCTTTAGAGCCGATACAGCAACCTGCAGCAAATACGCAAGCCAGCTCCAGATGCTGGCACCAATGTAGATAAGTTGCTGCATTATTTTTGGTGAAGGGGGAATAGGAATAGTTGCTGGTCGCGCAGATTCGCAAAAGGCGACATCCTGCGTATTTATAGTTGGCAGATTGACCACCGTGGAACAAGTCTCCACTGCGCTGATATCAAACACTCACTTCCGTATAAATGTGATATAATGTGCGGGGAGCAGCAGACAGAATAGTTCAGAGCAGCTCTTTCTTTCTCTCTTCCGCCGACGCCTTCATCCGCTAACATATCCTCGAATACCCCTCATATACTTGCCATACCATGGAGGGCAACATCCGACCCGCACAACTCTTTCACTCTGGCCGTGTCGCAGATTACACGCGACACCGGTACATACCTGCGAACCATCCTGCCACAGACGGTGCTGGTTCTATTGGCTACGTCGGGTAATTTTACCGGTATCGCGCTCAGCATATTCGCTGTTGACCTATTCAGCGAGTCCGACGCATGGATTTGGGTACCCTGAGCTGCCCAAGATGATTCTAGCGTTGGGACTGTTAACCATGACTGGAGCCCACTTGGCTTTGGCAGGCGTTTTGGCCAAGCACTGGCCATATATAGCTGCGTTTATAGGGTACAGTGTACTGGTACTCAGCGGTGCGCTAAAGATTGCCTTTACTACAATGACCGTCCCTGCAACCATCGAGAGCGATTTCAGGTCCACATGGGAGGGTATGTACGAGCATAACAAGTTCAGACTATACCATATTGAGCGTGCCTACGGCTGCTGCGGCTTTATGAACGCTACCGACCATGCAGTGCCAAAAGTATGCAAGAAATCCCCCGAGTTTGGATACGAGGAAGGTTGCTTCCAGTTTCTGAAGCACGAGACCCAGGTTCAGTGGGCAAGAGCATTTGCCTGGACCATGGGTGCCGCGTTGGCGCAGCTTGTCCTACTTGGAATTGGCGCATTCGTTTACGCACGTGCTGGTAACGGCCTGCATCTAGATGATGAGCAGGAAGAATATGCCCCTCAGGATCCGGAGCGCGGCTGGTTTGTCCCCGAGCGGCAGGCAGAGCGCGAATTTCTGCAGCAGCAACAAGCGGGCAGCATCACACCGACAACCGATGCTCCAGCTGTGGCAACCCTGCAAGTAGCAGTCCCAGGACCTTTAACTCAGTCTCCTGATCCGCCGCAACTATCGGTGATTCCCACTGGACTGCCCGCCGAGTCCCAGGATGCACCTCCGCAGAAAGGCAACGGCATTAAACTACCAGAGCAAATTGTGCGCTCGTCGCATGGTTTGATCGATCATTTTTACCGACATCGAACAGAAAAGGCCGAGAACGGTGGAAGGGGAAGCAGTGGTGGTGGAAAGCAGGTGCTTCAGGACGGTCAACGCTAGGTCCAGGGGTCGCCGCAGCAGCAACCAGAGGATGGCTCAGGACCATCGGACGCAGTATGAGAATCTTGCAGCAGAGGGTCTTGCTACCTACCTGAGGAACTCCCAGTACCTGGCCGATGCTGCCGATATGCGTGCATGAGCGACTGGCTCCTCTAGGCATAGCTCAACAGTATGACATTGGCCAGCGGCTCGTGCGCAGTGACGCAATAGTCATACCGGTAATTGGAGCTGTGTGTCCATGCCAGATGCCTCCCCGCAATCACACCGCGTGGCACGGAAGTAAACATTCTAATGCACACCTGCTCGGATGGCCAATATCTAAGGACCTCTGTCCAGCGACAGTGGCCACCTGTTCTTGGCACCCGATAGCTCTTTCTATACCAGGGTATTCTATTCATTTTAAACGCCTATTTTCCTATACTGCTTCTGTGAATATGCTGACTCTTAACACCTCCCAAGCGCGGGCAGTCTTCAAGGGGCTGCACATGGCACTGAACAGTATCACTGGCCTGGCCGGTCTCTGCATGCTCGCTCTGGGAATCACCGGGCTCACGCAGTCCTTCAAGATCTTTCACCGACAACACCTTCCCCTGGCTTGCGGTGTCCCTTGGCGTACTTGTTGTCACAGCCTCAGCCATCGGCATCACTGGGTGCATCAAGGAGAGCAAATACCTGATCGGCTCGTACACTGGCGTGCTGGCGCTCCTGGTTCTCTTACAGATAGCAACGGTCATCATTGCCTGGCTGCAGCCCGAGGGCACGTTGGTCGACCGATTCCGCAACGAGTGGCAGCACCTTTACGTGAATGATCCAAAGATGCTGAAGAGGCTCGAAAAGGCAAATATGTGCTGTGGATTCTCGACCCCAGCTGACTTTGCACTACCCACGGACTGCTCAGTCAACAAAAAATTCGGGTTCACCCAGGGATGTCTGCAGCCGCTGCTGAACAATTGGAACCGCACGCGCGGATGTGTGTTGGCGGCAGGAATCATACTTGTCGTTATTCAGATGCTGGCACTATCAGTGGGCACCGAGATGATCCGTAGATACAAGCTCGATGATAGAGCGCCGTCAGACCGCGAACATAACTCTGAGACGTCGCCCTTACTGGCCTAACACAGCACTTCTCATATCCGTCATAAAAAACCGTGTCCTTTATTTCCAGATCTACAAATTTTGTTGCATGCACAACCAACATGTCTACCAGCTGGGCGTCACGTCCTCCCAGTTCAAATCCCTAATGTTTTTCTTGCCCTTCATACCTGCGTAGCTGTGCTGTTTTGTAGACTAGAACAAATGCGATTGTGATAATGTACCTGTGCTCAAAAAGTGAGTCGAGTAAGCTAATGAAAAAGAAAAAGATTCCGAGCGAGCGCCAGGAGCATTTATAGTCTGATCAGGATATGTGGCTACCCATGTGCACTAGCTGCAAAGGCATCTAGCCCACTGTCGACATATTCGCATTGTTGCGCAGCTGATGATGACCGCCATGATGACGCCATGGCAATTGTCAAGTCGACCGACAACGAGAGCGGCTTTCACGCTGAACCAATGGAGATATCCAGCAGAGGCCTGCGATCACTACAACTACAGCTTGCTGCTCTGGCTTCGCTGATGCACTCAGATACCGCACAGCAGCGAAATCTTCAAAAACGGCAGCGCGCAGCATTTGTAGCTTTCCTTTCTCTTTTCCTTTAGTTTTGAAATCCAAACTTATCCACATTCCCTTATTAGCACAACAGTAGAATATCTTTATCTTTACCTATATATAAGATTTTGTAGTCCAAAAAGTGTCCGACCGTCCGCTAGAAATTATTTAGGCACCCTGATCTCAGTGTGCTCACCCCGCCGATGCTTGCAATCTACAAGCTGGCACCAGTCCTTAATGCCTATGATGCCAAGTACAGATTCGCCAAAGACAGCTGATACTATGATGCCAAGGTAAATCCACTTAAGCATCTGCGTGCATACATTCGCCTATGCCAGCTTATCGAGAATGAGCAGCTTGGCAAGTCTCCCCCCCCCCAATGCTTGCCTCTGCGGACATCATGGATCCCAGGCCATGTGCGCTTAGACAAGCAAATAATCAAGCAAGTGTTTATTTCGAAAACACGCGAGCAGGTTACCAAGATCAACGCAGCAAAGAGGGCAGCAACAGAGGCAAGGAAAGCAGCAGAAAGGGGCGAAAAATTGGCTAAGAAGGCTGCATGTGAAGCAGCGAAGATGCCATCGGATGAAACAGAGGCCACTGCAGCAACTACAGCAGTAGCAGCTGATTCACTTGCTGCTGCATCGGCGGGAGCAGCAGACACTGTTGCAGCATTTAGCAATGCATATGCACCAGCACCTCCAGTCTGTGCACACGACCCGGCCCAAGGGATTGCACAATCTGTGTGGGATGTGTGGGGCCGGGTCGCAGATCTAACATCAAAGCCATTTAAGGCACATGGTGATAGAAAATTCCACGGAATGGCAACAGCAGACGGTGTAACAATATGCACTTTGTTACAAGACAAGGTACCTAAGGCTGGTGCTGCAGGAGGCAATGCTGTGGGAGGCGATGCTGTGGGAGGCAATGCTACAGCTAACTGTCGCTATATCCACCAGATCCCACAGCCAGAGCTGCAGAATCTGAAAGGCCGCTGTGTATTCATCGATCCAGGTCGGGGTGATTTGCTATACATGATGCACGAAAATAGCAGCAATGGGAAAGAGGGTGAAAAATGCTCTACCGCTACACACGGCAGCAGCGCAATAAGGAGCTCAAGCTGCGCCACTACGACAGGATTCGTCAGGCTACAAAGGATCAAGTCCCAGAAGATGCTGTCCGCAGAGCAGAGGCAGAGCTTTCCAAGCACTGCTGCCGGACCCTTAGCCCAGCAAAATTCCGTGCCTACGTTGCTGCCCGTGCATCTGTGCGGTGTGTCCTAGCACCGTTTTATGCCAGCACGATGACAGCGCGAAGGTTACCAGAGCAGCAGCCCACTAAGTCAAACAAGCAGCACCAGAGGCGCTGGAAGGCCCATCCAGGTGTCAGTACCAGTCCCAAGGTGTACCCGCTTCACCGCAAGCTGCGCCTTGATTCATTCATGAACCAGGCCCATGCAGACCACAGGCTTGCCGCGAAACTCCGGAGCAAGTTCGGTCCAGATCCAGTGCTGATCATGGGCAATTGGAGTGCGCCGATGGCCCGACACCATGCGCCGATTCGTGGCAAGGGATGGCGCGACAAGTTCAAGCACCATGGCTTTGAAGTCTATCTGATCGACGAATTCCGGACATCGTCGATGTGCCCGTTCTGCTGCGAAAAGTTGCTGCAGACATTCCGGCATGTTCCCAACCCGCAGCCCTACCAGAGATCGAAGAACCCAACTGTGAAGTGCCATGGCCTTCTCCGTTGTACAAGCGAGTCATGTAAGCGGGCGATGGCACAATACAGGCGAGCCTATTCGTCTCGGCTCTTGAACCGCGATCTCGCAGCAGTTCTAAACTTCAGGCTCATTTTCCAGTCACTCTGTGATTCAGGCAGTATTCCTGAACGGTTCCGTCGTTCTACGGCCATTGCTGCCGATGCTTCTGGCACCACCCCTGCAACAAAGAACCCGTGCAAGAGGCGTGCAGCAGCAGGCAATTCTGCTGCCAGGAGCAGCGAACCAGCGCTGAAGCGCCTGCGCTGAGCAGGCCATCAAGATGGGAGATGTCCATGATCGCCATTGCACCAACAACCATCCGACACGTTCAAATGATCGGTTCGCCGTGATGCCTCTTATCGACGTGTCAACCCATGCTGACTAGCAGCCGAGCTCGCATCGCGAGCAGAGTATTTCTAGTATTCAGTTAAACCCCACATTCATCAACCCAACAGCATCAACCATTACCCCTATTGTCTGCAGGGCTGTGGCCAGACTGGCTCCAGTACTAGACAGCACAGGGCTACCAAACATGTACAGTAGCAGCCCAATCCATCGACTGCTTTACTCTCTATTTTTGCTACATATGAAACAAACCTATACCAGCGACACCTTGCGGTCGAACTTGCTGAGACGCACCTGCCCTGCCTGACGCAGCGACTGGCCACCAGACATAAACTCGCCTAGCTTGCTCTCAACCTGCTGCCCAGGCAGCTGGAACACTGATGACGGCAAAACACTGCGCATCTGCGCTGTAAACACCGATGACGATCCAGCCGAATGCTCGCTGCCATGGACTGATGACTGGCCCGCAAGCGCGCTTGGACGCAGACGCGCACCCTTGGGGTTTGCAGCACCGTTGGGCTTGGATGCCCAGGGATACGTCAGACTGCTCGAATGAACCGGCTTCAGCGTGCGCTCGAAGAACTCGGACGGGGTGGCAAACTCGCCAGTGCACTTCATGACATCGTAGTAGGTCGCCAAATGGCCATTGGCAGCGGAATTCTGGGCGGCCGGGCTGCTGTTGTTATTGTAGTGCAGCGGGGTTGTGTCGGGGGACCGGCAGTCGTCGCCGGTGGAATTACGAAACAGCGACATTGGGGCAAGACGAACAATGAAGAAAGAGAAGGACGGGTTAAGAAATGTGCCGTATGTATAAAGTTAAGCAGCGTGGAATGTGTAAAAAGAAAAAGTGGCGAAGGGTGAGCAAGAATGGGACACGCCTATCCCTCGAATCCCATGCGACGAATGTATTCCAGCTCCTCCTCGGCCGACAAGGCATCGCCGCCGGTCCAGATCATCGACGAGTTCCGCGGCTTGCGCTTCTCGCCCTCCTTGCGGCCAAAGATTTCCTCGACTCGGATCGGCCGCACCTTGCCAAAGATGCGGTCCGGATTGACCCGCTCCTGCTGCTTCAGGCCCTTGATCAGCTCCGGTGTGGTCGCCCAGCGCGGCGTCTTAAAGTCGTTCTTCTTTTTCTTGTTCTTGGCCGGCGAGAACTCCTCGTCCGAGTATTCGTCCGAGTATTCGCTCTCGATCTCTGGCGGCGAGTTCGAGCCAGCAGGCATTATCGATGTGTATTCGTCCGAGTAGTTTCGGTCCTTGAGCGGAGTCGTAAACGACATCGCCATGTGGTCCTGCTCCGACGAGTCCACCGAGAAGAACGACGACCGGAACGACGATACGCCAGAGATACGGTGTGATTGCCGGCTGCGCCCGCTGCTGCTATCTTGGCTGGCCGCACTCATCTGGCTGGACGACCGGCGTAAAGGCACAGCCATGTCCTGGTACTTTGGCATCACCAGCTGCGACCCCTTGCTGCCAGCGTGCTCGGGACGCGGCTGGTAGGGCGTCTGTGGGCTTGCCATGTCGTACGGGCTGGTATTGTGTCTTGGGCCCCCTGGCTGCGCAGTTGGAGTCTCGGGCATCATCTGCTTCGGCTGCCTGGACACAGACTCTTGTGACGAGCTCTTCCAGTTGGCTGGCGATAGCATCGATATCATTGATCCAATGCCCCAGCCAGACTCCACTGACGACGACACTACCTCCTTGTCCTTGCCCTTGCCCTTGCCAACAGCATGCTGTGACGGAGTCTTGCGCGGCATCGGCAACGGAATTGCACTGGCCAGCTGCTGACGCTGGCTATCGACAGATGACAGAGTGTCTTGAGTCCGCACGCTGCTGTTCGACGGCCTGTGGTTCAGCATCTGCTCCTGCGATGCCTTCTTGCTGCCAAGACTTTGCTTGCTCTTGCGATGGCTGAGCGCCGATACAGGTCGCGACACAGACTTGAACACAAGCTCACTCGCCGCACCACCTTTAGGTGTCTTGGCAGCACGGGCCCGCCCTGTTTCGCGCATGGCGGCCAGTGATGGCTTCTTGGTTTTTGTCTTTGCCACGACTGGCTTCGCTGCTGAAGGAGCGGTGGATGTCATAGCGCTGGTCGGCCGGATACTGGCATACCCAGGCCGCATCGCCACCACCGAGCCCTTAAACGGCACATCCTTGCCGTCCGGTCCCTCGAACCGCTTTCGGGTAGCTGCAACATGACCTATTGCTGATGCTGACGAAGACGACGACAGCGGCGGTGCTGCCGCTGCTGCTGTCGGACCAGCGGGGTGAGGAATCTTCGAGTTGGGTGCGACCCGTGACGGCGGTCTGCGAATCGATCCACTCGACGCAACTGTCGACGAGCTGGTCTGTGACCGCAGTGTGGGCTTGCGGGTTGACCCGCCTGTAGCGATGCGCGACCGGGTCCTCGCCAGCGACGACTGTGTGGGCGTCAATAGATGGGTGCGAGCAGTGCCACCGCTTATCGCTGATGTGCTGCTGCTAGGCATGTCGTCTCCCGAATGCTTGCGCTTCCCCTTGATGCCTGCCGGGTGCTTCATCACAGGCTTGGCAGTGTCCGGCTGCTTTTCCACACCGACATTATCCAGCGAGACTTCCAGCGGCTCTAGGTCAATATCGAACGTCTACAAACAGACTGTCCTTCTTCAGCCGACGCGCAGATGCATTAGACTGCTGTTTCTTCTCCTCGCGCCTATGCTGCTCCTCCTCATCGCCGCTGCTGGGGGCAATCATGGCCTCAACGTCCTCGATCCCCTTTTGCAGGTCGCACAAGTCGTCTTGTACCGAGCTGTTGGACATCGTGCTACGCTCCTCTTCCTCCTCAGTGATCCGCGACAGTTCCGCATGGTCTCCCTGTGCCATCTCGATACTGACACGTTGCAGTTTCTCGCGCACGTCTTCTTCACCGCGTGTCATCTCCACATGCTCTGTGGGCTGCTCGCCATCGCTCGACACGCTCGGCTTGCTGGGCAGCTGTTCCGACACTGATGACGACGACGAGATCTCCTCTGACGACTGCGACGTGCGGCGCTTCTTGGACTCTATCGACAAGCTGCCCATATCGTAGCTGATATTGGTGACCGGACGCGTCGGGGTCTTTTGCAGTGCTGTGGGTGGCATCAGCAGATCACGCAGTGTAGGCATCGAGGTTGGTGTAAACTTTGGATGTACTGGCCGGTTTGCCGACATGGGTGATGTGCGCGGATGCGACTGCGACTGCGTGGTGAGAATCGGCGTAGCCTTACGCTGAACCGGCCCTGCCGACCGTTCCTGCAGCGGCTCATACAGAGCCGGTGGCTTTACTGGCAACGGCGTCTCTGGTGCCGTTTCCATCCCACCGTCGTCTTCGTCACCGGTATCGGGAATCGCTGGTAGCAGCTGGCCAGAGTTCAGCGATGTGGGGATATGTGGGATCATCGGCCCGTGCGATAAGGCCCACGACAGATTGCTGTCGTTATGTGTGCTGTCCTGGGACGGCGCTCTGCCAATATCGATGGTGCGCACTCTCAGCGTCCCGAGCGGCGACATTTGCGTGGCCTCTGGTGGCAGGTAGTCGCCGCCCTTGCCTTGTCCAAACACATTCCGCACGTCTCTGTGAATACGTCCACGCCGCCGTGCCGAAGACGTTTTTAGCGCTCTTGTAATAGCCCTACCAAAAAATTTTGTTTGGTCGTTAGCCAGCATGTCAGAAGCACCTTACTGTCAGAATACTGCGTTTTCTGTGCTTCTTACATGTCGGGCCGGTCGTCGTTGATCTCAGCCATGCTCTGGGTGTAGAGTGACAGCCAGTTGTCGTTTTCGTGCAAAGTAGCCTCCAAATCGTTGTACTTTTCGAGAAACGCATTGTCCCAATCGCGTTTGCGCTGGCTCAACCACGCCCTGCCACCGCCCAGGGTGCTGTGCCTTCAGCTGCTCTTGCTGGTGCTCGTATGCGACTGCCGCTTCGCCCATTGTCGGTAGTGTATGTGTAGCAAGGGGGTGAATTAACGTAAACAAATATGTGAGAAATTGAGTTGTTAATTGAGCGCGAAAAGAAGCAGCCAAGGTAAAAAATTCTGAAAGCTACTGAGCACTAATCTGGAAACAGCCAATGCCGTCTGATTGGCCCTAGCTTTGTTTTGGAAAACACGCTGATACTGGCACTCGCATGAAATGAAGTGGGCGAGAGTTTATTAGAGTCGCTTGAACGAGGAGTGTGAGTTGCAAAATAAAGTCAAATGTGGTTTTTTTTAGTGAGGGCTAGCTGGCTTCACGGTGGCACCCGATGGTGAACTCTGGCACCTGCGGCAGATACGCGTACGAGCTGAGCTCAAGCGTATACAGGTCATCAAAGACCTCCTGGCCATTATATCCGCCATGCAAGAACAGCCTGCCGTCGTCCAGGGCGCAGGCGTGATACCCGCGGGGCTGCGGCGCAACGCCATATATAACGCGGGTCTCCCACCTCAGCGTGTCGAGCTGCAGCATCAGCACCTGGTTGGCATACTCTGAGCCATCGTGGCCGCACACCACAAACAAGTACATGCCAACCAGCGTGGCTGTGTGGGCCAGGCGGGTCAGCGGCGGGTCAATAGCAATATGTGACCACTGCATTGTGGTCAGATCCAGCAGCGATGTGTCGCCAAAGCATTCCTGGCCGTCAGACCCGCCAAACACAACTACCTGGCTGCCCACCAGCGTCGTTGTGTGGTATCCGCGCGGGAACGGCCTGCCGCCAGACGTCTCGACAATCTCCCATTCATAGGCGCCCTGCGCGTTCGGCTCAGCCTTGACGCGGTACAAGTCGTTCAGCGCCTTGTGGCCGTCGCCACCGCCGAACAGATACACATACCCGTTGTGGTGGAAGCAGGTGTGCGTGCGCCGGGCCGACGGTACCTGCCCAGCCACCTTGGGCTTGGCCCACACCAACGACTTGGTGTCAAAGACGTACAGCTCGTTGAAGTAGCGTGTCCCATCGCCGCCGCCAAACACAAACAGCCGGTGGTCCACTGCCGTCGACGTGTGCGCACGGCACGCCGGCACATGGTCGCCTGTCGTCTGCAGTCAGCGTCCAGAACATGGTCTCTGTGTCCAGCACATAGACGTCCGAGTAGCACTTTTGGTTGTCCCACCCACCAAACACGTACATCAGCGAGCCCACCATGTTCATTGTCTGCGACCGCATCTTTGGCGGCCGCTGCCCCCACGTCTTGCGCTTCGACCAGTACATGGCTGGCGTCGGTGCCCGTGGCTCCATCCCTTGCTGAATTGTCGAGCGCCGGGCTGCTGCTGCGATTGGCCGTGCGGCGGCTCTCGCACCAGGCTCCTCCTCCTCAGCAATGGGCTCTGGCGAGTAAGCAGTGCCGCGCAGCGTGTGCGACGACAGTTTATTTTTCACTAGGCTGCTCTGCGGCATGCCTGCGTCGGCCGGCAACGGCGGCGGGCTCAGCTTGCGAGTCTTCAACATGGTCATAGCTGCGGGTTCTGAATTGCTGCCAGGGGCTTTGTCTTCGGGAAGCTTGAGCGACGTCGACCGTTTCGTGCGAATGACCGGAGAAGCGTTGGAGATCCCCAAGAGAGCAGTTTTAGGCGAAGCGAAGGAATTGGGGAAATGAGGTGAAAGTGGAGAAGAAGTCGCGGAAGCTGGGGTTATCGGATTGCTCCCGCCATTGTTGATCGCAGGGCTTGTCTTCAGCGCTGCCGCTATCTGCGACGGCAGGTGAGACTGTGCCGGCATCGTTGCCCGCTGCTGCCGCCGAACCCCCGCCATGTACGCTGAGCTCGACAGCTGCTCGCTCTCGCTGTCGTCCCACTGCAGAGCAAGTGCTGAAGCGTCCTCTGCGCGCCGTGCCGAGGATGTCGTTGGCCGGGCGCCCGCCATGCGGGACCGCAGGGAGGCCATGCTTTTGTTATTGTTGATGTTGTCCATCACTTTATTTTTGCTTCTTTTCCCCTGGGCTTGGCCGCTGCTGATTGTCTAAAAGCCGGCCGGTCTGTAGGAATGAACGGGGAGGTGCGCGACTGAGAATACCCGCGTAAATATTTCTCTTTCAAGAGCCGTTGGCTTTATTTATAGCTCTGTGGACTGTGAAACCACAAGAGTCCGACGGCTTCTGTTTCCGAAACCTTGTTTATTATTTAGGGAACTGCCAGGTACCTAAAGTCCCCCGCAGCTCAGATCAGTACCAAAGATAAAGTTAGCGATGCCGCAAACAAAAAAGAGTCAGTGCAATCGTGCAGTAGCGAAAAAGAAAAATAGTGCAGCGAAATAATGAATGAAGAAAAGACAAGAGAGTGGAACCTCTTGACAGAGCAAAGGATCTGTCTTGCCCGAAAACCTGCTGGCTCTGAAACCTCTCGTTGAAGATCGCAGAGGCGCGTCGCACAAAGGCAAACAGTGATAACTTTAATCTTGAACAGTGGTCCCGCACTCACGCAAGTGGGTTCATTAACGCCAACCAGAAACCCCTCTTCTCCTTCTGCACATAAAAAGTTGGGGGGTAGCCAGCAGACGAGGAGGCATGCTGGCTGCCGATATGTGCGTAAATGGCATGCGAGATCTCTAGTCCAGCTTCCACAGAAAAAAGGTAAACACTGGAGCGATCGTTTCGCGCAGATAAAAATGGTAGGGGATGGGTACGGAGCGTGCACGGCCCGTCGTCCCATTTCCTGCGCCAACCAAAAGAGCAGCCGAAACCAGCTGGCTCGGACAGAGATAAGGCTGTGCGCGCTAACCAGATAACTGACAGCTTTTTCTCCGGGCTCATGAACTCTAAAAAAAACGTTTGCAGTGCTTATTTCCAGAAAGGCTCGCGCTGCAGACCTGGAAATTAAACGGAACGGCGATTCAGGGGACGAGACCATGGAGCATCGCGTTGCTTCTTTGAACCGCGGAGCCTGCCATACCAAGGTCCAGCTGACTGCTTTCCGGCAGGAAAGTGGCCTGGACTGAAACCTGGGTCATGTGGGAACGAAATGATCGGGATCAGCAATAATTATGTGATTAGGGGTGTGCACGCGACATGCAGAGTGCAGCATCTGTCGGACACAGCTGTCCACTCCCCAAGAGCCATGGCTGCCCTGGTGTAGCTACTGGTGGCACAGTATGAGCCATGCAGAAATAGCCCCCGCAATAATACCAGGGTGCAGAGCTGATGCTTGCGATGAAGTAAAGGCAGATATATGCGCCCAATATATACATTGCTCAAGCATTAGCACCCGAGTTTTCAGTCATCTATATTAGTCCCACATTCACCTAGGGTGTGCTAGTTTTATATTGTGCATATCTGCTTAACCGTCAGCTGTCAAACAACAGTGGACAGACAGCTATATCAAATACCCACTAGTCCATATGTTGCCACTGAGAAGCCTGCTAGAAAGAGCACGTCTAACGGATAGAGCAACTTTGGTGCAGCGACTACTAAACCTCTCGACCCAAGCGAGTGATATACAAATACACTCTGTAGATCATAGCTGATTGTTCGCTGTTGTCATTGTTATCGGAAATTAATTTATACAAAAGCAGAAGGTCATATTCGATCACATACATCATATCAACGTAGGAGTTGACGCCGCCCAAAAGCGCAGTGCAGTGCTGCTCCTCCTGACCACAGTGAACTCAATGCTCCTATCTGAAACACATGTTGTAATGTGCCTCGGCCCTGCAAGCTTGCTGCAAGATTAAGTCGGATCCAGACACGTCTGCCACATACATGTTTAGTACATATGCACCGTGATTATATGCAGAGTTTCACATACGCCCAGCATGCACAGCGACATGTCGCTTATCTTCTGACATGTTCCCTGGCGAGCATCGGTGTATCTCTCTCCACCCGCAACCGACCCGGTTCCTGCGTGCAGAATACTCTCCAGCTCCAACGTTTTCTGCATGAGCCGCACCAGAAGCCAGGGCGGCAATATGATTAGTGGATCGCGATCAGCAGAATGCGTGATCATCCGTCCAGCCAATCAGCGCGTTTTGGGGGCCACCTGGCCTGTAAATGGCCCCCTCTTTGCCAAAAATAATCTGCCCTTTGCACTGCCCCCACCAAGACAATTTTCTGCGGTTTTTCGAAATCCTCCTCACACAGCGACGGCCAAGGAATCACGGAAAGAACCACGAAAGAGCAAAAAGCAGAGCAAGAAAAAATTTTCTGGCCGCAGAGCATATTTTTCCTTACACTTTTTGACACTAAGCGAAGAGGAGAGCCTGCCTTCTACCGCCCTCTTCTACAACACATATCTTCTAACCCCGTCCCCTCTACCGGGTGTGCACTGGGACCTCATCTCTGTCTCTTCCCCCTCTACAAAAAGCCCTGCTTCAGCTTGAAAAAAAGGAGCGGGCTTGCGTTTAGCTTGGAAAAACTCTTCTCACGAATTTTTTCTTCTTATTTTTTCGCCAATTCCGCACCCGCAAGCGCGCGCCTGGGCAATTTTTCCCTCACCATAGCGACTCATTTATTTTGGGGTGGCTTTTTTTTTTTTGGTCATTCTTCGGCCTTCGGTGAGCTTCAGTCAGATTTTTATCACCCCGCCAGCCCCTCACAGACACCCGCCAGCGCTGTTATTTTTCGCTTCGCTCATAACTGGTGGCTATGGTCAGTCATGCTCAGCGGTTCCGCGCACGCAAGGTCGACCTCCGACGCGCCTTGCCCGTCTACCGCGCGACGGACCTCGACGACCTAGAGGATGACGATAACCGGCAAGTCGATGCCATCGAGACTGGCGTGGAAAAGGACGAGGAGGCGGTAAGTACACGCGGCCAACACCTAATCCCAAACCGGTTGTGGATTACTGGATCATATGGCTGATTTACTGTGTTCTTTTTGTAGGAGCACCATCTGCAAGCGGCCATCTCAGCCACACACGCGGCACACACGGGCGGCGCGCCGGCCAAGCAGGTGTACATCCCGACGCCAGATGCGTCGAAGCGCATACCGGGCTACGATAGGCTGTACCGCAAGGACTTCAAATGCCCGACGTCGCTAATCCGGTCGTCCGAGACTGTCGAGGAGTGCTGCGCACCCATGTATTGCATGGATGACAACGACGACACATGGCTGGCGGCGACGAATAAGAAACGGGGGAAGGTGGGGCTGCTGCAGCTCAGCGCCGACCAGTTCGAAGCTGCCATGGACCAGCTGGAAACGCTAACCAAGGACATGGTTTTCACACGGGTAGAGGACATCCCAACCATCGAGTACCTTGCAGCCCATGCAGCTGACCGCGATCGGCCATTCGATGTGTCGACAATCGGGGTTGTGTTTGAGCACTGGCAGGAGCGGCGACAAAAGGCCGAATTCAAGCCAATCATACCAGCGCTGCAGTTCGAGGACGTGTCGAAGACCGAGATTGACCCGTATGTGTGTTTCCGGCGACGCGAGGTGCGCCAGGGCCGCAAGACCCGGCGGGCGGATCAGAGATCACTGGAGCAGATGCGGCGGATGCGCAGCAATCTGGCATCTGTGGCACAGCTCCTGGACTCGTGCTTGGCACGCGAGCAGGCCAAGCTGGAGATCTCAACCGAGTCGCTGACCATCACACACCAGCGGGCCAATGTGCTGCGCATGCGCCGCAAGCTCAACGCAACGGTGCAGGAGTTCGACGACCTGTTTGTGCCGCCAGTGCAGCAGCGCAAGCGGATGGGAGCTCGCGATCCGACCCAGCGTGGCGCTCGTGGCAATGCCCGCAAGCCCAGGATTGCTTCGGGGCTGGCCACTGCTGCTGCCGCTGCTGCCGCTGCTGCCGCTGCTTCGGGCAATGCGTCGCCGCGTGTGGCCTCTGCACTTGGCGACGCGGTTGTGCCCCAGCCGTATGCACTCCCGCGGACAGTACCAGTGCACCAGTACCCGGCACCCAAGCATATGGTCGAGATGCAGGAGCAGCTGCGGTCACGTGTAGCAGAGCATGACCAGCAGCTGAATGGCGGCTGGGTCGACGCAACCTTCAATGGTGGTCTCTTGCTGCACACAAACCCAGCGATCAACCCATTAATGGCGTCGTTCTGGTCGCCGCAGACGACGCCTGCCCATGCATACCGCGTGCGTCGTGGACGACTCGGCAGAATGTACCTGGACCGCAGGACTGTGCGCTCGCACTCCGTGCCCACGAGAAGGTGCAAAAATACAGACTCGGGTTGCTGAAGCCAGACGATTTCGCCAAACTGCGACCCAGCCAGTCGAACAAGTCTGTGCCAGCACTGTCATCTGTGGGCTGCCTGAGGACTTACTTAAGCCGTTTACGTTCACAGCATTGCTAGTCGACGCTGGCCAGCAGGGCAGCGTGAGGCAGCCACAGTCGCAGCCCCTGACACCGCCCAATGCCAATAATGTGCCCACTGACAGTGTGTCGGCCATGAAGTTGTCGCTGTCATCGGTGTCATCGTCATCATCATCGTCAACGACAGTGGGCCAGCCGCTAACGCCACCACTGTCGATCATTGGAGCTGCGTCTTTGCCAGAACTGTCGATTACACCCACGCCGACGTCGCTGTTGGAGAAGGGTACGTCACCGCGCACGCCGGTGTCATCGATAGGCTCAGTTGCTGCAACAATCAGCAGTACCCCGAAACTGGTCACTGCCGATGACTCGGCCCTGATGACGGCCAGGCAGACGGTGCAGCCGCCGCCAAGCATGTCGCGGGCAATGCCAAGCAGCAGCCCAGCGATGAGCACTGTCGCCGCCAGTCATCCGCCACCCGCATCTGCTGCTGCACAGGCTGCTGCTGCAGTTATTCGCAGCGCAGCGTCCGCAGCTGCTGGCATGACTGCGTGGCCGCAACAGCATCGTCCAGAGTCTTCCGGTCCACCATGGCACCGCCACTGGATAACCTCTGCCCCCCCCACTAAAAAAAAAACCTCTCGGCGCTTCATTTCGAACCCACCATTCCTCCTCCCGTCTTCGTCTCGACTATATTTTCTCCTTTCTTTCGTGCCCTGTACTTTTAACTTATATAAATGCATTTGCGCAAACACACCGTGTATTATGTATTGGAAATTGTGGTGGTACATGTTTAAACCTGGAATGGGATATTGTAGTGATGCTATTTGAGACACTAGACAGAATAAAACCATTGTGCTCCTCTGAATACACAGCGGCCATTCAGATTCTGCATCTCTGGCTGTGGGATCTGGTGGATATAGCGACAGTCAGCTATAGTATCGCCTCCCACAGCATTGCCTCCCGCAGCATCGCCTCCTGTAGCATCGCCTGTAGCCATCAGCATCTACTGCAGCATCAGCCTTGAATATCTTGTCTTGCAACAAAATGCATATCGTTATACCAACTGTTGTTGCCATTCCGTGAAATTTTCTATCACCATGCGCCTTAAATGGCTTTGATGTTAGATCTGCGACCCGGCCCCACACATCCCACACAGATTGTGTGATCCCTTGGACCGGGTCGTGTGCACAGACTGGGGGTGCTGGTGCATATGCATTGTTAAGTGCTGCAACAGTATCTGCTGCTGCCGCTGATGCACCAGCAAGTGAATCAGCCGCCACTGCTGCAGTTGCTGCAGTGGCCTCTGTTTCATCTGGTGGCATCTTCGCTGCTTCGCGTGCAGCCTTCTTGGCCAATCTTTCGCCCTTTTCTGCTGCTTTCCTTGCCTCTGTTGCTGCCCTCTTTGCTGTGTTGATCTTGGTAACCTGCTCGCATGTTTTCGAAATAAATACCTGCTTGATTATTTGCTTGTCTAAGCGCACATGGCCTGGGATCCATGATGTCCGCAGAGGCAAGCATTGGGGGGAGACTTGCCAAGCTGCTCATTCTCGATAAGCTGGCATAGGCGAATGTATGCACGCAGATGCTGAAGTGGATTTACCTTGGCATCATAGTATCGGCTGTCTTTGGCGAATCTGTACTTGGCATCATAGGCATTAAGGACTGGTGCCAGCTTGTTGTAGATTGCAAGCATCGGTGGGGTGAGCACACTGAGATCAGGGTGCCTAGAGGCAACTGCCTGGCGGAGCTTCTGTGCAGGTGTATAAATACACACTTGACATGCGTCATTGAACTCAGCCTTGGACACATTGCCCATTGTACTGTGCAGTGTGTTTTTGCGGCTGCGAATATCAATCAATTTGGCCAGAATCCGCTGTAGGCAAGTGCCATAGTGCAACACAATATTGTTCTTGTATGCTGTTAGCAGCTCGGTATCAACATATGTTGCTACTTGATTCATTTCACGTACACCATGTAGCTCGATATCGCCATTATGCAATAGATAATCATAAATATGGTATCTAACTACATCACTGAAATCTGCGGTTAACAGTTCGGACCTGCCCTTCCGGTTGACGAAATCCTCGGCAGATATGGCCGTCTTCGCCTTCAGGTTGTGATAAATGAATAAATAAATAGAACGAAAACCCCCTTTATCACAAATGTTGCAGGGTCAAAAGCATCATCATAAGCTAGTTGATGGAGTAGTATCCATCGTGCAAGCATGTATGTATGCTCCTTGATGATATTGACGCTGTGTACAAATTGCTCTAGGCGGGGCAACATAGAATCACGGAAGCCAATACCACCAAGTGATGTCTTTATGACAGTAGTGCTGCGGGTAATATTCATTTGAGAAATTCAATAGGCAAAACAAGAAGAGAAATGATGCTGTTCAGTTTTGGTTTATTGCGTATGCATAGCATTAAGAACTTTTTATTAAAAATGATTTGGCTTGCATGGTTCTTGGGGCCCTTAGCACCGATACAGTCACTTGAATCAGTCTATACAGACTGGATCCATTGTGGCCCAAATACTACTGCCTACGCATGTTCATAAGACAAATTAATTTGTAAAATAAACCCACAAATATTGCATGACCGCTAGAAGAGCTATATGGCCTTATTCAATAGGTCCTCATAGATAAATATCCTAAGAGTGTTGCGCAGCCGGTGATGACCACCATGATGCCACTATGGAAGTTATCAGGCCGACCGACAATGAGAGCAGCTCTTGCGCTGAACCAATGGAGATATATAGTGGAGACCTGTGACCACTACAATAACAACTTGTCACCCTAGTTTCACCGATGAGGTCAGATGCCGCACAAGATCAAAAGGAGTTTATAGAGCAAGTCACTCAAACTCGCTTTGAGGTTAAAAAGTTTTAATTTTTAATCAACTAAAAGGGTTCTAGCGGATGGTCGGACACTTTTTAGACTATAAAATCTTGTATATTGGTAAAGACAAACTTAATCTCGCCAGTCACCAACAGGATGGCACTAGAAATAACTAGATCTGCCCAAAAAAACCTTGCCTAGTGAGTTTACATAGTATTGCATTGGTATAGTCATTTTTAGGATATTAACAGACTCATTATGATATATCTAGTAATAGTAAAGAAATTGCTGATACCTGCACCTATACTAGCATGTGTTAAGCCACATAGTGTAGCCGCTATACCCTTGCATAGACACTGTGTTATGGATCTAGGAATCAGGATGAAACATACAGTACAATGTGTTCTCAATGGCTGACTGCAGATCTTGTTCCAGTTCATTTGTATATACTACATCGTTATTGAGTGAAATGGAACCTAGACTATCCAGTTAAGAATGGACTGGATTGGTAGACTCTTACGATTGTGTTATGTATTTCAAACATGATATTCCTTTCAAGTACAAAGCCTATATGGTAAATGCAGATCCTAGGTACTACTTTCTATCACTGAAGTATATCCTATGCTGTATTTCTGGGTTATAGTGTCTACCATCCTACTCCATGTTATATCTAGGACTTTCATATTCTAAGCAGTCAGCATCTTCATCACTCTGTGTCCAGCAACAGGGGTTCCTACTTCGCTCCCCATATGGTTGATTTATTTTGATTGTCGTTGTCAGCCAAGGCTGGGTGGCGTAGCTAGGAATTCTTCATTCGCAACGGGTACAGATAAATAGCTCTTGTCCACACCTAGTGGCAAGAATCGTACTAGTTGTGGTACAGCCCACTGCATCATTGTCGAGTATACCAGCGATATTTGATTTAGAGCATTTAATGCACTAAAATATTTCTTTTGAATAAACATACTCTAAATGCTGCAACTATAGGCCGCTGGTCATTTGAAGTTCGCTTTGATTAATTGAACACATCAAGGGTAACAAATAGAATCTGTAAATCTCGTGTTAGCTGATGTGGTGATAATGCCAAGTATAAGAGCTAGCACAACCCTTCAGAGTAGCATGCAGACAGGGTCACTGAACAGTGGCATGGGTTCAGCAAAAAGAAGACAAGTGTGAGCTGCCGGTGGATTGGGTGAGGATGACAAAAGCAAAAGTTCCGCAACGGGGAATCGAACCCCGGCCACGACGGTGAGAGCGTCGGATCCTAGCCACTGGACCATTGCGGATTTGAAGCGCTTTTCCGAGAGAATCGTCCCTCAAGCTGTTGAATCACGCAGAATTTAAAATATCCATAAACATATGGGTGATCCTCCAATATCACTACTTTGCCCTTTATCGTCATTTTCGGCGTTGTGAAGGCTGGGAATGCCCTTACAGAGGCCCTCATCTATACTAATTTACGCAATGTCTTCATATCTACATGTCTATCTCCATTCTAACCTAACCTGTGATCGGTTATCAGCATTTATGTCTGTTTCATAGTTTCGCTATCTCAAGCCGTACTGCAAACCGCTATATCATACGTACTGTTCCTGTTCTCAAATGTAAAGGTATTCTTCTCCTACCATACCCCTTTCAAGGTCGCCCACTTTGTCAGCGGTTATATATCCAGGTGAAACCTTGTGTTAAATGCTTGCATGTGCTATGTAACGTCATTTACTTGAAGAGCTTATTCCTTTTAATACATCATCAGCATTTATGTTAATGCCACTAACAGGTGTTATTGGTTGAACATAACTGCATTAATGGCTATTTTATATTGCTCTAGATGTAATCCAAGTAGTGACCCAAATACTGGTATTTTATTACCCTAGTAAAATGCATTCACTTGCAGTGTCAATGGAGAGGGTAGCGCTATGACATGTAAACTCATATTGGAACCTGGGCCATATACATACAAGGCAAGATTATGAAACGCTCCTTGGTCATCAAAAGAAAATAATCAGACACAGATTATGTGGCCAAACTACCTGTCGACCATCAGCCGAACAGTGAGCGCAGCTGTTTGCAACGGACAGCACATCGCGCGTCTATTCACGCCATTTCATTTTTATCCAATGTAGCATAGGTGTCTGATGAAAAACACAGACGCAAATAATCACGCGCTCGAACGTGCACCATTATCTCTATATGTCTGTCCCTATACATGCCGCAATGGTGCACTGATCCCATCTCGAATACGGCAGACCATTTGGCAACAAGCTCCTGATGTAACGACCGCCCCTGATCAAATAGTTACTGTCAAATGTTAGAAGGAAAATACACAAAACTAAGGGAAGCGGAGGAGAGAGGCGTCCAACTCTGGCAAGCAGTTGCTCGACGCCTTCTATTCTAGACACAAATAAGCGTTTAGTTTGCCGGGTACGGTTTTATTTACGTTTACAACTTTTTAAACTGGGGGAATGAACAGGGAGAAAGCAAAGGAAATACTAGAGAAAACAAAAAAGTACGAGCTGCTGTCCAGTCTCTTTCGTGCGGACCATCTTCATGGCTGGGCACTATTTGAGCACGGTTAGCTGCCGTACTTTGGCGAGGGCAGGCAAAATTGGCTCGTCGTCACCAACCCTCTTTACCCTCCCTATGGCCACCGCCAATGCTTGGGAGCAAGAGGTGTGGCCATAGAGTGCCATTTCAGCAGCCTGCACCCTTTCCACCTCCTCCATATCAGTGCGGTGGGCCTTGGGCGCGTTGGCCAGCCATGCGTCGGCTTTGTCAGTGCACGCGTTGGTGCGGGCTACCGCCTCTGCCGCGCAAGCGATGGCCTCATTGTTACTGGCGAGGATTGCCTTGGCTCGCGAATTCGCATCTTTGGCGCTCTTTTCAGCAGCCAGGGTGCGCTTTTCAGCAGCACCGGCGCGATTCTTGGCGTCCTTAGCACAGGCGATGGCTTTAGCGGCCTGTGCATTGGCATCTTCAGCGCTCTTCTCAGCAGCCCGGGCGCGGTGTTCGGCAGCACTAGCGCGGGAATTAGCGCTAGAAATAGCCTCTTCGGCTTTCTTAGCACGAAACTCAGCTGCCTCAGCGCGCTTTTCAGCAGCGCGGGCGCGATCAGTATATTTGGCCGCGCTGACCATGGCCTCAGCTGTCTGCGCCGTCGCCTTCATGGCGCGCTTGTTTGCTCTGTCGATGGCCATGCTGGCACGCTCCTTCTCTGCTGCCAACTCTAGGACTATCTCAGCGGCGCGCTTCTCAGCGGCGCTAGCGCGGTCGGCAGCCTCGGCAGTCTGCAGCCTGGCCTCGGCAGCGTGGACAGCGAGATCCATTGTGTGCTTCTCTCCTGCTAGAGTGCGGTCGACAGCCTTGAGGGCCTGCAGGTCGGCCTCGATTGCTCGCATGTTGGCGTCTGATGCCTGCTGGTCAGCGTCGGTTGCCCGCTGATTAGCCTCAGCTGCGCGGGCAAGAGAATCGTTTGCACGGGCAAGGGCGTCGTTTGCACGGGCGAGGGCCTCGTCCACGCCTGCATCCTTGTGATCCCTTGCGAAGAAGCTGATAAAGATACTCAGCAGCCAATAAATAAGGTCCTTACAAATAATTAGAACAAAAATCGCTACAATGTTGGACGTGTCCAACACGTCCAACGAGGGAGGCAGGTGAGTCCCTAGGAATCGGGTAGGTAATAGTAATCATATTGAAAGGAAATACTAAAATGAGCAGTTTGAAACTGAAGACCAGCTCGAAGGTCTTGCCGCCCACCTCATTTTATACATCCTTCAAAAACTCATCACCCTCCCAACTCATCCCCTCAGGATGCCGTCTTTTGCGATCGGGCGGCTGATAGACGACGCCCTATATTAAACAAAGCAGCGGTTTCTAACTCCACACCATCGAACCCTAATTTCTTTTTCGCCCACCAATTTTTCAAGCTCGTCTTTTTTGTTATTGTTTGTTCAGCTGGCAGATAGATGGCGCCTGCGCAGTTGACTAGCAAGTGGATTCTACCCCCTTCGCACCCTAGTCGCTTTTTTTTTTGCTTATCCAGTTTTCAAGTCTGCTTCTTTTATTTCTATTTTATTTTATGCTGATGGGCAAGGGCGCGCGAGCGGATATGCCAGCAGAGTTTTTGGCGTTCGATCTACGCAGGATTGTGAACTATTTTCAACCCCTTTTACATGCCATATAGGTGGGTATTCGTTCTCAGCACGCTGCGCGCTGCGATTTGGTCCCGCTCACTTAGTAGCTAATCATCAGTAGGTTCGCAGATACTGAGTTTGCGTGTGGTTTTTTTTTTTTAACAAGAATATATCCAATTGAGGGGTTTAGACATATGGCGTGTGGGTCCTGAGCATATACTGGGACCATTATCCAGAGACCATGGTGCACCAGTACTTGCCATCACTAGAATGGTATTGTTTGAAGGGCAAGTTTTGCTGCATAAAAATGAAGATCATGTAGTGGCCTGCTGGCGAAGTTTGGCTAGCAGCCCGTGCATGCTTGGGTCCGACGTGGTCCCGGTCATTTTCAGGAATCTCAGGATTTCCAAACACAGGTCACGGTTCTGCCTCTGCACAGCCATCTCCAGCAGCGACAGGACCAGGCGCGCGCTAGTCTCCGACGGCTCCAGGGTCTGCAAAATAATGAGGCACTGCGTGGCCGTCTCCAGTTTCTGCTTGGCCAAACACTGCCTGAAGAACCTGGCCGGCCCGCCCAAGCAATCAAACAACGTGCTCCAAAACGCAGCCTCAGTCTTTTCTCGCACAGTGGACAACGATTTCGTCAAACTGACTGAAGTTTTCCAGCAGCCTGATGACTCTCGGCAACACTCGGTCATCGCTAATCCCATTGTGGTTCTGCTGCTGCGTGTCAATTTCGCGCTCCAGCACTTCATGCTAGGAGGATTTCCATGGCGTGTGGGAAGAACCGCCAGTGCTCGAAACAGCCCAGCGTACATGAGCGCATCCTGCTCGGCTCCCTCGCCTAGCATGTGGTCGAGGATCGTGTGGACATAGAGCTTGGCCCGGACAGGCAGTTTGCTGAGTCCAATGACTGCGTGCTCTTCCAGGGTCCAGTCCTGGTCGATTCCGACGGCCATGCCGCGGTCTGCCGAAATTGCCACGGGGAAGAACTCGGGGCGGATGCGCATCCGCCGCGTTTGCGATGCGTCCAGCAGGGACGTGGTGCCGCCGTCCATAAAGTCCTCAAGCGACACCAGGGATGCGAAGAGCTGGGTGCCGTTAAACCACCAGACAATGGAATGCATATTGCCAAAGTTGACACCAGAGGTAATAGTGAACTCGCACTTGTCGCTGACCACCATTGCCGAGATTCGTCCGTCATCAGACTCCTTGCAGGACGCGCAGGGTCGTTCCCTGGTGGACGAGGAACGCAGGCCGGTGGTCAAACAAAGCGCTGGGCACCCACTGCAGCGAGCGAAGCCGCTGAGCGTCTGTGAATCGGCCGAGATCGACCGACCGGCGGAATGACACCTGGATGAAATTGGCATCATCGAAAATGGCATACTGGTAGACGGTCTGGTTACGGCAATATACCAGCAATATGGAATTGTGGCAGGTGATCGAAACGGGCTCGGACTCTAGCGCTACCGTGTGCAGGTCACTGGTAGTGTCCAGAGGCCGGTTCTTTGGGAAGAACAGCAGCTGCGGAGCATCCTGGCAGTCGTGGTTGACGCAGGCAGCTACCAGGTAGTCGCGATACCACAGTAGGCCACCCACACACGAGACTGACGTTTCTTGCTGCTGGTTGCGGAACAGGCGCCACTTGCCTGACGATAAATTGTACGACGCCAGGACCATGCACACCAGCGATGGCAATGTGCTGGCCGTCATCGTCAGCAGCAACAAAGCGCAGCGGCCAGTTGTCGCCAATGTATGTCGGATGGAATCTGCGCTACATACCACAATAGGCCCTGCTGCTGGACGCCGAGTTCCTGTGCCTCGAATTCGCAGTGGTGCATAAACACCTTGTCGTCCAGAGTACAGGCAGATGTGCTTGGAGTTGCCCTCACCAGGCATCGTTGACAGGGCTGCACGGACAAACGGCAGCGAATCGACCTGCTGAGATACCAGAGTGCGGTCCTGGCCTGCCAAGCAGTCGCTGAAAGCAAACAGACGGGTCGCCCCCTGGCCCCACACCAGCATCGACGGTGCTGGCACTGCACTGTCGCCTTGCTGCGGCTGCACAGGCTGGTTGGACAGGTGCGTGGCATTGAGCTCATATCCGAGCACTGTACGCACAACTATGTGGCCAGTTGAGTACCCGCATGCGACAGCAGCGCCATCAGGTGTCCAGGATACTGCCGACACATGTGCGGCCTTGCCATGGTCGAAGGGAATCTTTGTCACGAGATCCAGTGACCCAGCTCTGATGCCATAGACCAAAACCTCGCCGCTGGTGGTGCCCACGGCCATCGTTTGGCTTACGCTGCTGTAATCAAGAACCGTGAATTTGCCTGCCACGTCCTGTGCCCGGAGCGTACGCACTGTCGCTGGCTGTTTCCCGTCAGCGCTACCAGCAAATGCCATGTGCACTGAGCCATCACTGAATAGAAACAGGTCAACCGAGACAGTGGATGGCCCGCAACGGCACTCGATCGGCACAATCTGGCAGATATGCACAAGCGGGTTGTCGTATATGTCGCGCACACCCATGCTCTTTTTCATGGCGCCGTCCCACGACAGCCAGTGCACGTGTGTACGTGTAGCTACCATCGCCCCATGTATGCTGCTGGCCGCACACACAGCCATGGTCTCGTCGCCCGGCAATTTGTATGTGCGCCGCTGTGCCAAAGCCAACCGACGGAATCCCCTGTGCCTCGCCCGGCCCACGCACAAAGTAATGCTGCACCGCGAACCGGTACTCGAGCGCTGGCTCTTCCCGCTCGTACACAGAGATCTCATACACATATCCGTGGCTGAGCACAGCAAAGAGCGTGCGTGAATCGGGCTTCCATGCAATATCAACCAGGGTGCCAAACTCCTCGATTGGGTCGTACTCAAGACTGCTTAGTAATGCAAATGGCTTCAGCGACCACAGGTATATGCCTTGCTGTGTGATTCCGCAGACGAATTTGCGGTCGGCTGAGGCTACGAACCGCTGGACTGTCTGGGAGACGTCCAGCGGCGAATACCTGGTTCCCAATCCGTGGTGTGTGTCGAGCGATGCACCGGTGCCGGTACTGTATGTTGCGCTGCGTGGCCTGGCAAACCGTGATCCGAGGCGATGTTTGCTGCTGCTGGTCTAGCGAAGGACGTGATTGTGAGCGTGGCTGCTTTGGGTCTACTGTCAGGTCCAGCGAGAGATGCTCCGTGCAGTTAATTCGCCAGTACATTATGAATTTCTATACAGGATGGGCCTGAAAAGGAATAAGAATACAAAAAGCCAAACAAAAGGAGGTTGAATTTGAGGAGAAAGCAAAGGTGTGGAGCTGAATTGAAAAAGTGCAGGCTAGAGCGAATAAAGTCGCTGCTTCGCCTTGTGCGAGGGTTTGGGGGAGTGATTCATGCAGCGCCCAGCTCGCCATTGGCCATGTGGCGGTTCTTCTTGACCAGCGCACTGGTATGTCTCCTGCGGGAACGGCCGGGCAACCTCAATGTTCTCTCTGGGCCACAGCCACTGCAGCACGACGCCAATCAAGAAATCCTACCGCTGCCACCAGACAGAACAGCTTGCCTGCAACCAGCCCGCACCCGTAGTATCTGCGGAACCGCTCAATCAGCGGCAGCTCTGGCATATCGGCGATCTGGTAGTACACCTTCTCGGTGCGCTCAGCAACATCGTACCACGAGTACATTTTTTTGACCTGGGCGTGGAACCGCCGTGGAGACAGCTCTGGGTGGTTTGGCCGGTCGATCGACGCGGTCGATTGCGTGCATCAGGGCCTCGACGATTTCGTCCTCCTCAGGGATTGCAAATGTGATCATGTGCCGCGGCAGCACCTCGGGCACGCCGCCCACCCTGGTGCTGACCACCAGCAGCCCGCAGGATGCCGCCTCGACGATTGCAATGCAAAACGCCTCTGTCAAACTGGTGTTCAGGAAGATGTCTCCACGCACCAACACGCTGCGCACATCGACCGCCTGCACCGATCCTAGCAGCTCGAACGCGGTCCTGCAACATGTACCGCTCGCGCATCTGCTCCAGGTCTATTCTTTTCGGGCCATCGCCTCCAATAATGAACCGAACGTGCGGGTACATCTGGACATATCCTCGGCACAGGCTGCAACCAGCAGATCAATGCCCTTGCGGTACACGAGCCGGCTCAGCACAACAATCGTAATCCACTGCGGGTCGCGTGCATCGGGGTCGGGCTCAAACTGCTCGGCAATGATTGCATTCGGGATCACACTGACCTGTTGCGGATCCAGCGCCGCACGCAGCACCGTGTTCTCCTTGCTTGTGTGCGACACGCAGATTGCATGGTGTATGTCCGACAGTGTGAACTTGAGCAGCTTGTTCAACAGAATTCCCGATGCATCGGCAAACCCCAGCAACGAGTGGTCGGTGAACACAGTCTTCAGCCCCATCGATCGCGCATGCAGAATCGCCTCCTGGCAGAATGCCAGAGAACGCCTGGTGTCCGTGCACAATGTCGATTTGCTCGCGGATGAATATCTGCCGGAATATCGGGAACGTGCAAAAGAACGTTGGCAGCGACGCATTACTATACACTACAAATGCTGGAAGATAGTACACCTTGAGCCCGCCAGCCAGATACCGCACCCCGCGCCGCTTCCCGTATGAGTGCGTCACTATGACTACTTTGTGCCCACGCTGTATCAGACACTGCGAGTTATTGTACAGGTGGCTTTCTACTCCGCCCATGTTCGGGTAGAAAAAGTCCGATACCATGCAAATATTTAGCGGACGTCGGCCCATGGTTTGTTGTTTGGGGGCTGTTGATATATGCAGCTGAGGGCGTATATGTAGGTGAAAAGCAGTCAGAGATTAAAAACAATCATTTGCATCTTTTGGTGAGAACATCTAAGCAATGACATCACCAGCCGTATTTTGGGCTGGGCAAATCATCCACGGGGCTTGCTGGCGTATTTCAAAAGAGTTACCCCATGCTTCCACTTCGTGCCTGTGGTCCTTTTTGGCATAAAAATTACTGCTGCCACTGGTAAGACCTCTCTAGAACCAAACAGCCAAGTGGTCTGTCCTAATGAAAATGCAGAATTCTGGAATCCACCGATTGAATGTAAAAACATGAGCGTATGGAATGTTCCAGGCAAAGTGCCATATAAGAGGCATTTGCCTAGCATATTATTCGTACCTGCTTCTTGCTCTCAATGCTACAATATTGTTTCTGTGCTCACTCTGCCCTATTTTACCACTTGCAATGGCTAACGAAGCAACACCGCACTCCATACAAATTGGCACCTTCCACTCAGCCGAAACTATACCCAATGCCATATCCAACGACCATAAAGGGCTGGTGGTACATGATCAGGATCTGTTTCGTGTAGACGGCCTTGATGCTCCAGAGATCCCGTACCCGTCAAGCTGGTTCAAGCGTTTCCTCTATGACTACAACGCAGAGGTTGGCGAGTTCTTCGCCATGTTTGTGTTCGTGTTTATCGGATGCTGCATCACGGCACAGGTTGTTTTCCGGATACCTCATAGTGAGGGAAGCATGGATCTGTCTGTAAGCTTCGGATGGGGCTGCGCCCTTGTCTTGGCTGTGGTGATCAGTGCTGGTACATCAGGGTCTCACCTCAATCCCGCTATCACCATCAGTAAAGCTGTGTTCGGCCATTATCCGTGGAAGCGCGTCCCCAGCATGGTGCTTGCCCAGACGCTAGGATCTTTCGTTGGTGCTCTTTTCACCTGGCTCTATTACTACCCAATGTGGGACCTGGTTAACCCAGGCCATCGCCAGAGCATTGGTACAGCACCGACAGCAGTGATATTCGTAAGCCAGCCGCTGAAGCCTGGTATCTATCACAACGCAAACCTGTTCTTCAACGAGGCGATGATGACATTTTGCATGCTGTTTGCTGTGCATTTCGTTGCTGACAAGCGCATGACGGCTAGCATCACTACTGCATCACTTATACTGGGCTTTATGTTGTCTGCTGTTTTACTGGGCGGCGCGCAGGTCAGCATTATAACAATTAATCCAGCGCGTGACTTTGGCCCCCGCCTGTTCATTGTGATGGCTGGTTGGCACGATACTTTCAAGGTCTACAACTACTACTTCTATGTGCCGCTTATCTCTCCTATTGTTGGTGGTATTGCAGCCCAGGGCCTCTTTGATTACCTGATGGTGCCTGAGGTAATTAAAAGCAAGAGATTCAAGCGTCTACAATGAAAGCAGCAGCAATAAAACAGTTTTCCTAATAAATGCAGTTGCATCCAGGCAGTGTGCTAAACTAAAACCACAGTCCTGCACATAAGAAGATTTAGTGGAGTCCGCCACACTGTATATCACCTCTAGCCGAACAAGTCCTTAACGCTATGTCGCCAGACTAACTATCGGCCTTGGAGCCACCGGAATTCACGTTTTGGATTGTTCGTCAGGTCCATCCCAATATGTAGTTGTACTAATTTCCACCTTTCTCCCTACTCAATTAGTCGAGCTAGCCATATTTACGCTTCTGGGCGCTATGCAGTTCCAGTTGAACTTGCAGTGTCCGCTTCCACTGATAATCCGCGGCATTATAACAGAGCTCTGTCCAGGGTTGCTGCATTACTCCGGAGGTCATATATAGCAGGTGCCCTGTCTTTGAGACGTGTTCCCAGATACATATACACCCAGGTATCTAGTATGTCAAGATACATCCTACTTGCAGAGCATCGGATGAAAGAGATCCATCATAATGAGACGGAGGACGGAGGAGATAATTTTCTTGGTAAGCTCCGGACTCCATGGAGCAGCACAAGAATATGCAAATCCTTCCTCATGTGACCCATTTACTCCAAGCGCCTTCTATCTTGGCCGGATTAGCAGCGTGCCCACATTTCCCCCTTTATGCTACCTTTCTGCGCACACTCCTACAGGTGATAGCCCCGTATGCGATCGCCCTTTGTGTCGCCTCATTATTGTGCGAAGTATTCTGTGTGCGAACATTCGGCAATCCGCCAGAAGCATGCTGCTTCCCCCTTTCCGCCTGCCGGGGCCGCTGTCGACCAAGATAGTCAGACTGCTGTCGCTTGCTTTATCCATTCGCAGCTTTTTTTTGCTCGGTGCCTCCATACGCTCTTTTCGGCATAGATCTTCAGCAGCTTCGCATGAAAGGAGGGCAAGCAATCATCGTCATACACTGAGTTGCAAGGAAGCATATGGATGGGTAGGGCGGTTTGCGCGGTATTGTAGATGTAACACTGACCTTGCTTTACATACTTTGTCGATTATTCGCAGGATTTTCCTCCCTGGTCGTTTCCCTCTGCCAGAATGGCTTTCCTTCTCTTCGTTAACATCTGCTCAGCTCCCATCAATGTACAGAGCAGATGACTTGGATTTGCCGTACCGCTGCCTTTTCTTCTATTGATCCTTCTTTTTGCAGTGGTGCCGGCCACATTTCACTTCTTCGGGCTTTGTCAGTTGCCTTTTCGGGGGCATCACCAGCGCCGATGTTCGACCAGATCGGCAACAGGAAAACGGTAGGGTGAAAAAGCAGTCATACAGCTGCCAACCGCAGAAAGCAAAGGCGCACAGCAAATGGCACCAGTCATTTTGCTATATAAAGCCTGTCAAGTAGGTACTCTTGGTGCAGCCGAATTCCTCGCTAGCAACCGCCAGTTTCAGCTATTCCAACATACTTCAAGGCCCCAAGTAACACCTCACTGCCACTATTCTAACTTTAGCAAATGCCTAGCGAAGAAGTAGCTCACCACGCCGTCCAGATCGGTACGTTCCGGTCAACACAATCTTCAACCAGCGTATCTGCATCTGGTAGCAAGGGAGCCAACCTACACGACCAGGATCTATTCCGTGAAGAGGATCCTCGACACTCCTGAGATCCCGTACCCGTCAAGCTGGTTCAAGCGTTTCCTCTATGACTACAACGCAGAGGTTGGCGAGTTCTTCGCCATGTTTGTGTTCGTGTTTGTCGGATGCTGCATCACGGCACAGGCCATATTCCGGATGCCCCATAGTGAGGGGAGCATGGACATTACTATATGCTTCGGATGGGGCTGCGCCCTTGTCTTGGCTGTGGCTATTGGCGCTGGCACATCGGGTGCTCACCTCAATCCCTGCTATCACCATCGGCAAAGCTGTATTCGGTCCATTATCCGTGGAAAGCGCGTCCCCAGCATGGTATTCGCCCAGACGCTAGGGTCATTCGTTGGTGCTCTATTCACCTGGCTCTATTACTACCCAATGTGGGACCTGGTTAACCCAGGCCATCGCCAGAGCGTTGGCAAAGCACCGACAGCAGAGATCTTCGTCATCCAGCCATCCAAGTCGGGGATATATACCAACACAAACCTGTTCTTCAACGAGGCGATGATGACATTCTGCATGCTGTTTGCTGTGCATTTTGTTGCTGACAAGCGCATGACAATGTCCGCTACCACTGCCCCGGTCCTACTTGGGCTAATGCTGACTGCTATTTTGCTGGCTGGTAGCCAGGTTAGCGCCATCGGGATCAACTCGGCGCGCGACTTTGGCCCCCGCCTGTTCATTGTGATGGCTGGCTGGCATGATACGTTCAAGGTCTACAACTACTACTTCTATGTCCCGCTCATCTCGCCGATTGTCGGTGGTATTGCTGCCCAAGGTCTCTACGACTACCTGATGGTGCCAGAGGTCTCCAAGGGCAAACTTAAGCGCCAGCACTAAGCGCGCATTTCTGTACTTTTCAAACTGTTATGCCAATAAATGGAACAGCAATCTGCTAATTTAGATATTGAAGCAGTTTTCTTGAGAAGCTGCTCGCGTAGCAATAGCTGTTCCTTGTTTCAGAAAACGTTTCTTGGCGTTCAATTGATGCCCTTCCAGAAGAACGGGAAATGGCAGAGAAACGAGGCGGGATGTGGACTACAGGCTAATTTTGGTAGAGTGTATGTGTAAACCGGTTTGATGAGGGATTGCCTAGCACCACTCTCCCACCTCCGAATCAACAAATCCGGTCATGTAATTTGCAGGACAGTCCAGGGTAACTTGGATGCTATCAAAATACCCTCCACTAGCATATACCAGACATCATCTGCATTGCTTGATACACTATGGTAGCCGAGTTCTGATTTTCGGCTCAAGCGAGCACATGTTCCATGATGGGGGTCTTGTTTACACAGCTGGTCTATGTAGATTTCAAGAAGATGCAGAATCAATATATTTAATCAGTTGGTGTAATTAAACCAATGCCTTCCATACATAGCAGCTGGTTAGCACATCAGCGAAATAAAAAGCCACCGTTTATTGTCCTGTCTCCACTTGGCTATCCCATCTCACTTGCTCGTCGAGACCCGAGTCAGATACCTCCACATTTTCTCCACTCAGCAGGGTCAGATCAGGTGCTGGGGGTGTGTTTGGGAGGGAGGCAAAGGTGAAGGGGCGCATTGTCGTGGCAGCAGGATCCGCCTAAAGAACAATGTGTCACGATGGCCGAAAACAAGTCATTCACGGGCTTCACTACCCCACCTCGCCAAGAGACAGCCGAGGAAATATGACAGCGAATTCTATTTGCTTGTAAATAACGCTGGCAACTTTCATAGTTCCATCTACAATGGGAAGTTGGGGGCTCAAAGGAGAGAGAGGATCTGCTGGCCTGTGCGCTCGTCCTGCTTTCACCCAGCGGCAAACAAAAACGCACGAGCGTGAGAGCTCATGTGGTGGCAAATAATGCCCACATATATATTGTTGCTTCACTTGTGCAAGCAGCGGCTTTGGCGGATGTATATCAAATCGTAGGGCTGAGGGGCGCGCCTCTTAGCACAGAAGCATCAAAGGTGGCTCCACAAAGCCGGTGATTCGTCCTGTTCTGTGATTGAGATTCTTAGGGCAACAGGCTCTTGGTATGAGTAAACGTGCACATTTGCCAAATGGCACTAGGTGTAGACGGGTATAAATACAGTAGTGGTGCCACCCATCCACACTCACTATACTCATAAGCCACGTATATACCGTTCACTCTATCGCGCACCATTCATCGCTCGACATTATCACAGTACTACAGAGTAACCCGAGGTCCGACTGATATCTCCAACGCCAGTGCTCATCCCGAACATTATTGCAAATATTGATTCTACCGATGTCAACAGGCGAGAACAAGCACTCATCGCTGCCTCTAGGTTCCATCGAGTCGGGCAAGTCCGGCCTTACCAGTGAGGGTCCACCCAAGCTGGCTGTTGGCGAGGAGGAGTCCAACATGTACCCAATGCCAACAAACATATTCAAGCGCTTCCTCTACGTGTTCAACGCTGAGGTTGCAGAGTTTTTTGCCCTTGCTATATTCATCTTCTTGGGATTGGCTATTGACACCCAGATCATTCTCAGACAGCCTGACAGCACCAGCACGCACGATCTTAGCATGGGCTTGGGGTGGGGCTGCGCTGTAATCGGTGCCGTTGTAATGTCATGTGCATCGTCGGGTTCGCATATCAACCCCGCGATGACGGTCAGCCTAGCTGTGTTTGGCCATTTTCCATGGAAACGAGTGCCAACCATGATCGTTGCCCAGTTCCTGGGCTGTTTCTTTGGGGCATTTCTGAACTGGCTGTACTACTTTCCGGCATGGGACCTCTTTGACGGCGGCCATCGCCGCAGCCTTGGTCCGCAGGGGACTGCGCTTGCATTTATCGTTCAGCCAAGCGTGGAAGGAGTGTACACCAATGCGAACCTGTTCTTCAACGAGGCTCTGATGACGTTTATTCTTTTGTTCTTTATTTATTTTGTCATCGACAAGCGGATGACGCTCAGTGCGACTACGGCAGCCCTGCTTATCGGTTTATTCGTCACCGCAATTGTCATGGCTGGTGACCAGTATGTGGCAGACACTGCATTGAACCCGGCGCGCGACTTTGGGCCCCGCCTCTTCATTTTCATTGTAGGCTACCGCGATATTTTCAAAGTGCACAACCACTTCTTCTTCGTTCCCCTCATTGCTCCCTTTGTGGGTGGCATAGCAGCCCGCGGTGTCTATGACTACCTGATTGTCTCTGAGGAAGACAAGCCGAAGAGCATCCGCAAGGTGTACTGGAACAAATAATTCTTTTTCTCCTTATACCCGCGAAATTGTTCGCATAATAAAGTGATCAGCATAGTGCCAGGATAGACCTACCATTTCTCCGTGTTGGCAGTATGACTGCCTGGCAATATCAGCCGCAGAATATGCTGCAGGCCATTGGCGACATTGTTCCAGGACTGCTGTTCAGACCGTAGCACCAAAAAATCCACCCACAGATATTACCCCGGGAGCAAGTACGCATGCATTCCAAGCGCCTATTATGCTAAGATGCACCGAGGCACATCCTTGCATTTTCTTATCCAACAGTATATGGCTGTAGAGATGCACCTACAGCTTTTGCACGAAACAGGTGACACTAAAATCATCATGGAGCAAACCCGTGCTGCAAAAACATTCTACCACTTCAACTGCCGCCACAAAAATGGTTATATGGAGGGCATTACATACAAAAAGCCCTTTTGCGTGCTGCCGCCCTGTCTAGCAACAACACCTTAGCCTCCCCTTTTGAATATTACCTTAGGTCACTTCATATCTTCAACCCCCTTCTTTCACCTTTGGCAAATATCCATACTTGAAGAGCATGACTCTCAATAATAGAATAAGGCCGGCTATGACGGTAGATTCGCTTGGTTTGGAAGAGGCTGGGATTACGGGCACGGAATTACACATCTGCAAGGAAGAGGGCGATGAGCTTGAGGCAATGACTTGTCCAAGAAATTGGTTTCGGCGGTTCCTTTATACCTATAACGCGGAGGTGGCCGAGTTCCTGTCAGTGTCCATCTTCATGATGGTTGGTCTTTCCATAGATGCACAAGTGGTGTTCAGGCAGCTTGAAAATACAAGCTCCCGCGACCTGACAACAGCGCTAGGCTGGGGTGGTGCTCTCGTCGGGGGTATCGTATCGTCTGTCGGTGTGTCGGGTGCCCATCTAAACCCGGCGCTGACCGTCAGTCTGGCCGTATTTGGACACTATCCCTGGAGGCGTGTTCCAGGAATGGTCTTTGCGCAAATATTGGGCGGGTTTGTCGCTGCCTTCTTCACTTGGATATTCTATTTCCCAATCTGGGATATGTATGACGGTGGGCATAGACAGAGTCTGGGACCAAAAGCAACCGCCGGAATATTTGTTGTTCAGCCAGCTATTGAAGGCGTATATACCAATGCCAACTTGCTTTTCAACGAGGTTGCCTTTACGTTCTGCCTGATGTATTTTATTTTCTTTATAGCAGACAAGCGAATGACTTTGAGTGCAACAACAGGCGCCCTGCTTGTCGCGTTATTTCTTATAGCGATAATTCTTGCAGGAACTCAACACATAGCGGCGGTAGGGCTGAATCCTGCGCGAGACCTGGGACCGCGCCTGTTTATCCTGGCGGCTGGCTGGACAGACGTGTTCAGGGTACATGGGTATTACTTTTATGTGCCGCTGGTGGGTCCGTTTATTGGTGCAATAGCTGCCTGTGGTGCATACGACTATGTGGTTGTGCCGGAGGAGGTAAAGCCAGACAAGGTTCGACGCAGATACTGGAACAAGTAGCATTTTGAGACGTGGCCATTGGAATATATTTTTGCCAAGAAAATCGGCCTGGGTTGCCTAGAAATCAGCAGGTTGCCATATCCAGACAGCTCAATGCACAAGCTATTGACTGGGTCCATCTTGTCAGTATGCATATTTGACATCTGGGTGCAGGTGACCCATTCCCCAACTTGCCACTTGTCACTTGTCACTCGTCATTTGCTACTTCTTGCCGGCTACTTCATTGTGAATGTCCCCTACTAGAAATCGCCTATAAAACAACACCTGGGACCAGCTACCTTCAATACCAACAATTTGTCGTTCCATATGATTTTTACACACTTCTCAGTAAAATCTACAGCCAGGTCTTCAATCATGTCCTTCCAGCAGTGGCAAATTGAAATGCTCAACCTTGTCAATGCCGAGCGCGCAAGATACCACCGCCGTCCCCTCAACCTCGATATCCGCCTCTGTCATTCCGCCCAAGAGCACTCCAACTACCAAGCACATACCAATGCAATGACTCACAATGACAGCTCAGGCCCGCTGATGACCCGTGTGCAGCGAAGGGTTCCCAATATCCGGGGGTGCGCAGAAAACGTCGCTTGGAACCAGCCTGATGTGAGGAGCGTGGTTCAGGGATGGATAAACAGCCCTGGACATCACCGGAACATGCTTGGGGAATACAATATCGTCGGATTTGGTATTCAGAACAAGTACTGGACACAGGTGTTCGCATTGGCATGATATGTCAGGTTTAGTGCCAACTGTCGTACAGCTAGCTCTTCATAACCTTTTAGGAAGGCTTTTAACCCCCACTACACTTACGTTTCTTTTCACCAGCTATGAATCCTGCGATATGCTCCTTGGGAGTTAGTCTGGCACTTGAGGTTGCAGTATCCTGAGAGAAGCCTAACTAGATATGCCGCCCAGCCTATTCGGGATATTGTGGCATTTGCAGTGGTTCATCAATGCTAGGCCGAGTAGGATAAATTGGTACGTTGTAGCTAAGTGTAGACACAAACGACAGCAATTTTCTAGTGCGAATCATCGCATCATCGCATCATCGCCTACATCACCATTCTCTGAAAGAATCCGACCAAGCAGTTTTTATCATAGCACTTCTTGTGATTGCAGAGGCTCACCACCATGATACCCGGGACGATCTTTAGGATCCTTCAGAGGTTGATATCGATGTTCAAGTTCCGGAGGCGGCAAGGGAAGCTCGGGGGAAATGGCTATTATACGGCTGTCCTCCTGGTCTACGGAAGGTATATCCCCGTAAGTGACAAGGCACATGGTATTTCTTGCAGGTATTTGTATGGCAGCTGTTTAGGCGGAAATAGGCGTGAAAATGATAGTTGGGAATAAGAGTAGTGGAGAGGAGCAAAAAGGTAAGGCACAAGTTGGCGCTTATACAATCCATATTCAATAGCAACCTCTATTTGCACTGGTCATATCGAGTCTGTGGCATGACTTGAAGCCTGGCAAATTTCACTGTGTACATAACACAGTAAGTCCGTTTCTTGGACTTTGCGGTTGCTAGAAGGTTGAGTCTATTTGTAGCAATGCCGTCGCTGAGCCATTTTTCTTTGCTCAGTGACACAGTATGTCGCTGGCTTGAGTCTGGATGCACTTGATTGCTCAGGAAAACATCAGGCCTGATTTTTCAAATCACATTTGGACGCCAAGACTCGGATTGCCACATTCGACTCCACACATAATAATCCAGCGCAGCAACGCATACAGTGGTTAAGATACAGCATGTATAAATATGGACAATAGCTAGGCAAAATGTATGAGTGGGGGATATAAATCAATAGGGAGTCTCAGCAATAATGAATTCGATTCCGCTGCGGCCGCAATTAAAGATGTGCAGAGACTCAGTGGGTGCCAGCTTGCGGACATATGCAGAGTCGCCAGGACGCATGCGACTGGCGGTGTCGCCATTGATGACCAAGCGGCCAGCATTCTCGGTACTATCACGCTTCAAATCCATGATGACATTCTGGATCCACACGCGGCGGCGCTTCCCGCTGGCTGCATTTCTATGGCGGTCGAACGAGTCAAGCGGCACGTAGGTGACAGATTGGCCAGCGTCCAAAAAGCACACCGAAACAAACAGGTCCTCGTCAACAAGAAGGGGTTCGGCGCACGCACGCATGGCCATATGCGTGTCAACCGACCACTCGTACGAGCCCGCAGCGCTGAGCGATGCGTCCGGCGCATAGTAGCTGGGGCGGGCAAGCGCCGACATTGACTGCGACAGATAAGAGGTTGCCAGAGACTGGCGGCTGGCCGTATCGACTGGTCCAAAAATCTGCGTAGTATTGCCGTATTGCGGCCAATAGTTGCGTGGATGCAATAAAGTCAAAAGGCAGTTGCGCTTGTCCGAATCGGTGATGTAGCGCAGAGAGTGCGAAAAGTCGGAGAATCCCGCAGTGTGCTTTTGCGGCGAGTACGGGCGGTCAGCCAGGTTCACGCCACTGTCATTGTCGAGCTCGGGCGGCGTGGCCGAGGGGGCAATGTCGATCCACAGGCGCAGGATGTGGATGGGGTGAGACGTGCTTGCATTCCGGATGTATGCGGAGGCGTCATGGCCAGTGGTGGACATGTAGAGAGCACCCTTGCTGAGGATCTTGTCGCCACTGAGTCCTACTCAAAAATGAATCCAGACACAACTTCCCAAGAATGGTGAGCAAAACAGAAAACTGGTCAAGTTCCAAGAACTGGCATATGTGGCAGGGAGACAAGCATTAGGTGCATTTGGATTAAGCAGGCGAATTGTGCATGTGTGGAATAAAAAAGGGAGGAGTGGGATGTGCATTCATGTGATCTGGCGTGAATGAGAGGAAACAGATAGTTGGCAAGGGAGGAGGGAAGGAGAGGGCGGACATTAAAATATGCCCTAGGTCGGGGAAAGCACGGCACACTTACCATTGTCGAAAACGCCAGCACCATCGACGACATACATGATGCAGCGGTAGCCCGGGCGATTCTCCAGCGGCATGCCAACATCTAAAGAACAGCAGAAAAATGACAATTAGCGTTTCACGTCTCCCCGCATATTGCATTATCAAGCTAGAGGCACCCCCAAGACAGCATACATTACCTGGCATAATCCACTCCTCGTTGGCCTTGAACAGCGGCAGCAGATTTCCCTTCCGCGCGGCGCCAGAACTCTTTTCCGCTGCACTCAGCAGCCCCACGGGTTCAAGACAGTGGAACAGCTTGACGAACTGCGATGACGCATGCTGCCGCTCCCAGTGGCGATGGTAGGCCACCAGCGGCCGTGTCTCTTTCGGCTGAGTGCCCGCCCACGCCCCCAGCGCCTGCATGGACTGGTGGTGGTGCAGCTGCGGGTAGACCGGCGACGCGGCCAGCGGCTGCGAGTAGGCAGGCGGCTGCGAATACGCTGGCTGCGAGTACGCTTGCGCCTGGTAGGACGCATGCTCGGGGTGCACGGGCCCCGCCGGCAGCGCATAAGCGGGCGTGTACTGGGGATACGCGTACTGCTGCGGCGCCACAGAATACGCGTGCGAGCAAGCCGGTGCTGCCGCCTGCAGCGGCTCGATGGGTGGCGGCGACAGATACGCAGTCTTGAGCTCCGGATACACAAACGGCTGCGGGCCTTTCCCCACCGGTATGCTCCGGTTCGGCTTGCGGTACCCGAGCGAGTGCGGCGGCGAGACCGCCCGCTGCACTGCCGGGTAGGTGCGCCGGGCCGCCTGGGGGCCCGCCGACAGCGGCGCTGTAGGGTTGGACGCTGGTTGGTGGGCGTACGGGCGCTGGTTGGAATAGTAGTCCATATAATCTCTACTTGATTCGGAAACTGAAAAGGGGGTGTGTTTCTTATTGCGGAGCTTCAAAATAATACTGGAAGCCGATTTTGTTTTTTGGTGGCGAGTTTGGCTATCACTAGGAAAGAAGAAAGAACTAGGCGGGATGCGCGTGAGTACTCAGGAAGGGGGAGGAGGGAGAGTGCGTGGTTGGGCGGGGGTCTCTGGGCTGGGATCTGCTCCCTTTTAGTGCCGAGTCCCCCATGGCTTCCAGCTTGCTCTAAAATGTAGAGTTCGAGTGCTGGCGGCCAATCTGTTTTCCAGGTCACGCCCAGCCAGGCGCCCTTTTCTCTGTTTGAGATTTGCCGCATAGTTCCTGTTTCCAATTCAAAGAGCTCTGCGCCTCCCATCAAGATAAGCAGATGGAGACAGATAGCACTGAGAAAGCTCCAAGAATAGGTTTTTCTGTGGACCTGCAAAGAGGCACCGAGGAGTTCTTTTCAGAGTGGGCCACAAAGGAGGGGGCAGTGTGCGTGTCGGCTTGTATTGGCGGAGGGTGGGTGTTCTGGTTTCAATATATGCACCAGCAGTGCGCCGCATCCACACTGCGACATGCCCGGTTGTAACAGCGGCAATTCACCGGTATTGTGTGGAGAGTGGGCGCTTCTAGGTGTTGGCATTGGCCACTCAGGCCGCAGGGGGAAGCCTCTGGGCACCAGCCGGGGATCTGTGGGAAACGGAGTGGCATCAGTCATGGGTCAGACGTGCCGTTCCCCCCCAAAAAAGAACAGGCATTCGGTATCATGTGCTCGGCGTGGAATGCGGTGGAATATGACAAGCCCCACATGTAGTATTGGTAGACATGGCTTATATTTAGAGTTAAATAGAAGGAAAAGGAAACTAGGAAAACAGCATGTTTAAATGGCCTGCTGCATCGCACCCGACGCGCTCTCGTAGGACCACACGCGCGCGCGGAAGTCGCCAGAGCCGGTGGCAAACATGTGCTGGGTGGGCGACAGGGCAACAGAGATGACCGAGTTCTTGTGGCCCTGCAGCATGCACTGGGTCTGCGACGTGCGCGGGTCCCAGAACTGCACACCGCGGTCCTTGCTGCCCGACACAATCCAGTTGCCGTCGGGCGAGTATGCCACCGACAGCACAAAGTCCTTGTGGCCGGTCAGCGTGGACCGGCAGGTCGACGGGCCCGACGGGCGGCCGCTGGAGCCCGGACGTGCCAGGTCCCAGATGCGCAGCGTCTTGTCCAGCGACCCCGACAGCAGCGACTGGCCGTCGGGCGAGAACGCCACGGCGTAGACCGAGTCCTTGTGGCCGTCGATGCGCTCAAGGAACTGTCCCGACGGGGCGTCCCACAGGCGGATCATCTTGTCCAGCGACGCAGCAGCAACCAGCTGGCCATTGGGCGAGAAGGCCACGCTGGTCACACCGGCATCCTTGGGCCCCATATCGTCGATGGTGAAGGTGTGGATGTTCTTGCCGGTCTCCAGATCCCACAGGCGCACAGTGCGGTCGCCCGAGCCCGACAGAATGGTGCGGCCGTCGGGCGAGAAGTCCAGCGAGTAGATGTCCTGCTCGTGGCCAGCCAGGATGTGGCGGATTTTCTTGGTGGCGATGTCCCAGATGCGGATCTGCTTGTCCTCAGCGCCTGTCACTAGGAACTTTCCGTCGGGGCTGAAGCACACAGCGCGGATGTACAGGTCACCGTTCTTGGGCGCGTTCTCATCCGGCCAGCACAGCCTCCTTGTTGCCGGTGGCCATGTTCCAGATCTGCGTGGTGCGGTTGCAGCCGGTGGCCAGCAGCTTGCCGTCGTTGCTGAACTTGACACAGCACACCACGCTGTTGTGCTCCAGTGTGAACATGTTCTCGATGTTCAGCAGCCGCGGCATCTTGGCGTTGTAGATCACAAACCAGTCGGGGCCCTCGCGCTTTCAGCTGCGGTGGCACCGAGTCAGGGTCCATGTCCGCTAGCTGGCTGTTGCCCACCATGCCTTGCTGTTGCTGCTGTTGCTGTTGCTGCAGCTGCTGTTGCTGAGGTGTCACCGGCGCCGGCTGCCCCGCCGGCTTTGCCCCGGCCGGGCCCACGCTGCGTACCGGCTGCGTCGGCGTCTGACGGCTCGACATCGCCTGCGGCTGCTGCTGCGCCATCACATTCGGCTTGCGGTCCTTCTGCACGCCCGCTGCCTGCTGCTGCGGCGTCGGCGGCTGCCCGTGACCGCCCATCGGCACGTTACCGCCCGGTCCGTACGGCCCCATGGCATACGGCGCTCCCGGGTGCCCATCACCGCCCATCGGCGGCTGTCCAGGTGTCATGGCTGCCCCGTTCGGTCCGCTGTGCGGCCCAGACGCCGCCGGCATCCCGTACATGCCCGGGCCCTGCGACACGTGTGGCTGCGAGCCCGGTGGCATTCCACCGCTGTGCCCCGCCTGGCTCATCGCCATCGCCTGCCCCGGCGCCAGCATCGCCTGCTGCTGCGGCTGCGCAATGAACGGTGCCGACACCACCGGCGGTCCCCCCAGGTTGTGGATCTCACGTCGCAGCCGGTTAATTTCGTCCTCGTACTGCTTCCGCATCCCAAGGTGCCGCTGCTCCAGCTCCGCAAGCGAGTTCTGGAACAGCGTCATTTCGGCGATTTGGCTGTTGACTACAATCAGAACTCCAATTAGCGCTCCTTCTCCCCTCCGCCAAATTCGTGTCCTATTAGCCCCCCCAATTGCGCTTCATACTTACGACGCTGCTCGTAGTCATCCTTGTAAATCTTCATCGCTGAGGCGTCCTGTGTCAGCGTGTCATACTCGTTCCGTAGGGCCTCTAGCAGGTCTGCCACCCGCGACGACAGCGGCGCAGATGGGACCATCTGCCGGTGATTGTAAACGTTCGACATTTGTCAAGAACACGAATAAAATAAAGAGTGCGATGAAAACCTTTGGGCTCCTTTGACGTCCTTCAAGCAGTATATCTGTGAATAGTGTCGAAAATAAAAGGGAGAAAAAATTTGGGAGTGAAAGAGAAAAAATCGATTGACCCAAGAGCCTGCCCCTCCCTTGCTCACTCGTCCGAGAGATGCCGCCTTTTATATCCGCGGAGACGAAAGATTCCTGGACGACGCTCCTCGGCTTTGGTCATCGCATTTTGGCGGAGGATATATTGCCTTTTGTAAATCATATAAACCGGCTTCGCCTGATTTTTATCCAAGTCGAGGCACTCATCCAGGTCGCGTCGGTATTCATCCGCCTCGCTCGCAAGCCTGGCTCGCCATCATCCAGGTTGCCCAGCACCTCCCCCTCCCTGCTCGCTCGTCCGAGAAATGCCGCCTTTTATATCCGCGAAGACGAAAAATTCCTGGACGACGCTCCTTCGGCTTTTGGTCATCGCATCTTGGCGGAGGATATATTGCCTTTCGTAGATCATATAAGCCGGTTCGTCTGATTTTTATCCAAGTCGAGGCACTCATCCAGGTCACGTTGGTACTCATCCGCCTCGCTGGTCTGAGAGACGCCGTCTTTTATATCCGCGGAGACGAAAGATTCCTGGACAACACTCTTCGGCTTTTGTCATCGCATCTTGGCGGAGGATATATTGCCTTTCGTAGATCATATAAACCGGTTCGCCTGATTTTTATTCGAGTCAAGGCATTCATCCAGGTCGCGTCGGTATTCATCCGCCTCGCTCGCAAGCTGGCTCGCCATCACCAGGTCGCCCAGCGCCTGCACCGACTGGTGCAGCCCCGCCAAGCTCCCGCCGTAGCGCCTGGTTCTCTGCCTCGCGCTCCGCCAGCTGCGCATCCACCCCGTCATCCGCCTGCGGCGCAACCGTCGCCGACCGCCGCCGCCCCAGCCCACGCCCAAACGCACTGCCGATCGTCTTTGCCCCGTCGGTACCCGACCACCACCGGCGCCAGCGACGTGCGCGGAATATCAATTGTAAAGTCGTCACCACCGTCCTGCACCTGCACTGCCCAGCCGCACATTGCCCTGATATGTCGCCCGCCGCACCACCGCTGGCACCCGCTCCGCTGGCTGCTGCGATGGCGGCTGCTGCTGCGACGGCGGCTGCCCCAGCACCGGCGCAAACTCCGCCAGGTCAATCGGGTCCAGCAGCAGCCGCAGCTCGCCGTTGTTGAAAAACTGCTCGCCCTGTGGCTCTCCGGTCTCCATGGCTGACTTGCGCTTCTGTCCGTTGCTTGGAGCACGCACGAGTCCGGGCGCGTCGTCCGAGTCGGTCTCCGATGATACGTTCTCCGACATATCGCGCTGCCGCCGCCGCCGCAGCTCTGCAATCTTCTCCATTTTGCGCTGCGTTCGTCGTCTGCATCGACTCGCGGCTCTTCTCGCGCTTCAGCCGCACTGGCGTGTGCGTGGTGTCGGGCGATACTGTCGAGCGCCGTCTGCTGGCCGACTGGCCGACTTGGCTGTGCTGGTGCCTGTTCTCTGGCGTCTGTCGGTTGCTTTCGGCCATTCTGTACGCTGTGTATTAATGCAAAAGGTATTGTATAGGAAATGCGTTTTGTAGGTGAGCAGAGCCTGGCGCAAAAAAGTCGCTCTTCAGTTTTTGCTGGCATGTACCTGGCTCCTGCTTGATCCACTGACCATGTGCGTGATCCCGGCACTAGCTCCAGCCACTGCTCGAGTGTCCTTCTCTTGGAGCTTGTTATCTTCGCCGCTTCCTCCTTTTTAGAGAACTATACACAGCTGGCTCGCCTTACCCCTTCATTGCATTCCCCCTATTGACAATGCTCAGCAAATTCCTGGCTACACACACACGCGTGCTCTTCCGCCAGTCTCCGCGGATACCCCTGGCCGCCCAGAACACACGCACTCTTGCCCGCGCGTACTCGTCCGAGCCCACGGACCTGGACAAGGAAATCGAGGCCATTACAGACCTGGCGATGACGGCCAAGGACGAGATGGATTTTGCCGAGGAGTCGCGCAACTCGGTCTATTACAACGACGACAAGCAGGCTGCGCACGAGGCTGTCGAGGAGCTGACAAACGCATACAGCCAGCTGCTTGCGCGCCTGGACGATCGCCAGCAGCCAGGCAGTGCAGGCGCGCATTGGCATGCGGATCAAAGAGATCCAGAGCGCGTACGAAATCATGACGCTGAATGACTTGGAGGACTGACAAGACCATACTCTGTGGAAATGGACTGCGGTTCTGGTTGGGGACGAGGAAAAATCAAACATCCCCGTATATAAGGCCTTAAATATATGTTCTATGCTATATCGCTCACCTTGTCTTTCCTTATTTCGCACAATGTCCACTGCCCGCAGACCGCGCAACGACTCGCCTGAAGTAAAGCTCTCGAAACTGCTCTCCTACCTGCTCCGCCACGGCGCCGCCAAGGAGGGCCTGTCGCTGCGTGACGACGGCAGCATCCAGCTCAGCACCCTGCTTGAACACCCGAAGCTGCGCAGTACTACCTTTGACCAAATCAAGCACGTCGTCGACACCAACGACAAGAAGCGCTACGCGCTGTTCCAGGACCCGGCCACCAGCACCTGGTATATCCGTGCCACCCAGGGTCCACAGCATCAAGATCAAACAGCCGCCGCTGACCAAACTGACTCCTGCTACGCTGCCCGCAAATGTCATCCACGGGACCACCCGGGCAAAGTACGCATTGATTCAGCAGCAAGGACTGAGCCGTATGGGCCGCACACACATCCATTTTGCCACTGGCCTGGCTGGCGAGCAGCAGGTCATCAGCGGTATGCGAGTGTCCGCCAACACATTCATATATGTGGATGCCGTGCGGGCGATGCAGGATGGCATTGACTTTTATCTGAGCGAGAACGGCGTTGTTCTGTCAGCAGGCGAAGGCGACTCTGGTGTTATTCCGCCAGAGTATTTTAGCAAGGTCGAGTTCAAAGACTAGGTGTATTGCGCACAGCTAAAACTGCAGTAGCTGTCTGGGTGGGCATGATCGGGGATAGGCCCGAAGCCGCACTACACATTAGCGCCGGTCTGCCTCCAGCACAAATTGGCTTCTTACTACGAATACAACGTTTTTCGAGTCCTTTTTCTGCTAGTTACTAGTCTACTTCTCAATCCCACTCCCTCCCCCACATATCGGCCTGCCTCAGCCTCCCCGCTGCTTGTCATTTGTATATGCTTGATTTTCGTCGCCCAAACCTTTTCTGTATATTGGGGCCAGTGTTTTAACCGACTTTACCATTGTATAGGTCGGCAAACCACCTCACCCCACCAAATTTCATCAGCTCTTGCCTCGATACTGCTGATGCCTAGCTGTCGTTTACATTACTTTCCCGACATTGTTATTGTTTTCTTCTTGGGAACTACGAGAGAAAAGCATATGGCAAGAAATAAGCGCGAATAGCCGTTTCTCCAGTATATCTCTGTTCTTCCACTAGGCATTTTCTCTTGTTTACATTATAGCATTTGCGGATTTATTGTCGCGTAGCCTCCGAAATGGTGTTGGCCATATTTACTAACGTCGAATCCCAGTTCTTGGGATGGCCGGTCCGGCTGTGTGTTTTTCTACTTGGGCCATCATTATCCTCTTCCTTTTCCTCCCCTCTCGTTCCCCTCTAATTCCGTTGTTTGATAGGTTCTACATCCTCCTCCTCCAATTCTCTAAACAGTCCGCGATCCTTTTGACCTCTACCTCACCTCCCCGCCCGCACATATCCCTTACATATCATCATCTCCCAACCATTGCTTGTAGATTGCTTGGCTTTAGTTCGCATTGTGTCTGCAGCACATTCCATTTATTTCCTTCCACGTTTTCTACAAATAGCCTTTCCCGATATCTCCCTTCCCGCTAATGGCCTCTCTCGATACAGCCAGCAATATGTGCTCGCTTGATGACACCGCCACGAAATTATGCGCCACGACTTCTCCGCCAGTGCCAACCTTAACCACCATAGCAGAAACACCCAGTGGACCTGTCACCACAGATCTGCCGCCCAGCGCTGGCGCAAGTGAGATCCCCATGGCAAGCCTCTATCAGCTTCCCGCCTCTGGCCCACATGGACTATCCGCCAAACCCAGTCAGGCGACCGGCGACCCCGCATACCAGCTCGGTAATGTGCCCACCAGCCTAGTGCACCAGGCAGTGGCAGCACACGGCCAGCTGCCGAAGGAGTGGATCCAGACATTGATTTCCCAGGCGGACCGCACTGGAAACCTATATGGAAATGCGCACATGGCGTCGTGCAAGCACGACCCCAGCCAGACAGGCTCATCGGATAGCGATTCGGACGATATTTCGCGGTCGCTGTCGATTCTGCTCTCACAGCAGCAACAGCAGCAGCAACTACAGGCGAACGCAAAGCGGTTCCACACTATTGGGCTGCCGCCGCACAGCGGCGACTATAATGCTACGCTGATGGATATCCTGGGCTTTAGCTTTGATAGCTCGAGGCGGGTGATGAGTCTACCAAATTCAATCGGCAACATGGCGATGGATATTCCGGCTGATGCACATGCTCCGGGGGTGATGGACATCCCTGTTGTGGCAGGACTTGGGATAGGCAAGACCGAGGATGCACAGCAGATGGACTCGATGGCTGCTGCCGCTGCTGCCGTGGGTTTGCCTTCGCAGCACTTCATGCATGCTCAGCTCGCACCGACCATGCTTACTCAGTCGATGCAACCGCCGCTGATAGCCAACAGTGCCCCAATGTCCCACCAGCACCACCACCTTGGCATCGTTGGCTTAACAGTCAGCGAGACCCAGCGCCCAGCTGACATCCTGAACTTCCACGCCCAGACATACCCGCCACTTACTTCAGCCGCCATACCAAGCTCATCTATAGCCATGTGCAGCTCCAGCCGGTCATCCGTGGGCACGGAAATGAACAGTGTCATGCCTAGCCTGGCCGGGCTCAAGCGTGGATTCCATACCACCGTGCCTAGCCCCGAAAAGACTGGTGCATCGCTTGATGATAGCAAACCTGAAATGCATTCATCCACAGCACCCTCAACACCGCGTGCAAAGCGCGGCCGCCCGCGCTCTTCCAAGCGGCAGACACAGCGCGGCTCCACAGCAAAACCCGCTATTGAAACCGACAGTGCTGAGAGCAAGTCTCTGAGCTCCATTGCTACCGAAGCTGTCGGTCCAGCGCCACTACACCCATCATCGTTCACCAGCAACCAGGGCGACCTACTGCCATCCACACCACTCACTGGTGATCCTCCAGGACACGTAATGCCGGAGATATCTGCTTCGCACTCCTCCGGCACGCCTTCACTCTCCAGCTCCACATCGACGCCGGCCATGCCGGGCTTGATTCCCCACCGTGTCGATCGGCAGTTGGCGGCAGCTGCCCGGCCGCTGCTGTTCGTGCGCCCGCGCATCAAAGACGACCAGCCCAGGCGCCGCAAGCGCCGTTGTCTGTCCAGCAACCCCGGGTCGGCTGCTGGCACGCCTGTCGACACGCCCCCTGACATTGTCTCGGCTGTGCCAATGCCCGGGCCACCTCTGGGCGAAGACGGCCAGACGAACCTGCAGTGGCAGCGGATCTCGGAGCAGCGGCGCCGTGATGCCATGCGCGAGAACTTTGATCTGCTCAAGCGCATGCTGCCACAAGAGTACATGACTAGCGATGATGGCCGCGAGCTGGCCAGACCGGTATTGCTGGCACGCTTCCTGCGCTGGGTTGATGACACGCTGATTGAGATGGAAAGCCTGAAGTCTGAGGTTGCCCGGCTGAAGATGCAGCCAGGCGCAATGCCGATCGGCGGCCAGCAGGGTACGTGCGGCTGGGAGGGCCAGGCACGTGAGGGTGCTCCTCAGCAGCTCAGTGGTAACAGCCCCATGTGGGAGGTTGCTGAGGCTGTTGCCGTAGCTGCTGCTGCCGCTGCCGCTGCCGCAGTTGCCTTCCAATCCTTCACCAAGCGAAACTGCCGAGTCCAGCAGCCTGCCAGCACAGCCTTCGACGCAGAATGTAACGCCCTCAAGCGATGCCAGCAGTCAGCTGCTAGGTGATCTGTGATACCCCTATACTTACCACCTCCCCGCATATCATGTCCATTTGTTCAGTATAGTTTATTCTTGATGACCTCCCGCAACCCGCTAAATATGGAATTCTTGGCCATACGAGCCCCAGCTGTGCATGCTTGCCTACAGAATGGCTCAAAACCACCCAGCAAGTGTCAATCCAGCTTTCACAGCAAGCCACCAGGCTGATTTGGACAGGCAATTGTGCCAGCAGCCTCTGTGTCCGTTTCTCGCCGGATAGAGATAAGGCATGAGCTCCGCCTCAAATTCTTTTTTATGTGCCGTGGCTTTCCTGTTTGCACGGCCTGCACAGAGTCAATGGATGCATCCTGGCTGGGTCACCCGCCTCTAGGACCAGGATGCGCCACTGTTTACATTAGTTCTCGGAATAATGGGCCTGATGCAGTCCAAATGTGCCGTTTGGCTGAGGCAAACTGTCGCACGTACATCAAAACATTGACATGGTGGGGAGGACGCCCCCTCCACCCCATCTCTGCGATTGCAGGATTGATGAAAGCGCGCGTCTCCCCATGAGGTGATGCCCAGCCAACGTTGGCGAGGGAAGGCTCTCTACGTGTGCGCGTTGCTAGATTTGCGACTTGCCCTCCCACTTGCTGGCAGCGCTTGCTGATGGGGAGGGCTAATGGTGCAGGAATATTTGCAGCGCGAAATACATAGTGCGGTTTTTTGTCTCTCGCAAAACGAGCAAAGCAGTAGCACCGAGCTCATATTCTGGGCTGGCGCAAACTCTGCAGGCGTGTTTCTCCCACAGAATGCACCAAAATAGCTTGTTTTACTTTCATTTTGGAACTGCATCGGCATTTTTCTCTAGGCGAAACGCCGACGGATTCTCCACGCGAAACCAACGTTTCTGCTTGCGGAGACCAGGGGATGCAGCTTATTCTTGACCGACAATATTTCTAGCATCAATAGCAGTGCTAATCGCCGGTTGGCAGCATGTCTCGCTAGAGCCCTGGGCAGCGAATGTGGAGAACATGCCAGAGCAGGAAAAATGCTGGCTGCGGGTATGGAGAGGCTTGTAAAACATCGCCGACCAGCTGCCAGTGAGAGACTGGGACCCAGGCTTTCACCCGCCAGCTGAATTCCATTATTCTAAACAACAGAATTGCAGCGACGACGGCACTGGCGAACCGCGCCAGGCAACAATCGTAATAATAACAACAAGAATAGTAAGCACATCCCCCGCCCCTTTGCTTTCCGCCTATTTTCGAAATACAAGAAAAACACACCCTTTTCTTCAAGGCAGGCCACGCTGCGCTCTGGGACCTCCCCTCTCGCAACTCCACAGACAAGATAATTTCGAAACGCGCGGCTGTGTTTCTCTCCTCTTTCGCTTCTCTGCTCCATTCTAATAATTCCATTTTTCGCTTCCTCAGCTCGTTAGACAGAGGCTACCTCTTTTTCCCCATTGTTACCACACCTCCCTCTCTTCCCTGTCCTTAACCTCGCCATTTCCCATCTCTTGTATTGTGCGTTGAGGAAGCCAGTATCGTACGTATCTCCTGGCTCTGCCATCTGTGCGCGGATCTCCATTAATGCACGCAAGTTTGCGAGAGCTAAAATCCCCGTATTGTAGGACATCTCGTTTACGAATATCTCAAAGACGCTCGCCAGCCAACGCTTTTTATTTCGATCCTCAAACGATTTAGAATAGGTATGTGTTTTCCTGTTTCCAAGCGTGGCTTTCCCAGACACATTGATCGCCAAAACCACAAGCCCCTGGTCTTGTTGATTCAGAAACGGCTCAGCGATAGGGACTGTTGCGTATAATTCTTCATGCGCTGGATGGGCCCGAGGCTGCTGAAAAGGTGGCCCACCTGCACATTCTGAACTGAAACACCTTTTTGCATTCTCTGCGTTATCCCACTGCACATTTTTCTGTAGGAGTAGCCACACCAGTGTTCTCTCTTTCTGCTCTGCAACCACTCTTTTTATCTTGCACAGTCTTTGAGCCCTCTTTCCAGAGTTTACCCTCTCCACCCAATAAGCCATGAAGTCGACATCAAGCTCGGTCTCAAAGAAGAAGATGCAGGGCTACGTTGGATTCTCCAACTTCCCGAACCAGGTCCATCGGCGGTCGGTGAAGCGCGGGTTCAACTTCACGCTGATGGTTGTCGGCGAGGCCGGAATCGGCAAGTCGACGCTGATCAACACCCTGTTTGACACCAAGATCTTCCCTGACCGTGAGGAGGTACCACCAAACGCCGAGCCGATCAAGGGCGTCGATGTGACATCCATGAGCGCAGATATCCAGGAGAATGGCGTGAAGCTGAAGCTGACAGTTGTGGACACGCCCGGGTTCGGCGACTCGATTAACAACGAGGACGCATGGCAGCCGATCCTGGAGAACATCGAGTCGCGGTTTGACGCGTACTTGGCGCAGGAGAACCGCGTGAATCGCAGCAAGATCAGCGACAACCGCATCGACGCAGTCATCTACTTTATCAAGCCGACTGGCCACAGCCTGCGCGCCATCGACATCGAGTTCATGAAGCGCCTGCACACCAAGGTCAACCTGATCCCGATCATTGCCAAGGCCGACACGCTGACAGCGCGCGAGCTGGACCTGTTCAAGGCCCGGATTCTGGCCGATATCAACTACCACGGCATCCAGATCTTCAAGCCCGTGTCCGATGAGTTTGACGATCCCGAGACCGTTGCTGACAACCGCGAGATCCTCAGCAAGATCCCGTTCGCTGTCATTGGCAGCGAGAAGTTTGTCGAGCGCCCCGACGGCACGTCAGTTCGCGGGCGCCGCTACCCGTGGGGCATCATCGAGGTTGAGAACGAAGATCACAACGACTTCATCAAGCTGCGCCAGATGCTGCTGCGCTCGCACATGGAGGAGCTCAAGGACACGACCGACATGGTTCTGTACGAGAACTACCGCACGCAGAAGCTGCTGACAATGGGCCACGTACAGGACAACAATGTGTTCCGCGAGTTCAACCCAGTTATGCAGCAGGAGGAGGAGAGGCGCGCGCACGAGGCCAAGATGCAGAAGATGGAGGCCGAGATGACAGCTGTGTTCCAGCAGAAGGTGCAGGAGAAGGAGGCCAAGCTGAAGCAGTCCGAGGAGGAGCTCTATGCCCGCCACAAGGAGATGAAGACTGTGCTCGAGAAACAGCGGGCCGATCTGGACGAGAAGAAAAAGCGCGCCGAGGTTGCCATGCGCCCTGTAACCCCGCTCGAGCAGCACCCGACGAAGGGCAAAAAGAAGAACATCTTTGGTGGGTTCTAAGTGAATCCAGCAAGAGCCCCTTCCCCCCACCCCACCAAGAATCTCATTTCCACTCCACTCAACCTACTTCTCATGGCAAGCTACTTTACCGTCCCCCGCAAGTCCCCTCTAGCCTCTAATGAGAACTGGGAGGGGCCACGGAGGGGACATGCTTTTCTCTTCCAGCATTCCATATCCCTTTCATTAGCCATTTTTAGGCCTCGGCAGTCCTCACCCCCATAAACACTTTAATTATGACATATCTTTGCGATGCACTAGCATGAGGTTGGCCAAGCCTGCTTTTGATGTCTCTTGTCTTTGTTTTCATATAGCCATGAATATACCGGTGAAGCGGCTGCGAAACATCCGCCTGGTCACATTCGATCTCTTCGACACGCTGTACACCCCAGCCGAGTCGATCAGTACGACATACATGCGTCCACTGTTGAAGCATGGAATTAAGGTCGACGAGCTGCTCGTCAATTCATCGTTCCGAGCTGCCTTCAAGCAGGTCCACAGCTCATATCCGAACTACGGCTACCACCAGGGAATAACATCCAAGCAGTGGTGGACCATGGTTATTGAGTCGACGTGGACGCTGTCCGGCGTTGACCTGGCCAACTACCCAGCGCTGGCCCAGGAGTGCGACATGCTTATCGAGCGTTTCAACACAGCTGATGGCTACTGCATGTTCCCTGAGGTTCCCAAGGTCCTGAAGCACCTCAAGCGCAGAGGCATCAAGCTGGGTGTCATCTCTAACATGGACGAGGGGGGCGAGGCTGTGCTCAAGGCTCTAGGCATTCGAGAGCACTTTGACTTTGTGCTGCAGAGCATCAAGGTCGGGGTTGAGAAGCCTGACGAACGCATCTTCACTATGGCGCTGAAGGCAGTCAATGTCCCGGCCTATGACGCATTGCATATTGGCGACAACGAGCAACTCGACTACGATGCAGCACGCGATGCTGGGATGGAGGCCCTTGTTGTAGAGAGACGCAACCCGTCCAAAGTAGCGGGCAACCCAGACAAGTATATTGCCTCGCTTGAGGATATCCTGCAGCGGGTTTAAATAGCAATTCGCCGGATATTTCTTTTTGGAAATGCAATGTCCCACAAACATAAAAATCCTCATAAAGTTTGAAAGATGTAGGATGGCAGGTGCTTCGTTTTTTCCTTCCCCGCCTTTATGTACTTTTATCCTGTGCATCTCATCTACCTTTACCCGGGCTGTAGCATAAATGGATTTTGACCTTCTTGGAGATGATACAGATGCTGGAGGCACCTCGCCAGGGCATGGTACCTCTGCTGCAGTGGGAGCAGCAGCATCAGCGTCGCCGATAGAAGACCTGCTGATGCTTGATGGTGGCGACGACGCTTTGAACACGAACCATCCTCCAGTAATGCAACACCAGCAGCTCACGGCGTCACTTGAGAACCATGGTGGTTTGCGAACTACCAGCAATGATGATTTCGGTGATTTTACGCAGAGCGAGGCCACCAACGTTTGGGCTGACTCGAAGCCTGCCGCAGGGGCAGCCAAAAGAGTACAAACTGATGTCATGGCCAGCGGCAAAGAGGATGACGACGACTTTGGGGACTTCATTGACGTGACCAACGATGAAGCTGTAAATTCCGAGGATTTATCCCTGGAGTCAGCACCAGCACCAGAACCAGTCCAAGCGCAAGCAAACGAGACTAGGCCAGAGAAAGCGGCTGATTTCCCACCCCTTCAACCTGCGACGGCCGACAGCTCACTGCCTGGAATCATCCCTCCACCACCAGCACCCATGAACCCCAGCAAAAATAGCGACGCGTCTCTGTCCAATATAGCAGGTACTGTGGCAGGCAGCCGTGGCCAACGCAGCAGAGCAGCATCGTGGAAATCAACCAGCGCAATCCAGGACCCTGCTAACCCGCTCGATCTCGCATCAGAGCAGATATTGGACTGGCTGGAAGCGCCCAGCTCCATAGCTGTTGGGCAGGACGACACATATACTCTGGATGATATTGATGCAATTACCCATCGGTTAGATATACTGGTCCCAGACTCTGCCGATGAAGCAGCAGTTGGAGGCACTGTGACAGCCTGCTCAGAGCCATCGCTTGATCCATGGATAGCCAGTGTCAGCAGCAAAAGCCCAACACATCCAGGCCCATTCCCTCGGAAGCCAGACAGCAATCCCTCACACAAGCTGTGGGATATTATCTGGCCACAACCAGCACCCCAGGCTGAGCTTATTCATGGTCTGGACGTGGATCGTGGCGACCTGGTCCAAGCATATCTGCGGCTTGTTGACCTCTCCAAGAAGCAGTGAACCGCTGTAATTTTTTATATGAACGCTTTTTATTTTCTTCTCCATTAGTTCAAATTGTTAGGGTGATGCTAAAAACCACATACCAACATGCTTAGCTATTGGCCATGCGACAAGCCCCCAGTACTGATCCGGGATCTGGCTGCTAAGGCGCTCATGGCTCTTTCTAGTTCTCTTTACGCACGAAGGGCACGCAAAGTATTCATACTGAGTAACCCCCCTTCGCAGTAAAAACCAGCAAGTAAAAATCGCTAATTTTAGGTTTCAATTGCAGGTTCAAGCTTCAAGTCATCCTCAAATCTAGACCTGTTACACCCAGGACCAGCTATATGTGCAGCATCATAGGCGAATGGCTGTCTCTGGCTTGGCCGGGCGTTGGGTATAGCTGGCTGGCCCAGCCACCAAGCGGTGTGTGGTTTAGTGGTTTGTATTGAAAGCTGAGCTGCAGAATAGGAGCTGATACGGCTATTCACAGCCCAAGCAGAGCTGCACGCTTTTCCATCGTGCGCTGGACACGGCGCTCCCGCATAGCCTTGCTGCGGAGGCGACGTGCTGCGGCCTGCTCTGCAAGCAGCTGAGCGCGGGCCTTCTCTGCCTTGGCTTTGTGAATATGCTCGGCCAGAACACGCTTGTTCTTGAACACATTTCCCTTGGACTTGAGGTACAGCTCATGGTACAAATGGCGGTCAATCTTGCCCATGTCGCGGAACTTGCGCAGCGTGTTACGCAGAACACGCATGCGACGCATCCACAGAATGGCCGTAGGCATGCGAGCTTCAGCGGTTCCTTGACGGTTGCCGATACCAGAGTGCCGGCCTAGGCGCTTTGCCGCTTTATGCTTGTGAATACGGGAGCTTGAGCTGGCCTTGAGTGGCTTCTTTGTGATCAAGCCACCCTTGACAAGGGTGCGGATAGTCCTGCCTAGTTGTCAAGCAACGAGTGGAGTTAGAACTGGAGCCGCATATCTATTATCTAGGGTCAGACATAGGGGATACTTGCGTGAGTTGGCAGAAGAGATGTACACAGATTCAATGGGGTCAATCCAGACCTTTCTCTGGCCACACTTGAGAACAGATGCAGCCAGGCGTTTCTGTGTTGTTGTTTTTGCCATGTTTGCTAGTGGGGTTCAGAATACAAAAAAGTAAAGGAAAGAATCTCTGGCTGTATCTCCTGTCCCTCCTTAAATAGCATCTCGCACCCTGCGGCCAACAGCGGCCACACAGCAGCGCGAAATATAGAGTGCAAAATTCGACGTCTGCGGCCACAGGCTGAATATTGTGATTTCCAGTCTAATCGGTGACGTCACATGCGGACCTCATCTATAAATGCAGTGTAAAGCAACAGCTACATCACATCGCATTCTGGTTAGCAGATATGTTGGACTGAATGTGAGGGTGGCATTATTTATTCGACGGACAAAAACACAATCCATGTGCCACAGATGTTGTATGTGCTTGTTATTTAGCAAACTATATTTGGCTGGCTCCAGGTCGTAACCAAACTAGCGCATGCCTGTGTTTGTATTATAGCTAGTACAAGTAGCCGGGGCAGGCATATCCGCCATAACAACCGTAGCTACCACTGCCATATCCACAGTACCACGGCCAGCCAAAACATGCACCGCACCCAACACCACCACACCCGCAGCGCTTGCGGAAGCTGGTAAAGGCACTGTTATTGCCATGCACGTTATCGCACGCCTGGCATGCATTGGCATTACTGGTATACAAGGTGTTCTCATTAGAGTTGCAGTGGCTGCAGGCATAGCCAACGTTGTTGTTGAATGCATTGGCGAACGGGACGCCCCAGCCGCCACCGCTTGCACCGCAGCGCTTGGTGGGCTTCGGCTGAGCAGTAGCTGGAGCGCTGTGGTGAGCAGCTGCAACGCTGGGATCAGCAACAGGCGTAGCGCTAGACTGAAGTGCAAATGTCGCAAGAGAAAGGAAAGCAGCGATTGGGATAACGGTGGAGAGCATGGCAATGAAAGCTGTGTTAACGATTGGAGTGATGATGGGGTTGTTGTTTGAAGCAGGCTGCCAGGTGACAAATGTGAATAAGCGTGCTTGTCAAACTATATATAGTCCGGCATTCCACCATGGCTCAGAGGAAAGCGGTACAGTTGGCATCCTAGATACATCTATCATTGGAAGATGATTAACTGATGGCCATAGCAGTTGTGTAGTGATCAATCGATGATCTCGATATTGCACAATGATGAGCTGAACATAGACAGCCGCTATCTAAAGCCAATGCACTGCTTTCAGTTGCGATACGCTTTATAGGATATAGGACGCCTTTTGGGGGTTAATTACGTTGCTTTAGACCTCTATTGTTTAAGCATATACTATACTCTAGGCTTTCTATACAGGTGTGGCATAGTGCTGTATATATTGACCAGTGCAATATACTGCATGGTAATCTAATATCTAGGGTAGGCTGCCACTGCTTCTCAGCGCCATCATGTGCCATGTCTGCACGCCTGAGTGGAGTTCTCGTGTAAACGATTGGCAACAAAACATAGCGCTTGTCTAGAGACATAGGGCGATCGATGCATGACCCTCTATGTTAAAGAAATCACAATTGCGAATAGCAGAAAAGAGCATGATTTCAGCCCTAGCCGTTCATTGTTGTCCGACAACACCTCCCCCTTTTCCTCCACAAAGCCGAGAAAAAAAAGACCCCAGACAACATTCCAGCACTCTTCAATGACGAAAAAGTACTTTTCCAAACTCTTCCACCACCGCAGCCGGAGCACCCACCGCTACTCGTCGTCGAGCGACGACCGGTCCGATACCAACACCATCGCAGACGCCACCGAGGTGTTCAGCAAATGGCGCAGCGAGGACGGGCCGATTGAGCCGGACGCGGCGCTGGGCTACCTGCGCCACCTCATCTCGGTCAAGCAGACGCTGGACCGCAACATCGAGCTGCTGCTGCCATCGGCGTACCGCGAAATCCTCACCAACACGGTGACCAGCACGACCACGCAGCCGTTCAACCTGAACGCCCTGGCGACGGCCGGCCACGACGTGACCCGGCAGAATGCGGCGTTCACCAGGCTGGCGCGCAGCCTCAAGGACACCAACGACAGCCTGCAGGCGGCCATATTCGAGTACCTGGAGATGCTGCCCGAGAGCAGCGATAAACACAAGCTGGCCAAGCAGTGCCGCCATATGCGCGATACAAGGCGCTGGGGCAAGTTCGATGCCTTCGAGTTTGTCTGCCAGCCGCTGGCGTACCTGGAAATGTTCATTCCGGGGCATGTCAAGGAGTGGCGGGGGTTTCTGATTGAATTCGCCTCGCCCTTAGTCGCGTATTTCGTCGAGACGGAGCTGGACCAGGGGATGGCGTGGGAGGAGGCCAGGGCAGTGATCCAGGAGGTGTTTGGGACGAACCGTGCGCGTGAGACTCTGCTCGAGTGGCGCAGCGCAACCGTCGCTCTGGCGTCCTGCATGGATGTGCTGGATTACCGCAAGACCGTCGAGCCGAATATCCGCTGCTCGATGCGCACGCTAGCGGCCACATGCACGGACAGGCAGCAGCAGGCGTTTGTGGATGCGCTGCGCAAAATCAAGGTGCCCAAGCCGTCGCGCTACGACTGCGAGAAGCTGCGCGGATACCTGTCGGCGCTGCCAGTTTAATTCTTTTTTGTGAGAATAAACAATTAATTCGTATGCCTATTTGTGGGCCAGGGCTTCGCGGATAGCCGTCGAGCTGAGCTTGTCAGAGCCGCCAGCCGACACCAAGTCGACGGCCAGAATCTGCATGGGCGGCATTCCGCGCTCGCCGCGCTTATCATTCAGCACCTCGCAGCCATTCAGCGTCTCCTGCGACACGACCAGCGCGGCAACCGACGCATCGACGATGGTTGGCCCGTAGATGTCGTAGAGGGGCTCCAGCTCAAAGATAATGTCCTTGCGGATCCGCCGCAGGAACAAAAGCACGCCGAGCTCGCGCGCCCGGTACGGCTCCAGATAGTCCTTGTATTTTTTCTTCACCAGCAAGGTCTCGGCAGACACCCCGATGGTCAGCTTCTGTGTTGCCGTCAGCGCTGCGGCCGTCAAGAGGATCTTGTGGCCAATGTGCAGGTGGTCGAAGGTGCCGCCCAGCGCGACGTGCGGGAACGCCAGCCACGGGATCCGCGCACCTATTTGCTGCCGACGCACAGACACCGGGGAGCCGTCGGCAGCTGATTTGGTAATATTCGCCGCCGGCCACCAAACAGGCACCTCTGTGGTGTCTCCGATGTTCCCTAAATCATGCTTGGAAGTTGTGGTTTTTTTTGGTATAAAGCAGCCACCCCCGTTAAAACAGCATGCTAATGCGCGGTTTCGCCATTTACCTGTTGTGTCAACCAGTGTTGTGATTTCTGTATATGCAGCCATGTCGTCGGCAGAGTACGCGCAAAAGTCCACCAGAACCACATCGACGGCCACGTTAGTCCGGAACGCCTGCTGGGCAGTAATCGCGTATATCTCGGATACCCGCCGCTGCATCACCACCCATCCCGTGCTCGCCGACCAGACCTGCAGGGTCCAGGAACGACACAAAGACCGTCAGCTGCTGCGACGTGTGCTCAGCGGCCCGGCGCAGAGACTCTGCCGAGCGCTGCTCCAGTGGCTCCAGCGGGTTGGTCTGCAAGTAATAGTTGTATTTGGTTGCGGGCTCCATGGGAAAAAAGAAGAGGAAGCGAGATAATCACCGATGTGGAAAAAAAAAGGCCAGGTACTGAAGCAAAAAAAAAAAAGCAAGAGGCGAAAGCACCGCTGGAAGTACGCTTCCCAGCCGATTAGCAGCGCTGGCAGGATCACGCGAAACTGCCCCTCGATTGGCTGCCTCCCCCAAAACCCCAAGCAGCAGCCCAGGCCCCTTGCCTGCAGCCCCTGTTTCGTCATCACCGCCCGGGTGTTTGAGGGCTGGGCGGAACCCGAAAAGGCAGCGGGTCCACACACTTTGAAGGCTGGGCGGAGTTGTTCTTGTGCGCCTCGGCTGACGATATTTCCAAAACACTTGAACTCCACCGAAAGCAAAACACACCCCTCTTTCTCCTCAGACCCTCCCTCCCACCCCCGGTAACATAATTATCACTCATGTTTGTTTCGCAGGCAGCCGCATCAACGCAGCCTCCGACCGGCGCCAGCACGCCAGTGGCAGGCACTCACCAAGCATTTACGCACCGGGACCCGCCGGTATTCAACGAGAAGCTGCAGCGATCGCTGCAGAAGACACAGCAGCAGCAGGAGCTGTTTTTCCGGCCGCGCACGTCAATCCTGGACTACACGGAGCTGATGTGGGGCGGCAGCGACAAGATCCGGGGCTTTGTGACGTGCTTCTGGACGATCGCTGGCGCCTACCTGGTGTCGGTACTGGTGTCGCATTTCGAGAATAACGGCGAGTTCCTGTCGACGTCCCTGGGCGGGGTGATTTTCAGCCGGTCCCTGGAGCTGGTGCTAGGGGATCTGGCCTTGGTCCTTTCGACCATGTTTGTGGTGCCGTTTACAAGGCTCCTGTGGCTCTCTACCCGGCTTGACTCGCGCAATGCGTGGGCGATACTGGCGCATGCGGCTACCGAGATTTCCTGGCTGCTGTTCTGGTACGGCTGGCTGATGGGCCGCGGGTGGCCGTGGGTGCAAAGGTGCTTTTTTGTCCTGCATATCATGGTCAACTGGATGAAAATGCACTCGTACCTGAGCACAAACCGCATGCTGGCCGGCATGCTGCGGACCAGGACCGAGCTTGCGAAGAAAAAGGACAGCGCTACGGCAGATCTGGACATGGCGCTGAACAAAACGACGGTCAGCTTCCCGGCGAACGTGACGTTGGCCAACTATGTGATGTTCCAGCTCAGCCCGACCCTGGTGTACGAGCTCGAATACCCGCGCACCAAGAGCATCCGGTGGGGGTACGTGCTGGAGAAGATTCTGGGCACCATGGGCATATTCTTTGTGTTTTATATTGTGGTCGCCCACCTGGTGTTGCCCAGGCTCGAGAAGATGCCCGAGGCCGGGGTCCTGGTCACCACAGTGCACTTGATGGGGCCGATGGCGACCTGCTGGCTCTTGTTTTTCTTCATCACCTTCGATTCAATCGCCAACGGGTTCGCCGAATTGACAAGGTTTGCCGACCGCCGCTTCTACGACGACTGGTGGAATGCCCGCGGGCTCGACGAGTTCTCGCGCAAGTGGAACCGCCCGTGCATATGTTTTTGGCCCGCCACGTCTACATGCCCATCCGCCAGAACTGGCGCGGCGCCGTCCCCGCCTCTGTGGCCGCCATGGGCCTGACCTTTCTGTTCTCCAGTGTCCTGCACGAGGTCACCCTGACCGTGGCCTGCAGCAGGTGGAACCACGGGCTGTTTTTCATCTTCCAGATGATGCAGGTGCCGGTCATTGTGTTTTCTGAGAAAGTCGCCTGGTTCAAGGACTGCCAGGCCATGAGGAACTGGTTCTTCTGGGTCGCCATGGTCATTGGCCAGCCGTATTTGCTGTGCATGTATACGTATGGCGCCTTTGCTACCAAGTCTGTCTCCATATACCAACAGCCTGGCAGCCCCAGCGTCCAGACAAACGGAACCAATGCCGGCATGTAACGAAACGACAACCATCATCTTATCCCTCTCACCCCTATCAGATTGGCTGTTTCTCTCGTCTAGCTCGCAGTTCTAGCCTTGAGATATAGACTCACGAATTTATAGTAGACATTCTTATCCACACCATAGTGCAACAATATATTGGCTTTTACGCATCCACCAGCCGTAGGTCACCAATTGTGTGTTCACGCCTAACCCTGGCGAACAAAACCTCCTTGGCAGATTCTAGCGCCGCAAACAGCGCCAGCGGCGCCACCACCACCAGGGCCCACTCCACCGCATCCAGCTTGATGACGCCCAGGTGCCTGCTGACCGGCGGCACCGTCGCTGCAGCCACGATGGCTCCGATGCTGAGCACCAGCCATGCAGTCCCAGGCCGATTCGTGCGCGTGCCACGCACCCTGGGCACAATGCCATCATGGACTCGCAGCGGCACCAGCCGCGTGCGCAGCGACGTGCCCATCAGGGAGTGCGCTAAAAGCCATGTCAGGAACAGGATTGTCGGAGCCACCGGCGCTACCGCCCAGGTCGGCAGCAGAATCGACGGCACAAGCAGCGGAATCAGGCAGGTTGCAAACAGACTGCATCCAAAGACCACCACCGCCCGGTCGGTAGTCTTGGAGCCCAGGAACCCCGCCGCACGGACCTCGGAGGTGCCTGCAATTGCATCGCTGACCAGCTTCAGCGAATTCAGCGACCCCTCATCATCGCCGAGCGTGTGGGCGATTCCTTCAGCGCGCTCGGTCAGGAACGTCCACGTCGCCCCTAGGTCAGTAAACAGCTCGATCAGGATCACCTGGATCGGCGTCAATGGACTGGCGCCCTCGGCGATCAGCAGGAAGCCGAACAGCATGACTATGGCCAGCTTGCACGAAATGTAAAACACCATGCATTTCTCAATGTTGGCGCTGAGCCGCCGGCCCTCACGAAGGCACCGGACGACGCCCGAAAACTTCCCTGACAGCACAATCAGGCTGGCAGCATCCATGGCCACATCGGCCGTCGACGGATTCCCGCCCATGCAGATGCCGACGTCCGCTCGCGTCAGCGACGGCGCATCATTGATGCCGTCGCCTATAAATGCAACAGTCTCACCGCGCGCCTGCAGCGCATGCACTAGCCGCAGCTTCTGTGCGGGTGTGACCCGGGCAAACACATTGCTCTCGTCAACCAGCTTGTCAAACGAGCCGTTCGTCAGGCTCTTCTGGATCATCTCGCCGGTCACTGCATGCAGCTCGCTGAACGTTCCGTACGACTCCCGGTTGCACTGGTCGGCGGACAGCTGTGAGTGCACCTCGCTGATGCCCACAGCACTCGACACCGCCAGGGCTGTGCTCGGGTGGTCGCCCGTAGCAATGATGACGCGGATCCCGGAGCTCTGGCACTCCTGGATCACCGGCCGAGCCTCGTGCTGCGGCGGGTCGTAGAATGCAAACGCCCCCACAAATATCAGGTTCTGCAGGCCCGCGGTCTTGCTGCTAGCCGCAGTGGCCTCGTGGAACCGGAACGCACGCTGGGCCTCGGTGCTGGTAGGCTGCCGGTGCTGCCGCCCACGAGTGCCCTGCGCCCCAGCGCTGTGTGCATGCGAGAACACCGGCTCTTCAGTGACTGCGATGGCGTAGCCGATGATCCGACTGCCACCGGCAGCCAGATTGATTGCTGAGCGGGAGATCGCCTGTGCGAATGAATCCGACAGCGGCTGCACTCCATCAATCGCACCGCCGGCGATATCGTGTTTCTGAGTGCCCGTCGCTCTCCACACGCGGTCACACAGCGGCAACAGAATGTCAGGCGCTCCTTTAACCACGGTGTAGTGAAACTCGCGCTTTGGCGTCACTGAGGCCGATGTACTGGCGCTGGCTTCTGGAAGATGCTGTGCCACTGAGCGTGTGCGCGCTGAGATCCGCTGTGTCGGGTCAAACGGCAGTTCTCCGGTTGGTACAGGCAGTGTCTCGCAAAACGACGAAATTGAGTTCACCACCGCCATCAGCGGTACCTGGTTCGTATCCGGATCCCTGGGCAGCACACCTGAATCGCCAGAGAGGCTCTGCAGCACTGCCGAGTTCATGAAGTCCTTGCCAAACCCCCGAAGCTGCTTGAACGAGCCAGGCGCATCGCTTGGCGGCGACCGGCGGTTGGCCAGCGGTGACACAGACTTCCGCTCAATAGCCTGCGACCGGGCCGACACCAGGAAATGCGCCAGCGGCTTGGCCTCCAGCGGATCCACCGAAAGCGACCATGCAGAGTACAGCGGCGTGACGAGCGCCGAGGACCGCTCGCTGGCAGCAAAGGCCTCGGGCGTGATAACCTCAACTGCCGGACCCCCGCTCCCGCTCTCTCCTATCACCAATACCGACGACACGACCAGCTGGTTTCTCGTCAGCGTGCCTGTCTTGTCCGTAACAATCACCGACACTTCCGATAGTGCATCAGCCGCACTCAGCTTGCGCACCAGCAGGTTGTTCTTCGCCAGCTGTCTAGCGCCCAGCGCCAATGACGCCTTGGCAATCAGCGGGAGCTCCTCGGGGATCGTGGCAAATGCCAGACTCATGCCCATCAGAATTGCACTATGCCACGACATGCCCTGCAGTAAGCCGATGACCGGGAATATTATACATACTGAAATCGCCGCAATCGTTAGCGTTCCTGCCAGCTTCTTCATCCGCCGCTGCAGCGGTGTCGGTGGCGGCTTGCTGCCACGCATCAGCTGCACCACATTACCCGCTATTTCGGTGTTGCTGCCCGTTGCCACCACTATACACACCGCGCGCCCGCCGGTCACCGTTGTGCCAGCACACACCAGAGTTCGCGGGATTTCTACCAATGTATCGTCGCCATCACTGCCGTCTCTGGGCTCCTGCTCGCCATTTGTATCCAGCGCTGTCTTGTACACGCTTATCGACTCGCCAGTCAGCATGCTCTCGTCGACCGCCAGCCCACTCGACACTGCTACCACAGCATCTGCTGGCACGCTCTGCCCATGTGCCAGCAGAATCACGTCTCCGGGGACAAGCTCGTCCGCAGCCACCACGCCTTCCCTGCCTTCGCGCAGCACCGACGTGTTGATTGGCACCGAGTTAGACAGCGACAGCAGTGCGTTCTTGGCCCGCCACTCGGTCGACACTTCTAGCCCCACGACCACCAGGATGGTTACGATAATCGTGGCGGCGTCCCATGCCTTGCCCCAGATCGAGTACAGGACGCCGACCGCAAAAAGCAGCAGTATCATGGGCTCCGTTGCCACGTCCATAAAGGCGTCCATGATGCCGAAGTTGTGTGTCAAATCTACTGGCACATTCGGCCCAAAGTACTCTTGTCGGTTGTGTGCGTTTAGCCTATCCAGTCCCTGTGTGGGATCCACCCCCAGGTTATCTGCTACCTCGGCTAAGGACCGCGTCCATGGCCGCCACTGCCGTACGCGGTCATGCAGTTGCCGCAGGTACTCCAGGTGGTTTATCTCCTCCATTGGAATTGCCTGATAAAAGTCGTTCGATTAGTTGTTGTTTTGGAAGAATTGAAATTACAAATTGGTGATAGAGTACAGAAAAATTTGAAAACAGCAAGAAAACAAAAATGCAGCGCTGAGCAAGATAGGGCTGACGTCAACCCCTCGACGGCCCGCACCAATGACAGGTGGCTCCAGTTATGCCTCCAGCTGCCAGTGCACAGACAATTGGCAAAATCAGCAATCGGATAATGGACGTTGGTCCTTTGCAGCCATTGTTAGCAAAGCGCTTTTGTTGCAAGTGAGCAGGATGATAAGCAACGCTGTCTTGATGTAAACCCAGCTCAAGCAAGACGTGCCCTTGCGCTCTGCTCCACCTGCTAATCTTGGGAAGCCCGCCATTTCTCAAACGGTATCCATGATCTTCAGGTGCAGATCCAGGAATAACTGGTTACTAACAAGGTCTCTGCTCTGGGTGCCAGCGCTTAGCTAGCAGAATACCTTGGCACGGTACTTTACTTGTTGACTACTCTTCCATGGTTCACACTTACCTTTGACAATTCATTCTGCAGTACTTCACTTCTCGCTTAAGGATATTTGCAGGCAACTCTGTTATAGTTGGATGCCTGACATACCCGAAGAATTCTTTTTTATAAAGCCTGCATTCCGAGACAGGGATATGAATTCCAGCAAGAGAAATAGCATCCTGATGTTGCTGAAGCAGCTGAAGCACCTGGAGAAACTCATCATGGCCGCTTTCTCTATGAATCGCCTTCACATAAACCACCCAGAGCTAGGTAGCCCGGGCTATTTGAGCAGATTGATAGCGCCTTCTGTTGACATTCGGGGTTCAGAGTCCTCCTGCGCCACCATAGACAAGGCCGAAATGCATACGTACAAAGGTCCAGACATACGACCAGCCTTCCTTCTTCCCCTCAGTCATTTTGAGAAGTTATTTTTTTCCATACATTCGATAATCACTCATCCCCTAGGTTAACACCTTCAGCGATATGCCAGGTGAATTGGCCCAACTCGGCGAGACGGCTGTACATCTAGATATGCAAAGAGGTGGATATCGCCTCTATTGTATATCTGGCGTCACACCTACCAGAGCTGGTAGAGCTCGGCGTTGACTGCAAGCATACCCGCAATGTTGCTGCGAGAATTGGCGATCGTGCGTTTGGACACTCCCGACCTGATGTCAGCCCATTTCATGTTTGTGAGTTTTCATCGTATAACGCCGACCTCGACAGCTGATTTATACCCTCTCATTTCCAACTTCCACTTTTTATACTGCACCCGGTGTGGGTGCCAAAAGTATTCTTCAATTGCATCTGTAAAATGTCTCGCTAGGAGTATAGCCACACCATTCTGTGTCTAGCCTAGACGTAGTAAGAGATTTTGCTTATAAACAGCGATCAAAACTGTCCGAAGAATACAGTCTATACAAATAGAGCGTAGAGCAGGCTGAAATACCCGAAGATATATGCATTTAGAAAGTGTGAGAGAGTGCAGAAAGGCACTACGCAAGTAGAAAAATATAGAAGAAAGACAAGGATCCGGCCCAGTATTGGACTGGGTAGCAAAATATAAAGTGAAATAGAACAATGAAATGAGGAAAATCTAATTCTGATAACAGCTAGTATGATCTTGATGCTGCAGCTCATTTCAGACACCGCACGGGGGCCTTTTTTGTCTGCAAGGCGTTGCCATTTGTATAGTACTCGATTGTTGAAGTGGTGCCGACTGAGGAACTTTGAAATAAAGTGCGGTGCATCTGATAATCACAAGATATAGAACAATAAACGCTTGTTTCCTCACCCTACCCGCAGACATTTGCACGAAAGGGGTATCGCATAGGCCCTCTCTTGGTGAGACAGGTGATAAAGCGGGTGCAACATCTCTTCGCTGGAGGGGTCTCTGTTCTCAATCTTCTTTTGCAACTTAGTTTTCAGTTTACGAACATTTAAGGCCATACTGTCGCTACAATGTTAAATGATGGCATTGCTCGCTTAGCTCGCTTAGCTCACTTAGCTCCTACGAGCTTTAGTGAGGGATACGTTGATGATAATATTGTGGAAATCACTGTTATATTCCAGGACACAAACGAACTAAACATACCATTTAACAATTGATAAATAGGGAAAGGGGACCTCATGGATAAGACGTCTAGCAGTCAGGATTTCCGCCTTTACCCGCAAATGTACGCGCTTGAGTCCAGGCGTAAGACTACATTTTGTATTACTCGATCCAACACGCTCCACGACTACGGTTGTACTTGCCACTTCATAAGCCTACTGTAATAGTTGGAAGAACAATACCAAGAGTTAAACGTTCTTTGGTACGAAATATGAGCATGGCTATCGCATCAGGATGTCAGTTTACCGGTGGCCGTCACTGTGAAAGCTCACGGCTGCAGTTTGGAATCCAGGTCCATAATTGATCTGTTGCCAATTAAATGCTAGGCGATTTCCGGACATGGAGATAACGACTGCGCTCATTGATTTCTAGTCTCGATATACTTCTCCCTCACATAATGTCTCCCATAGACACGCAGCCCACACAGCTGCAGCGTATCCGCCTCAACCCCTTTGAGCGTGTAGTCGCTCTCACTGCTGGAGCCTCTCTAATCGGCGCAGTCGGCGGCGGTTACCTGGGTGGACAATTGGCTGGCCGGCAGTACCTGGCTGAGCGCGCACACCGTCTGCCCAAGACCGCCGACGGCTGGTTCTTTTACCAGAAATGGAAGAACTACCGAGTAACCTATGGCGGCTTCAAGGGCGCAGTCAGATATGCGAGCAGGATCGGCGGGTGCGTTTTGGCGTTCGCAACGATTGAGGCGATGGTCGATCGAGCAGTGGGCGAAGCACAGGCATTGAGCTCGGCGATTGCTGGTGTCACGACTGCTCTCGGGGTGTCGCTGCTGGTCAAGCTCCCGCGGTCGAGTGCTAAGCGGGCTGGCCTTGCCGGGCTGGCGGTTGGGCTGACAAATGGGCTGATTCAGGACGGGCTTAGGTGTGCGCAGCAGCCGACGCCACCGTCGTACATTTCCTGGCTATCGAAACAAACATCGCAGCGATCAAAGACGGAAATGTGATTAAAATGAAGTCTGAATAAACACCTTTTTCGCTACATCTCTTCCTCGCCGTCCGAGAAGCCGGGATCAAAGGAAAACTTTGTTTTCTTCTTCTGCGCCTCCTTGAGCAGCCGCTGCCTGACCTTCTCCTTGCGCGCAACCATCTCCCAGTCGTCCTCCTCGGCCGAGCTCGAGTCCGATGAGCTATTATACTGCATGCGCTGCTTCGCCTTGGCATCGGCAATGACCTCCTCCAGCGTCATGTGCTCGACCTTCTTTGTATGCTTGATGCGCTCGGTCGACATTTCCACCATATCCTTGAGCGACTTGTCGCGGTGGCTGAGCATGCGTTTGGCCAGCAGCGGGTCGTTCTCCAGCGCCTCCTTCAGTTTGGGGTCGCTGATGGCCGCCATCAGCCGGGCCTCCTCGTCGGCGTGCTTGGCATCGCGTTTCTTGATCCGCTTCAGCTTGCGCTCCTTGACGCGCTCCTTGAGCTCCTTGGCATCGGACCACGCCTCGTTGCTTTTCTTCTGCTTCTTCCTCTTCGACAGCGATTCGCCGCTCTCCGCCTGGCGCTTCTTTTCGGCCTTTGCGATTTCCAGCTTCTCAAGCCTGCGCTTCTCACGCACACTGTCCATGAACGGAATCGCGTCATAGTCGGCCTCGTACTTCACAAACCGGCCAGTAGGCCGGCCACGCAGCTCGGGCATGCTGGGAAGGTGCAGGAGCGCATACCCCTTGGCCACCTCGATGATGGCGAGCTCCTTGAGCCGGAAGATAAACTTGGCCTCGTGCTTCAGATACGACTGTACAAATGAAACGAATGCCATTTTGCCGCGGTCATAGATTTCGCGGTCAGTGGCCGACAGTGAGCGCAGAAACTCGAGCAGCTCGTCGCTGCGTGAGTCCTGCGGGAACTGGATTTTGAGCGCAGACGTCTTTTTGCTTTTCTTCTTGGGCCTCTCCTCGTCCTCTCCGCCCTCTTCCTTTTCGCTGTGCGTCTCGTCCACATCCTCCTCCTCAGCATCGTCACTCTCGACCATCTCCCCAATCGTCGCATCTGCTGGTGCCGCTAGTGTTACGTTTCCCTCATCGTCCTGCCACAAGTACCTGGCAGGCACCATAGGAACCTTGCGCAGAGCCAGGAAATCCACATACGCCTCTTCGCTGCCCGGATTCAGAAACACCAGCGCCTGGCCACTACGACCGGCTCTGGCTGTGCGCCCGCATCTGTGCGCAAACGATTTGGGATCGGTTGGCGGGTCCCACTGGATGACGCAGTCGACATCGGGGATATCCAGGCCGCGACTGGCCACGTCTGTGCATAGCAGAATGCCAGTCTCGCCGGGGGGCAGCTGCGAGAACCCGTCGTATGTTGCCTCGCGCTTCTTCTGGATCATCTGGCCGTGAAGCGAAAACACCGAGACCGGGAAGTCGACTTTAAAATACTGCTTCGTATGCTCGCGCTCCTCCTTCATCGTCTTCTTACCGCCCGGCACGATCTGCGCAGTCGGCGACAGCAGCCGCCGCAGCAGCTTCTGGAAATAGTCGACGGCAGCACAGGTGCTGAAGTAGATAATGTACTTTTGTGCACTGTTCATCTGAATGTGTCGCAGGATCTGGGCAATTTTGCGGTCGGGCGGGCAAACAAGGTACTGGATCGATAATGTCGAGGGAATACGGCGCTCGTCGCCGTTGCCATCCTTATCCTGCACCTTCACCTGCACGCGGACCGGATTGCGTAGACCGGTGCGCACCAGCTCGCTCAGCGCCTCGCTCATGGTCGCGGAGAACAAGCCGGTGCGGCGCTGGCGTGGGAGAACCGAAAAAATAGCCGTCAGCGACGCCTCAAAGCCCATGTCGAGCAAGCGGTCAGCCTCGTCCATGACCAGAAGCTCAAGCTTCTTCACCGACACACTGGACCGCCCGCGCAGACCGCCCGATGCTGTGATTTTCCCCGACTTTGTCTTTTTCCCGTGCTTCAGGCGTCCACAGATCACGTCCTCGAGGCGCCCGGGTGTGCCCACCAGAATATCCGGCCCGATCTCCTTCAGCATGGCCAGCTCGTCTGCCGTGTTTGTGGCCGACGACGACCCGCCCACCACCAGGTGCGACTTGTAATTGATGCCTGTGGCCAGCAGAATTTCGCCAAGCACTGTGTGGATCTGCTTGGCTAGCTCGCGCGTCGGCGAGATGATCACTGCCCCGATCTCGCTGTGGCCGAGCTTCAGCTTCTTGCGCAGCAGCAGCTCGAGAATCGGAATCACAAACGCCAGGGTCTTGCCCGATCCTGTCGCTGCCTCGACCACCACGTCGTGGTTCTGCAAGAATACTGGGATCGTGGCCTCCTGCACCGGCGTCATATAGTCAAACCCGTAGCTCGATACGGCATCCAGAATTGGCTGGCTCAGCGCCGGCTGCACGGTGTCCCAGGGCTTGCCAAATATCGGTACTGCCTCGGCCATTGTAGAATTTGAAAAAGCGCAGAAAAATAGGGAAGAAAGCGTCTGCAGAGGCGAGGAGGGCAGAAGCCCTGAGTGGGTTAAATTTTCAGCGCTGCACAGGCTGATCCGCAATCACCAATCAACAGCATAGCGATCAAGCTCACGTGAGGAATAACCCGAGAGAAGCGCGGGACCGCGGAACTCGACGATCGTTACGGGTAAGGAAAGTCAGCAAGAAACTCTGGGGTCAACAGATCCCTCGTTGCAAAAATTTTGGCCCCAAACGTACTGTGAGCATAGCCTGCGAGAATTGCTTATGCCTTTTGCGCTTGGACGCACAAATGTTCGCACGCACAAATAGCCTGCCTCTAGTCCCGCCTGCTTTTACCACGCCCGCCGCACAGCCACGGGCCTTTTTACTTTAGTTTCTTTTCATTCCCGTTCGATTAGCTTCTTCCAAAACACAAGAAAATTTTCTTCGTGCTAGAGCCCGCTCACAATCGGAGGCTGAAAACAAACCGCGCCTTTTATTTTAGCCGTAATATTTTAGAAATACATGGGCGAGCAAAAAGACTCTGGCAGTAGCCAGCGCAAATCGTGGAATTTCGGCCAAACGCAAGGGCCTTCTTCAGATACGGACGCCAGCGCCGACAATGGCGGATCTTCCAGCAGCAGCCGCCACGATGGCCTGCAGATAATTGCCAAAGCCGCCACGCAGCGGAGCAACAGTGAGATTGAAGAGAAGGCGGAGGAAATCGAGATGACGGCCCGCCGACGGCCCACCGCTACGTCGCAGAAGTCGCGGGGCATGGCGGGCCTTTTCAGCTCGGTGGTCCAACACATCCATGATATCGACAAGGAGAATGTCGAGACCACGCAGCCAACCAGTGCTATAGCTGGCGTTGGCCATATCAAACTGGTGCCAGACGCGGCCAAAATTCTCCCACCCAAACAGCAAATCATGCACCTTGGCGATCTCGAGGCAACGAAAGCCCACGGTGAGCAGCAGCTTCGCCCGGGTCTATTGTCGAACTACCTGAAGCTAATGCACCTGGACCGGCGGCCCAACGGATCGCGTAATCAGAGCCGGCAGAACCTCCAGCAGCCGAAACGTAGTGACTCACGGGCATCGCAGGCGCCGACCATTTGGGGCAAGCAGACTCCGCAGGCTCCGCAGACTCCTGATCCGTCGGCCTACATTCCCGAGGAAGGGACCTGGCAGGACATCGAGAAGCCACGGCGGCCCAACCGCACGTCGTCGTCGCTGTCGATGTTTTCGGGGCTACGGCGCCGCAAGGGCAAGGCAAGGCAGAGCACTAAGCGGCCGCGCAACTCTAACGGCAGCCAGTCCAGGCACCGTCTGCCTGCTGATTCGCTGGGCGACGATACATTGGGGAGCCCGGGGTCGGGATTCTTTGCCAGCAAAAAGGTCATGATCAAGGGCAGCCCGGTCGGGTCGCCGCTCGGGTCGCCGCTGGCCAATACCCCGGGAATGCCGTTCCGCCATCTCAGCGAAGCCCTGCCGTATGTTGCCTCGCAGCGGCACCTGACGTCGGTTGCAGGTACCCCCCAGGCGCACACGCGGCGGCCAAGCCTGTCGTCCATGACAGGCGATGTGAGCACAATGCCTGGCGTCACTATAGATGCCAAAGGTCTGAAAGAGAGCTTGGATGGAATCCACGCATTGCAGGAGCGCAATAGTTCGCAGCAGCCGGCCCATATGACGGAGCGGCAGCATATCGAGCATGCTATAGAGCTCTTGCTGCTGCACCAGCGGTTCCTGGTCCTGTGTGCCAAGGCACTGATGCTGTATGGGGCACCACTGCATCACCTTGAAGACAACCTGACGCGGCTGTCGAAACTCCTTGATCTCGAAATGACAGCCTCCACGCTGCCCGGTCTGATCCTCCTCTCATTCGACGACTCGATGACACATACATCCGAAACCAAGGTGATCCGGTGCACCAACGGAATCGACATGCACCGTCTGGACGAGACGAACAAGGTGCTGAGGCGGATCGCGCATTTGGAAATCGACATCCACCAGGCGACCAAGGAGCTGGAGGACGTGATGACCGCACCGCCCATCTACCCGTGGTATGTCCAGATCCTGAACTGGGGCGTGCTTTCCTGGTCCCTGTGCCTGGTGTTCTTTGGTGGCTCGTGGACTGACTCGGGCGTATCGTGCATGCTGGGTCTGATCGTTGGCTGCATGAATCTGGCTGCGGGTAAGCTGAGCGGCTACACAAACTTTTTCGATGCATCTGCATCAATCATTTCGGGCCTGATTGGCGCTGCATTTGCAAAGTGGAGCTGCTTTGGTGCCACTGCCCTGTCTGCCACTGCTGTGCTGCTGCCTGGACTCGTCATGACTACCGGCGTTATTGAGCTGTCGTCACGTCATATGGTGGCAGGCACTGTGCGCATCTTTTACGCTCTTTTGCTCGCCTTCATCATTGCTTACGGTATCCAGCTCGGTGTCGAGATCTACAACAAGCTGGTGGGCAACGATGTCATGGACAACTCGTATCTGGATCTGACCACATGCGATTCGCTGACAAAGTGGTCGTGGTTCGGCACGTTCCCAGTCGCCATTGTGTCCATCTCAATCCTAGTCAACATCCACTGGAAACACTGGTTTACAGTGACTGTCATTGCTGGTGCCACATTCGGCATCTTCTACCTGTTCAAATCCGTTCTGTTTCTGGATGACCTGGCGCCTGTCGTCGCATCCTTCGCGCTCGGCATGATTGCAAACATCTACAGCAAACTCACGGGCCAAACTGCCTATGTGATCCTGCTGCCTGGCGAAATGTTCTTGGTACCTGGAAGTATCGGTGTCCGCGGGTTCTCGTCGATGCTGAACAAGACGGACGGCCAGAGCTTGACGCTGGCCCTGCAGATGATCACCACATGTTTGAGCATCATGATGGGCTTGTTTGCCAGTACTTTCCTGGTATACCCGACTGGCAAGCAACACTCGGCTATGATGACCGTATGAAGAAAAACAAATGTAATATTATCCCGGCATTTTTATTATGTGGAGCATTATATTTTAACACCAGCAGGATAGCGGATGGGAACAAGCATTTAGAATGGCGACATTTGGGATGTGGGTTACGTTAGCGATGGCCAATGCGGTCCCCCTTCCGCTTGATCGACGCCAGAACCACCAGATAATCGTACAGATCCTGGGCGGCAATACAATCAACGATCGGCGACAGCAGCAGCACATAGAAGTAGTGGTTATAAACCTTGAACATATCTCTCCAGCCCGCAGTCAAAATGAACAGGCGGGGGCCAAAGTCGCGCGCAGGGTTGATGTGGCCGCCCGACGTTCCCACGGCGATCGTAGCTGCCAGAATAAGCGCACAGCCCCTGCCGGTGACAATGCTTATGTCCATTGACCCTTCAGAATGGGGTACCCGGAACAGAATCTGTGCCAGGTTGGAAGAGCCGACTGTGCTAAAGATCATCATGGCAAAGAACTCGCCAATCTCGGCATTGTAGTCGTACAGGAACCGTCTGAACTAGCCGGTCGGGCGAGACATCAACTCACGTATCTCCTCGTAAACCACTGGATGCTTGAAGTTCTCGGTCAGGCCCTGGGGCGACGAAGACTGGATAGTCGCGAAGGAATCAACATTCACCTCATGGTGGGTGACGTTATTGGCAGACATTTCACAAAGTGGAAAACTAGAAACCACAGTTTGTGGACTACAAGAGAAGCTGTCTAACGTGGCTGTCTTAATGAATAGGGCATGGTATTCGCTCTGACCCTATCTTTTGCATGAATATACCCCTCCAGCTGTTGATACTATCTGCTGTATGCAAAATAAAAATAAAATAAACCTTCATTCCTGGCAACGATGAGATTTGATATTTGACAACCCACCCCTTCAACCTGCCGGGACCACCATAGAGCCCATGTCATGCCTCTGCCAACACTGTATCTGAGTTTGTCATGGACGCCAGATCGACCTATGCACCTTCCTATTCGAGTACAGTCGACTGTCTCTGCCTGCGCAAACCCCTTTCACTACCCATTTAGGGGAACCGCGCCAGCGTGGCTCGAAATTCTAGAAATGGCAGCAAATCCAGCAAATCCAGCAAGACGGCAGCGGAAAATGGAGGATGAGAATAGCCATCCTGCCAGTTGCCCTTGGCTCAATATCAGCAAGCAAGACACTATGACAGGATGGAACGACCTCAGAAATCCAATATTTATGCAATATGCCACCGGAACCTCCCTATGGATGCAAGTGTGTAATATTGGTGCGGGGATTTCTCGCATCTCCATGTCATCTCTTGGACATGTTTGTCGCTGGGTATTGCCGCTCCCCTAATTGAATGACTCAACTATTTGCAGACGGACTGCTGCTGATTGTTGCCCACAAACTCCAGCTTTCTTCGTTAAAACAGATGTGGACTATCAAAAACTGCGCTTCCTTTTAGTTCAGCAGTCTATTGGGTCGTGTGCAGAGCAGCCATACTGTCCAGCATCCTGTATTTCTATACACTGCTGAGGAATGCGATTTCTCCATGTGTATCAGACACAGTAGCCGGTATGATTCCAATGCCTTTCAATCTACTCAGAAACTGCTATCACATTCTCAGCACATGCTCTGACTTGGACACTTATAGGCTATTTTTGTCTGGAACATGGGAAACGGCCACGATGTAGACTCCGTTCTCTATATGGAATTGCTGCATTCGCATCTTCTACTGAAGCAAACCTTGGCAAGCAATTCTCTAAAAATGCACTGTCACGCAAATAGCTAAATGGCTTTGAAAGATGCGCTGCATCGATAGAGCAGACTGCTATCTAGATTCTAGTACTATATCTGCCTGTGGTTGTAAATAAAACTGAGAAACTCTTTGCTCAGATATCTTCAATGGCAGCTGACTTGATATTAACAAAGCAGAACATGTTAAACAGTGCAATTGTGTGTGGCATCTTCTAGTAACACAATCGCTACTGCACAAATTTGGACATGCTCTGGATCAAGCAAGATGACTGCACGACGGAAAGTGATGAATATTTTCATCGTGATGTTTTTTATTGTTACAAACTACACCTTGCAGAAAACACGATTTGCTCGGTAGCTGCTTGCTCGTTCGGATTCAAAACTGACATCAAGATCCAATCCGACAAAAAGAAGGAAAGACATCAACCGATCCCCTGACGCACATTTGTATAGTTGCGATTTGCCGCAGGCTGGTCAGCTGTCGGGGGCACTCCAAGCACTCACTACTCGCCACAAATAAGGCAAGCAGAATCGTTCTTACAAGTCTCTCCTCATACACCCAGTCAGCCAGCCCCACCTCCAATAATGCCAAGAAAAACAGTTTCTAGGGGGAATGCGCTCCAACTACTCTACTAGCCAACCCACCCTTTTTGCAATTTGCATTTGGGTGCATCGGCGGGTTTAATTTCTAGGAGCAGCAGGCCAACGAGCAAAAGAAAGACTACCCATTGCGATCTGCATTCACAGCCTCAGGCGCTATGCTACATCCAGCCCTCCGATGGAACGAAAGACACGCATGGAAGAGAGTAGTGTGAGCTTTGTAAACTCTTGTGTTCCAGAACAATTCAGAGAGGAGCTATTTGGTCCACTATATGTATTTGATTTAGTTTTTTTTACCCAGTATGCAGTGAAAGAAGCATTTAGAATTATTTGATATATACGGCAGGGAGCACTAGTAGACAATAAACGGAGCAAGGCACAGCGATGCCTCTTACAGAACAGGATTGTGCGATATGCAAAAGGTCTTGATTGCGGTAAAGTGTAAGGAGCGAATATCCCTTCGGAATGAAAGTTGAAATATAACAATGTTCCAACCGTTGTTGCGCAGAGCAACCAGATATTTATATAGGAACACTGGGCGTTGACAGCGCCCCCCGAACTCCGGACTCCGGACTCCGGACCAAATGTATGTAGCTAAGTATCTTCCGGGGATTTGAAGGTGCCAGTACCAATTGATAGCATGCGCTGCGTTTACTGTACTGATGCAAGTATTGAGCAATCAGGTTCGAGCGAGGGGTAAAGGTGCCAAAGATGGACTCAGAATTTGCATTAGCGAGGGGATTGTTTACAAAAGAGAGGAATGAATCACTAGCCACCAGTCATTCCACAATTCAGCACCTTGCGACACCAAAATTAATAATGTCATGCATCAGCTTTTGCATTAGCAAAGTGGGAGTACAGATTCCGGCCCAGGAAGCAACACTGTCGGGAGTGCTGGCGGGCTAAGGAACGGGATTATTGAAAGCAATAGCGTAGGCGTAGATATGAATACTTGCCTTGGCATGCACTCATATGAATACAATCAAGTGGAAAAGAGGGTTGATATGAAAGAACTATGACAAGAGCTCGCAAGACGAACTATATATCGTTTGAATTGGTAGGTTCTGTTACCAAGACATATTTGAGCTCAAATCAATGGTCACACTGACTCAATCAATTGTTGGCTCAACCACCAAAGCAGCATTTCTCAAACACTTTGCACACAAAACCACATCAAAGTATTTTACCGCTATTATTGGACATGCCCAGATTTCTGTGTAAATGGCATGCACGACATCGTATCTTGTGAACTCTAACAACCGATACATGACGTGTTTGTATTTTGAGTAAAAGAATAAACCTGTGGAAACAATCTGTATCTCTGTCACATACGGCCTTTTATCTGTGCGTCCTGGGGGTGTGCTTTGTTCCCTCGTGGCTAGTCTCACGTGCCCATACACTACATACAGCAGCCGCACATCCCATACAAGTCGTGGAGCCGCGGTGAGCCGCAAAGGCGGGAATCTCTTCGGCCGAGCCGTCGATCATATTTTTCACGATTAGTAATCAATACAATCCATGCACCTTGCCTAGGCCATTTGCCATTCTAAAGCAGCAGCAGCTCTTCTTTGCAGTACTCAACGTCATCTACTGTCTCATTTTTCTCAGCATACGCGCGCACGCAGCGATGGATAATGGATACTCTCCTACCAAGCATAATTGAGAACATAATCCTATACCTGGCGCGGCTGCCACGCCTGTGCGACGACTTTACAGACTATGCAGTAAATCTCTGGCCACAGGCGACCCTACGACCGCTGCTGGCGGTAAACCGGCATTGGAGACATGTCGCCTGCATGCACTACTACCAGGCAGCGACGCTGGTGGTGATGAGCTCGTGTCTTGATCTCTGGCGATTCCAGCTGGCTGCTAGTCTGCTGGACATTACCCGGCTCGGGTGCCAGAGATATGTACGGAGGATTCATTTCCTATTCCGCATAGACGATGTAGCGTTCAACGGGTTTAGCGAGATGGTGCGGCAGTACTTGGGCCAGGCTGGAAATCTTCTGGGTGTGCGGGAAGTCCGGTTTACATGCATGTGCCCGCCTGGGTACCGGATACCGGAGCCCGGGCAGCCACGCCTGTGTATTAATGGCCTGTCCCAGGTTATTCGGAAGATGCTGCCGAACACACGGCGCACGACGATTCTATTCGACAACTTTTGCGAGATGAGCCGCCCGCTGCACACAGGCCTAGACGACGCCGTGCGGTGCATGCTCGCGGCTGTCAATTCACCCATATCGCTTACAGTTGGCTTCACCGAAAAGTACCGCGCGTATTTTGTGTCGCCGGCAATGCTTGGGATAAAACACCTGCACATTCACCGGCGAGCGGCGGGCCGCAGTATGACGCAAATAGCCAAGCGGAATTCCGAGACTCTTGAGTCGCTGACTCTTGACCACATCCCGGCAAGCAACATGGCCAGCATTTTCGCTGGGCGCAAGGGCAGGCAGGTCATCTACCCACAGTTGAGGAAGCTGACGGTTAACCGGCGCGAAGCCATGAGCTGGCATAGGTGCAAGCTGCAGTTGCTACTGAACCCAACGCCGATGCTGACCGAGCTGCACTGCAACGGCCAGTTCCCATTCGACAGCGTACAGTTGATTACGTGGAACCGGCAGCAGCTGCAGGCACTGTCGCTAGACCTGGACGTCAAACTGATGAAGCAACTGTACAAGACAGGCGATTTTTACGCGGAGGCCTTCCCAAAGCTCAAGGCGCTGAGTCTGGGCTGGAATCCAACCAACGTCCATCCTCGAGCAGCGGGCCAAATCCATCATATTTGCAATGCTGTTCACGCTGGGGTGCTCAGTCGAGTACGTGGAGACGTCTATTGCCCTGGGCCGGGTGTACCTGGAAATCTTCCAGGACGTGTGCATGGACTCTATCGTGTATATTGATATGCGAGCAATCAGCATCACATGCTTGCAAGCGGTGCGCATGTTTGGGCGTCTGCGCCGGCTTAGCCGTGCCCACTTCTCACTTACCAGCTGCCGCCAAGACGGTCGCTGGCGCATGATGACTGCAGGCGAGCTGTGCTATTACAAAAGCAACCGGGAAGAGTCCTCGAGCGTGCGGTCTCTGTATATCCACAATGATGTATTCCAAGAGTCCGAGTTTGTCCCCGCACACTGTGCTGGCATTTGCGCTTGCGCTGCCGTCTTTGAGGTTCATTATCGCGCCGATGCGGTCGCGCGACATCGACATCGACATGCTGATTGCGCAGACCCGGCAAGGCAGTCTGTTCTGCGACGAGCCGCAGGTGAACAGCGTCAAGCTGCTCAACATGTACTAATGCATTTCGATTTAATAGTAGTAATGTTTGTAATTCTAATTCTTTGGCCGCTTTCCCGGCCGTGTACTGCTGCTGCCGCTGCGCTTTTGTTTCCGGATCTTGTCGCGCTCGCCAAAGTTAGACTCGAGCAAATGCAAGGCCGCCGTGCGCTTTGCCCTCAGAACCTTGCCCATGCCCTCGAGAACCTTCTTCTCGCTGATCGGCATCTCCTCCAGCTGCTTGCCAATACGCGCCTCGATGTTATGGATAAGCTTGATATCGCTCTCCGACATAATGGTAATGGCCCGGCCACCGCGGCCCGCACGTGCAGTACGGCCGACACGGTGAATATACTCGTCAGGGTCGCGCGGCACGTGCATGTTGACAACCAGCTCGACTGAGGGGATATCGAGGCCACGGCTGGCAACGTCAGTGGCAATCAAGATACGGAACCGCCTCGGCACGGAACTTCCCCAGGCTGTTGAGCCGCTCCTGCTGCGAGATCTTGGAATGCAGAGCAGTGACGCGGAACCCAAGCTCAAACAGCATTACGCGCAGGGACTCTGCCTGCTTGCATTGGCCAACAAAGATCATGATAGACTTGTCTTTGCCCACAGTCTTGCCATCATCGCCCGCATCGTCGTCAGAATCGGAATCTGACTCGCTGTCGTCGCCATCGTCGTTGAGCTTTGGCTGTCCCCGGCGCTTCTCGAGCTTGGACACATTCGACATCAGCAGGTGGACCAGGTACGCTTCCTTGACGTGGGACGGCACAAAAATATAGTTTTGCACCAGCGAAGGAAACTGTGCTCACGCTGGTATCGCACAGATGCGTAAACACGGGCTGCTTCGAAGGCTTTTCGCGCAGCTGCAGGATGCTCGGCGTCATGGTGGCTGTAAACAGCAGTGTTTGCCGGTCGCGCGGGATATTGTTCATAATGACGGCCATGTCGGGCGCAAACGTCTCTGTCAACAAGCGGTCTGCCTCGTCAAGCACCAAAAACTTCACTTTCTGGAAGTGCACAGCATTCGCGCTGCTCTCAATGTGATCTGCTAGCCGGCCAGGTGTGGCAACAACAATATGTGGACGCCGCGACAGCTCCAGGGCCTGCTTAACCATGTCCATACCGCCGATCGCCACTGTTACCTTGATGTTGACGCCCTTGCCCAGAACATTGAACTGCTCGGCAATCTGGTATGCCAGCTCACGCGTTGGCGTCAGAACCAATGCGAATACTCCAAACGGGTCCTCTGACAGCTTCTGCAGGATCGGGAGGGCGAATGCAGCAGTCTTTCCTGAGCCGGTCTTGGCTCCGCCAATTGCGTCGTGGCCGACCAGAATCGGCGGAATGCATGCGCGCTGGATCTCGGTGGGCTTCAGAAATCGACATAGCACCCAGGGTATCTACTAGCCAGGGATCAAGACCAAGGTCGGCGAACGAGCACATGGGTGGTGGGATCGATGGCTCCATTGTACTGCTAGTGTTGATCTCAATGCGATCACCCTCTGCCTCGTCACCGCTGACACCACTCTCTAGGTCAGCTGCTATGTCTTTGGGCGGAAGTTCCTGAGGCATTTTCTTAAATAATGTGGAAGTAGAGGCGCTGCTGAAGAAGAAGAAGAAGAAGAAAGACTAGGAACATGCCTGGCTGCAGGCTTGAAAAAAAAAACACTAAATCTAATATCGCCGAAGTAATCGATCACAGCACAGGCACGTGCTCTTGCCCCACCTGATGGAGGTGGCAGGTGTTCCTTTTCTGGCCGAATCAGACATGGGGCTGAGGGCATAAACCATTGACATTACAGACTCTTGCTCTCAGTGAACGTTGGGCGCCACCAGGCGGGATTCCACACATGCCAGGATGTTGACAGAAGGCTGTGAGTATTGTGCTTGGTTGATATACAGCATTGCTCGAGACAAAGCTCCTCAATTCCAGAGGATATACTCCAAAAAAAAAAAGCCGACTAAAAAGAGTTGAAGCACAAAAAGTGCGGTTCGGAACATAGCAGATGGACGCATATCAGTGATATCCTGGGTGATAGGCAATCGCCTTTTTGTCCCTGCTTTTGGACGGCAAGCCAATAATTCATCAATGTCAGTCTCGGAGACTTTTTGTCGCATTTGGTAGGTCTCGCCGGGAGGATGGATGTGAGATTATGTACAGCCGGGATGTCCTGGAGTCCATGGGTGGATGAGGTTGCAAAAGCCATCTGCCCACACTCACGTTGGTCTATGAAAGGTGTGAGCGGAGAGAATGAGGCGTGGTTGGTGAGGGCCAGCATGATCCAATATCCAGGGCGTAAAGGCATTCGGCATAGACAGCAGCACGAATTGGTTGGCAAGTAGCAGTGTCACCTCTCGCCTATCACACCACTAAACTGCATGACCTCTGGGAAAGAGAGGGAGCTGGTCTTCTCTAAAGTCCTCCGTCAGCAATAATGCAATTGTGAATTGTTCCACCACATTTTTAGCAACAGGGCTATGCGGCTTCGATTGTTGGAGCAAAGCTGGCATAATTTCTCTTGTTTGCTTCCAAGGCTATGCGCTAAAACTGCTTCTTTTTTCTCTTCCGACTCACAGAATATAAATCCAGCTCTCTCTCCATCGTCTCCTCTCAGTGCTTGCATGGATTCTCTCTCAAACTATTCGCAGGCAACTATACATCTATCGACTCTAGCACGGCAAGCCATGGCTATCGCAGACTATATTCCAAACGAAATCCTGCATGAAATATTCGAGCAGCTATGGAACGAAGAGTTTATCGGCACTTTCATCACTCGCCGTCGGTCGACTCATCATGATCACGACCAGCGACACATCCACCGCCATCTGCGCACACGTCCAGATCTCGCCCATTCACGGTATGTCGGACCTGGCGTGCAGCAGGTCGCCAGCAGTTCTTCCGGTCGATGCTAGTAACCAGCAGCAACGCCCAGCCCGAAATGCTGCAGCTGGTGGAGCGGGCGTTCGTCGAGGTCAGCGTCGGCGGAGAGCTGGCGAATCCCATTGTCGAGCCGCTGGCGCGTGCGCGAACCCTCGGGCTGAGCTTCACAGGCAGCCAGTCGGAGAAATTCCCATTGGCCAGGGGCGATGCAGCACCGGGGATTTGCAGCGCAGTTTCCAAATACAACAAATGTGTGGATGCAATGTGCCGGACACCCAAGCAGCCAGCTGATCGCCAGCCTCGAAGGATTCTTTCACAGGGTGACATCATTGCACCTTTCAGAGCTGACCCGGCGCAATCCCGACTCGGCGAGGCTGCTGCGTGCCTGCTGCGGCTCGCTGCAGGTTCTTAGCATCGGCAGTGTGTCGGGCTGGAGTCCTGGCCGATGTCCTGTTCCACGATGGCCAGCAGGTCGAGTATCCCGTGCCTCAAGCGGCTCGTGTTTGGTGTGGACTCGCATGCCTAACATCCATGGCGGTCAGCGCCCACTGCCGCAGTGCCCGTTCCCGCACATGCAGGAGCTGTATTTTGATGATACGCGGACGAATGGGCCCGCCACGCGAGAGCTGGTACGCGCCGCTCTATGACATCCTGCTGAAATACGACAACATGGCACTGCAGTACCTGACATTCCCGGTCATTTACAACACGCAGCGCACAGTGAGCCGGCGCAACTGCCCCGAGCTGATGGAGCTGCGGCAGATAAAGTGCTGCTTGGGCGACAGGGCCCTGGGAAGTCGGCCATAGCGACTCGACCCGAGTGCTAACAGCTATTGCGACAATCCCAAAGCTTCAAAAGTACGTGCACCCGTCGTATATTGCTGGGCTGACTGGCGTGCCGACCTCCATCCAGTGTACTGGTCTGCGATATCTGGACCTTTACGGGTGGCCGTTGACCATCTCCGACATGGCCTGGGTCACAGGCGTCGTTTTCTCAGGCTTCAGTCTCTGCGCGTGACATTGGCAAGCGGTGGCGACATGGTCGACCCGAGTGCCACCAATGGCCTGCAGCGTGCTGGCTTTGGTGGTAGGAGCGACTGGCCGCGCACTGACTGTGCCAGGAATTTCACAGGACTGTTTGCCTGTCCTGGCGGCTATGCCATGCGTTAGCGACCTGCTTTTGTACAGCGATGCCTATGCGCATGTGCGCAGCGAGCTGCAGAGGCTTGAGAGCCACGGTACTATGTCGCGCCTTGGCCAGGGCCCGCATCGCTAACCTGGACCACGTCGAGTTGAGTGGCGGTGGCCAAGCTCCAGGAGACGCCGTGTGGCCCGCGAGTACCGATGCGAATACCGTAAACGCTGCTGCAGGTAGGGAATCCGGCTATGGCGGCAACACCCGGAAGCGCCAGCAGCCCGTGGAGAATTATACGCGACCTGGTAGTCGAATGATTATGCATTGAGTGCTTGGTCAACAAAAGAAACTACTGAACAGCCGCTGCCTCCTTGGCCTTGAATCTCTGTGTGCCTGGCAGCAGGCGGGTTAGCCGCATGGCTACTTGGGTTGGCTGGACGGCTGTGATTCGATTCTGAATAAGCAGCGGCCACACGCGGCTCGCGCTCAAGGCTCATCTCGTAGATTTTGTCGTCGTCGTATCCTTCGCGCTCGCACTTGGCCCACTGCTCAATCAGGTACTTCTGCAGACCTGGAATGGCCAGCGTGAAATTGCCGCTGTACTCGACCTGGAACTTGGCGATCTCCTTGACAATACTCGCAACACGATACGCCTTGTCAAAGTTGATCAGGACCTGTTGGTCGCTGATGTCGACATGATCCGAGCCCGTACACGGCTGGGACTGGCGATTGACGTTCTTTGCTGTCAGGATCGAATCTGTCGATGAGCGGCGGCGGTATGTCGGATTGCCGTCTTCGAGGAAGGTTAGATCCGTCAAATATAGGCCCATGAACGGCAGCAGTGGTGGCTGCGAGCGACGCAAAAGATCCCGGTAGTTGGCGTAGTTTCGGTCAGGATCGGTCGCCTTCATGCAGCCTCTTGCTCAGCACATCGAATTTTTTGGGCAGGAGCGCCCACGTACTCTTCAGTCGCATCACTGCAGCACAGAATATGGCAGCCTTGATTGCCATGACCGCGTCGTAGTTCTTCAGCGCCAGACACTGCTGTTCCAAGCTGGATAAAGTACTTGAGTGCCCGACACCGCCGGTCTGCTGGTAACCTCCGGACAGGAATCACAGCAGAAGCCCATCGCGAAATCTGCGTCGACCATTTTGTCATCTGCCGCACGTTGACGGCTAGCGACGTTTCGCCATGGCTAAACTCCTTGTTAACCAGCTCCATCGGCTGGATCTGGCAAAAGCACGAGCTCTCGATGATCGTTAGCTGGCATGCTACATCCATCGGCGACACCTGCAGGATATTGGAAGACCGGTACGCCTCCACAGACAGATCCTCTCCAACTGTAGCCATCAGAAGCTCAGAGATACCAGGCACCGGGTCGGCCTCTTGCTGCTTCAGTTGGGTGCTCGGGGTTGACTCAGTCAGAGTACTGGTCAGTGACCCTTGTGACTGGGCACGGTGCATCGCCACACCACCGGGAACTGTCCGCTTATTGTTGCTGCTCTTGTGGTGTGTAAACAGCCTCGTCAGCAGGCGCTTAGGCTTGCTTCTGCAGCAACTCGAGTCGACAGCCGACAAAAGCTCGCCGTTGTTATATCCCCTATCCGTGTCCTCAACATATGATAGCTGCGGCTGCTCCGACGGCGTCTGTGAAATAATAGTCTCACGAGTCGGCACAGGCACTGCCAGCGATCGCATCGGCTTGATACCTGGCGCCTCATCCCGGTACAGTTCGTTGATACGACACATAAGCTTCAGACACTCGCGCTGTGGCAGTGGATACCTGGAGTTGCGTTTCTCAGATGTCAAGAGTCGCATCAGAATCGGCAAGCACGACGGATCTTGCTCATGGCACCAGGCATTGGCTGAGCCAGTACTTGATTACCTGGAGGACCTTGTGCTGGATCGGCCTTAGGGTGCGTTCTCTCCATGCCCGTAGCACTGACACTGACTCGGTTTCTGGCGGTGGCAGATGTGCCCGCATAGCCAATGCCTCTGCCAGTCCCCTCGGCGATGCGAACAGTCGGAACCCGATAAAGAAAACACGCATAAACTCCATGCTGTTTTCAGGCTGCGTTAGATAGATAACCAATGCGCGCCATGTTCCGTACGTCACTTGGCCTGCATCGTTGAATATCAAGTCGCTGGCATTGTACACCTCAGAGTACAGGTTTGTCGGCTGTGGTTCTCGCTGGTCCAGCTGAGGCAAATATGGATGCTTGAACATGTTGGAGACTTTGCATTCACGCCAGGCACGCTTTGCACTCACCAGTGATTGCTTTTGCGTGTGGTCGCTTTCATTAGCTGGCGACATCAGTGTTTTCTCGATGGGCACTGGCCTGTAGTCATCAATCTGGTCGACCGTGCTGCCGTGGTTGAAATAGAATGCCATGGCCACCATCAAAGATTACGACCAGAAAAAGAATAGAAAATATACGAGATGTGAAAGAAAAAGCGACCTACCAAAGCCCAGTGAAGCATGTGCCTGTAGACCCTTTAAAAATAACGTGGCTCCGTGTTAGTAAGCAAGCAAGATAATCGGCCGGCGATGACAATACGGACAGATGTAAATACAGCAGCAATACCTGCGAACAAGCAGGGGATAGGTTCATAAAGTGCAGCTTTTCGGGAATTTGTATCGGAGCTCAGTGAAGCTCGGCCGACAGTATGTAGGGCTTGGCCGACATTATATAGGGGTGCCGAGTCCTTAGCCTGCCAGTAATACACATTATAAATATTCACACAACCTGATTCTGAAATCACGCTACTTTCTTTTTTTCCTTCTTTGGATTACAAATTCCTACTGGTTTTATGGCCCCTCACATCTCGATGACTGGATATTTAAATATTTGCAAGGTGACAGAAAGCCTTTTGGGGGATGCTGTTGGTCACAATTTTCCGTCGGTGCTGTTGAGAGCACCAGCTCCAGTGGACAAAGGATGTGTGGCAGACCGACTGTTGCACAAATGCGGAATCTTGGCAGATCGTGTGAGCTGGAGATTCCGTCAGCCGTATGAGCCAAGTGCTGCGCAGTATTGTTGCGGCGCTTTCCTAAACAAGCAGGCTGCATGTGAAATCAGGTCTATGGGTATCACCAATATTACACACGGCCCTCTTATGCTGGTCCAGCCGTCAGTAATATCATTATGCGAAGCATATGGACATTCATCCACGCTTGCTTGCCATTGTTGCCGAATATCTACTGTATATAAAAGTGTCTGCTGGGCCAGCATTAATGCCAACGCAGTCCATGCATCCAACCACTGGTTGTATACAATTCCTCACCAGAAATTAGTTTATTAGCTTGACATATAACATATATTCAATGCGACTTGTACTGGAACACAAATGATACATCCTTGCCCATGCATGAGCGCAATAGCTGGTCTTGTAGCTTGGGTGCATCGGTTTGGCCGAAATGCTCCCATGAATTGTGGTCCGCAAAGTCCATATTCTCTGACGCCTTGATCGCCTGCCTTCCATGTACGCATCTCCGGCACTTGAACTGGTCATGCGTATCACACATAGTCTCGCCACGCAGCCTGGCCTTGAACAGCTGGCGCATTTGATCGCGCGAAAAGTGCCGGTCAACGTTCTCCTGCTCATCCACGACACAGGTGGCCAGCGACGTCTTGTATGCCTGCCGCTGGAAAATCTTCTCTTCGACTGTGCCGGTAGTAGCCATGGTATAAATATAGCAGGTCTTCTTTTGCCCATCGCGCCAGATTCGCCCGCACGCCTGAAGATTGTCTGCCGGGTTGAAGCTGCTGTCAAACAAGACCAGCCGGTTGGCACCGACCAGGTTGATTCCGCAGCCGCCCGCCTTGGACGAAAGCAAGAAGACGAAAGCAGGGTCATTTGGGTTGTTGAACTGGTCAACAATCTGCTGCCGCTTAGGGATCGTCATAGAGCCGTCGAGGCGGTAGTAGCCGAACCCGCGCCCCTTGCACAGTTCCTCAAACAGGTTTAGTGTCTGCGTGTAGTTTGAAATCAGCACAATCTTGTCCTTCTCGCGCCCCCGACTAATCTGCTGCAACATACGGTCGAGCAGCGCCATTTTGCTGGACCACCTGGGATGGAACGGCTGGTTGGTCGAAGAACTGTCGCCTTGCTGCATCATCTGCATTCCGCGGATCGCTGCACCACGTCGCCCAATACTACCACCGCTCCTGGACGCGGGTTGCAATCTGTCGGTGAAATACTCCTTGGGTGTCACCGCCTGGTATCCCTGGACATGCTTCGTGATATCGATCAGGCTTGGGTGGTTACATAGTTTGCCTAGATTGATGATCGTCTGCAGCGCGCATTTGCCACCTTCACCAATCGCAGCGCGCGCCTCCTTTGACTTCAGGAACAGCTCGTACAGGTCGGTCTGCAGCTCAGTCAGTGGACAGAACACAACGTGCTCGTATTTGACTGGAAGGTACTTGGACAGCAGGTCGTTGGTGCGGCGGATGATGACCTTGCTGGCAATGGCATTGAGCTCCGCCAGCATTTCGTCGCCTCTCTTCTGCTCGCTGTCGGTGGCAAGGGCAGTCGCGCCCACGCAGAATGGGCAGCTCATACTTTTTGCGGAACTCTTGTGTCGAGCCCAGCAGCCCTGGGTTGGTGAAATTGAGCAGCGAAAAATACTCGGACAGGTCGTTCTGGATAGGAGTGCCCGACAAAATCACACGCCTCTCGACCTTGAGCGAATCCAGCGCCTGGAATGTCTGCGAAGCCGAGTTCTTGAGCCTGTGCCCCTCATCACACAGCAGCAAGCCGATGGGGCCCCTGGACAGCACATTAATGTATGTGCGCAGGGTCTCGTACGAGATAATCAGAACCGGGTGGATGATCATGCGGCCACGCGCGCCGATAAACTGCTCCAGACTGCGGAGTGACCTTCTCCTTCGTGCCTTTGTTATCGCAAGCCAGCGGCGCAATCTTGGTCGACCCGAGCCACTTTACAATCTCGTTAGCCCAGTTCTTGACCAAGCTGCTTGGACAGCAACCACGCACTTTTCGATCGTTGGCTTTCCAGGCGTCGGCGACTGCTGCAGCAGCGTCCACAGCAGTGCTGATGCACTGCAGAGTCTTGCCCAAGACCCATCTCGTCGGCCATGATACACCCGAACGCGTTCTTGTAGATGCGTCCAGTTGTGCAGTTGAACAGGAACTTCACTCCCTCAACTTGGTGCGGACGCAGCTTACGGCCCAGCGCTGGGTCAACTACCACCGGCACTTCCTTCAACGCTGCACTGCTTTCGCCTGCCTTTCACCCTAAAAGGCTCTTCAGTGACTTGTTACGGTTTGCAATCGGCACAAGCGTTGCCGCACTGTCCCCTGATTGCGACGACGTTGAAGACTGCTGTGATTCTGCTCCATCGGCCCCAGTCCCTGGTCTATATAGCACTACGGCATCCTCTGTGTCGGCGCTGTATCGCGGGCCGCGTGGCACTATCTTCCTGCGTCTGACACCCCAGCGAGCCCCGGCCCATACTAAATCTGGTATTTTGCTGGTCACACATGCTGTTACCCGCAGCATCTTCTTGGTCGGCTGACACGGGCCGAATAGCCTTGGGCGGTCTGAACGGTTTGAAAAGCTTCCTCGACATGCCGTTATAGTTCACCCCCGGTATACAGTCGTCCTCCTTGGCTGTCTCACCGCTGTCATCTTCCCCACTGTTGCTCTCTGACACTCGCCTGCGCTTGCTGGGCAACAGCTGGTTGGTAGACGATGCGACTGCGGATTTGCGCACAGAAAAGACCTGCTTCAACGATCGTGTTGGGTGCTTTGCCGCCGCTTCACCGGCAGGCTTACTTCTTGACGGCGACACAAATGGCCTGAACAGACGCCGATTTGGAATCTGCTGCACAGCGGCTGGCATGCCTGAAAGCATTTGAATGTTGTGAGCTGGGTAGCAAGGGCCACAAGAATTGAACGGAAGCTGTACAATGGAAAAGCAGAATTTGGGGTCAAATCGAGAAAGGCACCGAGGAAGAATGTGTATTAGAGGGTAGAGTTGGTGTTGGCCGAGCTGTGCTGCTGTTGGACCCAGCAGCTAGAAAAGGAGGACCTGAGGCTGGCTGCGCGTTTTTCGGGCTGTTGATCGCCAGATCCGATCCTGATCCGGAGCGAGTGGGTTCATTAGGAAGGCGGAAGCTGGCAATTGCATGCTGGAAATACGAAAACACTGCTCATTTATTCCGTCCTAATTGATAAAGCACTTTCTTGCTTTACTCCTCGTTGAGTGTGATAGTTAGGTCGCCTGTGGTCTGGTCGACGCACACAGACACCCTGGACATGTCCCGGACCGTATAGTCGGCACCGGCCTCCTTGAGCTGCGCTTCCGAGAGCAGCGTCCGGATACCAATGACGGTGGCACCCGAATCATGGCCGGCCTTGGTGCCTGCATGCGCGTCCTCAAATACGATGCAGTCCTTGGCATTGAACCCTAGGTCCTTGGCGGCGCGAATGTATCCCTCGGGATGGGGTTTTCCATTGGTGAATGTCGAGCGGCGTAATAAACACACTGGGGATGGGCAGCTGCAAGCGCCTCATGCGCGGGTGCGCCAGAAGTGGCAGGCCGGAGGTGAAAATCGACCAGCGCTCGGCCGGCAGCGACGCCAGCAGCTCTGACGCACCCTGGAATTACCCTCACCCCGTCGAGAATCTCAGCAGCCTCCTTCTCGAGCTCCAGCGCCTTCTCAACCGTGTGCATCTCGGTCAGGATAGAACTTCTTCAGCACCTCCTGTGTCGGCACCCCATGGCAATGGGCAAGGATGGGCGCCGGGTCAATGTTGTATTTAACGGCGTACTTTGTGTATATCTTCTCTGTAACCTCCAGGGTGCTGATCAGGGTGCCGTCGAGATCAAAGATGAGCCCCTTGGCTTTGAGCGTTGCAGTTTTGGCTGGCATGGTGCTGTGATAGGGCGCCTAGAAATAAGAGATATAGACTGAGGAGCCAAGCACAAACAGCTGAAGGAGACGAGAGCTGTGGCAGAGGCTACTCCGAGAGGCTGTCTTTATACTGGGTAGACCGGGACCTGAGGACAAGGGGTTTGTAAAAGTCCAACTGTGGACCACTCAATGTTGCACGTGATGTGTGTTGGTCAGGACTGTGCCAACAGCCCAGGCCTGTGCAAACATGCACACTCAAAGCTTAAACGAGCAATGGTCTGCCGATATAATCGGCAAGAGACGGTGCTCAGATAGTATTTTTAGCACACACGGCTGATCCACAGAAAACGACCGATGAACGCCGAGCTCGGGGGAATCTTTCTTCGCTACACGTCACTGCAAGACTCGTTTTGACATAGGAGAATTTAACTAAATACACAACAGGGTAGCGATAAAGACGATATGGAAGCAATGGCCTGGCATTGCTAGTTACCGCCGCCGCCGCCGCTGCCGCTGTCACCGCCACCACCACCACCGCCGCCGCAATCGCCGCCACCACCGCTATGGCCTCCACCACAATCGCCGCCGTGATCGCCATGGTGGTGTCCACCACCCGAGATGTACCACCCATGCTGGCTATTGGAATGGCCGCTGCCATCGCTGCCATAAAACCCGTCAATGAACCAGGCATTCGTCGTATTGGGCGAGTGATTGGCGCTTTTTTTTGGCGCTGATCGTTGAGCGATTGTCTGGTAAGGTTCCACGTTAGCAGCGTAAGCTGTGTAAATGACTCGCTAGCGCCTCTGGTGAATTCCAGCACCCCAAGCGTCTCTTCAAACGGCCCGTTGTTTGTGAATGTCGCGGCATTGCTGCCGCCCTTGGTGCGTAGGTCCCAGTACCGGCCCTGCGATGTCACGTGCCATTTGAATTTCTGCTGCGACTCATCGGTGAATTTCCATGGCATACTGCTGACACGGCGCGTTGAGGCGAATGTCTGCGCGCCAGCGTTTATCTTTGCCGTCACGCCCTCAAAGCCGTTGACATTGGCGATCATGGTCGCTTTGCTGCCGTGCATGTCTAGCCCTCTGCTGATGTACAGTCTGTCTCTATCACGGTAGAGCGTATACGCCAGCCCCAGGATCTCACTGGGTTTTGATGCGGTTGGGCCAGTGGCGGCTCCTTCATACACGTAGATGGTGGGCCCACCATCGTTGCTTTTAGCGATTGTCAGCTTCCTTGTTAGTGGCATCAGGAGGATGTGTGCACATATAAAGCGTTTGGATAATAGAGCAGAATTAAACCGAACTGAAGAAAAGGAGAGACGGGGAGGCTGCTATATCGCTGGCTACCCGGTGATAAGGGCACGGCTCCATGGCGTGTTCATGTGTGCCGGACGGGGAGCCCAGAACCATCCTAAAGAAGGCAAAAAGAGAACAACTGAGCGCATTCTCTCTGCGCTTCGCTCGAAGATCGTCATGTGAAGAAAACTCGGGAGCGCCAAGGACATCTCATGCAAGTTTTATTTGGCCCGCAGTTGTCAGTACACTCTTAAAAACAGGTGCGAAGCAACAGAAAACGCTGGCCAAAGGCCCCCATTGGAACGAAACTGCAAGCCGTAGAACGGAGATCTACAAGGAAGCATCCGAATGTCTCTTTGCCGATGTTACCTTCAATCCAGGATTGGGGGTGTGTGGTTTTTTCTTTGCCGACGCGTTTCGATATGCACATTTATGTACGAGGCTCGCCCATGTAGGTCATTTGCTTGGTGCATCGAAACTGGGACGCACACGCATACCTATTGCTGCACTCTGCTGTGTGTCGCAGATCTAATTTTGGATTTTCATGAATATCACCAGCACTGTCTGCATATTCGCGGAGAAGCACTTGGGGAGAGGGGCAGTGCATTGATTTCTACTACAAGCTGGTGCAGACATTAAAAATACACACGCCAGCTGTTCACTACTGGTTCTAATCAAGCTTTCCTCAGCGCTATTGGTCACACGGAAAGGTTGAATTCATACTAGCGACGTATCTGCGGCCCTGCACTTTTGAAACATCATTACTAGTCAGCATAGTCTGCCATTAGTTATTTATCTGACCTACATGATACAGGCTGAGCCACCAATAAAATATCGTACCATGATATATATATCTGGGATGCCAACTGGTCCACTTTCCTCTGAGTCATGGTGGAATGTCGGGCTGTATATAGTCTGACAAGCACGCCTATTCACATTTGTCACCCAGCAGCCTACTCCAAACAACAACCCTCTCATCACTCCAATCATCAACACAACTCTCATTTTCATGCTTTCCTCCGCTACTCCGATCGCTGTTTTCGCTACTCTTGCGACATTTGCACTTCAGTCTAGCGCTACGCCTGTTGCTGATCCCAGCGTCGCAGCCGCGCACCACAGCGCTCCAGCTACTGCTCAGCCGAAGCCCACCAAGCGCTGCGGTGCAAGCGGTGGCGGCTGGGGCGTCCCGTTCACCAGTGCATTCAACAACAACGTTGGCTATGCCTGCAGCCACTGCAACTCTAATGAGAACGCCGTGTATACCAGCAATGCCAATGCATGCCAGGCGTGCGATAACGTGCATGGCAATAACAGTGCCTTTACCAGCTTCCGCAAGCGCTGTGGGTGTGGTGATGTTGGGTACTGCGTGTGTGCTAGCTGGCCATGGTGCAGCGGATATAAGTATCCCTGCTATTTGTACTAGGTGGCTCCCATGCATATGAACTTGTTCCCTTCAGCATGGCTGTTCATATCAGCTTATAGAAGCCATGGTTACAAGGTGTAGGACTAAATTTTGCTCGCATTCTGATTAACAATGAAATTGTTATTCTAAAACAAAGCTGCTAGGAATTGGAGTGATGGGGAGCCTTGAATACAGATGTGGAATCCAGGATCTTAAATCTCCGTTAGAGAATAAGTATACGAGAAACTCTCATTCACGGCTTCTCAAGTCCGGCGATATAAAACCACTCTACTGACATTGCCACTACCATAGTAATCAGATTCTGCTTCTGCTCGGACAGACCCCCTTTTTACTACATCATCATGGTACACAATCACAGCAAGCGCATTCTATTGCTCCGGCCTCGACATGCTAGTGCTTCTACTGCGTGCCATCCACGAAGATGGGCGAAAAGTACACAACCCCTCATCCACTTACATGCAGTCAATACAGTGCGTGTATATTAGGAAACTTCCTTTGCTTGATCTGCAGGAACTTGAGCCCTTGCGGCTTCTTGCGTCGAAGCAGTTCTACTAAGCGACGGCACGGTATGTTGCCCGGCTGATGCACATGCTAGGCGTGCTAATAGAGACTCCGGCATTTCGCATGGCATGTTGGGAGGCGGTGTCTGGAGATGGCGGGATTGCCGGGCACGCAGTGGAGAGACAGGAGAATACAACCATGTCCTTGATCTATTTTGACTAATCACTATGCGTTTTGGAGAATACCGGTTTTGTTCGTGAAATTAGAATGTATATTTGAGCCACCCATGCAGTCCGTGTATTCTCCTCTACGGGCTAGCGGAGGCTTCTTGAGCAATCCTCCCCAAAACAGCCCTAACCGCGCTGCTAGCTGCCAAGTCTAAAAGGCATACTTTGCGTGTATGACAATGAATATGCTGCTCAGACGAACGGCCTGGGCTACCAGGTGCTATTTCTGGAGGGCTTTATGCGAGAAGGCTGTGGCTGTGGGAGCATGGGGGTTTGTGGCGGTTGCCTTCTAGGGGAGGGAGATGCAATTAAGGATGGGGATGCGGGTCTGGCTCATATGGCTGACGCTGGTTGCATGCGGTGAGGTAGCATGTCGCACTATAGCCGGAGGATAGTGACACCGAGTCACATCTGTCTAGCAGCCAATACTGGCGTACAATGCACTGCATGCAGCATTCTGGATAGAAGATAAATAGTATACTGGCGGTATTAGCATCAATGTAGCGATGTTTCAATCACAAGGCACATCAAATTAACGCACAGAATATGGATCGGCCCGTATATGAGGTTGGATGAGGGGACGACGAGGGAGGGGGCGGTGTCCTGAGTATTCGCGAATGGAGATTACAATGCAGGCAGAGGGCCGCCTCTTATCTCAGGCCTTGTAATCATAATACCAGCCTCCTTTTTTCTTTTTTTCTTCCTCCACTCCACCCATCCTGCGAAGGGGGGTTTGTCCATTGTAAATGGGCATTGTTTTGGAAAAAGAGTTCCCAGAGCTGTGCGACACCAAAGCTGAAGTGGTATGTAGTGACTTTTTTTTTTAAAACACTTTATCTCTGCTCGCCATATAGCGTTTAGTTGTCCAATGTTTCCCCGCCCTTGACTCCCTTCCGCCTAGCTCTCCCCTCGACCGGCTTTCCATACTTTTAGTTTTTCTTCCTCTCCTCCTTGTTCTGCGTATATCCACTGCACCTGGCCATTTTATTGCACATATCACATTACTGTCTAATATTTCACTAACCTAGCCTTCATTTTCTATTCACCATATAATTCAAAAGAGAAGGGGTTCCTTCAGTAAGTATGAACAAGGGCGCTTTGGGAATCAAAATAAAGGCGGCGGGCACGCAGGGAATATCAATTGCAGGCCGTGGTAGCCCCCAGCATAGCAACAAGCGTGGACACAACGACACGCTCACAATAGCCGGTTCAGCGCACAGCAACAAGAGGGCTAAGCAGGGGTATCGGCAGATCACCGGCAGCGCTTTCAACGGCAGCAGCAAGGCGATCGGCAAGCGGCAGCATCAGGCGTGGCAGAAACGCAAGCAGTCTAACATCTCTCGGCAGACAGTGCAGCAGCGCATCCGGCAAGCGGAGCAGCCTCTGGAGACGTTTGCCGAGCGTCTGCCAACGATTGCTGAGGTGGGTGCGACGGCTATGCAGCGGCGCAGCTTCTTTGGGCAGCAAATGGAGGACGCCTACAAGGAGGCACTGCGGTCAGTGCTAGGACTGGAAATGCAGAGCCTGGCGCGGGAAATGGGGATGGAGGCGACAGTTGAGATCCGCAGAGCAAGCCACCGGATGAACACGGAGCAGGCGGGTGACACGCCCGGAGCACCAGTAGTGCGAGTTGGTGTGGGAAGCACACCGGGCGACAATCTGACGGCCGTCGGGGCGCCGCCATGTATTGGCTCCCACGATCTGGTGCCGGTGCTCGTTTCGCAGCCGTGTATGACTGCAGGCGGCCTGGTTCGGCCAATGCCTGTGGACCTGCCGCCAATACCATCGGCCATGCTGCCGCTGCCACTCATTCCCCCAGTGCCACATGCAGTTCCTGCTGTCCAACCGCAAGAACCACCGCAGGAACCGCCCCAGGAACCGCCCCAGGAACCACCACAGGAACCACCACAGGAACCAGCCCAGCCACAATATCCGCCAATATATCGCCGGCAGCCGCCAGCAGTCAAGCGCAGCAGGATTTCGGACCGGCTTGGTCCGCAGCCATTGCGTCTAGCGGCTCGTGGTACCATGGATCCGCAGGGCTGGCGGGCCAGGGAACAGAATTCGCAGTGGGTGCAGAAAAAGGGCAGTATTAGGGACCGGCTCGGGCCAATACCGTCGCCAAGGCCAAGCCAGAATCTGTGGGCGACACAACGAATCCAGGCAAATGCAGTGCAGGTAGCTGAACTGCCAGTGGCAAAAGAGACAAGGTCAGGTAGAGTGAATTCGCCAGTCAAGGAATGCAAGGCGGTTAGAGAAAAGTCGCCGGCCAAGGAGCAAAAACAGGCCAAAAGTGAGGTCCTGGTGGCTAAGCAGCAACAGGTTGTCGGAGAAGCTCAGCCATCAAGAACCAAGCCGGCCAGGGCTGAATCGACAGCGCGGGAGGAGCATGTTTTGGAGAGAAGAGCGGTAGCCAGAGGGCCAGAGGAGCCACAAAGAGAGGCACGGCAGGCGGCCGACAAATCAGCAGTTGCAGCAAGACAAGCGCGGAAGTTGAGCGTGGCAAACACAGGACCCATGGCACGGCAATGGAATCCCAGCAGAAACCGGACACCTGCAGAGCCCCGGCGATCAGCAATGCGTGCACTCCGGCATAGAAGCCCATTCAGAGCGGACAGGGAACTGCGGCATAGAAGTCCATTCAGAGCAGACAGGGAACTGCGGCATAGAAGTCCATTCAGAGCGGAAAGGGAGCCTCGGCATAGAAGCTCTTTCACAACTAACAAGGAACCCGGGCCAGGACCCAGGAGCCGGTCACCAGCGAACCCGAATATCAGCCGACAAGTTGCGAAATCCACACAGCCACTGCCGACGATTGCGGATATCAGGCGCTGCAAGAACCTCCTGCCCGGCGACTTGCGGCCCAAGGAGCAGGTGGCAGAGAAGCCAGTGCCATTGCCCAAGGAGTTTGCGGTGACAGCCGAGAGCCTGCCGGACATGGACGAGGATCTAGAGGAGCTCTGGCATATGCCGATGGAGCCGCCGGTGGAGCGGCCAAAGCACAGGCGCGCCAAGACACCGCCCATGGACGACTACGACCCACCCAGGTTCGATGCGCCGCGACGGGTTCTGGCGCCACTGACGCCGCCCGATGACCGGTCGATGTCCCCGGAGTACAGTAGACAGCGGCAGTATTGGCAGCAGGGAAGGGCGGTTAGCAGATACGGGCGCAGCAGATATGATAGGCGGCCGCAAAGTGCGTGTGGGGACCAGGAAATGAAGCAGCAGAGGTCGCCGCGCAGGCAGACCGCGGGCGTTGTGCCACGACCGGTGATTGTTGTCTCGCGGCCGCTGGAGACAGGACGCATGGATCCGGTTACTCCCACGTCGCCGGAGCTGCCAATGTTCAGCCGGCGGCCGACAGTGGACCTGGAGGACATGATCGACTACGGCGATGACTCGGACGACTACCTGAGTCTGTAGCAAGGCCATAGCCTTCTTTCTTCGTAGATACCAAAAAGCCAAAAGCACAAAATCGATTTATATGTTAAAAATGACCCTTCAGAGCACCTGGCGGACCTTCTCCTGCGCCTTGAGCAAGTCGCTCTGCAGCGCCTGGTTCTTGGCAACATTCGCCTGGACAATGTACTGGCTGATGACCTCATCCACATACATAGTCGGCACATCCTCACCGGCGCTGGCAAGCCAGGCCCCAGCCAGATACACGACCTCGCGCACCAGCATCTCAGCCAGGCTCGGGTCGCCAGCCAATCTGCGATGCACGCGCACCAGCGACTCAAACACCGCCTGGTACGGCACGCCCGCCAACACCAGGGAGTCGCAGATATAGCCCGGCACATACTCCGCCGGCCGCTCGTTCGCCAGCCTAACCAGAACCGCAACAAGCCCATTCACCGGCACTGCACTAGACGAGGGCAGCAGGCGGGGGACCAGCTCCGAGATCTTTGCAGCCACGGCCATCAGCCCGGTGCGCAGCGGGTCGGACAATGTGCTCCGCAAAAGCTCCTCCCAGACCTCGGCGACCTGCTCCGGGTCATCATGACACGAGACCTTGAAGATCAGCAGCTTGGCCTCGGGCAGCTGCAGGGGCTCGGCAAAGTCCTGGTACAAGGCACTGACGTCATACAGCTGCCGGTCCAGTCTCTTGGCCACCTCCGTGTGGCTTTGTGCCAGGCGCTGCAGCTCCATCTGCGTCTGGGCAACCTCCAGCATGTCTTCGGTCTCGCGCAAAACGCGCGCGAGCTGGTCGGAGGCCTCGTCGTCCTTGTCCATCTGGTCAATGGCAATCTTCACATTGCTGATAGCCAACGACAGGTACTCGATGCGTCTAGCCAGCTTTAGATCGCCGGGCTGACACGCCAAGTCGCGCTGCACCACGGCGGCCATGGCAAACCGGCCCTCGTGCACGTACAAGTGCCAGAGCATGTCGCGCTGGTCGGCCACCGCGAAATACTCCTCCAGCAGCGGTCCACCCAGTTCATACAAGGTGGTGGTCTGGCCGCGGTCCAGCAGCCAGTCGTACAGGCGGAAGCAGAACAGCGCGTCGTCAGTAGGCAAAAGGCGCAGCATGGAGACATTGGCGGTCTCGGCAAGATCATCCAGAACCAATTGGTAGCACGAGGTGCGGAACTCGTACAGTTCTTGGCGCTTGTCGTTGGCGGGCGCCCGGTCGCGCCAGAACGCCAGGGCCTGGTCTTTCGGGTCCACGCCCTTGGCGCACATCAATGCCAAATCGACGGCCTGCGCACGCATATTGAGCTTGACAAACCGTCCAAACACATACCGGACATTGTCCAGAACCAAAGTGCCCGAGATATCGCGCAAAAGCTCCAACGCATTATTAGCCAGCTCGCGCTGCTCTGCCGGCTCGCTCGCCTCCGACGCCAGATTCAGCAGCTCCATGGCCTTGTATAGGGAGACGTCCTGGGCAGAGAAGATGCTGGCGCAGCGCAAGCGCAGTGCATCGCTGATGCTGGCAATGCTGGAATGCTGCTTGATCTGGGCATTGATCACCGCCACAATCAATGCACGGCACGCCTCCCGGCCGCCCTTGGTGCACACCAGGGTGTGGAACTTCAGGTCGCTGAGTTCCGAGCGCTTTTCCGAGCTCATGGCCTCGGCGCTAATCCTCGGCAGATCAAAGTCCTGGATCAGGCTCAAAAGCGAGATGGTCTCGATGGCCAGCACCACCAGATCATACAGGGACGCCAGGGACTGGGCCTCGGCTTGCCAGCACGCACTGACATTGCCCTCGGGCGTCTGCTGCAGGGATTCGGCCAGCTGATTGATCTGATCCGGGACGAACCGTTGGTTGGTGGTCAGGAAATGTTGCAGCCTCTGCAGTCTTTGCTGCACGCCCAGGAGCCGCGCAGCGTCAATGCCGATTTCCACATGGTGCTTGTTCATGGCGTCCTTTCGCAGGACTGTGGCCAGCTCCTGCCACACGGGCTGCAGGATGCGCGAGACATAGATCACCAGCCCGTCATGGCGCCCGCTCAGCTCGATTTTGCGCTGCGCTGCCGGCTGTTCCGACAATGGAACTGTTGGAGCCGTGGGGGGTTCAAACAAGAGCTTCGTTTCGGCGTAGCGCGGGATGCCGCCAAACTCAAACAGCATACGACGCGCGGCAGTCACGGCCTGGGCGCTGGTCTGTGTGAAATCGTCAGTGCACAGAATGGTAAAGCACATGGCACAGACCTCGGCCAGACCAAACGCATCAACAAACTGCTTCAGCTGCGCCTCGGGCAGCGCCGGCTGCGTAATCAGCGCCCGGAACATATCTACGGGCCGCTGCTTCGCCAGCACGCTGACGCCAGCATTGGTGAGCACCGCGAAATGACGCGTTGGGATGCCCGAGACCGTGGCCAGATCATTCGTGTTTTCGTCGCCCGCCAGCTCGGCCATCGCCCATGTGCGGCCCTCGATCCGCGACTCGGCCGCAAACTCGCACAGAATCTGCCGTGGCTGCGTCACCTGGCGCCGCAACGCCAAAGCGCAGTCCGGCGCCCCGGCCAGGATCGCGTCGTGGTCGTCGTTGAGCTCGTGGGCTAAAAGAACTGTCCCGTGGCTATACAACGAGCAGTGCACTGAAAGCGTGGGCGCCCGCAGATGCGGTAGCTGCATGGCCACTGGCCGGCTGTCGGGCGGCAGCCGCACGTGCACCAGATCAAACACCGCGGGCATCTGCACATTTGCGCTGTACCACTGCACGCGCGGCAGCGTCGAAAAGTACAGCCGTGAGCCACCGGCCGTCACCGCCACCAGATGGATGGCGCGCGACTCGCTGGTAGGAATCACGTGCATCGACACCACCTCCAGCTCGCGGCCCTCATTGATCTGTGGACACAGCAGCGCCGCTGCATTGCCCACCGTCTTGTGGTGGTGCGCCAGCACAAACTCCCCGCCATTATGGCCCAGCCAGAACACCTTGATTGACGCGTCCTGCAGCAGCACATACAATAGATGCCGCTCATTGTCCACCGCCATGCTGAGCGCTGGCTTCTCGCGGTGCATGTGCCAGAACGACGGCAGGAAATACGACCCCACGCTGGCCGTCAGATTGACCTTCTTCGAGCGCCGCCGCAGCCAGCTGTCCTCGGCCTGGTACTCGAACTCGTACAGCCCGCCGTCATTGCCTGCCATGAAGATCCGCCCTGCCTCTGTGCCCACCATGCTGGTCATCGCCACGCTGTCAGCCGGCACGCTAATCTGCGTCGCAAACAGCGATACGGAGCCGCCGCGTCCCGCTTCCTCGTATTTAATGCCCAGCAGAAACACCTCCAGCGGCGTCGCCACCGCCAACACGTACTTTATCGAGTCGATAAACACACCCGGCTTGGGCTTCACCAGCGCCACACTGACAATTATCTGCTCCTGGTCCTCGAACGAGTAAAAGTCCGACTCGTCCTCGTAGTTCCACAGAAACAGCCGGTGGTCCACTGTAATCCACGCCCGCTGGATCTCTGGAAACAGCCCCATGAAACACCGGCACTCCAACAGGTCGTACTGCTCAAACAAGGCGTCTGGCAGCGCAATCAACCGCTGCTTTGTCACTATCTGCCAGGAGGCCGGGTTGGCCTGCGAGTACTCGCTGGAAGAAGAAGCTAAAATATAACGCGCGTTTAGACCACAAGAAAGAAGAGATGGCCGCCATACACAATGCTAGTGCTTTTCTGTCACTTACTGTGGAGAAGCTCTGTAAGCGTCGGGAATTTGCTGTCCGCCCGAAGCCTCTCGTTGACGCGCTCTTCGGCCGAAGCAAGCCCGCCATCTGTGGTGGGGTTCTGGTCGCTCATTCCTAAATCTCAAGAACTATGTGAAGGAGCTATAGTATAATCTAATTGGGAAAATAAAAGGGAATAAAATTTGCAAGGCGAAGAAAACCGACACTCGTCGCGTTCTGGAAAGAGAGGCCAGAGCTGGAGCAGGCAGAAGCAAAAAAGTCATCGCTACTGATCCCCTCGATCATGCGATCAAATGTCCCCACTCAAGTGCACCCAAATGGCTATTTTTTTTGCAGCTCTCTTTTCATAGCTTTCTCACTTTTTTTTTTCTTTATTCCAAATGGGCGCACACAAAAAGACTGCCGACAAGAAACTCGCGCTCAAGCGCAAACTACAGACCACCAAGCGCACTGCGCACGTAGGCAAAACCACACATGACGAGCTCAAGGCCCGGCGGAAACAGATGAAGCATTTGAAAGCCGCCCTTGCGCCCTCCTACGCCTCCACAAAGCACACTGCCGGCCGCCGCGACGTCCGCATGGCCCTCGACCGCTCGCTTCTAGAAGATAAAGATCTGTCCGAGCGCCTGCGCGGAACTGCGCCTATACCGACCAACGCACAGCTTCTAAACAAGGCAAAAGGAGGAGCGCGAGGCCATGGCGCTGGCATACGAGAACCAGCAGAAGGCACTGAATACAACTGTCGATGAGCTAGCACAGTTAATGAGTAAATAAACACTGAATAAGCTTAAACTGACTTGTGCGACTCCGACTGCGACTGCACCACCAGAATACTGGCGGACGTGCCGAATCCCAGAAGGTGCTCCGGCACCACGCCTAGGGCACGCTGCCGCTCGGGCTTCGTGAATGTGTGGCCTGCGGGTCTGTGTTTCTGCAGCTCCAGCGCAAAATACCCTGTGCCCAGGGAGCGCCCACACACAATCAGATCGTTCCGCGCCAATCCACGCGCCCGCAGCAACAGCGTCTGCAGTGGCGTCGCCGTAGCGATTGTCTCCAGTGACGTGTTTGCGAACTGTGTGGCCAATACCCCAGCGGTCTCGTTGGTCTCAGCGGTCCCAGCGGTCCCAGCGGTCTCGTGGGATGCATTGCGGAACCACAGCTTCTGCGTGATCTTCTTGCGTAGCCCGCTGTCGTCTGCAGCCCCATCAAGCTGCAGTGCTGGTACATTAGTCTCCGGCAGGGGGTTATGCACTGGCGACCCCAGCAGGGACGCACTGCGCGGCTGCAAAAGCTGGTCAATAAAGACCGCATCCTCCTGCCCGCTCCCCTCATCGACCCTGGTGGCCATGGCTTCAAGGCTCTGCCTCTCAGCTTCCTTAAGCGTCTGTGCCCAGGGGTCAACCTCGTTCTTGAGCCCGCCCTTGGTCTGCACCGCCGCTGGCGAACTGGGAATCGCCGGTCGTGCTGGGAACCGCTCCTCGCTCAGCACGACGTCCTGGCTGGTTGGCGCGCTGGCCTTGACAAACCGCCACACAACAACCTGCACGTTCGCGTTCACGCACAGTTCGCTAGCCAGTTGCAGCGCCAAGCGGTCATCCGAACCGCCAAAGAACGGCACCACGATACGCGGCGCCTCATGGCTCTTGGGTGCATCCGCCAGGGCTGCCAGCTCGCTGCCGTCAGACAATCCCAGGTCAATGAACACGCCGATGTGGCCAGGCGCTTTATTGAACAGGCCTGAGATGAACTCGGCCTGCTGCAGGGTCGTGAAGCCCCAGCCCATGCTGGAAAACCACCCGGGCGTCATTGCTCCCTCCTCAGGCTGCCCGCTGCCGCGCCCAAACGCCGACACGATCGTCAGTTCAGCATCCGCGTCGCGCGCGCTACCGATCACGGCGTCGACGAAATGCTCCTGGTCGCTGTGTGACAGCGACCCGTGGAAGACCAAGTCGGCCACCCGTGCAAAAGCCCGGAACACCGAAATCACCGGATCCGTCACCACGCGCGCCTCCGACTCGTACTGGTGCATTACCGACGAGTTGCGCCCGGTCAGCTCCAGCAGCCGCAGCGCAAACACACGCAGCGGCCGCACAATGCCCCCAGCGCTGTTCTTCCCATGGAGGTACCCGAGCAACGTCATCAGTGACGGCACCTGCTGCAGCCGGCTCAGTACCACCAGCAGGCTCATTGGCGCACCGGTCGACGGCGCACTGGACTCGCGTGCCTTGGCATGCGGATCCTCAATGCGCTCCTGGTACTGCGGCGGGTACAGCCACATGACCGCCGGCGTCGTCACAAACGTCGTAACCAAGGCCTTGACCACCATCATGGTGAAAATCCGGGTATTGATAACACCGGCCTGCAGCCCGATATTCAGCACAATCAGCTCCACCAGGCCCTTGCAGTTCATCAGGAACCCGATCGTCAGCGACTCGCGCCACGTAAACGCGCTCCACTTGGCCGCCAGTGTGCATCCAACGATCTTGCCAAAGAACGCCACAAAGCAAATCAGAATCAGCAGCCCCCACGTCTTGCCGTCATTCAGATCCGACAGGTTCGTGTTCAGGCCAGACAGGGCAAAGTATATCGGCAGGAAGAATATCTGCACCATGTCTTCGATCTTCTCCGTCACCCTGATTGCGAACCCGCCGTCGTGCGGCACAATAACGCCCACCAAGAACCCGCCAAAGATCGCGTGGATCCCGATAATGTCCGTGAAGTACGCCGACACCAGTACCAAAAAGAACGTCACAAACAGCACCATCTGCGATGGCTCGCGCCCCTGCAAACACCCGTTGCGACGCAGATACCAGAAATACACCGGCCGCACTGCAAACAGAACAAACAGTGTCCACCCCAGACCCACCAAGAACACCCACAGCGCGCTCAACCCCGAGCCATTATTCGTCAGCGCAATCACCAGTGCCAGTAGACACCACGACACCACGTCGTCAATGGCTGCCGCCGAAATCGAAATCGAGCCAACCGTGGTCTTGAGCAGATTCTGCTCAGTCAGAATCCGCGCCAGCACAGGAAACGCCGTGATTGCCATGGCCACGCCACAGAACAGCATAAAGTTCACGAAGCTACCCTCCTTCTCGATCATATGGAACAAGGCGTAGCTGGTCGCTATGCCCAGTGCAAACGGCAGGATCATCCCTGCCACACTGATCGCCACGCTGCGATGCAAGTTGCGCTTGAGGATCTTTGGGTCCAGCTCGAGCCCTACCATGAACAGAAACAGCACCAGACCAAAGTTCGCCACCAGGTTCAGGTTTACCATCGAATCTTTCGGGAACACGTTGGTACTGAACGCCTTCCACCGCCCGAGCACCGTCGGGCCAAGCATAATGCCGCCCAGAATCTCAGAGATGACGGTCGGCTGGTTTATGCGCTTGAATATCAGATGCAGCCCGCGCGTGATACAAATAATGATGAGGATCTGGACGATGAACAGCGTCAACGGGCTGCTGGTCGTGTAGGCGATCGGGTTGCGACCCGAGATGATGCTGGGTGGTGCGCTGCCGCCAGCCATTATAGATAATTATGAAACGTATTAGCCTATTATAAAAAGGGAAGGGAATAATGACGCCTGCTGCTTTGGAAAATAAAGGGCGGAGAGGAAAAAACGGGGCGGTTTGGCGAGCCCTACTGGCATTTATGTACGCTCTGCTGGCTGATGTTCCTGGGCGCCCACGCTACGAACAAAAATCAGTGCGTATGGCCAAAAACTCCAATTGGCTCGCACTATTTTTCTCTTTCTTTTGCCCAATTCTAGCTAGAATGACCCGGCCGTCCTGCTCTACCGGGTGCAAAAAAGATCAAGTGATCGGCAGGTAAAGAAAAGCGCCCAAGCCAGCGTCTTTCTATTTGTTCTGCTTATGTACATTCCGGGCACATGCACGGCAATGTCTGTGGAGAAACACGCAACAACCGAGCGGTTTATGTCCCCAGCCCCGGACCAAGCAAACAATGTAGCTTTTCTGCCTGTGTTCTTCCATGGAAACCCATTCAAGTGTGCTCTCGGTCAACCACAGCATTTCTCGCTTGCTCGGTGTCTAGCTTAGATTTTTCACTCATGCTTCTCCCTTCTCACCGCCAATCCCCCATGGTGCCATTACAACATTACACCGCATTCTCATACCTGTTCTATTTGCAAAGTCATGCTGCCTGCCAATCTTGCGTCCACAGCAAAATCGAGGCACAGGCATACTATTTCTCTTTCTACCTCATGTGAATGATGTACGGTGGAGCGACATTTGGCAATCATTGCCTCATAGCTATGGATTCCAAATTACACTCTTAGAACGGGTATTCTCACATGAGCCCCCGCCTCTGCGCTGTTTGGACGATCTGCATTACCGTGGGTCACCCCCACCGCTGATTGTCTGCATTGCAAGCCAATGGCCGCAGGCGCTGGCCGCACATTTGCATAGGAACAGGACGGAGCACACCCCGGGTCGTTCACAATACCAGCGTCACGCGTTTGGACAAAAAACCAATGCTCTGCCAAGGATGCATGGCAGCAGGTGTCCAAACGGCTGTCTAATAAGTGTATTTTGGAAATATGCAAGAACAGAAGGATGAATAACAGAAGGGAAAGTTTAAAACCAGGTATGTCTATCAGCAAGTCGCAGGCACAGCGTGGTTTTTTTAGAACATGCGTCCGCCAGAGTCACGCCTCTTGGCCACAATGTGCATTGGGCCTCGGTGCTTGACCACCACTTCCATGACCGACTTGCTGCCGGATTCGGGCGCATACAGCATGACGAACACCACACCGAGCAAGGAGAATCCGGCAAACAGCAGGAACTGGTACTGTGCCAGGTACCACTGGATCATCGGGAACACAAACCCACTGGCAAACGAGAACAGCCAGTTGACTGCACATGCAACCGCCATGACGCCGCCCAAGGCATACCCGGGCACCAGCTCCGGCAGATACAGCCACGGAATCGTGCCTACGCCCAGATTGAACAGGAAGTAGTAGATATACAGCATCACCACCACAATCAGGCCCTTGCCAAAGAACATGCCAATGAAGATCAGCACGCTGGCCACCACCATGCCGGTGAAGCTGACCAGAAGCATCGACCGGCGCCCGAGCTTGTCCAGCCACACCATACACAGCAGCACCGCCGGCACCGCTGACGCAGTCACGCCAACACACGCCCACTTGGCCACCATCGGCTGCGCATTGTCGAACAGGCCCAGGAATATCGAGTTTGAGTAGAATATGATTCCGTTGATGCCTGACAGCTGCTGCAATCCCATCAGGCCCACACACACCACAAACAGATGCCGCAGATCGTCCTTGGTCAGCCCACGCATCGTCCGCCACAGCCCCGCCCGGGGCTTGGGCTTTTCCCCGCCACCAGCCGCCTTGATCGTCGCGTCGCTCTCGCTGGCCCCCTGCCCGGCCTTGCCCTCCTGGCGGACCGTCGTCGGGATCGTCTCGCGCGCCTCATCCAATGCGTCAATGCAGTCCTGCCACTCGGCCGACACGTCGTAGCCGCGACGCAGCTTGAGCAGCGCATGCCGAGCCTCGTTCACCTGGTGGGTCTTGATCAGATACACCGGTGACTCGACGCGGAACGGCAGCAGCACGATCTGGATCAATGAAATGGCGCCCGGGATCGCCACCAGGATCCGCCACTCGGGGTGGCCCGTCAGGAACATCGACGCAATCTGCGCGCCCATGATGCCCAGGACGACCGCCAGCTGGAAGAACGACCCAAAGAACCCGCGCCGCTTGATCGGCGCAATCTCGCCAATGTACATGCACACGACGCTCGAGGCGATGCCGCAGCCGACGCCCGATACGAACCGCCCCAGGATAAAGTGCACTGAGGTTGTTGCTGTGCCCAGAAGCACCGAGCCCGCCAAAAACAGACAGTTGTTGATCACCAGCGTGTTGCGCCGCCCCATGTTGTCCGATATCCCGCCCGACAGAAGCGCGCCAAGGAATCCACCCAGCGCCATGATCCCCACTGCTAGCATCCATGTGTTGCTGGTGAACTGGATGCGCTCGGGAAAGTCCTGCCCCCGAGGTGTCCTCGCCCTCAAAGTTGCAGATCGACGACTTGCCAATGTTCAGCACCCCGCATGTCCACCCAACATTGACGGCCGATAGTGACGCAAGCAGGGCTGACAGTAGCACGTACCAGCTGATCCCTGCGTTGCGTGAGTCCTGGAACTTGTTGCTGTCGACGTCATGTAGCGCGACAGCAAAGATACGCGGCACTGGCTTGTCTGTGGATTTGCTTTTGCCGGTGTTGCGCGCGCTGCTGGTCGTCTTTGCGCTGCTGGTGCTGCTGGTAGATGACTGTGGCGCCACCATATTTATAAGCCCAATATGAGATATTGTTATACGAATGATAACGAAAGGCAGAGCGAAACTCTAATGAGGCGTTTTGATTAAAAAAAAAAAAAGCAGGCCGTATATGCAAAGAGCCACAGCAATATTTAAGGCGCCGATATGAATAGACTATGCAGATGCCCTTTGCTGCTGGAATACTAACTGGGTTATATGTGAATCGTGGAGGGTGAGGAACCGCCGCCCACTCTATTTTGCTCGTGCCTTGGCCAGGTCAGACATTGGGCTATTTTTGCAAGCATGTCTCGATTTTATTATGTTCACAGTTTCTCTTCAGCTGTCTGACATCACAGGCTCAAAAATAGCCAAGACGCCTCCTACTCACTGCACACGCATGGGCAACAGTAGCCGGGCGGCAAAATAAGGCGATCGTCTGAGTCAGAGCGCAGGGGAAAAAACAGCGTGGGGAGCCACAGTTGCCTCAGTCCAGCGGCTGCGACTGGCAAAAAGCTATCCAGCATCCGTAATCCGTTAATAAATTCTTATTGCAAAATTCCCGAAACGAGCGCTTTACGCCTCGAAGGTCATCGAAGCGCCGAGCTTGTGGGCGTTCTCCTGCAGGCGGGCGGTGTCGAAGAGACCGGCCAGCGACAGCTTGACGCCGGGGCGCAGGGCCTGGGTGAACGACAGACCGAGACGGCCAGCGTTGTCGACCTTGGCCTTGACCGAGGCAGTCGGGTCCAGGATGTACTTGGTACCGAGCTCGGCGCTGACGCCACCCTCGGGGTTCTTGAAGTCGTAGACGGCGCGGGCACCAGCCTCGACGCTCTTGGTGACACGCTGGTAGAAGGCGAACTGGACAAGGTTGAACGAGTTGTTGCCCTGCAGGGTGATCAGGTAGTCGGGGCCGGCGTAGCCAAGAGTCGAGTTGGTCTTGGTCACAGCGCCGCTGTTCAGGTCGTAGGCGAGCTCAGCACCGAGCAGAGCACCCTCGCGGCTAGTATGGAAAGACGGGGAAAGAGGGGGGGTGGATATTAGGGTGAGTAAAATCGCGCGTTATCTTGCATCATAACATCAGCATCATTCCAGCGCTGATAAAGACCAAAGAGCGATGCTACTTACCTGACAGTAACGTCGGCGTTGACGGCAGGGGCCAGGGCGTTGACGTTGACGCGGGCGAACAGGTTGTCCTGCTGGTAGTTGATCTTGGAGACCAGCGAGCGCTTGCTACAAAAAAATGATAACAGAGGTTTAGCTTTCCACAACGTTTCTCGCCAAGAAAACACAGTTGCCTACCACAATACTTACGCAGAGTTCAGAGCCGACGAGCCCGAAACCTCGAGCTTCAGACCCTTGGCGAACTTGTTCGAAGCCTCGACCTGGGCAGTGAGCAGGTTAGCGGTGTTCCACGACTCGGTGTAGGTCAGACCGTTGGCCTTGTCGGCGTACTTGGTCTTGAGCTCGCTGATGATGGCTCCCGACTTCAGGTCCTGGGCACCGTTGACGGTGAAGGACACGCCGTTGGCGGTGGTGGTCTTGACCTCGAGCTTGAGGGCACCGAAGGGGTAGTCCTTGCCGAACAGGTCGTTGACGGGCTTGGTGATGTCGGAGTAGCTGGGAGGAGTCATTGTTGCTGAAGTTTGGCTACAGAAAAAGTATGACATTAGTTGCATGGCGCACGCAGTTGCCGTACCATGATAGCGGTAAGTTGGCTCCCCAGGGGAACACAGCGGTATCTTCCCCATCATCGCTGGCGGCCGTGCATCGACGGGCATGCTATCGTCACGACCGCCATACTGCACAATAACGTACCTCGAGGCTAACGAAATTTGAAACGCTAGAGTCTAAAACGAAAAATGGGTGGAGACAGAGATTCGAAAACAAAAAAAGGGAAAAACCGGAGAACGTCGCGGACGGGATAAGGGCTTTAAATACCAGCAGTACTGTGGGTGCGCGTATCGCGGTTTGGTGTCTGATAAAACTGGACCGGCTCGCGCTGCGAGGAGGGCTCCCGACTCGCTCCCGGCCAGAAAACCGTTGCGGTGGAGTTTGTTATTTGGCGCCGATCAGTGACTGTGTCGCTGGGAATTCTGCATCTGTGGTCAATATAGTGTCTGGCTGACCCGTGCGGTGCTGCTGAGGCAACTCGAGAGGCAACGATCCATCCAAGAACCGATGCACATGGCAAGTCACACCGCATAAAGCGATTGCTCGCAGTCCCAGCAAGCATGCGCGGCAATAGTGTGGGTGGCCGCCCTACCGGTGAGCAGACACAGCAGCATTGGAACAAACCGGGAATGCCGCGAATTAGCAGTCCACGCCGGCTCATTGTCCCTGACTCTATCCTGATCCAGAACCAGGCGCTGGGTGAATTAGAGCCTGCCGGCGAATCCGCTGCCAGCGACCGGTCCAAGCATGCGCATGCTGGATCAGGCGAAATTAGCAGATTACGCTCCAAGCGGCCTGGCAAAGCCGCCAAAGCCGGGGACGATCACTTCTGGTTGTATACTTTGGGCATAGACATCGCCGCTCGTTCCACCGCAACACACTTTAATTCTCAAACGCGAAACAACCTGTACTTTTTTTTCTCGAGCGCTTTGGCTTGTGAAGCATTAACCGCTAATTAATACTGCCTATTAGAAAAGGTTAGTACTCATTTGCAGTCAGCTCCAGTGCTTTGCAGTTTTGAACTCAGTAAGAAGACAGGGGCGCTGTGGCTCCCCTCCCCAGCCAGGGGAAAGAAACCAAAGCGTGGGCAACAGGGAGCTCCAACTGGGCAGTATGAGACCTATCCATGCTGCAGGGGCTCGCCAGTATGTTGACATTAAGCCTCTCTGCTCCCTTATTTCCTCATTCATTCTCGTTTGTAATCTCATCCACCATTTTCGCTTTCAGAATTTGTAGACAACAGAGCCGCCTCTAGAAACGACAACAAGCTCAAAGCGGGAGATCCCTATTTTTATCCGAGCGCGTTCCTCCCTGTATTTCAGACTCTTGCGCATTCAACTAACTGGTCCAGGACCTAGTTCCCTATTTGTTTCTCCGGCTTCTTTTGGCGCCTAGCGTGAACAACCTTCGCTGGCCATGGAGTTTTGGAAACGCAAAAAGAGCACGCCAGGCGGCAACAGCAGCATCAACCCGGCGACGATCTCGGGGCCCATCCACAACCTCGAGCCCTCCATTGCCTTCACCAACGACCCGCCGGTCTCGCCCATCAACCAATCGTTCCCCGGCGGGCCCAGCGCGCCCTCCGCCGACTTCAACAGCAACAACATGTCCAGCGCCGAATTCCAGAACCTCTACAAGCAATACCGGCAACGGCGGCTCTCCAACAACTCGGCCCGCAACTCGCAGCTCTCCACCGACCAGATATCGCCCAGTGGCACACCCACCGAAATGCAGGGCATGAGCAGACAGCGCAGCAATGGCTCAGAGTACGCGCCGCCCATGTCGTCGCAGGCATCAGTGCATTCGGCTAACCGCGCGCCCTCGGTTATCTCTAACGCCAGCTCGGCTGGCGAATACGCAGAATCGGTACCAGGCACGACGCCACGCGGCTCGCTCTGGTCAGCTCGCAGCGCGGCCCAGCAGAGCCGCTCACAGACAGGCGGGTCCAGTGGCGGCATGACTACGGGAGACCCACGTGACCCAGCCTATTCTGCGCGCAGCGGCAGCTACAACAGCCGCACCGTGCCCCGCGGCTTCGACGAGCGCTCCCAGGTAGCGTCTACAACGCCCAGCTTCTACAGCGCCTCGAGCTCGGTATCGGCAGCTAGCGGGACACGGCGCAGCGGCATGTCAGTAGCAGGCATCGGTGGATTTGGCGGCAGTCAGCAGCAGCAGCAGCAGCAGCAGCAGCTGGACGAAGAGAGCCTGACAGAGGAAGAGATCAATCTGATGCTCGGCAGGCTGATGGACGAGATGGATTTGAAGGACGCGCAGCGCATGCAGATGCAGAAGCTGTCGACGCAAAACAAGCTCAAGCTGATCAAGCAGAACCGCCAGCTCGAGACGTTCCAGCTCGACAGCAAGAGCAATGCGCCCGAGTACTTTTACCGCTACCTGAAGGAAACCGATATCCGGTCGCTGCCCAAGCAGATGCTCTTGCACCTGCGGATTTGTGTGACGACGCAGCCGGTAGCGTGGGTCAAGCAGTTTGTCGAGATACAGGGTCTGGAGGCGCTCTCGGAGTGCCTGGGGATCCTGAACCACTCGCGCACGCGCAAGGGCGATGACATCACAAAGGAAATGGAGATCATCCGCTGCATAAAGTCGGTAGTCAATATCCAGTGGGGCGCCCAAGACGTGCTGCGGTTCCCCTCATGTGTGCACAACCTGTGCTTCTCGATCGACGCTCCGTCGCTTCTGACGCGCCGCCTAATCTCAGAGATCCTGACGTACATCTGCTACCTCAACGTGCCTACAGGCCATGCCGCGGTGCTGAAGGGCCTCGATAAGCTGCAAAAGTTCCGCGAAATGCAGAAGCGCTTTGAGCCCTGGATGCGGGCCCTCGAGACAGCCATCGACGGGCGGGGCCGCATGGGCAGCAAGGTGGGTGTCTCCGATGAGCTGCGGCAGATGGGTGGCACCGCCGACCGCGATCTGACAGACTATGTCCTCTCGAGCATGATTTTTGTCAACGCCGTTGTCGGTGTCTCGGACGACGTTGAGATGCGCAACCACTACCGCAACCAGCTTAATGCGGCTGGCCTCTCGCGCATCATGAAGAAGCTGCGCCAGGGCTTCGACAGCCCCCTGATTGCCCTGCAGCTCAACAAGTTTGAGAAGGACTCGGAGCAGGACCATGCCGATGTGCTTGAGCTGTATAACCAGCAGATCATGCAGGACATGACCGACCCCGAGGAAGTATTCCAGGCGATTCTTGCCCAGATCGACGACGACGAGAGCGCACGTGAGCACTTTTTGTCCATCTTGCAGCGTCTGCTTCTGCTGCGCGACGACTTTATTGCCGACTCTGCCTCCGTTGCCGAGAGCACGTCGGGCCGGCCCACCAAGGCCAAGTACTACCAACTACTCGATGAGATCACCACCCAGGTTGTCATGGATATTCGCACCAGCGACCAGATCGGCTCGGACTACGCCTCCGATGAAGACCGCCCGCTGGCCCGCAACACCGACTCGTTCACCAACCAGTACGGGGTCAGCGTTGCCGGTATCATCGACAAGTTCTCCAACGAGGAGCAGCTCGAGGAGGCCGTGCGCGAGGCAAAGGACCTGCGCGAGCAGCTCGAAAAGGTCACCAGGCAGAAGAACGAGCTCGAGCTCGAAGTGTCGCTGAAATCAGAGGGCCTTGTCGGCACACTGAAGACAAAGATCTTTGCCCTTGAGGACCTGCTGCGCATGTCCCGCCATACCATCGAGGCATTGCAGACCCAGATCAAGGAGCTGCGCGACCAGTTTACGCAGAAGCTCGCCAAGCAGGACTCACAGCTCAAGCAGCTGTATGCCGCGCTGCAGGATGAGGCAGGCGAGCACGATATGCTCAGGCAGCTCAAGAACGACCTGACGATTGAGAACGAGGTGCTAAGAAGCGGCGTGGCGCTGCAGGTTTCCGAAGATAACCCCGACCATGTTGTGCTCAACCACGATCGTCTGCTGGCCGAGATCGAGAAGCTGAAGCAGCAGCGCCCAGATCTCAACCGCATGACAAAGGCCCGCCAAATGCTGGAGGAGCTGCTCTCGGAAGCCGGCCAGGGTCTGACAGCCAAACCGGCCGGTGCCAAGCCCACAGCCGCTACCTCGGCTGCTGCCAATGTTTCCAAATCAACTGCTGCTCCAGCTGCAGCTGGCGCTACCTCGCCGCAGCCGCAGGCAGCTAACTTGCCAGAGGGCACCAGGGTGGGCACCGTCACGATGCAGTCGTTGAGCACTACCACCGGCAGATTGCCTGAGTTTGCCAAGGAATTGCAGGACAAGCTGGGCAAGCGCCAGGGCAACATTGCCGTTGCCAAAGAAAAGATTGACGATGGCGGTGATTCGGAAGCCCAGTCTGCAGGTGCTATCGCCGATGGTATTACAGCCGACGATACTGCTCCTGCTGGCTCTGCTCCTGCTGGCTCTGCCCCTACCAGCTCTGCCCCTACCAGCTCTGCTCCTGCTGGTGGTGATATGGCCCAGGGATCTGACTCCAATGCAGTTCCTGCTGCCGACAGTGCAGCTCCTGCTGCTGCTGTCACTGATCCCTCTGCTCCTACTGGCACTGCTCCCCCGCCTCCGGCTCCCCCGCCACCTCCCATGGTTGGTGGTGCCCCTGGATTGACGCCTGGCGCCTCCATTGGGGTTCCCCCGCCTGCTCCGCCTCCGCCGCCCATGGCCAGCGGCGCTCCGCCTCCGCCCGCTCCGCCTCCACCACCGCCCGTGGGCGCTACAGGGGCAAACTCTGGTCCGACCGCATCGGCACTGGCCGGTATCAAGCTGCGCTCGACCAAGAGCGACACACCTGCAGCAGCCCCCCCACCAGCACCCCCCGCCCCGGGCGGTCCGCCAGCACCACCGCCCCCGCCGCCTCCTGGCGGTCCGGGAGCACCACCTCCGCCGCCCCCTGCACCGGGACTTCTGGGACCGCTGCGTCGCAAGGAGCTGCGGTACATCCCCAAGGTGAAATTGAAGGCCCTGCAGTGGGAGAAGCTGAGCGACCAACACGTCGACAAGTCCCTGTGGTCCGAGCTCGAATCGCGGGCTGGCATCGACGAGAAGCACGTCCTCGACACTCTGCACTCCAAGGGCGTGTTTGAGTCAGTTGAGCGCATGTTCGCCGCCAAGCAGGCCGTCGACATCTTCGCGCTCCGCGAGAAGCGGCGCAAGGAGCGCGAGCAGCAGCAGCAAGAGGAGATCACTGTGCTCGACTCGAAGCGCGCCTACGACCTCAACATCATGCTCGGTATGCTCAAGAAGTACTCGTTCAAGGACCTTCGCCTGGCCCTTCTGCGCATGGACAACTCGATCCTGACGGAGAACGTGCTGAAGCAGCTGCTGCAGTTTGTGCCCACGCCCGAGGAGCGCGGTTTGCTGTCGGCGTATCAGGGCCGCCCCGACCGCAAGCGTCTGTCCCGCCCCGACCGCTTCTTCCTGGAGACAATGAAGGTCTGGCGGTACGAGCAGCGGCTGCGTGTCACGACCACCTGGGCGACATGGAACGAGGTGTTCCGCGACCTGCAGAGCGACGTCGCGTCTGTCATGACCGCATCGCATGCTGTCGCCACCAGCCAGCATTTCCCGCAGGTGCTCGAGGTCGTCCTGTCGATCGGCAACTACATGAACGGCTCTGGCTTCCGCGGCGGCGCGTTTGGCTTCAAGATTGCCTCGCTCAACCGCATGATGGATACCAAGGCTGATGACAACAAAACCACGCTGCTGCATTTCGTTGCGTCCACTGTCGAGGAGAACTTCCCTGATGCGCTCGAGTTTTTGCAGGAGCTGAAGCCTGTCGACAGCGGCTGCCGTGTCTCGTACGCCGAAATGAAGGCCGACATGGGCGACATGCGCCACCGCCTGCACGATGCCAAGCGCGAGCTCGAGTTGCTGCGCGAGCAGCGCGAGCTCGAGCTCAAGGAGATCGCCATCGAGAACGAGAAATCCGCGTCGGAGCCCAAGGTTGAGGGCAGCGACAGCTCGCCGGCTACCGACTCTGGCGACGACTCGTCCAGCGAATCGCCCAACGGCAACCTGACCACCAGCTCGGCCTCCGACCCCCAGGACCGCTTCCTCCTGACCGTGCGCCGCTTCCTGATCGAGGCCAACGAGCAGTTCGATGCACTCAACTCGCAGTTCACCGCCATGGAAGACGCCTACAGCAACTCGGTGCTTCTGTACGGCGAGGACCCGCGCTCGATGACGCCCGAGGAGTTCTTTGGCATCTTCAAGACCTTCACTGCCTCGTTTGACCAGGTCATCCGCGACAACCACCGTGAGCGCGAGCGCAAGAAGGCTGCCGAGAAGCGCCGCAAGCAGATTGAGGCCCAGATCGAGCAGAAGCGCCTCAACAGGCAGAACCGCGCTGCACTGCTTGCCAATGGCGCGTCGCGCATCCGTGTCGATGCCAATACTGAGGGTGCTGCCTCGTCCGACTCTGCAAATGACTCGGCATCACCAGCTGCTGCTGCCGCCGCTACTTCTTCTTCCGGCGGTGCTGGAACTGAGAATGGCGCGGTTGACGACCTGCTCAAGTCGCTCATGGCCGGCACCGATCTCGAGAGCGTTGAGGCGTCCAAGCGTCGTCGCCGCAGGGAGCTGATGAGCATCCGCCGGCGCAGCAGCCTGCGTCGAAGCGTGCACCGCACCAGCATTTCGATCAAGGCCCTGCAGATGCTGAAGGATATCAAGGAGGAGGATCTGACTGGCGAGTCGTCGGAGCCCGTGCCGCCGTTGCCGTCGCCCAACTCGGCAATGATGCGCGCGCATCGCACCAAAATGGCGACTATCACTGAGGATGACCCCAACCCCAGCCCAAGCCGCGGGTCTGAGGAGCTTCGTGAAGCCCGCCGTCGCTCCCGCCGCCAGCTCCTCGACGACAATTAGCCAGCCCTGGTCTGCATGTTCCTGCTAAATACACTATGGCTAGTCCTACACGACCCACGCAGCATGTCCGCAGCACAGTCTATCCCGCATGGCTATATGCTTTGGAATGTTCTGTGTCCTCCGAGCAGATTCTTTTTGGTATATTATCATACCTAATCAAGACATTTCTAGAAACATTACCTTATACACATCTCTTTGGTCACAAGCAGTTGCCAGCCTCCGCGTATCCTGGCTGGTTCTTGGACAAGAGGGAGCGACGCTAATGGACGCTATGCATTGATTTTTTGCGCTGCCGTGTCCTACTGGTTGGTGCTTGCTGCAGTTGCTGGTCTCTGCCTGGTGCTGTTCGCTGCTGGATCGACCGCAAACAGTGGATCGTTCTTGATTTTTTCAAGATGGAGTAGAAAAATGTTTCTGAAAATAAACTACGAGAAAGCTCCCATGCTACCGACATAAAAAGGCTCAGTGATGGACGTTGCTGCTGAGAACATCGTTTTCTCCGCCATTCCCCTGTCACCTCCTTACATAATCCTCGAACTCCTTACTAATAATGAAAGGTACGAGTATCCGTCGCCTTTTCACGCTCGTCCTTCTGGGCGCCACCATGGCCTGCCTTGCCATCGCGCAGACCAACGGTACGCAGCACAAGACTGTCCCGCGTATTGTCGGCGGCTCGCCGATGACTAGCAAGGGCTACGGCTTCACTGCGTACATCATCGCGCATGGCTCGGATAACACCGCCGGCCTCTGCACCGGTGTCCTCATCACCCCTACCGCCGTCATCACCGCAGCCCACTGCGTGTTCCCCGACTCCAAAACATCTTACGGTGCCGCCGACTATGAGATTTGGTTTGGCCTCGACGCTCCCACCCAGGCCACGAAAACACCGGGATTCAAGGTCAGCAGAATTCAGTGGGCGTCGGACTACTCTCTGACCACGCTCCTTGCCGATGTTGCTGTTCTGCACCTGAGCAGCCCTGTGCCCGACACTGTCGCTGTCCCGACCAAGATTTATACCGGGCCAGTCTACCAGGACACGCCTGTCTGGGCTGCAGGTTTTGGCAGAACCAGGCCGAATGACTCGAAGTCGCAGTCGTCGGTGCTCATGTACGTCGGACTTCGTCTTGGCTCAAGCTCGTACTGCAATGCCCACAACGACAACTACGACAGCTCAAGCCAGCTCTGCACTAGCTACCTGGCTGGCCGTGACACCTGCCTTGGTGACAGCGGCGGTCCGCTGATGACACCGACCGACGGCGAGTACCCCATCGGAGTCGTCGGAATCACGTCCATGTCGACCTATCCCCAGAATGACCCTAACGCGATCTGTGCCAGGTCGGACATTACCGGGTACTACACGAGGCTGGAATACTTCATTGGGATGATCACAAAGGCCGTTGGAGTGAGTGCTAGCGAAATCACTGTCAGCAACACGACAACCTCGCGCCCTGCGAAAACCGACGACAATACCGATAATGAAGCCGTGACTGCAACTCGTGCCAAGAATACTGATGCAGCCCCCACGTCGTCTCGCTCATCCCTCCCTACTGGTGCCTTTTCGTTCTCCTACTCGTTCGAGTCGTACTCCTACACAAAGCCTCCGTCCCCCACCCTTTCCTTCCTTTCGGGTGTCGTTATGCTGAATTCTGCTTCTCCCCGCGCTGTAGCCTCGGTGGTGGCTTTGGTTGCAGCAGCTCTTCTGCTTGCTTAAGTTCTAAAAGTTGATATCTTGACCATAAGAATTTTCTCCCTATCCCTTGTCTAAATTTGCCCGATACAACCTAAATGATGTGCCCGAGAGCTACCTGCCGCTACAGTACCGTAACGGCGCATGGTCTCACCAGGTCCGAGCATTTGGACCCCGTATTTCCTACCAAGGGAAATCAGGCGCCTTTTGCAGATGGCCGCTGTAAGGATCATCCGCTTCCTTCTCCCGGTCTGCAGTGTCTGAAAATCCTTGCCTGTTGAGAACAAAAGACGGTGACCTGAATGCCGCTATTTCAATAAGCACCGTTGGAGAGTGGGGCTATAAGAAGGCAGCCCTCGGTCCAGGCGGTCTCACACAAGCCTGTCACCGCAGCAGCAGCAACAGCAGTCTTTTGTCTATACGCCTAACATCTACCCTATCTCCTGAAAATGCGCCTTTCCACCCTTTTCCGCTCAGTATTCCTCGCCACAGCCGCAACATGGGCAGCTGCACTGCCTGAAAGCCCCAGGGCACACCCCGAGGATGGTGCTGCTGCTGCCGTGCCGCGTATCATTGGGGGAGCCCCCGTCTCCGACAACAGTCTCGGGTTCACTGCTCGTATTGTCGCCAGGCCTCTCTTCGATACAACTCTCTGCACCGGTTCACTGATCGCTCCCAACGTCGTCCTCACTGCTGCCCACTGCTTGACATATGTGGGCAACATCAAATTCTTTGGAGTCCCGCTGTCCATCACGTTCGGCTATTCAAGCACCTCACCTGGCCAGACATACAACTCGACCAAATACTATATCCATCGCGGCTATGACACGGAGTTGGCCCACCACGATATCGGGGTGATCATCCTTCCAACCAACGTCCCGGCCGATGTTGCTACACCCGTCAAAATCTACACCGGTGGCTACAACGAAGAAACTGTATTCACGGTTGCCGGCTACGGTGTGACTAAGGATGGAAGCACTAAGCCTGCAGACGAGCTGATGCAGGCGGAGCTCAAAATTGGCGACAAGGTCTTTTGCGAGCACTCTTACCCTATGTGGGATATCGCGACCCAGATCTGCCTTGCTCGCAATGATGGGCGCGATACTTGCGTGGGTGACTCTGGCGGCCCCGCTGTTGTCCATGACGAGGATGGCAAGATTGCTCTTCTGGGTATCACTTCCTTTGGTGCCGGGGCCCAGCTGAGGAACCCAAAGTGCGGCGCAGATAATGTAGCTGGCTACTACACCGACGCTTCAGAGTACATCAGCTGGATCGCCTCTGCGACAGACTTGAAACCAGCCAAATTTACGACAGCCAACTCGACTGGAAACTCTGCCACGCGGCCTTACAATGGTGACACCACAAACAGCTACTTCAGCCAGTATATGGAGCTATTAGAGGCATCCTCACTGGAGTATCTTGATGTGGAGGAGACGACTGCAGCACCTGTGGTGAATGGTGCAAACATTGGACATTCCTTGCTCCCTTCGCTCGGTACAGGTGTGGGGCTGGCTGTTGTTAGTCTGCTCTCAGTTGTTGTGTAGTGATTTCCCGTTTTCTCAATGAAAGGTAATACGAGGATGTGAATCTAGGCAATCGCTTGTCCTTTTTTATTTGAAGGCTACACAAATATTTGTTGAGGGTCTGCATGAGAGGAGCGAATGCTTCGTATTCTTCGATGCAGTCAGGGCTACATTTGGACAAATCGAAATAGGATGAATATGAAATAGGGGTGTGGTACTGTAGTGTCAAATAGGTAGTAGCTTAATGAATATCCACAGCAGGTAGGTTAGGAAGAGATGGGTTATTTTGCAGCGGAGTCACCACTTTTCATCCTTTTTATTTCGTCGTTGTCCTTGAACACTGCATACTCCCTAATATGAAATTTGGTAATATAGTTACCACTGCTGTATAGACCACTCCGAGAAGGATGTGTATTTGAGTTCATAAAACATGATATGTTGCTATATCTGTTTCCTGGGTTGGTTGGTTGCGAGAGGCTATTTGGATTTTTAGTATACAGGCGGCGTACTTGTTTGATGGTTGGGAAATTCATGCAGCACGCTTTTGATAGGAGCAGGTGGATATTTTATATAATCCATGACTTTTATGGATGAGCAGTGATGGCTATAGATATGCTACGTAGCAATGTACACAAGATATTATTTTACATAAGCTACAAGCGCTATGAATATATCTGGCACATTCGTGTAAACTACTAAAGTGCATTCTTTGGGGGTTTGATATCATCGTGATTTAGGATTGGTATCGCAGCTTTACGAAAGCTGTTAAATTCTGGTAGTAGTTTCTCAAAACCATTGCCATTGTCATGGACACAGGTATCCTTGCTCTCCTTGATGTCAGACATGCTGTTCAGTGTGTGTAAATTGATTCCTAGGTAATAGACGCTTGTGAACAATATATTGGATGGGCAGTGGGAATGGCGGCGGAAAACCACACAATTTATATGTGCACACTTGAATGGCTGTATCTCATCTGTTACACCCTGCTGTAAACAAACTAACAACAGGCATGGAAAACGCTTTCCAAATCACAACACATCCTGACTTGGCTATACTATATATATTCTGAACACACAAGACTTGCCTTGTGTCAAGCACAAGTCACGTTTCTAGCTAAGAACTATCTGAATGCTGAGTAAAGACTTTACACAGGTAGATAGTATTGCTGGTATCGCTAATCATTGTCAATAGATTAAACAAACTACTCATTCTATACCAATCCCCTATTCTGCTGAGCGAAAATAAGTGCTGCCTCTTGTCCTCTCAGTATCAACCTGGTTGTTGGTCATGCCCGTACTCCATCTCCTCACTATGGCGACTTTGTTTAGTATCATGAAAAGACAGCACTGTCGATCATCGGCCATAGCATTTTGCCTAAGCAAAATATCAGCAAGTAGCAGCTGTCGTATCACGGGTATGGCCCAAAGCAATTCACGCCAAGACATTTCTGCTGGCACGGAAGCTGGCTCACTAACCATTCAGTCGAGTCTACGAATAAACTCATACCTACGCAATAATGGCGCAGCTGCCATAGTCAAAATCCCACAGTCCAATTACTGCAGCTGCAACAGACACATTTGACGCCGGCAAAGCCGAAAGAAGCGGCGTAGTGGCACATCAATGTCTGCTGATTGTTCAGACATGATCTTCATTGCAAACATCAGGTCATGAATTTTCCCGCCACCGGCCTGGCGAGAGAAAAGCGGGGGTAAGGGGTAGCTATTCGCTCCAAAGTATAAATTGAGCAATTCATTTTTTGTGCCGTTCCTTGTCATCTGCTTTACTCATTTTTTCTTTTCTTCTTTCACACCACACCGCTGCAACACTATATAAAAAGGTACATATCTTTCTGTTTTATCGCTCGCAAAAATCATGCCAGCTAGCAATAACGTGACGGATGCTTTGGTCAACCAGTACGATGCCGACCACGAAAATGAGGTGGAGGTGGTTGCCAAAAAAAAGTTCATCTGCAAGAAGTGCCACAGTGAGTATGAGGCGAAAGAATACTTGGACTGGCACTGGACAATCTCGCACAAGTACATGCAACCACCCAACTAACTGAAAAATAAGATGTACTTTCCAACGTAAAAAATAAATTCAGCATCCGCATATTCATTGGGATGTGCCAACTTTGAGCAGAATGTCCTAGAACCATCTTTTGTTTACGTATGGCACGGCTCCAAGCTGGTGTCACAAGAAAGGAGTCAATACTGAGGGTCATGGATACCATGTGACCCGGAATTAGGAAATCAGGCAGCGGCCGTTCGTGCTTGGTATCACATTTTGTTGATCTGGCAGCCTACTGGGGAACTGGCAGTGTGGAATAAGATGCGCTCCATATGGCAAAATGCTAGTTGGGTGGTGACGGCCTTCCATTATATCGCTTCGCACATGCAAGCATCACCAGCCTGCAGTAGAATGGTTTACTCATAAGAGCACATAATGGCGAGTCTACACCATCAAAATCCGTATTTTAGTTCTACAGAGTTCGCACTAGACTTTTCTAATTAGTAAGAGAATTATGACAAAGCTATATCAATAGTTTAGTTTCCGTTGCATGTCTGGCAGCTATTCTGCCATTCGAGTACATGTTGAAATGCAGCGTAGGTAGTTAGTATAGATATGTGAGGCTGCTATTGTCATCGGTGGAGGAATTTCTAGGGATATGTCTTGGCAATGTAGTTGCACAGAGACACCGAGTCACGGCAAGAAATAGATGTAATCTACAACTTTTGCATTGCTTTCCTCAAACTCTCTTCCGCTTCCATCCCCAGTATCTCATTTTTAGCTAATGCCCCGCTTCAAGGTTTCATCTCCCAACCCCAGTCCAGCAGCACGTGACGGTGAACACTATTGCCAAGTCTGCGAGCGAACATTCACCACTAAGGAACAGTACGACAAGCACAATGATATGTACGGTAGATATATGACAGGAAAAGTGCGGGAGGTCAAGTTTCTAATAAATTAAGTTGGCTGTCTATTAGTTCTACTGTTGCTTGCACATTTGGCTATTCAAAGCTTGAAATGACACATCTTGCAGTGTCGCATTATACCGGGAATGGCGTGGCACGCATGTTTACAAATACAAGGTTTCGGCTTGCACCTGTTGATGCTATCAGAAAACTGATGGCATTACGACTGGAATACAGAGGGGAGTGGTTTACTTGAAATCACCGGACAGGCCGAGTATAAAACCTGGCAAGCTAGAGTGGTCATGGAGCTGGTGCCTTCTCCAGCAACCCCCCCCCAGCTATTCATCTCAATAAGTTTTCCAAGAATCAACATGGCTGCTACTGCTGATGCGGCCACTAGCAAACTTGCTGGCCTGGTACTCTGCATCAGAAACGCTCAGTACCCGTGCCCGAGCTGTGGGTTAGTGTTCTTCACCTCATTTAACCGGTCCGTCCATTATCGCGACTGGCACTAAGCCTAGACGCTTGTGTGACGTCAGTATGAAGTCTACCCGAAAATTAATGCATGGCCATGTGCTCTAAGCGCTGTTGACGGCTCCCCCGCAGCAGCGCTTTTCTTTTCTCCACACTATTATCAGCTCTTTTTACTTTTATGTTCAATTGCAATTATGAATTCCCCAGACGACAAAGACCCGCCAATTTACGACCCAGCACATGCCAGTGACCTGCTGACGCAAACAGCAATTGCATTGAGCATTGGCGGCACAGCATTCCTGGCGTTCTGCCTGTTGCGGTTTCGCTGGCCTTCTGTGTATGCACCACGCACACGGCTGCAGTACTCGGCACCAGCACGGGTTGGTAAGACGTTTCTGGGATGGGTGACCATGGTTCTCCATGTGAAGGACTACGACATCATGTACAGCGTGGGGCTGGACGCATTGCTTGTGCTGCGACTGTTCAAGATGCTGAGTGCGCTGTGCACGATGGCAGCAGTCATTGGGCTGGTGGTTCTGGTGCCGCTCAAGGTCATATTCGACGAAACAAATCACTCTGGCGTCAAGAAGGATGGTACCAAGTGGACGTTGTACGACTCGGTCACCACAGCTGCATTGGGCTCTGAGCAGCCATTAGTCGTGCATTTTGCTTTCGCCTACGTGTTCACAGCTCTGGTGTACTTTTACTTTACGCGATTTGCGTACCAGGCAATATCTCTGCGGTGGCACTACCTTTTGCGCGTTCGCAATACCCGGCCGGCTCGCTCTATCATGGTCACAGGAATCCCAAGCGAGCTGGCGACCGAGGAGGGCCTGAAGCAGCACTTTGAGAAGAACCATCTTGGTGAGGTGGTCTCGGTCGAGATTGTGCCTCGGATTGCAAGAGTCGGCGTGCTGGTTCGCAAGCGAGCGCAGCTGCTGAATCTCATCGAGGACCAGATCACAGTCCTGCTCGGTAATCCGTGTCCGGCCGATGGCTACGACCGAGAGCACCTGCTTGCCTTGATGGCATCGCATGAGGAAGCGGAGCGCGAGCACGCAGTGCAGCTGATTAGAGAATGGTCGCTGCCGCGGTTCCGCGAGTGGGATCTGGAGAGCCGCATCCAGCGGATACAGAAACTGATGGGCCCGTTTCACCATGTGGACGGCGTTATCCAGAATATGCGGCAGCAGTGGTTTGCCACATATGACGGCAAGAGCGAGCGCGGATCGACAGTCGGGTTTGTTACGTTTAGTGATGCGGCCTCGGCACACTTGGCTGCGCAGACCTTCTCGTATTCGCAGCCATTCCAGTTGCGTGCGCAGCTGGCGCCCGAGGCCCGCGATATCCACTGGGAGAATGTGACTATGACGCTGTGGTCGCGGCTCATTCGTGGGGCTTTCTCTCTGATCGGGTACATCACGATGTTGACATACTGGATTGCTATGGCCACGTTGCTGTCAAAGATGATGGAGCCAAAATCACTCAATGACCACTTCCCGTCACTGCCCGATCTGGAGAAGAACAAGTGGTTGAGCAGCCTGTTCAGATACAATACGCCAGTGCTGGTTCTGTCTCTGATGAACACATGCGTGCCGTATATCCTGAACTGGGCAGCCGAGCTGTCCGGAACCCAGAGCCGGTCTGCCATACAGATGTCGGTTCTGCAGCGCTATTTCCTGTTTCTGGTGGTGATCGTCCTTCTCACAATCTCGGTATCGCAAACTATCTTCCGCGAGTACGACAAGTGGATAGAGAATCCGAGCGAGATCCCCAAGATGTTCGCTAGAAGTCTACCCAAGGCAGCGCCGTTCTTTATGGACTACATCATCCTGTATGGGCTGGGGTATCTTCCTGTGCAGCTGCTGCAGCTGGGGTCCATATCGCTCGCCGTGTTCCGGCGCATGGTATGCAGGACGCCGCGCCAGTTCGCGGATGCCCTACGGCCCAACTACATTGACTGGTCATTTATTCTGCCGCAGCCCATGCTGATATTCGTGATCTTGGCAACCTACTCATCGCTGGCGCCGTTTATCCTAGTACTGGCCGCCATGTACTATGCGATTGCGTACCTGGTCACAAAATATCTGGCATACTACGTGTATGCGCGGCAGTTTGAGACTGCCGGCGCCATGATCATCCCAGTCCTCAAGGTGCTGATTGGCAGCATGTGGTACTACTACCTGCTAATCATCGGGCTCTGTGCGCTGAAGGTCGCATTCGGGTACGTGCTCTTCCTGATCCCAGTGCTTTGGGCCAACGCCTACCTGATCACGTTCGTGTCAAAGATGTTTTACGCTGACGGTTCGTTCGTGCCACTTGATTTGTGGAATCAGCACGATGAAGGACACCTTGGGTCGACCCCTCATTTGGCTGAATCCCGGACTGAGGGTGTGTCTCGCACTGACAGCAATGTCAACTATACAGGGGAAACAAGCCATGCAACCTCGACTGACTACCTACTGCCACGGCCACATGTGCCATCACCATTCGGCGCTGCCTTGGATGCATTGGACCAGGAGTCGCGGGGCTCAGTCAGCAGGGCATGGGAGTCGATGAAGCGGCGCGTGAAAACAGTCGCCAGTATCATATATAGCTGGATCTATGTCAACCCGCAGCGCACGCCGTCAGTGTTCCGCGACCTTGACCGCAGCTACAGCATCAATACCGAGGATCTTGAGCAAGGCTCAGGCGAATCCTTGTCGGGTGAGCTGGTGCAGTCGCCGAGATTCAGTGTGACATTCCAGGAGAACGGCGGCAACAATACTGCCAGCATGCGTGCTGAGCTAATGCTCGGCCGTGACCAGCGGGCATCGCGGATCGAGCCAGACGCTTACACTGACTTTAGCCAGTCGCCAATATCGCTACTGGAGGGTGTCCTTGACGAAGGACTGGCAGTGTATGAGCACCCGTATTTAGTTGGAAACCTGCCTACATTCTGGCTACCGATAAAGAAGCAAACTGAGTCGGAATAATATATACTGCTGGGATATGATATGAGGAAAATGGTTAAGCATGGGTACTACACAAAATACATGGCACTGTCAAGCCGCCGATGCGTACGAATAATCATTTCCCCCTTGCTAAGTCCTCGCCGGTGTTCTGGCCTTATTACAACATCAAGGCCGACGCCCGATTCAACGAAATGGCAGCGGGCGCGGTCAGCTACACGATGTGCATAGTAAGCCAGTGGAGCCAGCGATGCCGAGCGAGTGCACAGGGCCTAGGTATAGCAGAGATGATAGGTGAGCTGCTGCAGGTGGTCCTGGGAAAACTGGACATCATCATGCAAAATATAGTAGTGCGTCGGGCGCGACGTCCCGCGCAAGGCCGTGTGCGAGTACAAGTAAAAGTTGGCCATGCCTGGCAGGGTGACCGAATGATCAAAGCACATTCCGGGCACGCAGTTTCCGCTGCGGTTGCCATCGTAGTCGATGGGGAAGAAGCGCGTGCTATACCGCATCACTGTCTTTCGGCAATCCCATACAACTCTATTGGGAACATCGACCCGTTCCTGCATAGTATCCCGGGCAGGAGCGGATACTGGAGCCGGATGTTGTAGCGCAATTTGTAGCACTCGGCAATGGTAATAGCCTTGGTTTGATCGACGTGGTCAGGGTCAGTTCACTCGAACGTCTCTTGGCTCAGAGGCCGTGCTGTGACTCCAGCCGCAGTGAACGCTGTTGGGCTACGGACTGTTTTGTGCCGGATATTAAACTTGATACCTTTGACAAACTGCCCAACCATGCGAATATCTAAACCGTGCATTCCAGTACTTCGCATCACACCTGCATCGCGGACATGCAGTATCTCGAAGATTACCTTTGCAGTGGCTCAGGGCGGAACAACCCGATGGCTGCAATGTTGATATTGAAAAACGGCTTGTAGCATGAACGGATACTGAGGAAGTAGGTGTGACAGGCCGACATACCGTAGCCAATGTCGATGCCATTATCGCAAGCCACAAATACGCGGTCACGCTTGAACAAACAGGATTGCTTAGACTCAGGTTTGTATCTACACGGCGTTGATACATCCCAGTACTGTTCCAGATACACAGAGATGGGCAGTCAGGATATTGGCGACCACAACTGACCTTGGCAGCTAGGCACAGTGTTGCAGGCAGACTAGCCTCATCCGCTATTCTAGTATTCGTTTTGTTGAGTGGTTGGTGGTGTTGTGGATTGGAGCTGTCAGAATGTGCGTCCATCCTCGCCGCTCGCACTCTTAAACCCACGCCCGCAGAAAGCGAGCGAGGGGGCGCAGAGCAGGCAAGATCATCGACGGGTCGAAAAAAGCAGCAGCGTCACGAATGAGCGCTGGACCCACACCTCCCTTTACGGACGGCGCACTGTCGGTCATCTTCCAGCATGGTTCCAATGTCTATGTTCGATGAACAAAGAACTGTAAATTAACTGTAAACATAATCCTGATGAGAACAGTCGATTGAGGTTCCTCCAAGCTGTGCTGCAGCGGTGCACAATTTATACCAGCCAGCGGTTGGGGCGTCTGAAAACTCAATGATGGGACAATTTTGTCACGTGAAGCATGCGATTACGCGTGATGACTGAGACATTGACTCAACTCTTGCTTCAGCGCTGAGTCTGCTCAGAAAGCTCAAAGAATAGGGACAGTACATGATTCCAACCATTGAATCCCAGCAATACTATAGTGATTTGTCAAGAAATGCGGGTGTCACATTATGCTTATTAAAAAGTAGAAAAGAAGGAGGATTCGTGGATGGGGGTCACATAGTTGATGAGTCGTCAAGTCAGCATTTTCCTAACACAGTGACTTGCCGATTTGAGATTAGCCATGTAGTCCATCGAGTAGTGTCTAACAAAATGAAGCTATGCATTATATGAAACATAAAATTGGAGTTTTGATTTAAGAAAACAAAATAGTAAAGTTGTCAGAACCTAATAAATGCTATTCTGTGGCAATTGCAGCTGGTGCTTGGGTGTTTGGGTGTTTCCTGTGCTGTGGTGTATGTATAGTTTCACAGGTCGTCATCAAATGGTACATACATTGTTTGCTCATCTGCATATTTCTTATTCATTCAGACAGGTGGCTTTGTCATGTGTATAGCATATATTCCCACCTCAGAAGTGCAACACAATTCCCTACACACCAAAGCAAAATGGCGTTCAGGGTGGTGTTGACGAAACTGGCCACAAGCCCATTGTCTGCCTTGAGACCAACAAGGAGTTTGCTGAGATTGCTCACAGCGATTTTGTGGACGCCGGTGTCGAGGACTACATTGAGGTTATTGTTGGCGATGCGAACCAGAGCTTGGCACAGCTACAGGATGTGTCGTTCGATATTGTTTTTATCGATGCGGACAAGATGTCGTATGTGGGCTATTACGAAACAATCATTGACAATGGTCTGCTCAACAAGAGCGGCACCTTCATCATTGATAATACGGCGCTTGAGTCTGTTGTTGCGTATATCGACGCACCGGTGCCAGTGAGTCCGGACTATGAGCCTTTGTGCTTGTCATACGACATGTATAAAACTGGAAACGAGTGGGCTCCCAAACTGCACGAGTTCAACGAGCATATACGTAATGACCCGCGCGTCGAGGTGGTCATTCTTCCTCTTTTCACTGGAATCACCCTTGCACGTTTGGTCAACTAGCTCCTTTTCTCATGCATGGAAACACTGCGAACAAGCAAACTATCGCAGAATCATCCACCACTATATTAACCAAATAAATGACTTGCAGAGCTAGATTGAGATGTTCTTATTGAGAAATGAAGGTGAAGCAAGCGCTGCCGGTTTGTCCCTTATTGACATGTAGCAGTAACAGGGCCAGCTGAGCCGGGAGCCGAATTGGGCGATGACGTGTCATTCCTCCCCTGCCACTAATCAAATCCAGCTTTGCGTCCCTTCTGTTCTGCAGCGCTTTTTTGTGTACATTTTAAAGCGCATTTCTTTCTTTTTTCGCTGTTGCTGCATTTGCTGACAAGAGATTCGTGCAAGAGAATGGCTCGCGGTCTATTTCTGCTGTTTGAGGGCTGCGACCGCAGTGGCAAGTCGACACAGTGCTCGATGCTGGTGGAGGCCCTGCAACGGGAGGGTGTCAAGGCCAAATTGCTAAAGTTCCCCGACCGCACGACCGCCATCGGGCAGATGATCAACGGGTACCTGACGCAAAAGACTCAGGCTGTCGGATGAGGCGGTGCACTTGCTATTTTCGGCGAAACCGGTGGGAGGCCATGGAGGACATCCGGGCAGAGCTGGAGGCAGGCACGACCCTGGTGGTGGACCGGTATGCGTTCTCGGGCGTCGCGTTCTCGGCGTGCAAGGGACTGAGCATGAAGTGGTGCAAGGCGCCAGACGTTGGGCTGATTGCGCCAGGACAGAAGTGTTCTTCATGGATATCCATCCGGATGACGCAGCCAAGGAGGGACGGCTTACGGCGAGGAGGTGTATGAGAAGCGCGAGTTCCAGATTGAGGTGCGCGTCAAGTTTTTTGCGCTGATGGAGGCTAACTGGTCGATTGTCGATGCGAACCGCGACAAGGACACGATCCATAGGCAGATCATGAACCTGTCCAAGGCGCTTCTCAAACGGCATGAGAAGGAGCCGCTGCCGCTGGGCAAGCTGTGGGTGGACTAAGCAGCGACAAAACCACAGCAACGGCACTCAATCGGATTAATGGGGCAAGGCTATATGTTGTCCGCACTTGTGTCCCTAGTTCTCACTTGCTCTTCCCGCTCTTTATTTTAAAAGAATTCGTATTTCTCTTTTTTATTGCTTGCCATTACCCGGGCCCTTTGAAATGGCATGGGATTCCTTTAGGCAGCGCGTGCGGTATTTGCGTGGCGAGGCACTGAGCAGCTGGCCAGCGTCGGTCACCGGAGTATTTTTACAGGCCATCTCCGGTGGCGTCCACGTGTGGTTCACTGGGACCGATCCTACGCATAACGTGCGGCGACCGACATTGCTATTCAGCGCAGTGCCATTGAGCGCTACCGAAGCAAAGGACGGAAACGTAGTCAGTGTCGCTGTGGCCACGGCACGCAGCATATGGAACGACCGGTTCTCTACCATCCAGGCAGCCGGCAGCCCATCATTGCTGACGTACCTGCGGGAGGCAGCAGGTCGAGCAGTCGCTGTGGCATAGCTGTGGTGGGAAATTGGACGTGGTTATGCTTGCCGACAAGGGCCAGCGGTGGGTGCATGGCACAATGGCGGGCACGGCTAATGGCAGTGAAAGAGTGCCCTGTGGAGCAGACACCGCAGATGCGTCCAGAACGACTGGTACTACACGCGCAGCCAAGGCGATGGGCGGTTCGTGGCGTTTTCGCGCGACGGCAACGTTGTTGTATACGACGGACTTGTCGGACGCGAGACAGTGTTGTCGTGGGCCAGGCAGTCGGGTGTGCAGTATGGCGTGGTCGAGTATGCGATGGAGGAGGAGCTGGGCCGCAATACTGGGATCTTCTGGGCGCCATTATCATGTAATGGCAGTGAGTGGCTGTTGTGTGCGCGCGTCGATGAGCGCTTGGTCGGCGATGTCGGGCTGCCGGAGCTGCCCGAGGACAATATGATTGACCCGACAGCTGACCTGGTCCACTCGCCGGCCGGTGCCTTTGCCAACAACGCATATGGGTGGGAGCATGGCTGCCGTGTTGACCAGGGATCGCAGGAGCTGCATTCGGCGCTGGCTGATTTCCAAAAGTACCCGCGGCCGGGCTCACGCAATGCCGTGACCGACTGGGTCGTGATCGAGATTGCCTATGATGGGGACCATGGCATTGCAAGTCGACGAGTGAGGCCGCTGTATCGGGAGAACCTGTCTTCGAAGACTGTTTCCATGGCACGAGTATGTGGTCCGTGCAGGGTGGCTACCCGCCAGCCAAGGCCGACCGTCAGATGCGGTCTGGTTCCAGCTGCTTGACCGTGCGCAGAAGCGTACGGCGATTGTCAGAGTGCCAGTGGACTGCTTTCGGAGATGGAACGAGCGAAGGACGTGGATCCATTCGAGCAACTGCCTGAGGAGGAGCCGCACAGCAGCCCACTAGTGCATGTTTTATACGAAGAATCGCAGCCAGAGGCATGGATCAATCTGAATCAGCACTGCCGTTTCCTGAGCCAGGACGTGCCTGATGGCTGTGTGCAGTTTATCCTGGCTTCCGAGCGCACCAACAAATTCAATCACCTGCATCTGGTGACGACCGAGCTTGGCAGCGATGTGGTCGGTGAGGGGATCGGGCGGAGCACCACCAGTATTACGCCGATCACCACCGGCCCGTGGCCAGTCACCGACGATGCACCGCTGTTTATCGACGAAGCGCAAAAGGTAGTGTACTTTAGTGCGCGGTAATCCAAATCCACTGACTACAAATCTGTTTTCTGCCCAGCTACAGCGCCGACGCACAGCCCACCGAGCACCCGCAGCAGCTGACGATGGCCGGATACACCCACAGCAACTTTTCCTTTGACTCGACAGGCGCATATTTCTACTGCCAGTCGTCGAATGTGGCCACGCCGGTGCGGCACTGCATATACCAGACAGACACCGGGCGGTGCCTGGCAGTGATCGAGGTGGCACAGGCGCGGTCGGCGTCCCTGATCACCCGCTCGTCGATAAACACCACGTCGACCTGCGACTTTCCGGTCAATATCCATCGATAGCTTCGAGTCAGACGCGTTCAGCGACTATCTGCCGGACCCGCTGCGGATGGGTGGCAAGCAAAAGCTGCGGCGTGCTGGCTAGAGTGGAAGGAGTTCAGCATCCGGCGGCTGACGCCGTCGTATGTGGGCCAGACGGTGAGCAGGGCGGTGCGGAATGCAATTCCCGTTCTCGCTGTTCCAGTCGCTGGCGCTGGGCACTATCAGGAGCGGCATCAACCCGCAGAGACTCATTGACAAGGTCATTGCGGAGGTCTTGTCGAGAGGACGCGGGGTCGCCGGGGGTGCAGGCCGGCCAGGCGCCATTATCTGATACCGCTGTCCGGGTAGCTAAGCGGCCGAGCACCGCACCACCGCTGCCGCCGCGCCCGGCGGAAACCTCCGTGGAGGAGTTGGCTGCGGTGGACGTGGCTCCGCGGTTTATGTCGCTGACCAATGCCAGCCGGCAGTTTGTGACAAGAGAGACACTGGTAGGCACACATGAGTTTGCTGGCATGCCGGCAGTCAATAGGGGGTCAGATCCTTTGCCCCGGTTGTTCTGCTTCCCTGTGCGCACAGACGCGGGCGGCTGGGATCTGCTATTTGGTCATGTGTACCTGCCGCCAGATTTCGCTGCTGGCAAGCTCTACCCGGTTGTTGTCAATGCGTATGGCGGGCCGCAGTGCCAGCTGGTGACCAATGCATACCCGTACCCACGGCACCGAAGGCTGGCAATGCTGACGCGGATGACGCCCGAGATTGTGAAGCCAGGCACGACGCCAATGTTTGCTCCGCGTGGGTCCAGCTGTCAGTCGAGCATCAGCGATATAGATGACAGGCGGGTCGATAGCGCAGAGAGCGTCGGACCAAGCATGGAGAAGAGCGGTGTGCATTCAACGGTGGTGGTATGTGTGGACGGCAGGGGCACGCCAAACCGCGGTCTGGCGTACGAGTCGGCAATTGGTGGCCGGCTGGGACAGCTGGAGGTCGATGACATTGCCAGTGCAGTCGAGTACTTGCTGGAATACGGGCTAGACGCACTGGCTCCTGTTGATACGCCACCGCCGAGCTGGTGCCAGACCACGGTCTCGTGCTCAAACTCTTCACACAATGTGCCTCGCCCGCCAGTTTTCCCTGCCCCAGCATCCTGCGCTGATAGCTTGTCAGAGTGGGATATGGCGCCCCTGCCCGACCAGCGCACAGGGTTCGTGGACCACCGCCGCATAGCAATCCACGGCTGGTCGTACGGCGGCTACATTGCATTGCGCGCAATCGCCAAGCACCCGTCGCTGTTCAAGGTCTGCATTGCTGGCGCGCCTGTGGTCCGCTGGGACTGGTACAGCGCCGCCTATGCTGAGCGCTATCTCGGCGTGCCTGCGGCTGGGCAGACCATTTACGACCAGTCCTTCGGTCGTGTCGGTTGCTGGGCTGCTGCCACGGGAGCGCAACCGGGTGCTAGTTGTGCATGGCTGGAACGACGACAACGTACATGTCACGCACACCGCAGAGCTCGTTCGGTCGCTGCAGCGGGCATGGGGGAGGCCTGATCCAATTCGCTTATCGATATACGCCAACGAGCGCCACGGGCTTCGACTGCCGTCAAGCAACGAGCATTTTCGAGACGCTGCTCGCATACTGGCTGTTCCACTATCTGTAACGACTGGATTTTTGTATTGGTCTAATAATGTCAGAAAGCGCTTTTTAGGCGGTGGGGGCGTCCTTGACGGGCTTGCCGGTCTTCTTGATGGCCTCGAAGATGGTCTCGCGGGGCAGGTCGGTGGTGACCGAGACGCGCTGCTTCTCGAGAGAGACCTCGTACTTGTCAATGCCCTCGACACGCTTCAGGGCGCGGATCAACGGCGCCGGAGCAGCCCGAGCAGGACATGGCGACTTCGAAACTCGTAGGTGTTCTATAATAATAATAAAAAAGCATTAAGCAATAGTGGTGTTAGTATCACTGTGTTGGCTCACAGAGGGTCGGCGGTTTGCGTGTGTGCTGTGCGACTAGAAACTTACGGCCATTGTGGTTGAGAAATTTGAGAGATGAGCAAGGAGTAAGAGCAAGAAAGCGGGGTGGAAGAGAGAGAGAAAAGCTGAGAGAATAATGATGGAAAACAAACCGTTGCCGAGGCGGAATCTCAGCCCAATTTATAGGCTCCCCTGCCGCCCCTCATTTGCCCCGTTTTGTGTGTTTTCGCTGGCTGGCGCTAAAATAGGCCAGCAGGCAATATTGAGCCTGTGTGGATCCTTAGTTGCCAGCACTCTCCACGCGTAGGAGGCGACTCAATAGGCCCGCGTAATCGGCGCTATACATCTCGGAGCAAGTACATCGATTGATGGCTTCGCCATACATTAGTCATGCATGCAACATATCATGGCTGCGAGGTGGGGGTGGAAATCTATGTGAGGCAAATAGGCGAGCCACTGGTTATTTTTTCATTGCAGCGATTTCGTGGATTCCATAAGAAGGCCGCTGCATTTCCGCCAGCATCGATAGCAATTGCCTCAGGGCAGATCGCTGCATGTTTTTTTGCGGGAGGGGGTTTTGCTTGCCATTCGCCTTTGATCTACTTCGCTTTTGTCATGTTCTCTTGTATTTGTAAAGCCAGACACGCAGCCGTCCCACGATGTATCCTTATGCAGCCATTGCACACGGCCATGGCCAGCTTACAAATCACACAGCCAGGCATTGGTTCGGGCAAACGGATCGACTGGGAAATGCCCGCAGCCAGCAACCCGCCACTGCCGCCGTCAACCGAGCTTCTGGCGGCAATCAAATCGCAAGGCAAACCGACGCCGTGGAGTGAGCAGGAGATCCGTGCCTTCCAGGCGCTGGTAATAGACCGCATAGGCATATACCGGGTGCGCAAAGTAGACTGGAACGTGGTGGCCATGCACATCGGCACGCGTACGCCCGAGGCGATCAAATCGCGGTTCCGCCAGATGCTCAGCGAAATGCCGCACGACTCGCGCGCCAGTCTGATGCAGCGGCGGCTCTCGCACAACGCGCAGCTGTGCGGCTCCAAGAAGGCGTCAAAGGCGCGGACCAGGGTGTGGACGCCGCAGGAAGACGATGCATTGAAGACCGCGGTGGCGCTGTATGGTGCGCACAAGTGGCGGATGATCTCGGAGTTTGTCGAGACACGGCGGCCAAGCCAGTGCTATAACCGGTGGCGGTATATGAACAGTCCGCTGAGCGGGAAGCGCGGGCCGCCGTCGTACTGGATCAACGTTATGTACCGGAAGAAAAAGCTGAGCAAGGCCGGGTCGTCGGATGGCTCGTCGGTGCTGTCGGCAATCCTGAACCAGCAGCTGCAAGAGGCCATGGACCGCGATGCTAGCAGTAATACCGGGGTCGTGCTTGGGACGGACGAGGCGGGTGAGGAAATCATGGGTGCGGTGGACCGGGCGGTGCTGAAGCCGTTTAGCGTCGACGAGGACAAGCTGATTATCCAGCTGGTGCGCCTGCACGGCCGAAAGTGGGGCCACATAACTAGGCTGCTGAACGCGGCAAACCAGCAGAGAGAGAGGACGAGGGATCTTGGCAGCGACTCTCAGACGACACAGAAGCGCACCGCGAACTGGGTGTGCGAGCGCTTCAGGCTGCTGTCGCAGCCAATCGAGGCCGGCGTCTGACTGTGCAGAGTTGCGGTCTGGCAGTGCGTCTCTGGCCACTAAGCCTGTTCCTGGCGACGGTCTTGGCCCATCAAAACCTATCTCGCCAAGTCTTTCGGAAAAACGAACCGAGGATATCCAATCGGTTACACCACCAAAGCACAGGCCGCTGGACTGTGGCCGAGGACGAGGAACTGGCGTGCATAGTGAAAAAGGCACTGTCCCACGAGAACGGGTTCCTGTCGTGGAGTGACGTGGCCAAGCAAATGAGCACCCAGCGATCCAAAACCCAGTGCTCGACACGGTGGCTGCAGACCGTGGGCACGCATCTGAAGCACACACGCTTTTCGAGGCTGGAGGACGAGGCGATATGGCCGTTTGTTCTGAGCCGGTGCCAGGGCAAGTCGCCAAAGGGTCGTGCAGGGGACCGAGCCGCAAGGCACTGTGGGCATCGGGTGGGTGAGCGCGCGACTCAGGGCGTCGCGGTCGACGAATGCGCTGGCGCGGCGGATCTACAGGCTCACCAAGGCTGTGAGGTGGTTGAAGGTTGTCGGAGGAGTGAGCGATGCGCACTTGCATTTCGATTTGGTGCACAAACTGGCCAACACGCCATCGGACTTTCGAATAGTGGCTAAGAAATAAGCATTGCTTTCATTCTCTCACACATGCCACGCTCGGACTTGGTCGTGGCGAATCATCAGCATGCCCGGTAATGAGGCCCAACAGAAACGTGTCTGCGTCCCCAGGAGAGACCGCAGTATTTATAGCTTTTTCTGACTCAGTATCATCGGGCTCACTGGTCCCCCTCTATTTCTATCAGCCAGCCGTGTCTGCCAAAATAGAAATACATGGCGGTGCTCGGTGAAGCGATAGGTACATGGGCTCGGCGACACGTTCGATGCATCATGTTAGGAACAATAGGCTGTAGAATCCGAACCTGCGGGATCCTCATTGACCACTCAGCAAAATGACGTTATCTTTTACAGATGCAATGGCTAGAGCTGTTTTTTCCCACCCAGGATCCACCAACTGGGCAAGCTGGACAGCCGGGCTCTAGCCAGTGCTCGTTTTCACGAAGGAGCCCGGTGCTCTTAAAAGCAATCGGTGCCCGGCGTCCCCAATATTACAGTCGCTCCACTTTTATTTTCTATTTTTTCCATCCACTATTATATTGCATAGCGCGTCTTGTTTGTTTGCAAAGTTGGCCTCCAAATTTTTTTCCCACCCTTTCAAAACCACAGCTGTCTACTAGCACCCTGCAAAGCATCTACATCTTCTCCTCTTCTCGCAAACCTGTTTTAACTATTACGCGCAATGGACAAGGACGGCCCCGATCCAAATGACGGCAGATCCGGGTATTCCCAGCTGCCACCCGAATCGCCGGAACATAGTCAGTCCTCAGATAATACGCAACAATCCGATCAGAGCGCTCCGGCAGCCACCGACCCGCATCACTCTGGCTCCGACACCGATGACGACTCACTGGGCGGGATTTTTGTTTCCACACAGCGCACGCAAATACCGCCGGTGGGCCCCTCGCCACCCATCAGTGCGCCCAGTGACGGTAGTGGCGGCGACAAGCCCAACCGCCCAATTCTACGCCTGGCAATGCTGAACGCTCAAGAAAAGGCAAATGTGCGAAACCAGCTTGGCCACGATTCGTTCACTGCGCCGGTACACAGCGAGCCGATCGAGCTGCCGTCGACAGGATACTTTGCGCCACGGGGAACGCTGCAGCGGTCGTCAACGTCGGTGCCCGAGAAGGCCAACGAGGCCGACCAGGCGAAGCAGAAGAAGAAGCGGCGGCCGCATGCAGCGCTACGGTTTGCGTCGGAGGACTCGGTGCACACTATTGGCTCGGGGAGCGACCAGCAGTTCAGCCATCTGCATAATCCGATTGATGCACCGCGGCCACAAAGCAGCGGCTCGGCCCAGGCAGACAATGCGGAGCCGGTGGGTCTCCGCCGTCGCTTGTCCCGCGCCGGTACCAACATGCGGCAGTGGGGGCGGGCCCTGAACGCAGTGACTGGCGGCAACAGGAACCCTGTACGCGTCCGACTCCGAATCCGACACAGACACAGACAGTGACGACCTTCCGAGGAGCAACGAGCTGCATATGGAGCAGCTGCTAGATAAAAAGACCATTAACGAGGCAGACAACCCTCTGAGGACGAATACTGCGGCGAATAACGCAGAAATCGCGGCCACGTCGACGTTCTACCCCGTCAACCCAGCTGCTAACAACCCAGGCGTGGTCCATGTGAATATGAGCGGCCATGACACCGCCAAGAACATCATCGAGTCGGTCCTGGGCGCAATGGGCACATCCACCGCGCAGTACCGCAGGGACCATCCCGGGCTTCTCGAAAAGGCGTCACCGGTGGGAACACCGTCGGAGCTCGAGGCCGGATACGGTAAAGGCAAGCTCATGGACTCTGCAGGGTCGACGCCGTCCGACATCGCAGACCAACCTGAAGCAGGACGGCGGGTACTTTGGGCAGAAGCGGCCGACAAGCGTGACGCCTGGCAGCATGTTTGGCGGCGGTGGCACGATTCCAACCCCACTCGGCATCACCCCGACGTCATTGCGCGGCGTTTATGCCAACCTCAACAAGCTGCAGAGCCGCATGGCTGAGCACCAGCAGAAGCGGGATCTACGCATGCGCCAGGCCAAGGCCAAGGAGGCCAAGGTCAGGGCCAAGCTGCGGGAGAAGGAGGAGAAGGAGCGGCGCGAGCGCGAGCGGGCAAAGGCTGCGGGCAAGACAACGCCGTTTGGCACTGTCGGCAGCAAGATCCGCAAGATCCCGGTTATTCTGAAGAGCCACGTACCGGGTACTCCGGGTGGAGTGGGAAGCCCTGAGACGTCTCTGTCGCCCAGCGATGTTCCCTCTGTTGGCCACGGACGAGGCGGGAAAGTCGTTCGAGCTGCGTGGATTCCACAGCGTTCCGCGATCGGAGTCAACACCCTACCTTTCGACTTTGCTCGAGACTATCCCGTCGAGACCTGGCACCCCCGGTCCCTCATCGTTAGGCACAGTGCCGGTGAAGCCCGCGCGCAGTGCTGGTCAGTCGCCAATCCACTCGCCCAACATCTCGCCAGTGGTGACCCCCGGATGGGACGATATCCTGGCCTCCAGCGGCATGCTGACCAATGGTAGCATCGGTGGCGGCGTACCAGGTTCCAGGGTCTCGATGGCTGGCTCATCAGACAGCACCCTGGTGGCGTTTCGAGGCTGAGAAGCAGAAGATCTTGGCACAATTGGCCGATATTTTCGATCGCCAGAATTTCATGTTGGTGGCAAGCCGTGCGCTGATGGCATTCGGGGCGCCGCTGCACCGGCTCGAAGCCAATCTGATTACGATAGCGCTGCATCCTGGACGTCGAAGCATCGGTAGCTGTCCTGCCAGGCATCATCCTGATCAGCTTCGGCGACAAGGACACACGGTCGTCAGGAGACACATATCGTGCGGATGGCCACCGGCTACGATATGCACCGGCTGGAGCGCACGAACCGCTGTATCAGACGCGTGCTGAAGAACCGGATTTCGGTTGGCAAGGGCGTCAGGAACATCGAGAGGATCCTGGCCACCCCTCCTCTGTACCCGTGGTGGCTGATGCTGCTTGTCTTTATTGCCTCGTCGTTCTTCATCAGCCCGCTATTCTGGAACGGCCAGTGGGCGGATGCCGGGGCAAGCGCCATGATGGGTCTGATTGTCGGGCTCCTGCAGCTGCTTGCTGGCCGCTTCTCCAACTACGCCAACCTGTTCGAGGTGTCGTCGGCCTTTATTATCGGATTCGTTGCGTCGCTGATGCAAGACAAGATCTGCTTTGGCGTTGTTTCCTTTGCAGGCATCTGCCAGCTCCTGCCTGGCCTGGGTCTGACCCTGTCAATTATCGAGATGGCCTCCAAGAACATGATTTCGGGCACTGTGCGCTTTGTCTATGCCATGTGCCAATGCTTCTTGCTGGGCTACGGCATCTCTGTCGGCTCTACGATGGGCACACGTGTGCGCGGCTTCCAAAACAGCCCCGTGGACTCGGTTGTGTCGTCAATGAACGGGCTCGGCAACTGCAGTACTGGGCTCAGCAAGCTCTGGTGGTTCCTGTTCCTGCCGATGCTCGCCATTACGTTCAACATGAGCATCTCGGCGCACTGGCGCCAGCAGCCCATCATGGTCATGGCCGGCGCCGTCGGGTACACCGTGTCGTATTTTGCGGGCAAGAGCAGTGCGCTGACCGACATTGCCCCAGCCATCGGCGCCTTTGCCATGGGCCTGTTTTCCAACGTCCTGGCGTCGTTCTCAAACCACAGATCGGCCATTGAGCCGATTCTTGGCGGTGTGCAGCTCCTGGTGCCTGGGTCGCTCGGGCTGAGGACTGTGCTGGCGTTTATCTCGTCCTCTGGGTCGAGTTCAGGCACCTTCCTGTACAACGTGTTCTCGACAAGCCTGAGCATTGCTGTCGGTCCTGTTCCTGAGCGGCATGGTCGTGTTCCCGAACCGCAAGAAGCGGGTTGGCCTGATGACCTTTTAGGAGATGCTCAGTTTTGAACCAAAACTATTCTGGTTGTGATATCAGGATTATATATATATTTTGACATTTATTAAGTTATAAGCTAGACCCCTTTGGTTTTTCCTGTCTTTTACTTTTTTCAATGTACAGCGTCACAAAAGATTTTCTAGGAAAACCAGCTCCGCCGGGATACGTAGCCGGTCTCGGCCGTGGAGCCACTGGTTTCACTACGCGATCGGATATCGGCCCAGCGCGCGAAGCCTCGGCAGCTGCTGATAAGCTGCCGGCGCGCGACAAGCAGCCAGCCGAGCAAGACGACCCGCGGTTCGACGACGCCGACAACGAAGTTGGGCTGTTCCGCAACGCCCCCTACGAGGCGGACGACGAGGAGGCCGACAAAATCTGGACCGAAATCGACACAAAGATGGAACAGCGGCATGCTGCCCGACATGAAAAGCAGAAAACAAAGGGCACAGACAAACCTGCAATCGAGGAGCACTTTAAGGACCTGAAGCGGCAGCTGCAGGGGCTCAGCGAGGAGGACTGGGACGCGATCCCTGACGCTGCACAGCTGGCGGAAACTGCCTGCTAGGGCTAAGCGCCGCAGAAAGGCTGCAGGCGACCGCCGCGGAGAGCGGTTTGCGCAGGTGTCTGACAGCGTGATGATGGCGGGCCTTAATGCCGCTGGCTTTGAGCAGAACGTTGGCTCGACGGACATGAGTGCCGATGACGGGACAGTGACCAATTTTATGGCTATCGGGCAAGCCCGCGATGACGTTTTGCGAATGAAGCTGGACCAGGCGGGCGACTCAGCAACAGGCCAGACAACCATCGACCCGCGTGGATATCTAACATCACTGAACACCCTGGGTACGCAAAATGCAGCTGAAATCGGCGATATTTCGCGTGCCCGCACGTTGCTCAAATCGGTAACAACCACTAACCCGAAGCATGCACCCTGGGTGGATCGCAGCGGCCCGTCCTGGAAGAGATTGCGAAGAAGCTGGGCAAGGCGCGGTCGATTATCGCCGAGGGGTGCGAAAACTGCCCAAAGAGCGAGGAGGTGTGGCTGGAGGCAGCCCGGCTCAATACGCGGGAGACAGCCAAGGTGATCTTGGCCAGCGCAGTCCGCAACCTGCCGCAGTCGGTCAAGGTCTGGATGGCAGCGGCAGACCTGGAGGCAGCGTCGCACGATGTCAAGGCGCAGCGGCGGGTGCTGAGACGCGCATTGGAGTTTGTGCCCACCTCGGTTGTTTTATGGAAGGCAGCAGTGGGACTTGAGGATGCCGATGACTGCGCGCGTACTCCTGTCGCACGCTGTGGAGCTGATTCCGCTCAGCATCGATCTGTGGCTCGCACTGGCGCGGCTCGAGACGTACGAGAAGGCGCAGAAGGTGCTGAACCGCGCCCGCCGTGCTGTGCCCTCGAGCCACGAGGTTTGGATCGCGGCTGCGCGGCTCGAGGAGCAGAACGAGCACACTGGACGGGTGGACCAAAATCATGGCCAAGGCAGTGCAGTCCCTGGGCCAGCACGGAACAACCATGGACCGTGACGCATGGCTCGACCAGGCAGAAATATGTGAGACCGACGGATACCCGTCTGTGTGCCAGGCCATTGTCAAGGCCACGGCCAGTCTGGGATTCGATGGGAACGAGTCTGCCGAGGACCAGGCAGACGTGTGGGCATCCGAGGCTGACCGGTTTATGCAGCATCGGGCTGTGGTCACTGCGCGGTCTCTCTATGAGCTTGCGCTAGAAGCTACACCGGCCAGCATGGACATGTGGCGAAGTGCAGCCGATCTGGAGCGCGAGCAGGGCTCGATCGAGGACCTGGAGGCGCTGCTGAAGCGCGCTGTGCAGTACTGCCCACAGGCAGAGGTTCTATGGCTGATTGCCGCGAAAGAGAAATGGACGAAGCAGAACGACGTGGAAGGCGCTAGGCAGATCCTCGAGGAGGCGTTCAGGGCGAACTCAGGATCGGAGGCCATTGTGCTGGCGGCAGTCAAGCTGGAGAGCGAGAACGGGCAGTACCAGCGTGCGCAGTTGCTGCTCCAGCGAGCCCGCACGACAGAGTTTGACGGGCAGATGGGCACTGCCCGGATCTGGATGAAGAGCACGGTGCTGCTGAGGCAGTTGGATGACCTTGATACAGCGCTTTCTCTGGCCAAGGAAGGGTTGGACAGGTTCCCCCAGTGCTACAAGCTGTGGCTCGTGCAGTCGCAGATCGAGATCCAGATGGAGCAGTACGAGGTGGCCCGCCAGACGCTGTCAAACTCGCTGAAGCAGTGCCCCAACTGCCGTTGAGCTGTGGATCGCCGCCGCCCGCCTCGAGAGCTCGCCGCACCTCAACCTGCATATCCGTGCGCGAGCCATCCTGGAACGTGCCCGTGTCTACAACCCAAAGTCGCCGAGGCTGTGGCTGGAACAAGCGCGGCTGGAAGCCGACGTCATTGGCAATGTGCCAGTCGCCCGGACGCTGCTCTCGCGGGCCCTCCAAGAGTGCCCAAAGTCGGGTCTCCTCTGGGCTGAATCCATCCTGCTCGAGCAGCGACCGCAGCGCAAGGCCAAAGTCAGTTGATGCCTTGAAGCATGCTGACAAGGATGACCCGGCGATCACGTGCATGATTGCCCGGCTGTTCTGGTCCGAGCGGCGTATCGAGAAAGCCCGGACCTGGTTCGAGCGCGCGGCAGCAGCCGACCAGGACTACGGCGATGCGTGGGCGTGGTGGCTCAAATTCGAGGTTGACCAGGCGGCACGTGCCGACGAACAGCTGATGCTTGATGAGCGGATCAAGGCGATCGAAGATGCATGCATGAGGGCCGATCCGCACCACGGCCAGGTGTGGCCAGTGGTATCCAAGGATCCCAAGAATGCCCGTCTTTCTACAAGAGACATCCTGCACAAGGTATCGGAAAGGCTGGGCCAGCTGCGCCAACTGTGAGCGGCAACAACAAACAGCGAACACAAATAAAACAGCCCATTTTGAGGAACTGGTCAATATTGATGGGACTTTGTATTAAAGTGACGAAAGAAAGGGACTAAGCAATAAGAGTATGGACCGAGAAAAAGAAAAGAAACCCAGGAGGACCGTAGGAGCTCAAGCATAATTTTGAAGCTAAAAATTCTGTTCAGAGCCTAAAATTTTGTTGTTTGTCTGAGCCTACGCCTCGCCGTTGCCTGACGGGGCTGCCCGGCTGTCGGTCTGGGCAGCGCCGGTCTGTGACGGCGCACCCACCGCCGGATGGCACGCAGCGCCTGGCTGGGCTCCGCTGGCAGCCTCACCATTGGCGTTGTGGTTGTCTGTCGACGCAGGCGACGACACCTGCATGCTCTCCGAGCCATGCTGCTGCAGTACCGCCGCCGCATCGCCTTCGCTGATGCCCGCAGCCAGCGAGCTGAAGTGCGCCAGGTTCGACGGCATACTGCCCACGGGGGTTGTGCCGAACGAGTCGATGGCCGCCTGCTCCTGCGGCACGGGCGTGGAGTTGGCATCATCGCGCTCCAGCGCATGGCTGCTCTGCTGACCACCCGAAGACGCGCCAGGCATGCGCAGGCCCCCGGTCTCTGCTGCAACCACCGCGGCCTCCGCCTCGGCTGCGGCAGCTGACGGGTTGCTGACATGATTATCGCCTGCTGACACTGCAATCGGGGCCAGCCTGCTGATTGCTGCGAGTGTTGGTGGATGCTCGATGGCAGCTGCGGTGGTTTGGCGTCCACGTCCATCTCGTTGTCGTCGATATTCACGTCAGGCCTCCAAGTCCGCGTACGTGCGGCACAGCGGGCAGCTGAAGCCGGTGCTGGTGAACAGAATGGGCTTGACGCACTTGAAGTGGAAGCAGTGCGAGCACGGCGCAACAAACAGCGCCTGGAACGCTACCATCTTGTACAGGCAGATGCAGCACTCGTTGTTGCTGTCGTCCGAGCCGTCCCCCGCTGTGCTGCCAATGGCATGATATGCATTCTGGATGTTCTCCATGACTTGCCGCCTAAACGGATTCTCCTTGCTCCGCTGCCAGTTGCGGTTAATCTCCAGGCGGATCTTGACGCACTTGTAAATGTCTAGCGTGCCGCCCTTGGTAGTCCACGCCCAGCTGCAAAACATCGCCGTCGTGCAGCTGGTGCGGCCGGCTCTCAACGCCCGGCGGCGACAGCCGCAGGTGGTTGAGGAACGTGCCTGAGGATGACTTTGTGTCGCGGATATAAAAGTTGCCGCCTTCCGTCCAAATTTCTGCATGGCTGCGACTGACCACTTTGCTCTTAAACGCAATTCGGCTCATCTGCTGGACTGACCTTCTCGGTGAAAGCGACCAACCTTCAGTACAGTGTTCTCAGGGCACGTCGCGGTCCATTACGTCAAAGTAAAGGCAATGACGCACGTCCACAATGTGCGGCACGATGCGGATGTGTGGGACTCGCGTTGGGTCGGCTTGGCCCTCGCCAGCTGCTACAGCTGGGCTCTGCTGGAATGCTGCATTGCTTGGCACCGCCAGGGGTTGTTCCTGCGCTGAGCTCGCTCGACATTTAAGAAAATGAAACTGGGTAGGTTTGATGAGCAATAAAAAAAGGAGGAATGGTGCTGGAATCTATATGCGCTGGGAAAAAGAGCGAGAATAAAAGCGGTATTGCGGTTTAAATTGTGAGTAGAGAAGAAGAAAGGCTGGGGCAATTGCCAAAGGTAATAGTGAAGGGGTTTCGCTCACCCACTCTTGAGAAAAAAAACCACTATTTGCTTTTTGGGGGCAGAAAGAGAACAAGAACGCAATAGCAAAAAAAGCGTGACTCGCCCAAGCGCTACTTTTTCGGCGTGACTGGCCCTGTGGAGCTATTAATTCCCACCGCTGGCTTTGAAATAGCGCCTATGATAGCGACCATTGGACAGTAGATGCCACGGGCGGGAAGCAGTTGCAGCCAGGGAACAAGAAAAGACAGAAAAAGAGACATGCAGATACTATCTACACCACACCGTGATTCAAAGACGGCCTAAATGTAGTCCTGGCAAATTAGAGTGCTCAGAGTGCGGATCATGCATGTGGAGGTGGGCAAATGTACATAGAGTCATGTAGCATTCAGTAATGGCTACAGTTATGTGCCCTATCATTGTCTCACCGACACATAAAACACCCTTGTGCATCCTCTACACATTTGCCACTTGAGAAAGAAGCCGATGTGGCGATCGTTTATGTCGTAGAAACTCTGGCGATTCGCCAGCACACATCTGTTCGAGAGAGCAGAGACCGCAGTAGAGCGCCAGCGATATTCTAACCTCACGCCTACTATGGACATGCTGGACCGCCCCGACCTTAGTAGCACCGCAATGGGGCCGCCACCAACGCATCTTTTGTTCTCTCGTGCCTGATATAGCGTAGTGGAGACTGCTGCAGGTATCTTTTTTTTATTTTTACTTTTGAAATAGCTGTATTTCCAGGCCTATGTCGGGACTCTAGAATCCGCCCAGGCTAATGGAACTCGTCGCCATATCAAATCAGCGCAGTCTGACTGGTGGTAGTGGGGCACACTCAGGACAATATCATTCAGGCGCATGCTTTTGATTTCATACTTGTTTCTCCTCTAATGGGCGCAACAATAACCCATGCCATTGTTGCTTATACCAGGTTTCCCCCTACAATGACATGCAAACATCATATTTTCTGCTTGTGGCGAATGGACGCGGCAAGAGCGGAATGGCGTGGACGCTCGCTGAAATATCAAGGCAGTGCGATTGTGGTCCTGCGGCGAAACAACCACCAACACAGCACACGTATTTGCCGGCGAACTATAACCATTGTCGTTCAATACATCCACCGACATCTCTCTGCCTGTCCACGGCCGCGTTGCCACAGAATAACAAGGAGGCATACAATGACGTTGCACAGTACACAAAAATGATTGCACCAACAGGTGATGCAGCATGCATGTATCTCTAGCACTGTGTCAGCTCCTGTTTCCCCAAACATACGAGGACCGGGGCTGGGAGATTGAGTTGTGTACAGAGGCTAATCCAGCACCGGATCTCAGGTCCGCCCACCTGCCGGCATTTGAATGTCTTTTGCCAATGCTGCAGGTAGTATTAGTCCTCTGAGGAAACGACGCGCAGCTGGTACCAGTGGCTTGGAGAACGCCGCCCAGCCAGTACAGAGCAAATGAGGACCCGGGTATCCTGTTTAGGAAATGGACATTGTCATCCGCTCCATACATCCAAGGGTGGCTTGCACTCTGCTGTGTTATTTGGCATGTTGTTGCAGCGCCCCTGGCCAAACCCCTCCGATTCTTGCCCTGGGACGGCCCAAATGACCTGCCCGGAAAAGGAGCTGCGACACATAAAATATTTCCTCCCATGCATTGTTGCTCAAGCTTTGCGATATACAGTGCATGTCAATACTTTAAGCGATTTTACTCATCCCTTTTTCCCTCTCGTTTGCTGCAGCTATCTTGGGCACTGGAGGACGGGGCAGGTGCGAGGAGGCTGGCGCACTTTTATATACTGGGTGCTGTCCGGATTCCTGCCAGTGCCCTTCCTTCTGGTTTCTGTATTTTGCCGTGCTCCCTTTTGACCCCCTATTTCTATCCTCTGCTATTTATAAAAACACGCTTCTGTCATTTCCTCACATAGTTACTTTGTTGTCAGCCAAGAGGGATAAGGTTACCAATGTCTGCAATCGAATGGCTGATGAAGCGGACGTCGTCGACTGACCTGCTTCCTGATGGAACACATGTCCACACAACTAACATTCCTGACCTCCAGAAGAAGGTGTACCTCTGGATTGGCGTCGTTGATATTTTCCTGTTCACGATCTCAACCCTGCTGTTTGTGTACCGAGGCCGGCGGACACTCGACATTAACGCCCATGCAGTGCTTCTGACTAGCATCGGCTCGTTCACGATCCTCGTCGTCAATACGTGCTTTCTGTTCCAGTTTGTGTGGCCAGGCAACTTCCCGTGCTTTCTTATCTTGTGGTGCGCCTACCCGGGCGTGATGCTGTGGATGTCATGTACGCTGGCGCGCGCCATGCGGCTGTACATCCTCAGCTACCGCAACACGCAGAAACTGAAGGAGCGCAACAAGGTTGGCCAGATGACCGCCGCGCAGCTGTACGGCAAGGGCGCGGTGCAAGACCCGGAGGGCGAACTCAGCGATGCTGAGAAGGCGCAGGGGTCGTCAATCGAGAGCAGCATCCCAAAGTCCTTCTATCGTCGCCGTACCGATGCCCTGGGCAAGTGGTGGGCGGCGGAGAAGTCGCAGATCACCGAGCGCCGTTTGGTGTGGTACGTGCTGTTTGCCACGCTGTTTACAGCAATCGTCTGCAGCATTATTCAGGCGCTGACCAAGGACCTGGCGATTGTGCCTATGATGTACTCAAAGTGCCCGGTTGGCGTGTGGGAGTACTTCCCGCTCTACGCCATGATTGCCCTGTACTGTGTCGTGCTGACCCCGGTCCTTGTCTACCACATCTGGCCCATCAAGGACGCGTTTGGCATTCGTCCACGACATTCTGCTCAACAACCTGTTCACATTTATCTGCGTGCTCATGTTCATGGTCCAGACCAACAAGGGTTTCGGTGGTCCGCGACCCGTTCTGGGACTCGTTCCTGTGGTGTTCCCTGCTCTTCAACCTGTCGCAGATCACGTCAGTTATTATCCCGCTTGTGCGCTCGTACCGCCAGTCCGACGCCTTCACGTGGTCGGACAACCCGGGCCGCACGGCCAGCAAGGAGTTGTTCTACCGCGTGCTGAACCACCCGGAACTGTTCGAGAAGCTGAAGATCTACAGTGCTGCCAACTTTTGCACAGAGATCACACTGTTCCTCGAGGAGTACCAGGTGCTCAAGGCCAACGTCGTGCGCTTCTACAACATTGGCGAGCCCGGGTTCGATGATGACGGCGCCAACGACAGTGAGGACGACGATGACGACGACGATGACGATGACGATGGTCTGGGCCGTGGCGGCGACATGTCAGCCAGCCGCCCGAACCTGACTGGTGGTGCTGGTTGGACTACAGTGGTCACGCGTGCTAACAATGAAAGTACCAGCCACGCCAACGCCGCCGACCGCTCTGTCGGTTCCCCTATGTCGCAGCACTCGGACATCAACATCATCACCCGGCCAATCCATTCGGAAAAGGACGCCCTGCGCGTGCACCTGAATGGCCAGCACAACAACGATCCTGGAGAGCAACCACGACACGATAATCTCTGTCGGCGATGCGCGCTCGTCGGACGAGGACTACAGCGACCAGGCTGCCATGGTGCCGTCGCGCAACTCGCGTGCTCTGGTCCGCCCGGATGTTGCCAGCCAGGGAATAGTTGGCCGTCTGACCACCGAGACCTCGCGTGGAATCGTGGCCATGACCAGCGGAACCGCAGGTGCCAATGGCAGCGCTGCTGGATCAGCGTCCTGGGTGGCTTGCTGCGCTCCTTTGGCGGCCGCAATGCTGCCAGCAGCGGCAACAATGGCTTTCTCCGATATTTCCAACGGAGGCAGCGGCGACAACATCAATGGCGACAACAGTGCGACGCTTGCAGGTGGCGGTGCGACCATCGGCAAGCTGCCAGTGCGTCGCAACAGCCGTGGCGAAGACATCATGGTGCTGTCGCATGTGCCGCCGTTCACGCCCGTCCGCTACACCATCCTGTCGACGCTGATGCAGACGCCGGCTGGCCTGGGGCGGCAGGGCAACATCACCACGTTCAAGACGCTGCCGTTTGCCCTGCGCGGCGACTACTACGGCTTCTACTCGACCTTCATTGCCGACGGTGCCACCCTGCAGATCAACGTGGAGGGCCGCATCTCGGAAGCGATCACCCGGCTCATCCACTCGCAGCAGTACACTGTCGACATGATGGATGAGGCCCACTCGGAGGTGCTGCAGCTGCTGTACGACAACATCTTCAAAAAGTTTGTCAGGATCTACCACCGCGACATGGTCGACATTATGTGAGCTTGGGCTCCGGCCCAGTTATATTCGCACCATTTTTTCTTTCCCTTTTTATTTTCTTCACGTTTCCCAAACAAGGCTGACTTTAATATTTCGCCAAACGGCAACGAGTGTCAAGATGGGTGCCGGATTGGACGATCAGACTATGGCTTCCCTTCAGAAGGATTCCTGGGAAAGGCGGATCATCGTCTGCAGTTTGATAGCAGCCGTGCATACCAGCTTGCTCATCGTGGTCACCTTGGCTGTAGGTCTGGTTCGCTATTGACGCAGGCATGCTCGCTCGACTTGCAGCGGGTGGATTCGCTGAAGCAGCAGGAAATGGGCGCAGTGGGGGTCATGCATGGTCCGGCATGCAGAGTGGGCCGGGGCTAGTCGGTGTGTGCATCTACGGGCTTGCCCAAACACTAGCACGTGTCGGGACCATTCCCAGCAAGCCAGATGTTGTCGGTTTACCCAGCAGATATGCACTCCCTCTCCCCGTTTTCAACTCACTATAAAATCTCTGTGCCGCCCTTCATTCTCTCCCACGCCTTCTCACTACCCAGAGTTCCTTTTGTTCCTCCCCCCTCCTCTTCCTCCTGGTTCATTCCCTACCTATACCGGTTTATTCCAGTGTTACTACTCTCCATCTAATAGGCATGCGCTTGGTAAGCTTGGCCAGCTTTGGCCTGTTATCTCTGTCGATCACATCAGCACTCCCATCCAACAACGGCAACGGCTATGGTAATGGCTATGGCAACTGGCAACGGCAACGGCCACGGTCACAAGAACTTTTCGCTGCGTGTGATCCACACCAACGACGTGCACGCACACTACGACCAATTCAACAAATACGGTTCCGACTGCACAGCAACGGACATTTCCCGGGGTACCTGCTATGGCGGCGCTGCGCGGCAGGTCACGCTAATCAACAAACTGCGCTGAGGGCCATCCGAACACGCTGCTGTTTGATGCGGGTGACCAGGCCCAGGGCACGCTGTTCTACACAGTCGACAAGTTCAACGCCACCTACAAGCTAATGAACCACCTCAAATACGACGCCATGTGTATCGGAAACCACGAGTTTCGACGACGGACCCGATTTCGTGGCCAAGTTCTTCAATCTGCTAAAGTTCCCTGTGGTCTGCGCCAACATGGACACGTCCAAGAACCCGAATCTGGCCAAGATTGTCAAGCCCTATACGATTATCGACAAGTACCAGCTTGGCGTCATCGGCTATATTACCAATACTACCGGCAGTATCTCGAGCTCCGGGCCAACAGTCTCATTCTCGGACCCGGCCACGGCAGTCAACAAGTATGTCAAGATTCTGCGCAAGAAGGGCATTAAGCGGATTATCGCCGTCAGCCACAACGGGTACAAGGAGGACCAGGAGGTGGCTGCGCGCACCCACGGCTTGGACCTGATCGTCGGCGGCCACTCGCACACATACCTGTCGTTGAATGCATCAGAGCCGGGCGCTGGCGGCCTCTACCCGACCATTGTCAAGAACCTGGATGGCAAGGACACGTATGTGGTGCAGGCCAAGGCGTGGGGCGAGTATGTTGGGTACGTCGACATTGAGTTCAAGAAGGACGGCTCGATTGCCAAGCTGAGCGGTGAGCCTGTGCATCTGACGCAGGATATCGCGCAGGACCCGGTCATGGCAGCCAATGTCAAGGAATGGCGCAGATCGTTCGAGGAGTACGGCGATGTGCTGGTTGGTAACCTGACCGAGGGCATCAGCAACAGCGGCTGCCAGACCGGCGAGTGCGCAATCGGTGATCTGTCTGCCGACGCCATGCTCTGGGCGCGCAGCCGGGATTCCCCTGTCGACATCGCCATCATCAATAGCGGCGGGATCCGCGCTGGCATGGCTGGCGGCACGGTGCGCGTCAAGGATGTCTTGCTGGTGTTCCCGTTCGGCAATGCCTTGGCGGATGTCGCGCTGACTGGCGCCAAGCTCAAGGAGGTTATTAGTGGGATTCTGGCGAAGAAAAACGTGGTGAATGGACGCCCGGTGACGAGCTTTTTGCAGATTGCCGGCGCTCGCATCAGCTACCACCCGACGGCCGGCGGTCTTAATGTGCTGGATGCGCTGGAGGTCAAGTCGGGCGACCAGTGGGTCCCTGTTGATGATGCAAAGACATACAAGATCGTCACCCTGGACTTCATTGCCCGCGGCGGTGACAACTTCCTGGACCCGCCTGTCGATGCGCCAGCCCTTATTGCCCTGGATGTTGCTATGCAGGACTATTTCCGGGCATTTTCACCGGTCGCTCCCAAGCTGGATGGCAGAATCAAGAACACAGCCTCTGCTTAAAATGCACTTTCTTTCTCCCTATTTCTGCTGGAAAAAGCTTTAACCCCCTCATTTTGTGCTGGATTCTGCTGTTGGTATTCGATACAAGTGTCAAAGACTTCCATTATAACCAAAAAAGCAGAGTCTCTTCATCTATTCCCTCCCTTGTTTTCTTTATCATCTACCTTGCCATTTACGCTAAGCCAATGGGCCAGGATTATGCACTCCCTACCCCATCACATCGGGCTCTAAATATACAGTGATGGATAGGCCGCCAACGCACCTCCCCTCTACCCCCTAGTATCCTGGTCGTGCAATCGCAATCCCTAACATGGAATCTTCTCTGGCCAATATGTCTTGTTTGCCAACGAAATTGCGGGTACCGAGAAGAAAAATGAGAGACCTGCGCTGAATCGATCACTATCCTAGCTGCTGCAATCCAGCTATTACTTCACTATCCCCATTGGTATCTTGCTTCTCTATAGTAAACTGAGGCGTTATACGCCAAGTTTTGAAATAAAAAGTGAGAATTACTAAGCAGCTAAACATGAAGTAGCATTTTTTGTTGGAAACTAGAAGTGAGAGAACAAAATTAAATAAACTGTTTTAGACTATTACGAACTAGGAGCAGGCGACGTTTGCGATGATGCAGCGCTTGCCGACGACGACTCTGCCGACGATCCATTAGACGACACAGTACTAGAATTCCCGCTGATGGTTCCTGAACCTGACGCTTCCGTCTTCGAACTGCTGGAAAGCCCTAGGTTGAACTCCAAAGCCCTTGACGCAATCATCTGCTGCAATGGCAAAACCGTGGCGGTTTGAGCATTGCTTGTACCGGATTTTGTATCCAAGGGTAAAAGGAATGTGGCAGCAAAGCCAGGCTGGCTTGCCGACATGCTACGGTCGGACATGGGGTGCGGGAGACCGGTGCCAGAGCCGCCCATGATGCCGCCCGGAAGCATGGTTTCGAACAAGTTTATCTCAGACTTCCATCCAGGACGCCTGGGCATTGGCCCGCGCTGTACACCGGCCGGGGAGGTGGAATCGGAGCTGTCTGGGACCGGGAAGGATATCGAGCTGGTTGCTGCCAGGAGCTCGGCACTGGTGCCGGTAGTATCATTAGGAGTTGATTCGGGCTGAGCGGACGAGCTGGCAGACAGTGCAGTGGAAGAACCAGCAGACTCTGCTGCTGCTGCTAATCCAGGGCTGGATTCAGCAGACTCTGCCGAGATTGACGACGACTGGGCGGCTGAGCCAGACTCAGCAGAAGCAGATGGCATGCTAGCTACAGGAGACTCGCCGGCGGATGTAGCAGCGCTGGCCGAGGTCTGTGAGCTGGACTCGACACCGAGCTTCATCAAAACATCCGCCATATCGCTGGGAACCGCCGTCGACTTGCCGCTAATAATCGCATACGGCACGCCTACCGAATCAAACATGATTACCTTGCTGACCTCCGACGTGGTTGCAGAAGACTCAGCCGATGGCGAGTTCTCCGAGTGCGACTCCGCAGAGGGGCTGCTAGTAGATTGCTCTGAAGCATTATTGGAAGATTGCTGCGAGGCGCTGCCGCCGGTGGAGAACAGCGAGGGCATAGTCCATGGGCCCGAGTGTGAAGATGCCTCTGGTGAGGCTGGCGCAGGAAACGTGCTGCCTATGGAAGCGGGAGGCACGCTGCTTGTGGAAGCAGGAGATGAAGAAGACGCAGCAGCGGCGCTGCTGGACTGGTGATCCGGCTCAGTATCATTGGCAGTCTTGGGTCCCCGGCACAACGGCCCGATGGCCTCCAGGGTGCCAATAAGCTCATTCTGGTAATCGCCGTTGAGCGCCCACACCATCATGCCCTTGATGCCCTTATTCCTGGCATAGTCCACCTTCTTGGCCAACGACTCCTGGTCATCATAAGTGATAAAGCGGCGCAGTTGCGGATTATACAGCCACGGCGTACTGCTCGTGTGGTCCCAGATCCTAATCCAATCGTCAGTGGTTGTGTTGGCGGTGCGCAAAAGCCCCTGGTCGCGCAAATGGCGGTAGTTCCAGATGCCGGACATGGAGTTGACGTTCTCGCAGACATCGTACCAGAGGGCGTCGTCAAGATCACCCTGCGGCACTTCATTGGCAAACGGGACATACATGTCGGCGCCGTCCTTGGCTACGATGACCTCGCGGGTGGTCAGTGAGCGGCCGTAGAAGGGCACCCCGGCGACCAGCTTGTCGGCAGGCCACTTGGCAGCTAGCCACTGGTCGATGGCCTGGGTGTACGAGAGCTGCAAGCCGCGGTTATGCTGGTAATCGAAGGGGGCGTTGGGACCGGTGGAGTTGGCCCAGACGCCATTAATATCAAAGGCCATGATGGACGCGTAGTCGACAAACTCGGCGAAGGGACTGACATCACTCATCGGCCCATTAGCGTCGTCAAATGGCTGCACACGCACAGCCAAGCTTATCAGCTTTTGCTCATCGGGGAAGCGCGCGTGGAAGTTGGACCTTAGCGCATGCAAAAACCTCAGCAGGTTGGCGCTATCCTGTGGACTGAATTTGTTGCACTTTGAGGCAGCCCGTCCAGGATACTCCCAATCGATTTCGGCGCCGTCCAGCTCGTACTTTTCGATGAAATCGCCGATGCTCTTGACCAATGCGCCACGCTTGTGGACATCCTGCATGATTGAGGAGAAGCGGTTCGAGCCGGTCCAGCCGCCGATAGTCAGCGAGATCTTGGTTTTGGATGAGCGGGCTTCGCGCACCAGCGAGGGGAGGAACCATTCGCCGTCGAAGGTGAAGGTGCCTTCGTCGGTCGGGATTCCGAAGGCCAGCTGCAGGTGCGTGATCTTGGACATGTCGAGGTTTAGCAGGGCGTTGCGTTTCCATGTCGGGTAGTAGCCGACCACGTACCGCGAGGATGGGCCGCAGGAAGTGGCGGCGGCTAGTGCAGCCAGTGCAGCTACAGCTATGGTGTGGCTGATACCGGGTCGCATAGTATGGAAAAACTAATATGGTGGTGTTGGAGTTGAATAGAAATAATATTGCAGGTGTACCGGTTATATTTCTGGCGAACGAATTGCACGAGTGGTTCCGGGAGACATTTTGGATATAACAGAAATTCCAGCAGGCACAGAGCTCAGACTATGCAGAATAATTGTTTCTCTATCTCCACACATAGTCGGGAAGGAGGGCGGGGGGCTAGAGAAAATTCTAAAGTGTTTATTTGCACGTTTTATATGTAAAAAATTTTGGTAGGAGAATGTGAAGGGGACGGGGCTCATTCTCCAGTACTGCCTTCATTGTCTTTCACGGCATGATAGAGCCCAGGCTGAACTCATCGTCATTATCGAACAGCGACAGGGTAGATCTAGTGGTCCACTCCTCCGGGACATTTTGCGCCGCCGTCTGCTTTTTCTTCTCCGCCTTTTTGCTGAACATCTGGCTTTTCTCCACAGCAAGCATCGGCAGCAGCGCCAGTCGCAACAGCGCCTTACGGCGCTTGGCATCGGCCTCACCGACAATCATCTCCAGTGCCTTTTCCAGGTCCTCGCCCAATACGCCCGACTCGGTGATGGCCGGCACCATCGAATACACCATAGTGGAGCGGAACGCCCGGTCTGGCACATCCTTGCTGTGCAGCTTCCAATTAACCGGCATGTGCTTGGCGAAGCTCGAGAAATGCAGAACATCAGCAAACATCGCCAGGGCCAAATCCTGCACATCCAGCAGCTGCGGCGAGCGCAGGACAGAGACAGTCGCTTGGACGAAATCCCGGCACAGCCACGACGACAGAATGGTGCCGCCGCTTTTGTTGTCGACCAGGCTCGGATGCACATGTGCCAGGTAGCTGTTGACGGTCGACGCGTGGGCGGGCGTAGGCACGGCGTAGTGCTGGAGAAGACCGATCACTGCCAGTGATGGCGCCAGTCTGGCCAGTGCCGCGGTGGTGCGGTGCGAGGCGTGGGTGTCGGGGAGCTGCATTGCGTGCAGAGACGCAGTCAGTACGGCGGCGAATAGTTCGGGCGTCTGCAGAATGTGCGCACCCAGAGCATAATTGCCAGTCCGCTTGCTGTGGCTGTCGTCCTGCCCGATTGTGATGCGAGCCGAGCTGGCCAGCTCGTTCTCGATCTGCGCGGCCTCCGGGAACGACAAGGACATAGATGCGAGCAAATCGGCAGTGGCCGAGCTGAATGCGCGCGTCCAGTCGCGCAGTAGCCTTTCTCTGACAATATCCTCGTCGACCGACGGCTCGGCTCCGCTGGAGCTTCTTTGCATAATCTCCGACCACTGTTCGGTCAGGCGCTCGCTGCAGAATGCCAGCATGGGGATTAGCCATGGCTGGACAAATTCGGCAACGACGTTCCTTACCGTGTCCTTACGGGTTGTTGGCCAGCTGCCGATGGCCAGAAGCACTGGCCGGACGATCTCGACCAGCACCATTTTCCAGTGACGCGATGTCATCACTGCAGCATCGGCAAACAGACAGGCAGCGAAGTTACTGCCGATGTCGGGCACAACCTTGGCATCGTAGAGCTCGGGCAAATGAGCGAGGCAGCCGATGCACCGGTAGGACGACTCGCGCAGCATATTCAGCGTGTGGCGGATGGCCCGGATCTCCACCGAGTGCAGGTCGGCCTCCTGGCTCTCCCTTGCAACGGCACCGGTCAGGCTGGACATCTCGCTTGATGACAATTCCAGCAGCCCAAACAGATTCTGGGCCGGCGCCGACTGCCACGGCAATTGCTGCCAGTTGGCAGGGTTCCACAAGGCGTGCAAGCACTGCATGAGCATCAGAACGGCCGGGGCGACTTCCGACACATAGTCGCTCCACACGGCCGCCAGGCTGAGGCTGGCATCGCCGCCCAGAGTCCGGGTCAGGCAGACCTGCAGGGTGGACAGCACGTGCATCAGCTGGAACCGATTGCGACGCGCCCGGTCCATCGCACCCTTGCATTCGCTGCTAATGTCGCCAGCCACATTGGCGTCCAATGCCGGCAGGCCGAGCAAAGAAACCAGCTCCTGCGGCGACTGCAGCGCCGGCAGAAACTCATTCAGCGACTCGACCAGTGGCCGGATCACCGCACCAGCAAGATCCTTGCGCATCGACAGGCTGCATGAGGCGCCAGCAATCAGCGTCAGCAGGAACTCGCCCAGGTAGCATTTGACCGGATCCGACACCTGCGGGTCATTCAGGTTCGCCTGCACCAAATCCGAGAGATCCCCGTAGATTACCATCAGCGAATCAGGGATTGCGATGGCGATCCGGACAAGTGCGCCGGTGGCCCGGCGGCTCAGCGTCCGCAGCTCGCGCGCCGCGGGTCCTTCAGGGGCCTTCAACAAAGACGTGCATTTCTTCAGCACATTGAACAGCAATGTGCGCGCCCCGTCGTCTCCCATGGCCGACGGCCGCAGCAGGAACGCAAACGACGGCAGCGTCTGCAATTGTCTAGTCATCAGCGTCGGATTGTCCGTGACGAACCCGACGACCTTTTCGCCGATCTGATAGCACAGCGGCCGCACTGTCTCCAGGCTCCTGTCCATATCGCCGTCCTCTAATGCTCGCTGCTCGTAGTCGTCCAAAGTCGACAGAATCGTATCCACCGTGATAAACGCGGCCTCAGCCACTGACACCTGCGCGACGTCCGCATTGCCGGTCAGTGCCGTGTCCAGAACCGGCAAGAGCGACGGCAGAATCCACTGGACAAAGCCCGTGGGCTCCAGTTTGCATGTGCTGCGGAGAATCCCCAGAAGCCGGCTGCGCACATCGCTCGACAGGAAGCTGCGCAGATCGGCCGGCGACTCGAACTGGTCGGCCTCGTCCGAGTCGATGCCTGTGGCCACGTCATTGCCATGTACCAGCTCGCCGACCAGATGCGACGCCCGGCACACCTTGAACAGCATCGTGGTGGTGTGCTCGGCCAGCGTGCTGAATGCTCCCAGCACCACCGGGTCTTTGCTCAGCGCCGGGTGCCCGACAATGGCTGTCCAGCAGGCCATCGCTTGCGACGACACCGTGTAGCGCATGTCACGGCCCAGTGCCAGCAGAAGCTCGATCAGCGGCTGCGGATTCGCTAACACGTTAATGTCGAGCTTTTTGCGCGCCCAGTGGATGGTCACCAGATTCGCCACCGTCTGCGAGATCGTCTTGGCCGCCGACAGGGCCTCGGCCGTGTCGTCCCACTCGGTTTCAGCCGCAGGCTTCACTGTTCCCAGGTACACCTGCGCCATCGAGCCCAGGACCGCTGCGTTGCTGGCGAACTCGAGCAGAATCGTGTCGCGGTACTCGCCCACAGTGACGTTGCGGCGGGAGATCGTCTCCAGGCAGCTGGCTGCCCGTCTGCGCACCGTATCGCTGCGCACACGCAGCAGGTCGGCCAAGCACGGGATCATCTGCATTGCTGCCAGCGCCCGCACCGGCACCCAGTCCAGGTAAACCGAGATGGCATCGAGCATGCTTACCAGCAGGTCTTGGTCGTCTGTGCTGCCAGACATATGCTGCGCAATCTCCGTGGCATGCTTGGCCCACCGCAGCAGCCATCCGTCTTCGTTCCCGGGCTCATACGGAACCTCGCGCGCCTTCTTCCCGGGCTTAGTGAAACTGGGCGTGCTGTCCACCGAAACCCGGTAGCCGTGCGGGTAAAGCTCGGTGACTGTCTGTCTGGGCAGCAATGCACCGACTAGTCCGATAGTCAGATCATTCTTATGCACGGCCGCCGACGGGTCGTTCTCATACACAAACACCTCCTCACCCAGTGTCTGCCAGATCCTCAGCGCCAGCACCCGGTGCTCCCCTGACAGCATATACAGATGCATCATCTGCGAGTTCAGGTCCACCCATGTACTCGACGGCCACATGCGCACCACCAGCATCACAAACACGCTGACCAGCTTTTCCCGGATATACTGCGGCTCAGTGTTCTGGCTTGACTGCAAGAGCATCTGCCAGAGGTGGTCGCGCAGCATCACGCCGTCGTTTAGCGTCAGCCGCTTTTTGTTCTTGCTGGGCTTGCCGCCGCTCCACCGACTGCGCAGCGAGTCTTCGATTAGCCGGAGCCCAAAGTGCCGTGCCATCGCCGGATACCCGTGCTGCCGCTGGGAGAGCTGCACGCCAACCAGCGCCGCCTCTTCAGACTCCTTCACCTGCTCGCACAGCGCCTCGGCTTCACGCCGCTGCTCCACCGTTGTGCTGGCCCCGTAGATCAACTCGAGTGCCTGAAGCGTCTGCTGAATTCGCCCGCTGTCCATTATAATAAAAAAAACTCTATAATATGAAATAAGCGAAAACAAAAGTTTTTTTTTTCGAGCGTCAATTTTTTTCCCCTGATGTCTCTGTTTTCTCTCGTCTCTCCAAAATACAAATTTTATTTAGTATGACGTGGAAGGAGGACTTGCGAGCGCATTTCAGATTCCTGGAGAAGCGAATTGAAGAGCTGGCCTTGGAATTCACCCCTCCCTTGGAATTCACCCCTCCAAAAGCCCACGACCTGCCAGTAGCCGAGACTTCTGCCAGCAGCGAGCGGATCGGAGGAATCATTATCCCTGGCATTGGACCGCAGCACCGCCGCCCGCTCATCACCCCACTCGATGACGACCACCACATCGCTGTCAAACACCTAGCTGCAAACACCGACGAATTGCTGGCATGTATCGAGGCTCCATCTGCGCTCCTGCGGTTGTCCGAACCCAAATACCTGTCTGAAAACTATGCCTGGGCGCAATGGTGGACGGCCGATATTGGTGGTGCACAAAAGCCTGAGGTGGTTAGGTTACTTGGCCCGTGGATCTCGCGATGTGTGCTATCCAAGGCATCCAGTTTGCTTGTCGCGCTGCCATCGTCTGACAGACAGCTTCTGCTCTTTCCCTATGTCTCCAAAGGCAATCCGGAGGCGTCCTGGCAGGTCGTCCAGTCTCTGGTCGGAATGCTGTCGAATCGAGCAGCCAGATCGGGTCTCTCGCAGCCCGCCTTAACCCTGATAGTAGCATTGCTGGATCACGCTGTTTCCACAGGCGTCGTCAGCCCCGATAGCGTCCTGCAGTCTATCACAGCCGCCAATGCTCTCTTGCCGCTCCACCGCAGCCTGTGGTCGGAGTACCTGCAAACCATGGCGGCATTGCCTGACCGGCTGGCAGGTGTTGTTGATCCGCAGTCCATCCCAATATGCCTCACCCCGCGCGTGTATTATGCTGCAGTTGCCCGGTCCACTGCTGCGCTGATCGAATGCGGCCACGGGGCTCCATCGCGCATGCTTCTGGAAGAGCTATGCTCGAAGCTCTGTCGCGTGGGACAGGCCGACTGCCTGAGCGTCGAAATCACCGCCTCCTTGCTGGCAGCGGCCAAGCAGCGGATCGCCCTGGCTTCGGTGCCCGAGAACGACAGGCTTCGGAAATCCTGCTGTGTTTTGTCTCGGGTGCAGCCGCCATTCGGACCGCGTCTAGTGTCGGCTGTCATGCAGCAGCTCGATACTGTTGTTGGCCGTGTCATAGCAGAGGATGACTCATGTGCGCGCCAGATCGGAGAGCAGGCGGCGGTTATCATTGCCAGCATTCTGTTTGAATATGTCGACCGGGAATGCACGCAGCTTGCCATTGACCACGCCATTTTGTCACTGGTCAAATCTCCGCTGGGGACATACTGGTCAACAACCACGTACCAGGCCATCGCACTAGCGCTACGGATGCTGTCGGGAAAGAGCAGTGATGAGGAGCTTTCGTCGCTTCTGCCCAGCCGTGTGTTTCCGGATCTTTTGGAAAAGGCAGTCACCGGCAGCCTGCTGCCCATGTGGTCGCTTCCTGAGCTGGTCACGTACGGCCAGGCAGAGCATGTCAAGGCGCTGACATCGTTGGTTTTGGCCCTGGTCGGATTGTTGGACAAGAAGGAGCGCACGCGGCTCTCGACTAGTGCTGCGTTCATGCGTGCCATCCCACGGTTCCTTGATGCGCCCATTGCGCAGATAAAGCTGTCGGGAATCATTGTTGCTGATGCGGTGGCCAACTGTGGCGATGGCGAATCGCTTGACTTTGGTCTGGATGACATTATCCGCGACTCATTGCGCACGGACATCCCACCAGGCACCCGTGCCCTGGCCACTGCCAGTGCCAACTATATTGCTGAAATGCGCAAGTATCTCTTGCCGGTTACGTCTCAATGGGCCAAGAGTGTGAAAAGTAATGACGCAGTAACGGCCAAGGCTGTCGACTTTGTTCGGGAATACGTCAGTACACGTCCGGAGGATAGTGATCTGGTTCTGGCACCGCGCCAGTCGAGTCTAGTGGACCCGCAGCAGCTGAGCAGCGGGTTTGTCAAGCCGCGCACGCCCGTGTTCCTCCACGACTGTCTAGCATACCTGAAGGACGCCAACGACACGGAAAAGACCAAAATAGGGCTGTTTGCCCTTGCGGACTGTGTAGGTAAGGCAAATACAAAGACAGTTGAGGAGCTGTGGCTGCCTGCCGCAAACAAGCTCCTGTTCCTATATAACCGCGGGCCCGACAACCTGGACTGGGCGTGGGATCTCGAGCGGCGCCGGGCCCTGGCGGCATTGGCGGTCAGGCTGCCTGAGCAGATCGGGCCGTTCCTAGCGGACAAATCGTGCGATCGCAATCTGACCATCAAGGACCGCGAGATAGTGTTCTCTGCCATCTCCAATGCGTGCCTGCAGCTGTCGGGCATTAGCGAGGACGAAATCCCCAAGGAACGCATTCTTGAAGAGCCAGTGCAAAGTGACCGGCCTGGTGCAGCAATTGGCGCCGGGACAGTTGTTCGCCGGTCGCGCAAGCTGGATCTCGCAAAACAGCGAGTGTCTGGCGCCGCAATCAGCGAGCTGGATAAGAAGCGGCATCTGTACTCGAGCATTGTCGGACCAGCGTTCTTCTTCCCGCTGATCTCCCAGTATGGCAAAAGCGACATGAGCACCAGCACCAGCGACATACGCGGTGATGCCTCGGTGTTTGAGAAATACCTCAACACGCTGGCAGTCATTCTATATACGGCCGGCTCCGCAACGCATCTGCTTCGGATGAACCGCGAGTTCTGGGATCTGGCCAAGCTGGTACGTAGAATGAAGGCGCGCAATGTCAGCGAGTCGCCGCCGGTCTTGGACGCACTGCTGTTTGGACTCGACGTTGCTTTGAGCCCGGACCGCGCGCTGAGCGCACCGACGCTGGCCAACGAGTTCCGCGGCGACATTGCCGATGCCCTGGTATGGATCAGCTCGCTGATGGAGCAGAATCGGCTGGGCGATTCGGCAATGGCCCATGCGTCGCGAATTGTTATGCGGCTGCATGAGATCCAGGGCGACGTGCGTCGCAGAGTGACCTCAAGCGACATTCACCAGTTTATGTCCATCATTTAAAAATGTCTATTAGTAATATGGCTCCTTGTATTATGTTATTCCGGACACTCTACTTGCTGGTTGAGAGTGACCACTGGCTGCTTCAGCCAGCCGAAGTTGCCGACATCGACTTTGATGTGGAAGCGGATGCTGAGCTTGCCTGACCGCTCGAGGTCGCTGCTCTGCAGGCCCGACGACTTGGGCGCGCACTTGGCAAACAGATCGACCAGGGCCGGATCGCTCATGTCCGATGTCAGGTAATGCATGGTGGTGTTGGCCGAGTGGAACTGCAGCGTCTGCGGCAGCGACTCCAGGCGAAGTATTTCGGTCTCGATGATTCTGTTCCCGGTGACGCCGTTAAACCCAAGCACGTGCACTCTGCTGATGACCAGCGGGTAGAAATTGCCGCTGTTGATCGCATAGTTTATCTGCAGCGGCATCATGATGCCAAACAGGCTCTCCTGTTTGTCGTATGTGATTTTGGCCGGTTCCAGCGCCGACAGGCTGGAGATCGAGATCGACGGCACGCGCGGCCAGAGGAAGAAGCCGACGATCGACAGCAGCACGATCATGGCGAAGGTCGCCGCCACGCAGTATTTGGCTCCGCAGCAGCAGAACGGGAACTTGAAACCTTCTCCGCCCTGGTCGTTTTGCGCCCACGACGCCCCGTTGGCAGCGTTGCCGCGGTTCGGATCGAACACCACGGGCTTGAACAAGCGGGCTTCGCGCTCATGCGCCTTGGCGCCCAGTATGCGGCGGAACTTGTTGCCGTCGGCCAGCTCCTTCTGCTTCTCGTCGCCGAAGGCACCCGGCGCCAATAGGCCATTGAACTCTTCGTCGCTGTCCATGTCCGAGGCAAACGACATGCGCAGGTTGAACTCGGACTCTGGTCCGCCATCGCTGGTCGACAGCAGCTGCTTTGGCTTGTCTGCGATCTGCTCCTGCAATATCTGCTTCTCGGGCAGCTCCTTGTTGTCCAGTGCCAGACCGTCGGCTGCGGGCATGGCGGACTGCTCCATTGTCTGCGATGTCTGCAGATCCCCGTCAATGCCCGTCCTGATAACATTCAGCTGCCTGCGGTGGCGCTTCTTGCGCTTGCGCTTGCCTTCTTCGAGCAGCCGCAGTTCCGCCTGCTTCCGCCGCTCCTCGGCCATGGCTGCTTCTTCGGCGGCGCGGTGTCGGCGTCTGCCGTACATCATCTCGCTGAGCCGGGCGGCGCCGATCATGCGCTTGGAGAGCGCTGGGGCTCTGCGATATACTATCTCATTTACAGACGGATTATCGCAGACGCTGCCGTCGCTGTCGTCATGGCTGCTGTATGAGCCGGTGTAGCCCTGGCCAGCGTACTTTAGGCGGTTTCGGCTCCGGTCTTTGACCTTGATCTTGATGTTGGGCAGCGAGCGGTTGTCTGGTAGTGAGCGCAGTCGGTCGTCGAGATCAACCGACTGGGCGCTGCGAGCTGCTGGGATGTGGGCGGCAGTTGATGGGCGGCTTGCATCCATGTCGCTGCCATAGCTGCTACCGCTGCTGCTATCGTCAGGGTAGTACATGGCTTCTTGGTGCGTGGGAAAGGTGGCTAAATGTTAGTGTATATTGCGGGAGCCAAAAATGTAATTTCAAAAAGCCGCCGGGAGCCAAACAGCACATACCAGTTCAAATGGACATGGCTGCCCTGCGCCACGTATTTTCAGAGTCAGACCTCACATGGTGCACGGTGGAGCCAAAGGATCCTCATGTGTCTGAAACCACCCAGGACCACATGCCAGCCAACACAATACCTCCGCATTAAAGGTTTTTGATTGTGAGATGATGTTTGCGATGCATTCGAAAGATAGAAGAGAAAGAGCTTGGGCATGGAATATTGCAGGGGGCTGGCCAAGTCCAGGGCCGCTCAGCGAGCAGAGATCTGGCGCACGGGCACAGTCACTGTTGTGCACAGCTGCTCCAGATGCAGCCGGTTGTCCTTGATGTGGCCCTTGTTTCCAACACAAAAGTCGTTGGCAAGAACCAGGTCGCGCGGCATCTCGACGCCCGGCTGGACGACCTGGAAGTCATGCGTGAACGACATGTTGCCGCACACGAACGGCAGCCCCGCGACCTTGCCCACCACCGGCCAGCTGGTGCCGCGGCGGTCCCACACACGCCCATGGTGCGGTATCCGCTGGATTATCATGCCCATCTGCGTCGCAAGGTTCAGCGAAATCAGCGACGCCTGCAGTGATGACGATACCGCGGCATCAATCTTCCTGCCCGCCAGCTTCAGCGTCACCGCATACTCGATGCCGGATCTGGGCGCTGCGTGCCCTTGCTGCTTTGTCTCCACCGAACCAAGGCCGCCGGTCGCCGTTCTCACGACATTGAGCGAGGACTTTGCCGCCAATGCCGGGCTGCCATTGTCGGCCACCGCCACCGACAATGGCCGGAACAGATCAGCCGACGAGGTCCTGGATCTAGGACGCTGCGGGGGCTCGGCCAGCGGGTTCATAGCGCTGTTGCGCACCGATTTTGTGTTACTGCCAGCGCCGTTCAGCCTGCTACTGTTGGGCTTTACGCTGCCGCCATCAATGCCTGCCGAGGACTATAAACCAGAAAAAAACAACGGAGCACACAATCAGTCAGTGCGTGAACACGCGGGATTCAAGTTTTGGCTGACACCATCTCAGCCGCGTGCGAACACGCCCAGCGAGCCTCTTGTCGGTGGAAGCTGCTCGCACACTCCCCCAAAAAACGCAAAACAAAAGGCAAGGCAGATCACGTTCCGAAAGGGAGGGCGATAGTGGTTATATACCGTGTGTGCGGGCATGTGCGAATCCGAATAGGAGAGGCAAAAACAGGAGCAAAGGGAGGGGAGGCCAAGATGCATGGCGGTTGTTGTCCGCAAGAAAAAAACATTCACAAAAGAGACATCAGGTATTGCTTACCGTCTTGGAGACAAACATCGACATGGTCGTGGCCTGGCGGCGGCTCTCGGCCACCCTGGAATCGCGCTTGGCCGGCTTGCCCTCGCCGGCATGCTTGTTGTGGCCATGCCGCGAGAAAAAGCTGCTCTGGGCTCCTCTGCCGCTGCCATCGCTGCTGCCGCCAGCACTGTCGCCGCGGCTCCGATGGCTGTTGGTCGAGGTTACTGTGCTCGACGACGCCGGCGACATCTCGACCCCTGGCGCACTGATAGCCCCACGGCCGCGCACAGACCCGCCACTCCCCGGCTGCAGCCGCCCCGCGGCCATATTGGGCGTAGACATGGCGCCTGCACCTTGTGCCAAAACGGTCGATGACGACGACGACGAGCGCTGGTGCGACATCCACGCCGGCGGAGCCGACACGCGGCTGATGTATTCGACCCGGCGCTGGCACTCGTCCTGCAGGCCGGTCAGGATTTGGTCCAGGGCCACGTTCTCGGGGAACAGTCGCCGCGCCTCGCCCTGGAAGTCGGCAATCTTGCCCAGGAACTCCTCCATCTCTGCCAGCTGCGCAACGATCGACCCACTGCTGTTGCTGGTTGCGTTGTTGGGCGCTGTGCTGGTGAACCGCGGCAAGGCCGGCATGCTCATGTTTACCGACGATGACGGCGCTGTCGAGTATGGCGACGACTCCTCGGATCCGCTGGCGATGTTGTCGAGCGCCGAGCCGCGCCGGCTGCTGGAGCGTGTGTTCTTGGAGCGGAAAAATGGTACCTTCATCAGCTATTAACAGGTGTGTATGACGTTAGAGATACGGGGAAAGAGAGAGAAAAAGAGAGAAAGGTGCGTTCTTGAAAAATAGAGTGAGCGTGCAAAAAGGTGTCAGCGAAGCAGGAAAGAAGGGAATAAAAATGCTAGTCTGGTGGAAAAAGAGAGTAGAGCCTGCTCTGCTGGTGCTGGTGCTGACCCTCCCCCATTCATGCGAGGGGCAAGGCAGGCTGATAGAACCGGCGGCCCCCCAATTTTAGCTGTCTATTTTTACCTGCACTGGGCCGGCTCCGTAAATTGGCACCCTAAAAAAAGCAGATTTGCTGAAAGCGATGTTGGAGCCGACCACTAACCGCTGCGTGGCGTGGTCAATCTTCACCGCCCACTGTCAAACATGCGGGCCAGCTCCAGGACCGACGCCTTGCCCCTTCCAGAGGGCGACGCCTGGGTGGTCGGTTTGTTCTGGCCAGGGACGGCTGCTGCATGGCTGCTCGGAATATGGTGGTGCTGCTTGCACGAGCACGCACAGGCTGGGCATACTGGTGGCGTAGTGGGTGCCCTGGGGGCAGTAGTTGGCTGGGCTAGGACTGCTGGGGCTGTCAGGACCGCTGAAGGCGGAGGAGGGGGAGGAGGGGGCGGCGGCGGCGGCGGTGGTGGTGGTGGTGGTGGTGGCGGCGGGGGAGGGGCAGGGGCAGGGGCAGGCAGAGACGCAGTTACATTTGAAGGCGATGTCGTCACTGGGGGTGGTGGAGGGGCTGCTGGTGGTTGTGCAGCCAGTGGTGGTGCTGGTGCTGCAGTCACCGATGAGCATGACATGGGAGGCGGTGGAGGCGGTGGTGCTGGGGGTGGTGGTGCTACTGCTTGCTGGACCGGGCCATGTATACCGGGGCTTACTGTATGCCGGGCCAGACCACTCCGAGCATCCCCAACTGGAGCCTCGAGAATGGAGTCAATATCCTTGAGCATCTCGTTGGCCATCTCTCCGGTCTTCCTGGACCGCTCCATTTCCTCAGTCAGCGAATCTCGTGTCCTCAAACACTGGCTCCACATATCCATCAATGGCGACGACTGGCTGGCGACAGACAGCGTCTCGGTCGACGCAGGGCTCTGGGCAGCAGATCTAGCCTGAATAAGCAGGCCCTTGATTTTCAATGGCTGCCGCTTCTTTGCAGCTGCACCCGGTGACTGGATGCTTGCCTGCGCTGTCTCCACCGCAGCAGCCTCTGCTTGCCTGCGGGTCATGCGCAAAGCAATTGTGCTGTCTGAACTGTGCTGGAGGGGCCAGTGCTCCTTTGGAGGCTCTACACGCGGGTTGAATCGCAGCGGCACGTTGACAGGTGCTGCTTCGCGCTGCAGCTGACCCATGTCTTGGACCATCTGCATCAGCTGCCGCAGCATCATCCATTGCTCGTCGAGTCGCCGGCATACGTGGTCGCGAAACGCTGTGACCTCGGCACCGTCGATTTCGCTGCTCGACTCGGTCCAGCAGGGCGATGGCCCAAACCACGCACCGCCTCCCTGCTGCGTCTCTTCGCTCGGCAGCCGCCTTTTGCTCACGGATTTTCTTCGGTACATTATTCAACGACAGGCGAAATATTGGGACTGCTAATATACGGATATGCTGGACGAAAGGAATGAGAAACAAGCGCAAGCCTGCAGACCACCGGTCCCTTGCAATTCCTCCATGCGTTTATTAACAGCGCCACCCGTGGGCCTGGACCAGGCCCACTTTATCACGATACGTTGGCAACGCCCAAACAAACAACTACCTCGCTTGTCTCCAGCCCAGCCCCTTGTAGTGCTGCCAGAGTTGTTGGAGCGAACTGCGACAGATGCGCCACGGCCCGATCTCCCGAAATGAGCTTGGTTGTCACCAGCTTGAATTCCGATGCGACCTTGGCGTCTTGAAACCGCATATCGACCGACAGGGCTGCTGTAGCAGGCGGGTCAAGCTCCAATGCCAGCGCATCTCCCGCACCGCCGTTGCGCTCAACATTATACGCACAGTACCTTACTTTCACACAATCTGCTGCGTACTGCGAGACGTAAACGTCGTAGTAGGCCGGCGTTGTCGTGCCAGAGACCATGCAGCCGTGGATATGTGGGGGCCGGTGGGCTGGCACTGCCAGTATCGAGTAGTGCTCCGTCTCGCTGCCCGCAGGGACAAACATGTGTCCCTGCATCCACTCCCTCGGCTGCAGCTCCTTGTCGTTCCCTCCTGCTTGCTGCAGCAAATCAACCCCCGCTACTTCTTTTGGCGGCGAGATTGCGTCGATTGGACACAGCCATATCTGCGTGATTCCAGAGACCATCGTATGCGAAACATAGAGCCAAGAACACAAGCTGCGCGCCACCACCAACTTTGCAAACCTGTATATCAAAATTAAAATGTGCTATTAAAATGGGCCCGAAACTATCTAAACCGCTTCAAGCTCGTCGCACGCCGGCAGCTTCATTGCCTCCGCCTCACGCAGCTTGTCCTTGTCGCCGCCAACACCAAACCACCCTTGCGCCATGTGGATCTTGTTTCGCTTGGCCTCCATCTGCTGCCGGCACTTGCGCTGCAGACGCGAAATGTACTGTGACTCGACATCCAGCTCAAACTGCCACAGCTTTGACGACTTCTTTGCCACAATCGATTGCGAGAACTCGGAGCTATCAACCCAGTACTGGACATTCCGGTGCTGCGTGACGCGCACCTGCGAGTGCTGGCTGGTTGGCTGGAACGCGTATGCCGGCGGCGCCTCCTCGCCAAAAAGCATCGAGATGATGGTCGACGCAAAGTACGTGAAGACTAGCAGCAGCAATGGTAGGAACTGAAGCCATGTCGCTCTTGCACCGTCATCCTCGTTGGCGCGCTGTTGCCTGAACCGCTGCTGGTTCATGTTGATCGGGAACCCACGCCGCTGCTGGAACCGCACGCCGGGTCCAAACTGCACTCCATATTGGCCAAAGTCGCCACCAAAGAACATGTTGAATAGATCCTCTGGAGAGATCTCCTGCTCGAACCCACCAGCCATTGGCCGCCCGCCCGCACGGTGGAACATGTTGCTGCCACCAGCCGACGCCGAGGGTGTGCCGCGCGACTCGACGCCATAGCGGTCATAGTACGCCCGCTTGTCTGCATCGCTCAGCACTGTAAACGCCTGCGCAACCAGCTTGAATGCCTCGTCAGCTCCGGGTGCTGTGTTCTTGTCTGGATGAAACACGAGCGCTGATTTCCGGTACGCCTTTTTGATTTCGACCTCTGTCGCTGTCTTTTGCACTCCCAGAACGGCATAGTAGTCGCTCTTTGCCGCCATTACACGCCGCACTGCCGACAACTGCTCTGGGGTGTGTCTGGGCTTTTCGCTCTCGGCTGGTGCTGCCTGCTTTGGCGCGCGCCGTTGTCTGAGCTCGGGACCAGCCTCCTTCTTTTCGCCACCTGCAGCTTTTGTCGCTTCAGCTGCAGATGCTGTCTCCTGGTCTTGACTTGGCGCTGACGAGCGCTCGAACTCTGCAATTTTTGCCTCCGCCGATGGAGTCGGGTACAGTGAATTGGACTTGCGCGCAAGCCTCAGCGCTCCTTCCTTATCGCCGCTCTCCCATTTCCGCTGAGCAATTGCCAGCGCCCGCGCAGCCTCATCTACGTTTGCCTCCATTATCGAATAAAATGATGAATAAACTAAATGTTTGTTACAGATGTTGGGAAGGCAGGAAAAATCGAGGCCTCAAGAGAGCAGCACTGAACATCCAACAGCATGAGGATATGTGGCCAATCGCAGCAGCCAAGCACATTGCTTAATTATCGCTAATGATGATCAAGACATTAGCCCATTTTGAAACCGCAGCAACACCAACTGCAAAATGAACCATGCACCATCGCACATTGACCCTTCTCGTATGTAGTCCATTCTATTAACTGTATTTTGAGTGAGGACTATTGGCACCGAAATGATTATTGACTGGGCCTGATCAGGCCTCAACACCAGCAGCGACATGAGATTCCCCTGTGTCGGCAGCCTCGGCACGAGCCATCTCATCTTTCTCGCTCGCAGCGCTAACCTGCCACTTTTTGCCAACGACAATGTGGATACCAACCGAGTGAACACGGACCGTGTCCTCAATACGGCGATCCTTGGTCTCGGGGATAAACAGGAAGACAAAGCAGACAGCAGCAATGTTCCACGCCATGAAGAAGAAGAAGGTCCAGCTGTCCCAAGCAGCCTGCATGGGCGGGAAAATGACGCCGATGACGAAGGTGAACAGGTAGCCGATACCGGTACCAATAGCAGACATGGCGGTCATCGCATATCCAGGAGTCATTTCTGAGGCTGCAGCCCATGGGATGGTTCCGACACCGAGGTTGAAGAAGGCGTTGAACAGGAACACCATGGTCACCACCAGTCCGGTAATGTCCCTGACTGAGCCAGCGACCATGATAGCGGAAAAGATGCCCATTGTGCCATGGGAGAACATGAGCAGGGTGCGGCGGCCAAAGTAGGCGCCAAGGATCATTCCGAAGAAAGTGAAAATTAGAGCGCACACCGAGATGATGAACGACAGAATCTGGGCCAGAGTGGGGATGTTGGCAGGGTTATCATGCGTCGACTTGTTGATTATCTGCGTCGAGTAGAAAATGACAGCATTGATACCGCACAGCTGTTGGAAGAACATGAGCGCCGACACACAGAGCAGTTGGTGGCGGAGGTTGTCGGGGGTCTGGCCGCGCAGGACCTGCATGACGTTGACATCGGCGGTGCGCTCACGGTTCGCCTTGTCAGTCTGGATGATGTCGTTCATCTCTCCTTCGATGTCAGCACCAGCACGGAACTTTTGCAGTGCCTCGCGTGCCTCGTCGATGCGGCCGTTCTTGACCAGCCACTTGGGCGACTCGGGAGCGAACGGGAACAGCGCAAAGTTGATCAGGCCAAAGACACTAGTGATGGCGAACAAGATGCGCTAGCGAGGGGGAGAAGCGAGGCCCAGGGCACATGCGTTGTCAATCATGATACCAAAGTTACAAGCAAATTGCAGGGCACCGCTCAGAATGTTACGGCTACGTGGTGTAGCCATGTCCGAGACGTATGTCGCCATGGCGTTGTTGGCGGCACCAGCAGCAATACCGACGACAAGACGGCCGATGATGAACTGGGGGATCTTGGTGGTCAGCGACAGCAACAGGGCACCAACAACGTTGAGCAGAGCGAACCAGCACAGGACAAACTTGTATCCCTTGCGGTTAATAATAGGGTTGGAGACGACAGCACCGATGATGGCACCAATGGCAAAGCAACCAACAACCAGACCCCAAACAGTTCCGGACTTGACATAGATGCAAGACGGGAAGCGGCCGTAGTACTTGCGGCCAGTAACACAGTTTTGCAAGACGTCGCCGGGAATGTTCACGGAACCGATGTTCCAACCAAAGTTGAAACTACCGATGGCGGCCAGGATGGTACAGAAGACCTGGTACTTTGTAGCTCCAAGCGTGTGTGAGTCAACTGGCATGGCCAATAGAAAGGAAAACTAATAAAATAGCAGCTCTAGATGTATGAGGTGTCTGAAATACAAATATAGGTACTGCTAGATAGCGAAGGCGTGTCAATACTATGAAGATGGATTAAAAGATAATGCCTGTTTGGTTAGGTGTTGAGATTCCTGGCCATAGCGGTTACCATAAAACTGCCTTTTATACAATCTCAGCCGGACAGGCCAACACTGACAGCACAAATAGGGGCGTGCTCTTGGCAAGGGCCGTTAATTCTGGCTAGCCTGCTCATTCTGGGTTGCTCGTGAGATCTGTGCTGAGGGATACTAATCCGGCCAACACCGCACTTTGTGGGGTGTACTACGAGGTATACCGCTGGCCTTTGAAACGCACACGAAGTATTTGTACGCCAGTAGCGCAAGTACAAGAAAAGGGGCCGAATATTCACCTTGTCCGCCCATGCACACTTTTCTCTGCGCCGACTACCTGCTGAGTAATGCCTCCAGCGGACAGGTGCAGTGGCTACATACCTTTGCGGCTGCTGCTTAGTGCACGCTCTAGCCAGCTGTTCCTGGTGGCATGATTGCCTTTACAGGTGTTTCTGTCTGCAGTGCCTGCCTAACAAGAGGCTCCGCCTGCTCATTTCCGCCTGCTCATTTCCGCAAGGCCCATGCTTAGGAGAACAAGTGGCCGCAGTGCCCACATGACACGAATATATACAGCTGGCGTTTCTAGCTATTGCGCTACAGCTTGCAGTACAGCCCCCGTCAAGTCGTCAATTATTGGTGTTCTATAATGGCTAGGCATCTTCTGTTCTCCTAGGATGCCAGTTAATAGCTTTCAGAAATATCCAGGTGGTTGCCTTTTAGTCGGAGGTAGCAATCCTATCTGCACGCATCGCCTGTGTTGTGCTATGGCGAATGAGCTGGAATGTCAGGTCTGCGGAGCTTCTTGCTCCCTTCAGACTGGTAGCTACTCGCTACACTATCTAAAATTAGACCACAAACAGCAACCCCTGCGATCAGAAGAGTGGCAGACGGAAAACATCGGTACAGGTGTCAATGGATCCAATGCGGAAAATGGCTAATTTCTCCTAATGGACCGCATGGATGTCCGGTCGCAGCCTAGTTTAGTACGGGGCATGTCCGCCATCATCGCACATCGTACTACCCGATCAATTGCCCGTGTTCAGTATAGCCAATAGCTGTCATGCCTGGACTTCAGGAACTAGAAAAGTTGCCGCATGGTATTTGTGTTTACTTGGGTTAAGCGTTAGATCTATTTCCCTAGTGGTAACACAAATATTGAAATAGAGCACAGGGCAAGAGCTGTGCTTTTCAACATAGAAGCCGGCTTTTGCATGCTCACATTGTGTTAGTTGTATAGGAAAATGGTACATGTGTTGAGTTTATCATATAGCCATAACTGTAGGAGGATGCTGTTGCACGACAAAACATGGTGCATGCTTACATGACTAGCACGAGGAGTACTTGAGGTGGGGATATCCTCTTCAATAGATAAATTCAACTATGGCAGAATGGCTAGAGTATGCGGAGTGAATGCGCTGTTCTTGTCTATCCACCTTTTTGGCCAAGGTGTTCTGTGCTCCGTTACTTTTATTCCGCTTGGACATTCCAAAAATACCACACCTCCCAGTTCGTGGTAGAATTACGCGAGTTCCGGCGAAGCTACTATAGCTGCACACCATTCCTAACTATCAAGCTTTCAAGAGGATAGATATTTTTCGCATATATCAACGAATTCTTACTGGCACTCTTAGCTTGCAGGCATCACTTTCTAGGTATATAGATATTATATTGGTGTGGCTATATCCGCTGCACTCACGATAGCCTCACGTCTGGGGTGGCGCATTTTTATCGGTCACATAACCAGGAACTTTTCGGCATGAGGTTACCTTGGCTAATAATCCACCTTGTTTCGCTTGTGATGCAACGGCCACAGAACCAGGCTGCTCCAGCGCAGTTCTGACCGGGCATCATTATATATAGATTTCTTCCGCCACACAGTCAGGAGTACTTTTAATTCTATGAAAACACCTGCAATATCTATCATGTCCCTGCGAAGTACATGAACAAATTGCTGTCTTGTAAGGCAGAATTCAAAAAAAAAAAAAGGCATGGAGTGGAGCCAACATATCCGACACGGTTCCCTACGGAGGTAGTTCAAGAGCATTTTCCATCAGCCACTAATACACTATACAAGGAAGCACTTTCTGTGGCTGCTGATTCGCACTACACCATACGCCACGCTACACACATAATTGATTCTGTAGTACCTCGTGTGTAATATGCTCTGAGAACAGCCTCCTGCAGCTGTCCAAATATGTCTACCTTCCAAAGTATCTTTTCACAACACATTGTGGAAAGAATAAAAATGCGCAATATTAACAAGGACAAGTCTTAGGCTGGAGGGGTCATTATCGCCCAACAGGTTTTAGACATGGGTTGCGGTGATATCTCGGTTGGAGAACTGTAATAAGTGTGAGGTGTAGTGCATGTTTAGAATCTCAGTTGCCTACCGCAGTAAGAGGTTAACATATTCGCAGAATTTATTGCAAACATATTCTGTGATAAGAAAGGATGTAAGATGAAGATTTCTATGACGCTGGCGTAAATAGGCAGTCAGCGCCGATTAACGAGGGTTGCCACTATGAAGTCGAACAAAATGAGGCCATACGTGGGCAGCCTTCTATCCTACAGCATCTACCAATTTCCATACTCTGTACCTAGAGTGGGAAATAGAGACCGTAGTTTCTAGGAAAGGAGAGAGCAAGTGTCTCGCCGTCCCAACCGAACGCTTCAGGGTCTACCTGTACTAGGTTCATAAAAACGCGTTTGGAATTGACACCCAGCTCGCTGCATATGAACTCGGTGAACTTTCCAACAATCGTGCTCTGTTCTGGAGATTTACTTGTACGACAGTAGACGAAATTGACAAAGGTTGTAGGCTCATGAGTTCCACCAAAACACATGCTAGGATTTCTGCTGATAGTGGTGAGACCCATATCGATAGGAATATCTAGCATTTGCGCGATGTAGGTCGATGCCTTGACCGAGAGCGACTTGGCATCAACTTCCTGTGAATTGGTAATGATATCAACAACTGGCATGGTAAATGGGTATAAAATAGGAAAGCGGTAAACGAAGCTGGCTTGGCGACGGGAGTTGCCGTGGAGTTTATATCCAGAAAGCGTGCCGTCTGTACAGCATCAACTATGCATGGCGTTGACACCAACAATATATAGTGGTGGGAATGGCCCATGGCAGTGGGAACTGTGAAACTCGCATTGCTGCTTGAGGTTGTGTACAAGTATCCTGTATATTATTTGTAATTGTTAAAGTGCAGAGTATTTCCTTTTAACGATATAGTGTGTTGTGGCGCATCCTGCTGGAAGCAGGTGGAAAATAATTAAATCGCTGGAGTGATCTGAAAATCAAGATAGGGATTCTGGTAGCATGGCTCAGTGGCCAGTTAGCGCTCTGCCAGGGGACCAGCCATGGAATGGGGATCACTCGGCTCAAGCCAACTGATTCAGCTTGTGGTAATTGCGAAGACAAAAGGAGAGAGAAAAGATGTGGGTCAAATGGTAAATGTGAATGCAGCGTACAGTGGAAGAAACGCCAGAGGTATTTGATACTCAGTTAATGTACCTGCTATTAAATTGAGTCGGAAACTCAAAAAGCTCAGTAGTTGTCAGTCCTTAAAAGGAGCGGATGATGATGATGCTGGCACTTAAGTTCTACCTCTTCCTACTCTTGAGTGCTACAGCATCTGCTCCATTGTGATTTTCATTTTACCAGCGTCTAAGTTAAGTCACCACTTTCTTTACACTGGACTGCAAGTAATATTGTAGAACATATAATAATATGAATTAGGCCACTATCAATGGGATCTGGATAGGATCCACTTAACATCTTGATTACTAATATTAAGTAGACTACTACAATAATATCGTGCATTGATGTCAAGGTGCCAGTCATGATCGCCTTAGAAGAGCCACAGCACCTGCTACTCAGCACGTATCCTCATCCAAAGTATGCTGTATTTTGTGAACTCATTCGTTACAGATTTAAAATTCACCAGTACAATCAGAGCCTGTCGGGATACTTGTACATGTAGCATGAAATAGAACTAGTGACTGTCAACAAATTACCAGGACTTGCAGTCACACTGGCGTGTGCTAGGATATATAGTGCAGCCACTATACCCTTGTCTAAGCATTATGGCATGGATCTAGGAATCAGAATCAGCTGTGCAATAGGGTCACCCTCTTCATGTGGCTAACCGTTTGAAACCAGTAAATGTACGTATATATATTAGTAAACCAACTCAGAGATGTCACTCCAAAACTCGTTCTTCAAGACGCTGTCCATTACTGAAGGCGCATCACAGAAACTGACAAGAATGTCCTTACTTGGGGGTGGCGACGGAAGAATCACAAATAAACCCATGGCGAGCTCAGGATGTGTCGTTGAAAAAGCTTGAACGCCATGGCCAAAGTCTGCAGCGTACATCTTAGTAGATGCTATATTAGAAGTTCTTGTCAAAAGCTTGTGATTCATGGCAACGGCAAAGAAATCAGCGGCATGCTTCTCATCCGAATCAAAAGCATCAACAGTTTGTCCGATGCGCGGTAGGGTAAGTGCTGATATGAGCGACCGAATCTGACTAGCGACCACAGATATAGTCTTGGGGGTAATTGGCTGATATGCCTGGTGCATCGGGGTGAGAACAACTTCGCCGTATACCGGGTTGCCCATGTAATTCAGCTCTGCCATTCCAAGATGGCGACGATAGTCAGCGATGACTACAGTACAATGTTCGCCTGCAGCTCCATTCATCCAATCCATTAGGCTTTCCAACCATCCCTGCTGCTTCCTTGTCACAACCTGTTCGTGGACTCTGTGCAAGACTGCCGAAATGATATCGTTAGTGGACAAGCGGGTCCCATGTGGCAGGTGCTCGAGCACTTGGTTGCGAAGCCTGTCAATCTTGGCACGCGAAATCCGGAATAAATGCCCACGCGGTGAAGCAGAGTTGATCAAATAGCTCATCAGCTTTCTGCGCTTGTCAAGTGAGAGCCACATGATGAAATCCGCCACATAGGACTTTGAGGAAAGCACCTTCTGGGACGCTTCACTGAGAGATGCGCGCTCGCTCGGCAGGTGCCTCTTGATGATATCGGCACCAAAGCAGAAGGTTGCCTCTGCCACAGGTACGCCAGTTACTAGTGCACGCGTCTCATCCGCCCAACGGTTGAAGTAATTTAGAACGCTGGTACCATCTGCGACTCCATGGTTGAAATTGACCGATATAGCCACACCGCTATTGTCCTTCAGTCGCACAACGTGAACGTGCAACAGCTTGACCATCCCGGTAGCCCTGTCAATGCAGGGAACGGGCCCAACAGGAACCAAATCATCAGGCCAGGTTGTGCGGTTGAATCCGGAAGACTGGATCTTGCTGAAACGTACCAAAGACTGCGATTCACGATAATAAGGCATGTTCAGATTGCCCTTGTCGACGATGACCTCCATTCCTCCATCTCGAGTTGGTTTAATATCACCAGCGAACCAGGGGCAGAGGGCAAGAGTCCGATAGAAGCCTTCCTCAAGCTGGCGACCTGGCATGAAATCCTCAGCACCAGCAGAATTGGCATAGAAGAATAGGAACCGTGCGGTTACATACGAGTTGATCATGTCATATCGTCTACAGATATAAGTTTGTGATTCGATGCTGTTTATAAAGTGGTCCATAGCAAAGTGAGTAGGCAATGAAAACTGTTAAGAAAGTGAAAAGACTTCTACTGGAGTCATAATTCCAGCACTTATACGAGAAACATAAAATATTGTGTGTGGACAAGTGTACTGGTGAGAATCAACCATGTGGTATTGTCATGTTCATAACAAGTGGCCAATATATTAACTGAAATAGTGTATTGTTTACCTCGGTCACTATGCCTTCAGCAACCCGTTTGCGTTGGGGTTTTTTTACAAGTCGAAGGATATAGAGACGTCTCCTTTGTCATGACTCTGTTCCGCCCTTCATCGAAGCTACATGCCTACCCTGTTCACCAATAGGCAATCAGCACCTACAGCAGGAATTGGCAGTAGCTCGCAGGATACGTCTTCGGTGTTTATAGTTCATAGCTGTCTGTCTTCTATGGCCAAGTGTGATCGGGTTCCAAAAGGCCCCTATCCTAAGCCTGTCGCAGCCTGAGCACTATAGAAGGTACACAAACATGCCACTCCCTTTGACAATAGGTTCCTACTTTTAAACACAATTCCTATTCCTGGGAAACAGACTTCCTGACCCACGGTCAACAATGATCCCTGTGTTGCGCCCATGGCCAGTTGAGCACCAACAGCCATATAGATGTCGAGTCTTGTCTGCTTGAAGGGTCGAGCACAAGATATGAGGCGGTTCTTATCAGAAAAAAAATCAAGTAGCGACATAGAAGAGAGCGGTCAGCCGACAGAAACCAACAGAAGCCCATAGAAGAATATCCATCAACTATCGCATGCCACCCAACACCGAGACATTGCCGTTATGATTTATGACTGACGCTACTATTCAAGGACCTATTTAACCCACCTTTCTATTTTTCATTTTTCTATCTCTCTCTCCGTACTCTAAGGTTCAAATAAGGCAAATATCCCAATCTATATCATTTTCTTTCCTTCATATACAACGATGGCTGCGCTTTCCATCATTATTTTTCATTGGATGGGTATCTTCCTAGACCATCTCAGCAGCATTGGTCTCGTCAAGCTTCTATTTTCTATTGCAGCTGCTCTACTAAGCTACAAAATCATCTATGCGCTGTATTTTTCGCCCCTCCGCCATATTCCTGGCCCTTTCCTTGCACGCATTACAAGCAAGCGCAACCAGATATTGAGCATGATTAGCAAGGTCGGCATTTCCGCGCAGCACGAATACGAAACATACGGCGACCTCTACGTGCTGGAACCCAATGCTGTGGCGATCTCGAACCCATCGGATGTTCGCACTGTCTTTTGGCTCGCATGCTTTCCGCAAAGCCAGCTTTTATAAAGCAGTGGACATCTTTGGAATTCCCAACACTGTCAGTGCCACAGACCCGGCCTTTGTCGGCTTGAGAAAACGCCAGCTAGGACCGTATTTCAATCCCTGTGTACCTAGGTAGGATGGAACCTGCAATCTTGAAACACGGGTACCTTGCGCTAAAGAATGTGTGGGAGGAGCGGATTGGCCACAGTCTCAACGGGAAGATTAGCATCAATTACATGAAAGATTTCGCCTTGGCGACCTTCGATACTATTGGCGCACTAGCTCTTGGCCAAGAATTCAACTGTCTCAAGCAAAACGACGACGATGTGACAAAATGGGCCACCGCTACCACCATCTGGCATGTTTCTCGTGCAGCTGTCCCGCTCACAAAGTATTTCCCGTTCTCACTACTTCTCGGACCCCTAGAGGCGAAGTTCAAACGTCCTGTCCGAATTTTGCGACAAGGCAATTGCCAACCGCAAGGAACTGCTTCGCACCGGTGCAGATAAGCCAGTGGACCTTCTTCAGGCCTTTATTGATGCTGAGGATCCTGAATCGAAGATTAGCATGGACGACCTCCAAGTCAAGGCTGAGTCCACCGTTGCTATAGCTGCTGGCAGCGATACCTCGTCAGTCTCACTCACATGGGCTGTATTCCTCCTGATGGCCCACCCCAAGATCTATGCTAGGGCAAGAAACCAGGTCCGCAGCAACTTTCCAGTTGACCATGTCATCACCTATGCTGAGGCCAGAAGCAAGCTGCCGTTCGTCGAAGCGTGCCTATACGAGTCCCTGCGTCTCTGCCCTATAAATGCTAGCTACTTCCCCCGTGTTTCGCCTCCCAGCGGTATCACTCTCCAAGGCCATTTCATTCCTCCAGGTATGGAGATACATGTGAACTTCCCTGGCGTCAACCACCATGCTGACACATGGGCCAACCCGCTAAAGTACGACCCGACCCGACTCCTCAACAACGACGAAGCATACCGCAGCCTGTTCACCTTTGCCCCTGGTGTCCACATATGTCCCGGACGGCATTTGGCCAAGATCGAGATGTTGACCATACTGTCAAATATGCTGAAAGATTTCGATATGGCATTGCCTGAGGACTACACTCATCTCGGGCCAAATGTCCTGGATGCAAATGGTTTTCCAAAGATGATGGAGTCTGCACACATTCTAATTCCCGAGCCTGTGAACCCAAAGCGCGACTGTCGTGTGATTCTTACCAAACGCTCAGAATAGCATCACACTAGAATATTTTAGTCTTTAATATACCATATAAGCACATTACAAGGCGAAAGGCTCTATTGTTGACGAGCACTTCACCCTTGCTAAGCTTCAAGGAATCGCCATTGGTGTTTTGGTCTAACCCTGTGGTAGGTTTGTCAGCGTTCTAACCCACGCCTGACGATATTATTTTATCAGAATATTAGATTACTTCTCCTCACCCATTTCTTATTCTTTCCTTTAATTCTCAAATCGGTCCTGTCAACGGTCTGGTCTCTCTTATTCCTTTTTTTTTTTACAAACTTCCTATTAATCTCTTTAAGGCTGCCTTAGTCTATCTCTTTTCCAATGTATTCTCTTTTACTTGGGTGCTACAGCCCGACCCAACTCAATAGCTCGTAATCTCAAACATATCCTGTGTTGGATGGTCACGAGTTTCAACAAGTGGTTTGGGCTGAGTCAGCCAAAGAAAAGGAAACCTATGAATAAAAAGAGAAAATAGCTGTACGCGAAAAATAGAAAGTGGAGAAGAGTGAGACCCCAAAGGAGGATCGGAGCCGTAGTTGTGATAGCACATGGATCTGATGAGGAAGGGAAATATTGTAGAAACCTAGTGAATCACAAATTCTGACATTACTGTATTCAATTTGGAGTTCTCAGCCCACACGATATTCATCAGGCGGCAAAGGTTGTGATTAACCAGCACAATCTTTACACAGCCGAGACTCGCAAGCCTGTCCCCAATGGTGTACTGGATCCGCGGCTGGGTGTGTCGAACAAGAATTTCATTTGCGAGATGTATGGACAAAACATGTCGGGCTGTGTCGGCCATTGGGGATTCATCGCTCTGTGCATGTCCATGTTCCGCTTTGGCTACTTCAAGATGATGCAGACGATTCTGCAGGATATTTGCAAGACGTGCGCACGCGTGATGCTTAAGGAGTCGGATCGGCGCATGTTCTCGCGCAGGCTGAGGGCCTCTGGAATCGATGTACTGCAAATACACCTGATCGTAAAGGCAGTCAATGACCGTTGCAAGAAGGTCACATTGCCCACACTGTCTGGCAACCAATGGCATGGTGAAGAAAAGTGGTCCCCTGAGGATTGTGCATGACAAGTGTTTGAGGTTACGAGCTATTGAGTTTGGTCGGGCTGTAGCACCTACGCAAAAGAGAATACATTGGAAAATAGACAGACCAAGGCAGTCTTGAAGAGATAAATGAGTAGTAAAAAAAAGGAATAACAGAGACCAGACTGGTAACTAGACGGATTCGAGAATAAAAGGAAAGAATAAATGGATGAGGAGAAGTAATCTAATTTTCTGATAACAAGAACTGCCAGAAGCGCATGGCTAACAAGCAGGAGGACTACAGAAAGACACTCGCAAATGCGGTAGAAGCCGATCCGCAATTGAAGCCGTTTGTATCAGAATTAGATTTTCCTCATTTTATTGTTCTATTTTCTCTTTATATATTGCTACCCAGTCCAATACTGGACCGGATCATTCTTGTCTTTCTTCTACATTTTTCTACTTGCTTAGTGCCTTCCTGCACTCTCTTACACTTTCTCAATACATGTGTCTTCGGGTGTTTCAGCCCGCTCTACAATATACTTGTATCGCTTGTAACCTTCTGACAGTTTGTGGAGAAGGTGCAGACTGAGGAGATGACCCCACTGCGCATGTACCAGTTGTTCAAGAACATTTCGGA